CAGAGCAAGTTCAGAGACCTGCCACTTGGCTTATCCACCCACTTGATACGATCGTTAGGATCTACTTTTGGTGCCACACTGCCCACAGGCTCTACAATAGGGTAAGAAATTTTGATCTGATACTGAAGCTAAGTAAACTGCCTGAAAATAGGGAGAGGCACTCACCGAAAGGCGGGCACGGGGTATGACTGAGCTGGACAAACTATAGCCAGGCTATGATCTAAAGCCACCCGAGCATAGTTGATCTCATCTTTGATATCAACTTTAGGAGCCACACTGCCAACAGGCTCTAAAAGTATATACTTATTATATATCTTCCTAAAACCTGACCTGAATGATGAGACGGAACTCGTGGGAATTACCTAAACAATGGCATGGGATACGACTGAGCTGGGCAGATCAGAGCCTTCGAAGCTCCCAAGCGAGTCCTGGCAAACGTAAACTCATCGCGGGTATCGACTTTTGGAGCCACAGAGCCAACAGGTTCTAAAGAGTTTAATAAGTATTATGATCCAAATCGATGGAACTAATCTTAACCTGAATGTTGGCCAAGGTTTCTGGTACTAACCTAACTATAGGCACAGGATATGCCTGACCAGGACATTGCATGGAGAATTCTTCTGCGAGTTTTACTTGCAGGACTTGGAACTTGTCGGAAAGACTTGTGATTTTAGGAGGCACAGATCCAATGGGCTCTATAAATTGCAAATAATTATAATAAAGTTCTGTCTAAGATAGCCCTTCTAAAATGCTGGGATAGAGATAACCGAGAAACCCACCTAACTATAGGCACTGGATATGCCTGACCAGGACATTGCATGGAAAAGTCCTCAGCTAGCTTCACTTGCAGGACTTGGAACTTGTCGTGCAGACTAGTAATCTTTGGCGGCACGGAACCAATGGGCTCTAAAGGTCAATAAAAATCATTTGGTAAAAAAAAACTCTGCTGAGAATAACCTGAACGCTGGGATAGACTGACATGAAACCCACCTAACAATTGGCACAGGATAGGCCTGACCAGGACACTGCATATCAAAGTCGCTTTTCAGTTTAACCTGCATCAACTGGAATTTGTCGTTGATATTGTTGATTTTTGGAGGCACAGAGCCAACGGGTTCTAGAATAAAAGAGGAGTTCTAAGCTTGAAAATATTCTATGACCAAAAATCAACCTGAATGTTGGAGCTAAGGGTGCAATTACCTATTAATGGGAACGGGAAAAGCCTGGCCAGGACACTGCATGGCATAACGTGCCCCTTGGGCGACCTCCATGGTGCGAACTCTTTCAAGGAGGTTCAATTTCGGAGGAACAGAGGCCACGGGTTCTGTTCAAGAGGCGATTTATTAAAGCTTGTTCAGAGATGTAAGAAAACTGCCTAAATGTTGGAGAAACCTACCTATAAACTGGTATGGGATAAGACTGGGCTGGACATTTGAGACTCAAGCTTCTGCCCACAAAGCCACGTGCATTGGCCACCTCGTCGTCAATGCTAACTTTCGGTGGCACGCTACCAATGGGCTCTGCAAAAAAACAATAAAAGTTTTCACTTCCCGAAAAACTATCCATTCAACTGCCTGAATACCGAAATGGGAAGGCAGTACCGCCTAATAATATAATCACTTTAACAACAAAGCCCCAAAAATGCAGAAAACGCCCTGGTAATTGAACAATTTGCCAAATTGGTGGCATATTTTCCGCACCTGTGGGCTGGAATGGGATAGGACTGGGCCGGGCAGAGCAAAGCGAAACCAACTCCTCCGGCTATCTCGCGTGTCTGCAGCTTGTCCTGAATATTTATTTTCGGTTTGACAGAGCCAACGGGTTCTACAAGAGAAATCACACAAACTAATAATAATAATTCTTAAAAGGAAACCCACCTGAAGGCAGGTGTTGGGTAGGACTGTGCCGGGCAAAGCAAGGCATAGCTGCTCGACATTTCAACGTCTATGAACTGGTGCTTGTCCTGGGGATTCACCTTGGGTCTAACACTACCCACGGGCTCTACAGTAGGATTAAATGGAAGTCTTACTTAAAAAAAGGCATTGGATAGGATTGAACTGGACACTGAATGTTGAAAGTGGTGCCTCCACTGATTTGCATCATTTTGAAACGCTCCAGGAAATTGAGTTTAGGCGCCACGCTGCCAACGGGTTCTTAAAAAACAATAATCCTATATATTATCCTAACAAAATTGTAATAAAATTAAGGAATGTTGGGTTAGGTTAGGTATAATTTACCTAGAAATTGGTTGTGGATAGGCCTGAGCTGGACAAAGGAGGCTTAAACTGCTCAAGTTTTTGGCCTTAATGTGCTTCAGATCATCAGAATTGGTAATCTTGGGACTAACGCTACCAATGGGTTCTGCAAAGTTCACAGATTATTGATTCTATCTCTATACCTATTAAATCTAGTTGAAAACTGCGGTAGAAGGGACATTTACCTATAAAATGGTTGAGGATAAGCCTGAGCTGGACAAAGTAAACTCAAATCATGGCTACTTTTTCCCTTCAAGTGCTTGAAATCCTCTCCTGTACTAATCTTAGGACTGACGCTACCAACAGGCTCTGAAAGTCAAGTTTTTGGCATAGTTATACGGATAGCTACGCTACTTGAAAACTGCTTAAACTAAGTTAGGGACAATTACCTAAAGAAAGGAGTTGGATATGCCTGAGCTGGACAAAACAAACTCAAATCTGGTCCCAGTCTGCCCTTTACATGTTTTAGATCTTCTCCTGCATTTATTTTGGGACTGACACTGCCCACAGGTTCTGTAGAGAAAATATTAGTTTGGGAATAAAAAGAAACCCCTTAGTTGACTGTCTGATATTAGGAAAGAAACTATGTATTTGTCAAATACCTATAGAAAGGAACTGGATAAGCCTGAGCTGGACAAAGAAGAGTTATACTTTCTGCCAGTCTAACCCTCACAGTCCGCGAATCGTCTCCGGATGTCAGCTTTGGCCCAACACTGCCCACAGGTTCTTGAAAGGGATTTAAGGGATAAGACTGACATTTCGAATTAAAGTTCCTGCCTGAAGTTGGGAGATTACCTAAAGAAGGGCACTGGATAGGCCTGAGCCGGACACATCAACGTGACACTTCCCATCTTGGGCACACGGATTAGAGTTATGTGCTCCTGGTTGCCATTCCCACTCAACTGGGGACTAACACTACCAACAGGCTCTACAAGAGGTTATTCGAAATCAAATTCAAGGAAATCAAATACAGATTCTATTTGCCCCAATGTTGGAATGGGTTTACCTATAAAAGGGCACCGGATAAGCCTGAGCAGGACACATGAGAGTGGCACTGCTTCCCGCAGATACTTTGGGAATCTTAATGGCATCATCGCCTGCTGTGACTTTGGGACTCACACTGGCAACAGGTTCTAGAATTTATTGAGGAGCTTTTAATACTCAAAGCCTAACTAAGGAAATGCTGCCTCAATGTTGGGCTAGTTTACCTAAAAAACGGCACCGGATAGGCCTGGGCCGGGCAGAGAAGCGTGGCACTGGCCGTCTGCTTTACTCTTAGGATGCGGGACTCATCGCCGCTTGTAAGACGAGGACCAACACTGCCAACAGGCTCTAAGAGGGAAGTAGAGGATTATATAGAAATACCCCCTCAGTTGGGATAGTTCTCACCTAAAGAATGGCACTGGATAGGACTGAGCTGGACACAAAAGTGTGGTGGGCAGGCCAGCACTGAACTGAACCACTTTGATGTCATTGCCAGACAAAAGTCTGGGCCCAACACTGGCAATAGGTTCTTAAAGAATTTCAAAGTTTTACGATGAGTTCTCTTAAAATGAAGCCCAAATTGGAAACTAGCCTTTCCCAGGATAACAAACATTATTCCTACCTAAACAATGGAGCTGGATAGGCCTGGGCAGGACAAAGAAGTGTCTGGCTAAAGCCGGCTTCTCCCGTGAAGCTACTGCTGGTCTGGGTATTGGGAAACTTTGGAGAAACCGTGCCAACTGGTTCTGTGAATGAAGTTTAGAATAAACAACCATAATAATAATGTGATAATATTAAGAAGGTCTGAAACTGAATGTGGCACTTACCTTGGGCGCATTTAGAAGGAGGATATGAATGGATCTCTTACCACTAAAGTAATGGCTTATTTGGCTTATTGGGAAAACGGACCACACCTACGCTACTGGCTTTATTGCAAGCTCTTTTCATTGTCGAGTACCCTATCCCAACATTCAGGCAGTTTTCAATTTAGACTTAGGCTATAGCAGCAATTCTTTGACCTCGTAGGCCCCAAGTAGGCCAATTATTTTTAAATTTTTAATTTCGCATTCAAATGAGCAATCTAGATCGTATATTTTTTTCGCAAAGAAAGAGATTTTAAGCGAAAAATCTTTTTGATTGCATTTCTATATATTCAAAGAATTGTTGCTTATGTTATGCTTATAAAGATCGCCAAGAAATTGCCGGAGATACTGTGCTCTTTAAAGCTCTAGAAACAAATCATGTATCCAAGACAGTTTCCCAGCGAGGCAAAAAATGTCTGGACTTCTTTTTATTTTAATGCCAAAAATAGAAAATTTGTGTGAAACTTTAAATATATTTTAAGAAATATAGCCATTTTAGTCAAATGAATATTTAGGTTAAAGAACAAATGAATCCAAACATTTTAAGCTGAAGAAAAAGATACAATTTTTAGTTTTTTAACTAAAACGGTGTATCTTTTTCTTTTTTTCAGTAAAATAGAGTAAACTTTAAAAACTTAAGTAAATAATAAATTTAAAATAATATAAAAACACTTTTTTAAGAAGAAAATGAAACTAGGTAACTAAAAATCTAGAAATCAAGAAACTACTTGTAGTTTACTTAAATTTGTGAAGTTTAATCAACAAAAAACTTCAGTTATCTATCATATTTAATAATTATTGGTACAACTTTTTTTAAGTTTCAAAATTAAACAAGTATAACTGAAGCTTTTTTTTATAATTTCTTTGAAAAATCATTTGGCCAACAAGGCGGACTTACCTGTAATGACCAATCGTCCCTTTGTGGCACTCAACCTGGTCTCTCCAGTCAGACGATGCTTGGTGCGGCACTGGTAGCTCTTGTATCCATCCTCGGGTCCAACTTCGCGGATATGCAGTTCTCCAGAGGGTAGTACCAGATATTTGCCATCTGATTCAGGCAGAATTAACGATAGATAAAATATAATTATTAGTAAGGGGCTATATAACATTAACATTTTTTAAGCAACTACATTTTATTAAATTTAATTAAGTTTTAAAGGACTTAATTGAATTTACTTGCAAGACATTAAAAGCCACACCTTTGATTGTTATTATTTATTTTTTTTAATAATTTAATTTATATGTTTTCTTTGGCGAATTGTGCTGTGAATTTAGTTAATTTTATATCATGCGATGTGACTTTTTAAATGGAGTTTTAATGAACTTAGATTGAAGGTAGTTTAATAGGACATTTAATATTTTACAACTTTTTATGTTGATATTTACATTTTATGTATAAATATAATATTTATATAAGCTTGCTAAAAATAAATAAAGTCCTTCAATCTTTGTTATACGATAACGTTTAAAAATATATTCAAAAATTATTTTTAATAAAAAGTTTGAATACATTTTCTATCTTAAATATGAGCTGTACAACAGCATAGCCAGGAATTTGTGGCGTGAACTTTAAACAAGTTTATTAAATTGTTAAGCTTATTTATTTTTACCTTTGTATACATTTTTATTTTTTGCATTCAATTCTTAAATTCCTAGCAATGCTCTTTATAAACATGCACCAGCAAAAATGCCAATAATTTTATTTCATATGTATTACATGATGTCGGTATAGAATATACATTTATTAATATATTTACAAGAATTTTAGAATCTGAGATGAGTTGTATGTACAGTTGTTAAGTTTATTAAGTTTAATCATTTATTAGCATTTTTGCACGTATTTACACTAGACTACAGGACAACGCTACTTTCAACTACATGAAGGGTTTCGGGTTTCGTTTCGGGCGAGTCAGGAGCGACCCATGGATATTTTGGATGGGAAAAAATCATAAAAATCATAGTGATTGGATTGAGGATTGGAGAGAAATAAACAAAAAAGGATAGAAGAATGGAAATTAAAGAGAATTGAAAGCCTAAGCAGCGCTGAAAATGATCCCATTTGAGGGTCCTTCGAGACATGATCGAGAACAGATCGAAGCAAACCGAATCGGAAAGGAGTCGGAGGATTATGACGTGGGGAGTGGGCAATGCGAGAGCTCTTATTCTGATAATTTACCGCTGGCTGCGATATCCTCCTGGGGATAAATAACTCGCTCCTCGTCCTCCACCCACGAATCGACCACAATGAAATCGGCCACGAAACTGGGTATGTGGCACTTAAGGATGGCGCTATTGCCCCTCAGTATGGACTCGTCCATGACATTGACGGTGTAGGATTGTGGCACAACTGCAAAGTTTACGGAAAGATTGATTGAGTGAGGAGCGGGGTAAAATCATAAAGTTAATGGCAGGAACCCCCTTCATGTGGCTAATCAAACGACAGTCTACACGTCTACGGGTCCTACCAGTCAGGTTCTTGGTGAAAGTCCCGCCATCGGTATCGATCCAATCGGTAATATCAACGTGATCCGCCACAAACGAGGGCGTCTGGCACTTGAAAATGGCCGCATTACCCTTGATCACGTACTCGTCGTAGACTTGGGACTCAAAAAACTGCTTTACCACTGCAAGACGGAGATGGTGGAACACGGTTAGGAGGGGAAGCGGACTGGGAATGGAGATGTGGATGGTTTGACTAGCCTAGGCCCGAAAATCTAGAGGGTTACCCATGGAGTCGTCTGGCAGAGGCCTCAGGATCTCGACACCTTCCTCGTCGATCCAGCCCTCAACGTCGATGAAATCTGCCACGAACGAAGGCACCAGACACTTCAGGGTGGCCGAGTTGCCTCGAAGTACAAACTCATCTATAACCCGCGTCTGATAGAACTGGTGGACAACTGAAGAATACCAGAGGAATACCATACTTGATGAAATAAAAAAAAACATACTAAAGGAGTTTAGGAGTTGAGCTGGAAAATGTTTGGAGATCTCGAAGAAAGGTGGAACAAGGAAAGCCAAGCCCATGTACCCGTCTCTTCGGCATTGTTGGGATAGTAGTTGCGACCCTCCGAGTCCAGCCAGAGATCGACGAACACAAAGTCCGCCACGTACGAGGGAATCTCACACTTCATCACCACGGAATTGCCCCTAATGACGTACTCATTGTCCGCCTCGGACTCGTAGCTTTGAATTACAACTAAGTCGGAAAAGAAAGTATAAAGTAGCTTGAAATTAAGGATCGGGAAAGGGATGTCAGATAAACCCTAACAGAAACACTAAACACACTAAAAAATCAATCAGAGTAATCTGTACCATAGGAGCTGGAGGCGTTGTTGCGCCACAAATCGGTGCCTTCCTCATCCACCCAGGCCTCGACCTGAACGAAATCGGCCACGAACGAGGGAATCTTACACTTGACCACCGCGGCATTGCCTTTAATCACATATTCATTCTCTGCCTCGGTAATGTAGAACTGCGAAACGACTAAAGATCGAAGAAAATCATAAATATAACTTGGGAAAATGCAGGAAAGGGATGTATTGGGAGTGTGAGTCATGAAACAACTAAGTTAAGCCTAAGAGAAGCTCTGCTTCGCACCGTAGTTGTCGGAAAAGGTCAGGACATTGCCCTCATCATCGATCCAGGACTCCACGCGTACAAAGTCGGCCACAAAGGAGGGAATCGAACATTTCAAAACCGCTGCATTGCCCCTGATCACATATTCGGTCAAAATCTCAGCCTCGTAGAACTGATTCACAACTGAAAAGGTTTTTAATGTTTAAAATGAAAAGGAAATGATAGTTCAGGGATTGGGTAGGAATGAAGCCCTCAAAGTAGTTGCCAATTAAATAAAAAGTCGCCTTATAAGAATACCATAGTCCTCAGAAGGTCGCAGTTCGGTGCCTTCCTCGTCAATCCAGGACTCGACACGGACGAAATCGGCCACAAAGGAGGGAATGGAACATTTGAGAACCGCCGCATTGCCCCGAATGACATACTCCATCAGGATATCAGCGCCATAATACTGATTAACAACTAAGATTGGAGAAATGCAAAGGATAGTGATAATTCTAAAAGCAGGGAAGAAGGAAGGAAATGATTTTGGGACTTATATAACTATATAGCTTATATAACTAACATCCTCCCAACAAGATCTATCGAACTAGATATACCAAAGTCCTCCTGGGGGGTGTACTCAGTGCCATCGCTGGCCACCCACGCCTCCACTCGTAAAAAATCTGCCACAAAACTGGGAATGGTGCACTTCAGTACGGCCGTATTGCCTTTAATGACGTACTCGGAAACCACCTCTGCCTCGTAATACTGATTGACGACTGAAAAATGGGATTGCACAAGGATAGAGGGGAAAAATGAAATAAAAGTTTAATTTATGAGATGGGATTGTCAAATGGGGGTCGGGATAATCCTATGCTCGTAAAATATGTGATTGTGCTATGTGTACCGGATCCCTGTTGTTCGCCGAGTGTTCCGTAGAGCTGACCCTCTTCGTCCTGCCAGGATACAACCTGTACAAAGTCAGCCACGAATGATGGAATCGAACACTTCAGCACCGCTGCATTGCCTCTGATGACGTACTCGTTGTTGACCTCCGATTCGTAGAATTGTTGCACAACTGGAGTTAAATTCACACGGCGACTTTGATTACATAATGAAAGTGGGGGAGGACAGGGTCGAGGGTACCCAGCCGAGAACACGAAAAACCCACACCTTGCGTGAGGCGGGCGTGTGAAAATGTGCACCGAGCTAATTGAAACAAGAGTGCCTCTCCTAAGAGTGCACTTAATGGGACTCTAAAGCGCAATCGTCTTGGAGGGCACTGGCTTCCCTGAGAAAGTCTCTGGCCAAAAAGGTTAAAACTGCTTCTGATAACACGACTCATCAACACGAATCCCCCGACAGATACAGAAGGTAAAAGCATAAAAAGTAAACACAAAAAAGAGTAGGAGTAGTAGGGTAGGTAGTTATCCATAATTTAGGATGAACACGCAATCGTACAGAGCCTAACTAAAGCTAACATTAAGCCGGAATGTAACCAAAAATCGCTTAGAAACAAACCATATTCGCTGCCTGGCAGAAAGTCCTCGTTCTGGTCGGTGTGCCAGGATACAACGGTAACAAAATCGGCCACGAATGAGGGGATTTCGCATTTCAAAACCGCCGCATTGCCGCGTATTACATAGGCCTTATTTACATCGGTATCGTAGTACTGCGCAACAACTAAAACATCACAACATGATCCAAATAAATGTACATATTTAATGGGAACCAAAAATTAAAGAAATTTGGGGCAAACTGAAGGCGAAACACTGAAGGATCGAGGAAGCTGACACGCAGGAACATGTTCGACAGTTGCTGCCTAACCAGTGTTGGTTAATCGAGTTACTTTTGAGTTTGGTGTGTTGTGTATTTTACAGAAATCTCGTTATTAGTGTGGCACATAGTGTGGCCTGTTAACTGTACTTGCACTGTACACAAGTGGTTCTGTGAGTCATTGTAGAGTGTTTTATTGTTTTGTGGTTAAAAATATGTAGTGCTAGTTTTCTAGAAGCTCACACACAGACTAAGGAGCTTAATCACACACCATATTCAGTGCCTGGATAGAAATTCTCCTGCTCATCGCTATGCCAGGATATAACATTTACGAAATCGGCTACAAACGACGGTATATCACACTTTAAGATGGCGGAATTTCCGCGGATTACAAACGCCTTGTGTATATCCTCTTCGTAGTGTTGCGAAACGACTAAACACAGAAGAAATGAAAGTTTAAATGAGTTTGTGGGTTTAAATAAAAAAGAGTGATGATGCTTGGAAAAGAATGGAGGAATATTCGGTGAAACAGGCTTGGTTAGTAAACCTAATTTGTATATTTTCTACTAGAAGTTCGAATCGCACCGTATTCCGTGCCCGGAAAGTAGTTCTCGTCCTCATCGGTGTGCCAGGAAACCACCTCAACGAAATCGGCCACAAACGAAGGTATCAGACACTTAATCACCGCCGAGTTGCCGCGGATCACATGTTCCTTGTTCACATCCGCCTCGTAATACTGGGCGACCACTGGGAAAACGGGGCAATCATTGCTGATTAGTTCTCACGGTCGCCCCAAAATGCGATTCAACCTTGAAAGAGCTTAACTTGTCGGCTCCTGGAACCGCCTAACTTTATAGCCACCTTGTGGTTGGAAATTCATTAAACGAAGAACCTCGGAACTACGGCAGTGTCGCTGCCCGGACAGACAAAGTTAATTTCAATTAACCAAAATATTTTATACGCCAGCCTGTGTTAAGGGTGTAGACCATAACTCATTTTGGCCAACTAGCTAGCTGGCTTGCCAGCTGGACAACATAGTCTTCCTAGTCTAAGCTTTATTCATACATGAACGAACCATAAAATGATAAATTCCGTCGGTTAATAGTAAGCGAAAGCAAACGACAATAATGATGTCAGGCCCGTGGAGCCGGGAGGAAGAGGTCGCTGTCGGGTTAGGTGTGCTGGCTAATTGGCAAGGAACACGTCAGCTGGCGATGAGTAAGCGGGTGGCATGGCTCCAGCATAATTAACTAAAATGTGTTCAAGTCTGGCCTATTTAGACGGTGCTTCCAGCCAGCGGAAGTGACTGATGGAGCTAAGGGAGTCGAGTCTGGCCTTTACCCCCATATGGGGCGAGCTAAATAAGGTGACAATTGCATCAGCGACACGTTGGAGAGTTGCACATCCTCCGTGGTGGCAGCTCCTGAAGTCTAACTATGGGGCAACTTACAGGTACAGTGTCTACAAAACACACAGGAAGTCAATCGCCGGCGAAAGGCAAGCCAACCGGTTAAAGTGAAATGCCAGCATGCATCAAATTCCACCGAACGTTGCAGAAACTCTACCGAGAAATGTGCGAAAATGGAAGCGTGTGGAAAACTTTGGCAATGCGCAAACGTTCAATGATAGCCAAACGGTGTAAAGCTCGGTTTTAATTGCCGCCATCGGTGCAACAATAAGCCAAACACGAGAGGTTAAACGCTGCAGAAAACGACTTGACACGCAAAGTCAACCGACAACCTGCAACTGGCAACTGGCATCTGGCGGCTGGGAAGTCAACGTTGAATGGCAGAGAGATACGAAACCAACGTTGATGGGTCTTCTATTTCTTCCACGGGAAGTAGCTGAAAGTGAATGGATAAATAGAGGGCAGTGCAAGTTTTAAATGGTTACTTTTCAAACTTTTGATGTTTTACCGATCTATGTCTTATTTGGTTTTAAATTTTGGTCATAAAGACTGATTTTTGAAAAAACAAGAAAGGAAAGTTATCTTCGGGCGGAGCCGAAGTTATATACCCTTGCGGTGATGGCTATATCTTCCCCAATTCTTATCCGATTCTCAAGCTGAGTACCTTAAACGATTTCTGGATCGATTCGCCACCATTCTGCATCAAAATCCTGAGACAAAATATTTTTTCAATTTTTTGTCCATTTTTCTGATGGGATCCCTTGAAAATGCGGTTTTCCCCTATAGGGTCCACAGTGATGGCTATATCTTCCCCATTTCTCATCCGATTCTCAAGCGGAGTACCTTAAACGATTTCTGGATCGATTCTCCACCATTCTGCATCAAAATCATGAGACGAAATATTTTTTAGATTTTTTGTCCATTTTTCTGATGGGGTCCCTTGAAAATGCGGTTTTCCCCTATAGAGCCCACAGTGACGGCTGTATCTTCCGCAATTCTTATCCGATTCTCAAGCGGAGTATCTTAAACGATTTCTGGATCGATTTGCCACCATTCTGCATCAAAATCCTGAGACAAAATATTTTTTCAATTTTTTGTCCATTTTTCTGAAGGGATCCCTTGAAAATGCGGTTTTCCCCTATAGGGTCCAGACTGATGGCTATATCTTCCCCAATTCTTATCCGATTCTCAAGCGGAGTACCTTAAACGATTTCTGGATCGATTTGCCACCATTCTGCATCAAAATCCTGAGACAAAATATTTTTTCAATTTTTTGTCCATTTTTCTGAAGGGATCCCTTGAAAATGCGGTTTTCCCCTATAGGGTCCAGACTGATGGCTATATCTTCCCCAATTCTTATCCGATTCTCAAGCGGAGTACCTTAAACGATTTCTGGATCGATTTGCCACCATTCTGCATCAAAATCCTGAGACAAAATATTTTTTCAATTTTTTGTCCATTTTTCTGAAGGGATCCCTTGAAAATGCGGTTTTCCCCTATAGGGTCCAGACTGATGGCTATATCTTCCCCAATTCTTATCCGATTCTCAAGCGGAGTACCTTAAACGATTTCTGGATCGATTTGCCACCATTCTGCATCAAAATCCTGAGACAAAATATTTTTTCAATTTTTTGTCCATTTTTCTGATGGGATCCCTTGAAAATTCAGTTTTCCCCTATAGGGTCCACAGCGATGGCTATATCTTCACCAATTCTCATCCGATTCTCAAGCGGAGTACCTTAAACGATTTCTAGACCGATTTCGCACCATTCTGCATTAAAATCCTGAGACAAAATATTTTTTCAATTTTTTGTCCATATTTCTGATGGGATCCCTTGAAAATCAGGTTTTCCCTTATAAGGTCAACAGTGATGGCTATATCTTCACCAATTCTCATCCGATTCTCAAGAGGAGTACCTTAAACGATTTCTAGACCGATTTCCCACCATTCTGCATCAAAATCCTGAGACAAAATATTTTTCCAATTTTTTGTCCATTTTTCTGATGGGATCCCTTGAAAATGCGGTTTTCCTCTATAGGGTCCACAATGATGGCTATATCTTCCCCAATTCTTATGCGATTCTCAAGCGGAGTACCTTAAACGATTTTTGGATCGATTTGCCACCATTCTGCATCAAAATCCTGAGACAAAATATTTTGTAGATTTTTTGTCCATTTTTCTGATGGGATCCCTTGAAAATGCGGTTTTCCCCTATATGGCCCACAGTGATGGCTATTTCTTCCCTAATTCTCATCCGATTCTCAAGCGGAGTACCTTAAACGGTTTCTATATCGACTGAGAGACTAGATCGCGTAGAAACAGACAGACGGACATGCTTATATCAACTCAGGAGCTGATCCTGATCGAGAAACAAAACTCGTACCTAAACTCCCCACTTGCACTGCCCTCGGTTTACCCCAGAACCCTTAAAACTTACCGGCTCGAACATGAACATCCCGGGAAATAATTGATCCAAACTGGTTGCGGGCCAGACAGGCGTAGACCTGGGCATGAACCTCCTGACGGTAGTCCTCGGCACGGAAAGGTGGGAACACCAGTTTGCCGTCTGAGGAGATCTGACGTAGACCGGGAACATCACCCACGGCTGTACCATCACTACGGATCCAGATAATCTCGGGCATGGGGTTTCCGCTGGCCTTGCACTCAATCTCGGCGCCGGTGGAGTTGGAAAAGTCGATACGGTTGGTGGGCTCCTTGAGGAAAACTGGTCCTTTCTGGTCGGCATCGGGGGGGCTAGCAGCCAGACTCTGACTGCCGCAAACTGTAATTATCGAAAGAGAGACACAAATTAGTTTATTTTATTGAAACTAGCAGGAGATGGCTTCTAATTGGCACCCAACACAATCAACAAATAGGTGGCTATGCTCTGTGGACAGAACATCCGCTGCGGAAGTGCACTGGTATATGGTTTGCTTTTCAAATGCATGTCTCCACGATCCATGTCACCACTCCAAACTATTGTTTGAGCCCCGGTTGTTTGACAATTGAGTGCCATGGATCAGTGACTTCCCGGTGCTGGACTCCCAACAAAAGCAGTATTCATTTCTGTGTTTTACTTTTTTTTTTTTTTTTTTGCCTTCCAGCCTAACCAGTCGGCGTGGACTGTGCCACTTCCACCCACTGCCATCGACAGACACAAAAAAAAAGCAAGCAGCAAAAATCGTTCATTGACACTCGACGAACTCCCATTTAGCCCCTAGACTACCAGAAACTATTTGTTTGTCACTGTCACATTGACAAGCGCTTTCATATTCAATTTTATTCATTCCTCATGGAATACCTCATGGCCAACACTTGCAGAAGGTGTTGACGACAAGTTCGTCCCCCGCAATTTTGCTGCAATTGGTGGGGAGTCCAACAATTTGTCTATTCAAAAGGTAAAGCATGCTTTTCCTACTGCAACGACTTCCGATTGAAATAAATATTTTAAAAGTAATTGTAAGATATTCATCACAAAGCAAAGTTTACCGGAAGTAGCGTCATGGGAAATAAAGCAGGAAGATAGTTGCAATTTCAATTAATTTATTTCTCTACTTTATTTAATGATTTTTAAAGTTTGAACGCCAATTTACTTGTTCGAAAAATATTTATCATTTTAAGAGGAAATACAAACTATTTTCTTTATTTTTGCAATTTTGTTTTCGCAATTTAATGTTTGAATTATGGAGGTTCGACTGTATATTACCCAACATGTGTTGGCCATCAGGAAAGCAAAGAAAAAAGTTAACAAGAAATGCGGGATGGAAAAAAAGAAACAAGATTTATGAATTATATTTTGCAGCTGTTGTTAAGAATTCCTGATGAAATGAAGAAAATGGTTTGAAGAGATATAAAATAAAGTCAGAAACTCACGGAGAAGGTCATTTAATTTCCGGTCTTGTCTTAAAAATGTACATATGTTTGGAGCTATTCTACAAATATGTAATACTAAAATGACCCTTAGTTTAACTTAAAAAATAGTTAAGATACTTCAATACCCTTTTTCTTACTTTCCTCCTAAATTCCCGATTTTAGAGCACACCTGCTTTTTTTTTAGCAAAGCCAATCATCTGCAGCTTCCCAACCGTAATAGCAGCAGGTGTTTTTGTTTACTTTTTTTTCTTTTTCCAAAACCTAAAGCTTTCAGTTCGCAAAAAAAAAATAAAATAAAATAAAAACTCAGAGGGAAACCGGTTAAGAAGCCGGCTTTTGAATCAAACAAAGCAAAGCAACAGCGAAGCAAAGCAAAAGCCAGGCAGAACATTAAAAGTTAGCTTACTGAAGCACTTAAAAAACATTGCTCACAGAATATGATTTTTTTTCGCACTACAATTTTCCACTTAAACAGACAATTGGCAAGACGTTGATAATTTTGTTGACGATGATGCAGTTTTTCATCTGAGGTCAAATCTGCTGCTTGAAAGTAAATAAATACTCTGCTATTTTTTGAATAATAAAAGTTGACAAACAAGCTAATGAAAAGTATGGATAAACTCTAAAAGGAATATGACTCACAACATATTAAAAACAGACTAAAAGCTGGTCAAAACACGCGATTGTAGAGGTGTTGAGTTACGACACCCAAGTCATAAACAAATATTGAATTTCAATTATATGTCTCTGAATTCAACACTTCCAGACTACCATAATTAAAGTTCAATAGGAGAACATAGCATTGTAGAGTTTCTTCCGGTCAACTAATTAACCCATTTCATTGAAACATATAATAAAAACCCTTAACACCTTTTGAATAGTCGGGAAATTGGAAACTAATAACTTCCGTCTAAACAAAAACAAAGGCCACCAAACTTCAATAAGCACACACACGCATGGCCACGCCCACCCAAAAAACTCTGCCTACCAAAATTAGTCCATATCACGCACTTTCCTCATTGAGACGTGAACCCTCAACTTCAGAATAAAATAAATCCCAACAATTTGGATTGGCATCGGATCGGTGAAATAAAAACCATCTGCTCGAGAGAGTTAAGAAACCAGTTCGCCAGCTGTTCGAGAGCAAAGGGTAGGGGTTCGGCGACAAACAGGTATCTCAATGCCAATTGTACCCACTCATTCATGCGAATCGTGCGGCATTTACCCACATAAGTATACGAGCAGCACTCATCACGCTTACAATGCAATTAAGGTCCACCCAAACTAATTATTTGGATTTAAAAATAAAATAAGAATCAAACTTGTACTGAAATATCTTTTCATCGAAAGATTCTCCCGAAGATACTATTTTAAATAGTTTTCATTCATCACTTTACGTTTCAGCTAGCTAGGCTTATATATCCAGTCATAGACGTGGAATTCTGTTAACACTATGGGGTTGTTTATTTATTTAATCGTGTTCAGAAAAATTCCTAAACAGACTCAATTTCACGGACTGTGCTTATCTATTAAAAGCTCAAAGTAAAATATTACTAGATACTTGATTATTTTACAGCCTTACGATAACTTAACTATAAATCCCTCACAAACCTCGCAAACTGTTAATTTTTTTATTAAAGTTGATTTAAGTTATATTTATTTGTGAAGTCTAAAGATATATTCTAAGACAATGAGGGTTTACTTTTTCAGATTTATAATTTATAAACAGTGTTTTCTTTAGAAATTGTAGAAGATTTGAGTTAGGTTCTAAGATAGTTGATATTGTCGGCCGATCCCTAGATGACTAAAATAGTAAGTAACAACCTTAGAACTTAAATAAATTATAATACCCTCTGCAAGGTTATATCGTGTTAATGGGTTAAATGAAACCCAGCCAGTAATTATATATTTTAAACATGTTGAAAAGCATTTTTTCTAAATAATTACTTTTCCCACTGCGCTCACACGAGTACACTTCGATTAAGTAATGCGTGACACAGATAATTGCAGACGTAATGCCCACGCAGTTCTAGCACAGACACCGTGTTGTCGCCGTCTGCAAGTCATCCGTGGAACGGCCGAAACCGCAAGCTAACCTGTCCAGCACACTGTGGGCGCAAGATGTCAGAGAGTCGTTGTGCCGACACGCCGCTCTCGACAGTAGCTGACAACAACACCACCAAAGCCAGGTAACCGCAACCAGGTGTGAGGGAGGGGTGTGGTAGTGCAGAGAGACACGTAAGAGCCACCGTTAGGAAGACAGGAGTGACAATTAGGGCGAAATGGAGCAGACCACGTGGAAGCAGGGAGATTTTTTAGTAGATGTGACAGGGGTATCCTCAACGATGTTGCACAGTGGTTTGGGTCGTGATATAAGTGATTGATTCAAAGTCTCTTTATATATCTAAAATATTATATAGATATGAGGGTCTTCGTTATAGTAAATCATTAATATTATTTTATTTTCCCTTTTTTTGTGGTTTCAACCACTGTTCTTTTAGACAGAAAAGCATCTGGGAATAAGCCTGACAAAGAGAGACATGCAGAAATAAAAGAACTTGGGGGGTGGATGTGGTCTCTAATTGAAAGCATACCATCATATCCCAGAAGAAAAGAGAGGACGTCTACAAAAAATAAAATAAAAGAGAGCCCACACGTGCAACATCTTCAAGTTAAGATGTGTGGGAATGTATCTTGAAGATACAGTATGGTCCTACCCTAAACATATTAAATATTGTGCATTTATTAAGTGTTTCGTAAGGTGTTTCTTATTTAAAATTCTATATAAAAGGGGTTGGTTGGGAGTTTCAGGAGTGGATGAGTCGCTTAAGACCTCAAAAATAGGGTGACCACTGTAGTCCCCCGCATTAGTAGCATATAGATTGTGTTTATATACTCGTATAACGAAAGCGATGCCGATGCCGAGGACGACCAGACCAAGAGACGTGTTTTGCATATTAAATAAACTTCATGTCGTCAGCGTCTCGCGCGCATTAATTAAGACCGCGTGCAAGACCCTAAGAGAGTTTTTAACAAAATTCATACGAATGTATCCACAATGGAACCTTAAATTATTTCTGTGGCCGTATGCAGATTATGGAGATGTGAATGATACAAATGGATTGAGGAGTTGGCAGTCCAAAAACACACAAAAACGTGACTCAGTCAGGAGAACACGCTGCGGGTAGGAGGGTCCAATCAAAAATGCCTGGACGTACGGAGTGTATACATCCATAGATGATTTCTGGCAGATAAGTGTTTCTTCGTCTGGAACTGGGATCGGTCTTATTTACGGGAGGGGGAATGCGTATAAGGTGCGGCTATAAACATATTTTACAAATTATTATGGTGCCTGGATTCCATTCCATTTAGGGGGCGCCAAAATTGGGGTAATCCCCTGCCCCTTGATCTTCTCACTTCACACATGAAGCTAATTTCCGAGATACGTATCACAGTTGTGTATCTTTCCAGATAAAAGCTTCTTTAATTTAACGCTACATTATTTACAGTTCTTTATGAAGAGTGGCTAAAATGTGTTTTATTAAAAATAGTTTTTGAAATAAAAATTTATTTTTGGGTGTAAAGCTTTTCTATAATGTATGACTTGTTTAAAATATTATATAAAACCCCGATTTGTAACCCAGCATCCACGGAGGCACACATTAAATCAAATCATTTTTGCCATACAGGGCAACCTTTGCCCCTACAAGGCCCTTGCGCCCACCCACCCTTCAACCCCCTTTTAGCCGTCAGCTTAGGCAAAGGGAGAGCAACGTCCCAGAGCCAGGAACTCGAGGGGTGAAATGCGGCAACTGCGCATCGGTCCAAATCAGCTTGCCACCAGGCGGGGCAGGGAGACATAAATAAGTATAATAATTTTTTTTCAGAGGCAGGGATAATGTTTGGCAGAGAGGAGATGCGTGCCGACAACGTGCTCTTAGTTATTACAGCTGTTCGCGGTGAAAGGAGGAGGCCAGGGAGCCGGATGACACTCTCTCTTCTTCAAATGGGCCGTAACCTCAACGTCTGATGTTGTTAACAAAACGTATCTCATTTTCCGCCAGTTGTCCTCTCTCCCTCGCGTTAAGGGTGAAAATAACTCCCCCTCCAGAACGGTGAAACTGAGAGAAGATATGGGTGTTTACGATTGAAAAATTAAGGACCAAAGTGTTATACCAATTTTGAAAACTTAAAATGTAGCTAAGACTAAATGAAATGAAATCCTGGCAATAACTTATTCATATCCTTGGAGTTCACAAAAAACGTTGCCTACTTTTATGTCAGATCTTTGGGAATCAAAGAGTACCGGGTATAAACATTAAACTCCCTACCCTTAAAGCTCTTAAAACATTTTTTAGTAAAAAATACATTAAGAATGCTCCAATAAACAAGTTAGTTAATCCCAAGTCAAGTCCCCCGAGACATTTTCTGATGTTTTCCCCCCCAAAAACTTTAAATGCTACATTTACTCCGCACCCACTTAAGTTTTGAAAATCTGGAAATTCTTTCCGACTGAGACCATAAATTGCTTGCCTTGCTAGAGCTTATAAAATATCTTGATCCAACATAATACTTTCCCTTTATATATATTTTGAAATACTACATAGAATGCTTTTGGAAGTTCTGGGGAGCACTTAAACGACTCGAATATATGACAAATGCTTTTTAATGGCCCCGACAAAGGCTTCCATTCACTGAGCCGTGGAGCTATTCATGTGGATTTGTAGGGAATTTCGAAAAGCTGGAGTAAGATTCTTTTGAATTGCGATTAGGCTAGCTGCGTTGCCAATTTTCACCATCATTATAATGCAATTATTTACGAAATTATCGAAAACTTGCTCTGCGCCTGTAATTTCGCGAGTCTCGGAGTTGACAAACCGCTTTGAACTTTTGGAAAATGAGGCAAAAAAGCGTCAGCAATGGCTCATAAAACACAAAGCTACGACTGCATGATGACGTCAGACGCCTTTCTATAAGTGGAGTCACATTCCTGCGGCTGCTGCAACGGAACTAATAATAAGTCAAGCGAATAACCATTATGTTGGGGGCAAAATTCTATTGAAGCGTCTGCAGTTGCTCGTTTTCTGGCATGAGAACATATTGAACTTGTACACTAGAAGAAATATATCCCAGTTCTTGCCAGCTATCTGAAATATATCTTTATAAATCAAATAATTGGTATTCCCCAAGTGTAAAATACTTGATAGGATGTAGACCCTCCACCCAGCACTCCCCTTTGCGTGTTGTTAAAACAATCGCCGCGTGTGATGTGCCTCAATCGTCAAGGTATCATAACACGGTCTTTGAAGAGGGCCCAGAAAGTGTCAGGAGGGGCACATCAATCATTTGTAATTACGGCCAGAGGCCTGTGCCATCTCTATTCTCCTATTTCGGATTCTTTCCTCCATTCTTTTCCATTTGGATGTCTAGAGAACGGAAATAGATTCTTTTCCAAAGATTCTGCCTTAGAGTGATCTATGTGCCTTCATATTTGATGGAGGTCATTATTTCTTATAGGTTTTTTAGCAGATAAGTCTCATAGAGATAACCTGTGACCTAGTTGATAAGGGATCTACAAGTTTTTATTTAATCTGTACAAAAAAATTATTCACACAGCAACGGGGGACCACTGTCTGGCCATAATTCCATGTGTTCCATTTGATTCGCAAACACTTAAATTGCCAGCTTCCTGTTTATTTGTTTTTGTGTTACACATTTTTCAGTGTTTTTGTTTTTTATTGGTTTGCTGGAACTTAAAGTTCCATTACACATTACCCGCCTGCCATGTGTGTGAGCTGAATTTCAATTAAATTAAATGAAATTGCGAATTAAACGACTGCGACTGCAGACAGCTTTCCAACTTCCTCGTGAAAACATTAATATTTTTAAATGTATTTACTTAATGGTGTAAGTTTCTAAAATTGTTCCTCTGAGAAGGGTCTTCCTTGGCAGCAGCAACAGAGATATAATATAAATACAAGCAAAAAATTGGTGGAGGAATTTTTTTAATCAATTTCAATTGAATGATGACCCGCACAATCAACGTAAGACGAACCAGAGAGAAAAAATTCAAGACGAAAATTGCTTCAATAAAATGTAATAAGTTGATGTCTTTTAGATCTTTTACATAACCTGTAGTATTTGCACTTAAATAATATTTTTATTGTGGCGATAAGGTGAATTTGTTATTTGCGAATTATTTTTCAGGGATTTTTCAAAGAAACTCATTATATTATAAGCCCCTAATTTGATATTAAAGGTGTGTGTTATCTAGTAAATTTTGCACAATCACCAGCACTATATTAGCTTTCCATAAGCCTTGAAGTAATTTTATAAACATGAAAATAATGTCAATCATTTTTAAATTGGAATATAATCGAAAAGTAAATATATCCAACGAGGATATATCCACGAGGAAAATGGACTTATATGGATATGATCAAAGTTTATTCATTGCTGGGCCTAGGCTGACTAATTCAGTATCTGACCCACTGCAATTCAGCCCATCTACACCTCCACATCCCCAGCTACCGCCCCCGGGCCCTACACTCTATTTCCCGGACGGCTGAGGCAATGAACCGCAAGTTTATCTGCCCCTGCACACCAAAAGATACAAATGTATATTGTACATGCGAGAGCTCGTACAGATACAAAGTCGGGTAAATACACAGCTACAGAATGTAAAAACAAAAAGGCCATGTAAACGAAAAGTAAACGCAATTAAAAATGCATAGAAATGTTTGGAAAACGCATTGCAACAGTCAGGTCCACGGGGAAAATGGGTAAAAGTCAGTAAAAGTCTCGAGGAATGTGTCAACAAAGATAAGAATCTAAAATCTAGAATGAAACTGAATCTGACAAATAAGTAAGTCAGACCCACATATCTCCAAAGCCCTTTAACGTTTCACCAGAAATCACGAAAGCATCTGTAATTTCCGGATATCATGGATTTTTCAACAGCTCGGAATTCTTAGATGATTTCCTCAAACAAATAAAAGCTAAAACGAAAAAGTAAAGTGTTATTACTCACCAATAAGGCCAACAGCTGCGTACAGCATTAGCCATTTGAGGCGTTCCATGATTATATTCATATTATAGGCCATACACTGGATTGTGTATAAGTTCCTCTTGAGGGTAGGTCTGCTTATCGAGTTTATGCAAAAAATACACGAAGAGACCCTTTGTTTCAGATGGGACACACGCGATAACTGAAAAGAAGAGAATTTTAGTTTTATTTTGAAATACATTAGTCTATATATTTGTTAACTAGTCATACTACTTTATAACCGATTTCCCAGACAATTGTTTACCCACAAAGCCATAGAAAAGTTCCTCTGAAACACAATATAAAAAGAATATGAGCCCTACGCAATAAAGAAAAACTGACTTCTGGAAGGAGGCGACTGTGGATAGATGTCATTAATTAAACCACAAATGGATAATGGGATGGGGGACTCGACAGCTTTGACAACTTCGTTCTGTGCCTTCTGCTGTCCATAAAATGACTCCCTCCGGCGCCCACCCCCACCGACACCCCACTTTGGTGGAAAAAAAGACACTTTATGACAGGCAGGAAGTCACGATTCCACATTTCTGTCTGTATTGCCGTAATCCCCTCGATGTCGGGTCCCTGAACCCCCCCAACTTCGATGCCTGGCCAGCGTCTTATTTTAATCCATGAGATAGCCTCTGATTGTTCAATACACATGTGTGAGCTTTTCGAAATAGACTCAAAATGGCTTGGCTTTTTAACGCTTAATTAACTACAAAGTTGATTCCATCATTCGCGCATGCCACAAATTGTTGTAGAAGAATGAATTTAATTTTCATTTCTTATTTTGCATTCAATTGAGGTCTGATCTAGCTGTTAGATATCCCCAGTCCTATCTACGACTTTTTATTTACTTTGAGGGTTGCGCACGCGTTGTAGCTTTGTGTAAAAAAAATAGACATATTTTGAAAAAGTTTTCCCTCATATGGTGGGTTGGTGGTTGGTGGAGGGTAGGCTCTGCAAATGTTAGCTTTTCAATTGGTTTAATGATCTAGCTGTCATGCCCAGCCAGGGTTAACTGACTTCATGTTGGCTCGACAGCTGTGCTGTCCTGGACTCTGGGGTGGCCAGCACGCTCACAGGGGGTGTGAACGAAACTTTAAGGTGTGTTTCTATTCAAATTCAAATATAATACCTCAGATAATACGTAAAATAATATTTGAGAATATACATAAAGGAAGAATGAATCATATTTTCCAGATTTTTAAAGCAAATTCTTGAAAATTCAAAAGAAACAATTTAGAAAACATCTGGTAATCAGTCAACAGCTACGTAAAGAATCCATGTACGGATACGCTTATGTATCTGAAGATACAATACATACAATTTACAATATACAATATAAAACAACTCGACCCCTCCCTCAGGGCAGACCCACACGATCAATCGCGTGGTAAAATCAACGAATCAAAAACATTATTACTCATTCTTGCATTTTTGTATTCTTTTTAGTCTGTCTGGCTGGCTGGTTGAATGTTTAACTAAAATTGGGGTGACGAGCCAATAAATTCAGCGCAAGGGTGGGTCCACATGGGGACAGAGTGCAGTGGCCCAGTGCAGGGCCGAGGGACAGGACCATTGTCCAGATCCCAGCGCGATGCGGTGACCCATTCGCGCCAGAAAGTTTCCGCACTGCGTCCCTAATTGAGATTCAAGTGCACTCGATGGCAGCAAAAACAAAAGGCCAATATTTATTTGGTCTCCCAGTCTTTGTCAGCCTTTGTTCACTTTAACCTTTCCTGCTGTGTCATCCTGGTGCCCGAGTGGAAATCAATATTTGTCAGCAGGACAGGCGGCAAACAGAGGTTCATCAAACCACTAAGAGCGGAAGCCCAACAAAAGAGACTCTTCATAGTAAAGGATATGAAAATATATTTAAAATATTTCTTCTAAAACTAAAGTCACCAGTTTATTCCTATGAATAGTGAGTCATACGGAAGATTGGCAGACAGCCCACCACGAGGCAGTGCACCGCCTAGCAACAGGATGACGAGCCGACGAAAAACCAGATGGAAACGTTGGAAAATACCGAGGAAATCGCAGTCGGGCGGAGGACAAAGTCCTAGGGTAAAGGGAGCGCAACACTTGTGAAATCAAATAAAGGAAACTTTAGGCAGCTGCATGGGATTTCAGGGATTTCTACAGATGCCTTTCGCCTGCCAGGGGTTGAATTAGTGCACACACACACAGACTCAAGGATACTCAGTGGTGGCATAAAGGCTCAGTTCAGCTCAGCGTATGTGTGCCACATGGAAACTGCGAGCAATTTTAAAAGATGCTTGAAAACCAAGTGCCCTGAGTAGGGAAAACTACCTGACGGACACAAAGGATCAGGACCGTAGAGAAGGACCAAGGACCGGGCGGCAGGCAGCAGGTTGCACACATGAACACACACACACTAACACGAACGGGAAACAGAGTTGCTTTTGGGCGGAAGAGAGAGCGCATGCGCCGAAAAAAAATTCGCTGAAAAATTCACGGACCAAAATGATTTCCTTCAAAGGCGAATTTATAAATGAAAAGTACAGAGAAACCTCTAGAATTGTACCCAAGAGACCTCTATAAAGGGCGATTTCCAATATTAAAGACTTTTCAGGACGTATCTCTAGTAGTTTTGCAATTTTCACACCTTTTTGCACATGTGTATGTGTCTGTATGGGAGCAGTGCAGAAAGCAACCATTTTTGCATTCCCTGAATCGGAAAAACATCGGCTCTGGCGGAAAATCAATAAAAAGACAGGCTAAATTAATCAAATCGACATTAAAATTGCCTAAAAACCACACATCATATTCGGTTTTTTGGCTAAAATGTCGCAGACAACCGTTACTCGGCGGTGGGCGTGGGCAGGACTCACATATACACACGCAACCCATACATACACGCCACTCACAAAGAAGTCGCCAGACAACGATGGCGAAAATTTCTTCAGGAATTTGTCGATTTTCTTACCGTTTTCGCCTTTTTAGCCGGCCAAATTCGATGATTTCGTTAATTAATTTTTGTCAATTCACACACTCACACACATACACTGTGGCAGTGGTGGGCTATTTGCAGCAGGGTGCCACTAATCCACGGGGGTGGCGACTCCGCACAAAATCAACCGCACACACAGGCACAAGCTCACACAGATACTCTGCTATTCGATTCGATCGCTTTTATTGCTGTTGCATACTATTATTTACTTTTATTTCACAGCATTCACGCACTCAGAACGCGCGCCGCTAGCACGAACCACCACTGGATCCAATGGAACCGGTTGGCGGGGGTGTGGGTGGCTTACCGTACCGCTGCCGAATCCGTATCCGTATCCCAAAACAACGCACACTCTCACACGTATCGCGCGAATCGCCGACAGACGTTAACTCTGCTTCTGGTTTTCTCGACGGTCCAAACAAGACTGCCAGATACAACCACCCCGACGTATCTGTATCCGTATCTCTCGGTTTTTGAGAGCGGAGGGGTATTTGTTTGGGAAATTCGATGGGACTTTTAGCACCTGTTACTCACTGTAGGGAGTTTGTTTTGATTTTGAGTTGAAATAAGAGCAATCAGTAGCTTGAAGATACTATTTTTTGGAGTCTTTTTAAAGATATGTTGTAATCGAAGTGATTTAAATAAGTTAGAGTTAGATAAGTTAGATGTTATTAGAGTTTAAGTACTATCTTTTACTGGTTCTCTTGATGGTTTTTAGTCACCTCTGGTCAGGTCAAGTTCAGGTTGAATCTTCAAGTCTTTCCTTTTTTTAGCTCATGTCTATCCAAAACCGGTTCATATATATATCTTAGAGACAGAATTTTATCTTATTCATTATTATTAATATTAAATTTTAAATATGTTTTCACACCCTTCCCTTCCCAAATCCACAAACGAAACATTTTCTTTTAAATTATCAATCCAGGAGACTGGCAAGGAAATGAATAGCATTCCTGCATCGCATTTTACTTTTCCACAGTAAAAAATGATGGTAGTCGGGGCTTAAATCCGGGGAATCTGTTTTGGGAAATTAATTGCCCACTGGGAACATTACTGCGAAGTGTTGCTGAAATATTGTTGCCAATGTGGTACCTATGTTGCTGAAACATTATAGCCCTAGTAGTTCCACAGATTTTTCAATATTTCACCCAAATTAGTCACAAAAACACACTCTTTGGATTATCGACATAAATATATTTATTTTCTTATCCAACAATATCCACACAAATGATTTGCCGAGCGTTTATTGTGGAAAATCTGCCAAGAACGATTGGTATGTAATTTGAAATGCAGATTTTCAACGAGTACGTTTAATAAGTACATTAATCTCAATTTAAAAATGCATATTCACATATATATATATAATATTCGGAGTATTCGGCCAACAAAACATATTAAAAACACAACCAAATAATAAAACTTACTTTGTAAATAAAATGGAACTTGAGTATGTCGTCATAGTACGAGTATTTGTTATCTTTTAATATTAAATGTTAAATGCATTAGGAAGAATTGCTTATAAAGAATACGAGTATTTGGAGTTGTAACAAAAGTCATGTCAAATACGAGGGAAGACACAAGTGTTTACAATTAACCTAAACCTTAAAATCAATAATAATAAACGTAACTTAACACTGATTCTTATTTACATAAAAAAAATACCATGAGAGATTCGAATTCGAAGCTTTTTAAAGCCTTTGAGCGACATGTTTGTGGGTTTCTCAATGAGTGTGTGGTCTTGTGAGTATCTTAAGTATCGGGTCAAGTCTTTACAGTTGAATCTTTTGAGGATAGTTAGTTTCATATGCTATTTGTATACGTAAATTAAAATAAATGCATACCAACTAAAGAAACAGAAAACCATAAGTCTGTAACATGACTGTGGATGAAAGTTCTTCAGTACTTGGACCCAGGTTGTGTCCTGGGAGTGCTTTTTGTACACAAATAAATCTGGATATTCTGAAAACCTGACAGTTGCTTCTTAAAAATATAAATTCTGACAAAAAATTCGCGCAAATTGTTGTAGTAGGGACTTGGTTCCGGTCGCTACTTGAGGAAAGTTTTAAATTCGAATTCAATTACGGCGGCTGGCGTCCTGGATGATAATCTTGTTCTTCTGACGCGTCACTTTTGTAGCTGTGGGCGGTGGCATAAGTTGCTTGAGCTGCTCCGGCTTGAAGCTAATCAGGGCCTTGTCCTTCACCTTTCCAATCGCTCCAGTGGTTGTAGTTGTGGTCGTGGTGGTGGCCGTGGCTGTGGTGCTAGACTCGATCAGAGCAGTAGACTCTTCCGCAGTGGAGCCCGAAGAGCCCGCAGCCGCTGCCGCAGCGTATCTGGTGAGCACCTGGAACTTGGCAAAGATATTGCGACCGCTGCGCTGCTCTTTGTCCTTGTACTTGTCCAGAGCCGCTCCGGTGGGCATCGGCTTGGAAGCTTTCACCATAGCCTTGCCGTGGTTTCCGCTATTTGCCTTGTAGAAGTCCATCTCGTAGTTGCTAGCCGCTGCGGTGGTTGAAGTTGTTTTGGGGACCAGGGCCCTTTCTCCATAGCTAGCCGAACTGGCGGACGTCTCCTCGGCCATGTGTCGCAGCATTAGAGTGAGCTTCATTTCGTGTTGGCGCTGCAACAGGACGGCATTCCTCTCGCCCTCGAGGCGAGCCTGACGCACCGCATTGGACAGCACCCGCTCCTTCCACTCCCAGGCATCGCGCTCCCGTTCCAGCTGTATCAGTTGCAGCTCCAGCTTACGGGAGGAGTCGCGCAGATCGATCACTTTGGTGAAGTACTTGTACAACAGGGTGCGCATCTCATCTTCCGAAAGACGATTTAGACGCTCCATGAGCATCTGTTCACCTTTTTCGCGTTGCAGGCGCTCGCTGGTATCGATGGAGCGGTGGCCACAGATAAGTTCGTTTTTGAACTCGATGGCCGCGTCGATTGCCTCGATGGCCTCGTCGCACTCCAACAGCTTGCGCTCCTCCTTTTGGGTCAACACCTTTTCTCGCTTAAGCTTTCGGTCTAAATGACAACGCTCCTCCAGAAGCAGGTCTCTAGTGCAGCGCAGGTTGCGGATTTCGTGCCGCAGACTCTCCTGCTGTTCCGGTCCCGGTTGCCCTTCCAAGTTGTCCGACTTCTCGCGCAGAATATGATTGAGATGCGTAATCCTCGCCTGAACAGCCTTCAATTGCCGGCCCTGTTGTTCGGGGCCATCTAGAGCCGGTTTTACCAGCTCCTTGCACGGCTCCTTACCCTTGTCCTGCAGCTGCTGCAGTTTCGTCAACTCCGCCTCCAGTTGATCGCGCAGTTTTCCCTCCTTTCGCAGCTTCTTCTCCAGGTCTTCGGCCTGCTTTCGGGATTCGGCCAAAGACTGCTGCAGCTTCTTCACCTTTTGGCCGCTTTCGCCGGCAATGTGCTTGATGGAACTCAGGTCTTCCAAGCGCCGCTCAAGGTGTGCGATAGCCGAGGTCCATCGCTCGATTTCTGCCTGGTCGCGGCCCTGCACCAGTGCCTTGCCCAGGTGTTTCTTGGCCTTCTCGCATTCGGCTTCCAGCTTGCCTCGTTTCTTGTTGAAGCGCTGCTTGGCGTGGCTGCGCGTGTCGCTGTTCTTCACCAGTTCGCCAATAATGTTCTGCTTCACCTTCATAGTTTTCTGGATCTCGTGCAACTGCTTTTCGCGCCCCTCGATCTCAGCTCCTAGTTTGCGCAACTTCTTCTGCAGTTGTTCCACAGGCGAGTTTGCGACGGCCAATGCTGCTTTACGCAGCCCCTCGCCCGACGAACTCTCCAGAGGATCGACAAACGGCTCGCCTTCACTGGGTGGGTTTGGTTGTTGGGCAGCCACGCGACTTAGCATAGCTAGTTCCGATGTGCTCAAGCTGGCACCTGGTTGAATACTTCTCCTGCGACCTATTCAAATGTAGAGCGTGAGTATCAAGAGATTCAATATTTTGTTTAAAAAATCATACCACCTATGCTGGTCTTCCTGTCCTCGCTTTGCTCAGCCTGCAGTTTTGGCTCGGTGTCTTGGTCATGACTCTGCATCACCGCCTGGGGGTGCTTGGCCAGATATTCGGTGTACTTTTCCAAAATCAGGGCATCTGTCTTGGCTCGGAATTCCTCTTTGAGACCTTCCAGCTTGTCTGCAAAATCGGGACGCTGCGACTCGTTATCCGTGTCGTTCTCATTATCCGAATTAGCCGCCTCCGAATTGGCTGCTTCTGAATTGACTGCATCCGAATTGGCTGCCTCCGAGTTGGCTGGCTCGGTGTTGCCATGCTCTAAAATGTCCATTTCTTCCGGCTCCTCAGCCTCCTGTATGGGCACCAATGGCTGCTGGTGGCGCATGGCCTCCGTGGAGCTAAGGCATTCCTCGCACTCCTGTTTCAGGAACATCCACTCCGCAATTTGTTCCTTTTCCACTTCGCTAATCAGCTTTGAATCTATTAATCTGAAAATAGGCTTCGGGATAAGCTCTCAGGATGAACTAAATAAATACTTACTTTGCGAACAGCCCCTCTGCATTGGAAACCAGCTTGCACCACTGACTGGCCGCGAATTGCAGTCCAAAATTATCACCTGGTGCAGCCTGAGCTAGTGGTCCTGCCCCAGGATGGTGTAGGGATTGCAGTTGCGGATCTGGCGGCCTCACGATCATAGTGTTGTCATCAGAAAACGTATTCATTATCACGACGTTGCGTACACACTGCACCTTAAAGGCGAACTGCAGGTTGCCCATTGTTTCCGACAAGTGCTCCTCCAGTGGCGATACGCACAGCAGCACCAACGTCTGAGCTCTACCTCCAAACGAGTCCTTCAGCAAGCTTGTAAGAGTGGTCTCGCCATAGGGAATGTTTCCGTTTACAGCATACATTCGATCTGGATCAGTGAGGGTGTACACAACCTGCTCCAGCATGTGCAAGCCGTCGTCCCGGGGTCGACCAGGTGGCGGTTCGCCACAGCGCTCCGTGCCGCACAGGTCCGAAAAGCTAGCCGTGGATAGCCGATGCTGGAGCAGTCCTTCCTTGGACACCCACTGCTGCTCCAGTGTCACGGTGAACAGCGTGTGCGCAGGCGCAGAGTGGCGTGCAACGAATCCCACCTGCAGCAGGCGGAACACCGCGTCCACATTGGTGCAGTGTACATTGCCAATGCCCAAAAGGTCGCACACATCCCCCTCGCAAATCTCAACAAATCCAACGTTGACGGCGTATGTGCGTTCTGAAAAGGAAACATGCATGAGACTTTGATGGCAAAGAGAATTAAATCCGAGCTTACCTGGGTGTGAAGATATGTGGGCAAATATATCTCTCACGCATAATTGAACCACTCCCTCCACGGCGTCATTCTGGGAGTCATCGTAAACCGTCCCATACAGAGTGTAGGTCTTGCCCTGACCCCGCTGTCCATAGGTGACGACAGAGGCGTCAAAACCCTCCAGGAACAAGCTTATTAGTGGTTGGACGGTCTGGTGATACACCTGCCGCTGACTGCAGTTGCTATCCAAGGCGTGGGTTACGGGCACCGAGTGAGGGCCCACCTGGATGAGCCCGGCCGCTATGTTATCTATTGGATCTCCTCCCGGCACAGCACTGGGCAACCCCAAAGAGGAGCTAATAGGAATTGCCTGAACGCAGTAATGGGCCTCATTGGACTCGCTCATGCCACCTTCATTCCCATTGGCATCCGCCTTGGTCTGGGGTTTGGGAGGAACATCTTCCCCAGAATTTCCGTTCTCATCTGGCACTTCCTGGGGCTTTTCGTCGGCGGGCGCTTCCTCGGGGGACTTGTCTTCGGGCCTCTCGCTATTGTCCTTGGACCCCTCCTCATCCCTGACTGGCACCTCCTTGTCGCTTTCGAGATTGTCAGTCTTCTTTCGTTCCTTTGGCTCACTGTACGGGAAAATACGCACAGCCACCTGTATAGGTAACTCCATGGTGTCGGTTTTTCTCCTGATTAAAAAGAACACCTTTCATTTGACTCCCCACAGAGCGGTGTGCATTTTTTTGCGCTTCCTTCGAAAATGTTTGGCTAAATCGATATGCGAATTCAAGGCAGAAACAACGCTTCGGACGGCGCTACCAGACAGACAGGTGCCATTGATGTTAATTCAATCCCTAAAGAGGGAAAAAATGTGCCTCAACGTTTGGTATTCCTCAGATGCATCCGGTAAAAACCTCTTACCAATAAATAAATCAATTAAAATTCCTCTAACGATTGTCTATACCTCCAACCATCCGGCAGCTCTGATTTGAGGTGGTATAGAAACATCGATAATCACAGCAATCGGTGTTCTCGATAACTTTCTCTGATTCAGAAGAGCCGGACCCAGGCCACAATAGTCCATCCCTAATCATTTTCACGTTGTTTTTTCAGCGCGTGTTGTCTTTGTGCGAAAACTCTTAATTTGTTGATATAAGTACATTCGTGGACCAACAACATGTCGAAGCGTCGCATCGAAGTGGGTGAGACCTATGGCAGCAAGCTGAAAAAGTGAGTGTCACTATTCTAGCCGTTGGGACGCCAATAATAAGCCTTTCTCTTCCACCAAACAGAGGAAAGGAAGCGTCGGCTCCCTCGTCTTCTTCGGCAGGAGCATCAGCAGCAGCTACGTCTGCGGCCGGGACAGTGGCCCAGATCCTTGGCGGATTTGTGCCCAACAAGCAACCACCGACCATTAACCCGCTGACCAACAAGCCGTACTCAGTGCGGTACCAAAACCTGTACAAGAAGCGCATAACCCTGCCGGTGTTTGAGTATCAGGCAGACTTCATGCGGCTGCTTAGCCAGCACCAGTGCATCGTACTGGTAGGAGAGACGGGGTCCGGTAAGACCACACAGATCCCTCAGTGGTGCGTGGATTTTGCTGTCAGCAAGGGCAGGAAGGGCGTCTCCTGCACCCAGCCCCGTAGGGTGGCAGCCATGTCCGTAGCGCAGCGTGTCTCTGAGGAAATGGACGTCAACCTGGGGGAAGAGGTCGGCTATTCCATTCGATTTGAGGACTGCTCTTCAGCCAAAACCTTGCTGAAGTACATGACCGACGGTATGCTGCTCCGAGAGGCCATGTCCGATCCCATGCTAGAACAGTACCAGGTAATCCTGCTCGACGAGGCTCACGAACGTACTTTGGCCACCGACATCCTGATGGGCGTGCTTAAGGAGGTGATCCGCCAGCGCAATGACCTTAAATTAGTTGTCATGTCCGCCACCCTTGATGCTGGCAAGTTCCAGCAGTACTTTGACAATGCCCCGCTGATGAACGTGCCAGGACGCACGCATCCAGTAGAAATCTTCTACACCCCAGAGCCGGAGAGAGACTATCTGGAAGCTGCCATTCGTACTGTTATCCAGATCCACATGTGCGAGGAAATTGAAGGTACGAATACCTTTGTTCCGAAAAGGCTTTACTTAATAATTTTTCCATTTATAGGCGACATTCTCATGTTTCTTACGGGTCAGGAGGAAATTGAAGAAGCCTGCAAGCGCATTAAACGTGAAATCGACAATCTTGGATCGGAAATTGGAGAACTGAAATGCATTCCCCTTTACTCGACGCTACCACCCAATTTGCAGCAGCGCATCTTCGAGTCGGCCCCGCCTCCCAATGCCAACGGCGCCATCGGGCGTAAGGTGGTGGTGTCCACCAACATTGCTGAAACATCTCTGACCATCGACGGAGTAGTGTTTGTCATAGACCCGGGATTTGCTAAACAGAAGGTTTATAATCCCAGAATCCGTGTGGAGAGTCTTCTGGTCTCTCCCATCTCCAAGGCTTCGGCACAGCAGCGAGCGGGTCGTGCTGGTCGTACGCGTCCGGGAAAGTGCTTCCGTCTCTACACGGAGAATGCTTTTAAAAATGAGATGCAGGACAACACGTATCCCGAAATTCTTCGCTCCAACTTGGGTAAGTCTCATTGAAAGTATTTTATTATATTTGTGGCTTATACTTGACTTATTTTCGGATATTTAGGAACCGTTGTCCTTCAGCTAAAGAAACTGGGTATTGACGATCTGGTGCACTTTGATTTTATGGACCCCCCGGCACCGGAGACCCTCATGCGTGCCCTGGAGTTGCTCAACTACCTGGCTGCCTTAGACGATGACGGAAACCTGACAGATTTGGGTGCTGTAATGTCAGAGTTCCCCCTGGATCCCCAGTTGGCTAAGATGCTGATTGCCAGTTGTCAGCACAACTGTTCCAATGAAATCCTTTCTATTACCGCGATGTTGTCGGGTGAGATGATATAAAAAGCTATGATAAGAGCTTACCTTTAAGGTTAGGAAACAGTTTAGGTTTTAGAGGAAACCAATTGTTCCATCAGTTGCTTCTCTCTAAAAAAATCTTTCAAGAAAACTCGAACCCATTACATTTTTATTTGAAAATTAAATTGAAATTATCAGTTAGCTTAGAGGAATTTAAGTATAAGTTTAAGTGCAAAGGAAAAAGTTTGTTCAATTTATTTGTTCTTTGCATCCAACCCGAAACAAAAGTTGCACATGCGTTGAAGTATTCAGTCACGTAATCATTTATATGGAATGCTTTGTGGCTCCTCTTGCTTTATTAAATGAATGACATGTAATGAATTAAGTAATTCCAAACGCAATTGCAACTCACGAATGCAACCAATCTTTGAATCAAGCTCCTAGATTGCCTAGCTGACAAAGAGTGAGCACAATCTATTTGTTTATATAAGCCCCAATATGAAAATTGTTTTGAACTTGCGCTTAATCGAAAACAAACCAATTTAAACGTGCCAAAATAAAGTGCCACAATGCTTTGTCCGACCCAACGAGGCCAAAAAGGCAGCCGATGAGGCCAAGATGCGCTTTGCCCACATTGATGGTGATCATCTGACCTTGCTGAATGTCTACCATGCTTTCAAGCAGAGTAAGTAACAAGCTATTAGATATTAAAATCGTAACAAACTAAAAGATGTGCAATATTTCAGGCAACGAAGATGCCAATTGGTGCTACGAGAACTTCATTAACTTCCGTTCTCTGAAGAGTGCCGACAATGTCCGCCAGCAACTGGCTAGGATCATGGATCGTTTCAATCTGCGGCGCACCAGCACCGAGTTCACCTCGAAGGACTACTACGTAAACATACGAAAGGCCCTTGTCCAGGGCTTTTTCATGCAGGTGGCTCACCTGGAGCGCACCGGACATTATTTGACCATAAAAGACAACCAGAACGTACAGCTTCATCCGTCAACTTGCTTGGACCATAAGCCCGACTGGGTCATCTACAATGAGTTCGTCCTGACGACCAAAAACTATATTCGCACAGTGACGGACGTAAAGCGTGAGTAGTCATGAGTCATTTTAGACCTTTATATTTATTTATTTAATTTTTTGTTTACAGCTGAGTGGCTTCTGAGCCTGGCACCGCAATACTACGATTTAAACAACTTCCCCCAGTGCGAGGCCAAGCGCCAACTTGAGCTGCTGCAGCAACGAATGGAGACTAAACAGTACCAGAAGGGATTCTAATTTCACCGACCGCTGATTCAGCGCTTGGGGCGCCTAAGGGAGGGGATTGGGGGTTTGGAAGCTCCAGAGATACTTTTCGGTCACACATAAGGATAAAGATGAACTGTTTTGCTTTTTATTGTTTGCTAAATTTAATCCTAAGCACATAGACACGAGCATCTACTGAACTTTAATATCCACGAACCCCGTTTAGTTAGTAGTCAAAATAAAGAAAAGCATCTTTTTATAAAATAACTCCAGTCCTGCTGTCAGCCTTCAGCCGTTGGTTCTTTGAAACTGAATGAGGATGACCAGATAGGTTGCTATGGCCGACGCAAACTGGAGAAGGAATTGCGCTTTAAGAAGTCTATATGGTTTATATATCTTTCAATACTTTACCGACGTCAGGATCGTTCGGTTGACTCGACACAGACCACAGGCCGAAAAGTCAGCGTCCACTACCAATAGTTGCTGCCAGAACTTCTTCACAGCCTCCGCCAGAATGGGTTCATGCACCTTCCTCTCGATCTCGCACACAATCTGTATGGTCTTGCGCGACTCTCGGGCAGCCAAGTGACACGGCTCCACAACCATCAGCAGGCGCAAAAAGTGAAACACTATCCAGAGCATTTGAACCCACAAGTAGCCGTTGTCCCGCTTGCTGAGGAGCTCCAGAAAGAGGAAGTAGGCGGTGGCCACCAGATGCAGCAGGCAGGACACCAGGATAAAAAGCACGGCTATACCAAAGGAGCTGTTAGAAAACAAGATAGTGACAATCTCAACATAGAAGGATTCAGATAAACCTACTTGGAGAGCAGGTGGACGCACTTGCCCAACGACTCATGACTGTCGGCCATCGCCTTGATGAGCAGCCCCTTGTTCTTGGCTGGAAAAGGAACCAGTTTGAGTAACTCCACGTTGAGTATCAGACTGTGTGCGGCTGTTTTTTGTTCACCTGCGGATACACTGGGCAGGGACTCGCTATTCAGCTTGGTAAGGCTGGAGTGGAGGGTTGCGGGCATAGCTAAAGGATTCATGCTGATGGTCTTTACGGTGCTCACCTTGCGGGCTTTTCCCGCGTTAGAGTCCTTGGAATCTGCGAAAGGGACTTGGTTAAGATTGTTTTAAGGTGTTTCATGGACCCATTACCTCCAAGGAAACTGCTGGTGAGCATCAGGTTTAGGCGTCCAAAGCGCCTGCCCAGACCATAAGCCGTGTTTGCAAAATTAATTTGCAGAGCAGTTAGGATAAAGTAGAGACTATAGAAGGGTATATACCAATGCACATTGAGTTCTGAAAATCAGTTAAATAATTAAAGAAATATATATGTATAAGAATGTAACTAATTTTTGATAACAATTCAAATACCTGTATCCGAATGCGGTATATTCATCTCTTGGGCGATCCGCACCCAAGTTCCAACATCAAGTCCAATCAGCAAGGATATGGCTATCAGAGAGGCCAAAGCCATTCCCAGAGCCCTCCATCGGTCCCTCTTGAGGTTGTTGTAAGCATTCAAAGTATTGTCGATCTAAGGATTGGAGGTCTCATTAAAGAAAACTGAAAAGATAGTCAAGATTCACGTGGAATTTCACCTTGTTTAGGCGCTCGTTCAGCTCTAAGGTGTCCTTCAGACTGAAGAGTCCACAGTACACACCCGATAAAATAGCCATGACGACCACGGACACGTCCAAGGCTGTCACCACCTTCGATGTTGCCGACTTCATTCTAAAAGATGCACTTTTGATTTGTCGATTGGTTTTGTTGAAGTTGGTCAGAGCAATTAAAAGGTGAGGATAGACGGTGTACGGAAGGTATTAAAGGTGGTAACTTTACATCAATTATTTTGTACAGTGTAGGTTAAAAAGGTAATAAGTAATGTGAGGGTTATAATATAATTGTATTATATAAATTATATACAAGAAAGTACGCACTAACTAAAATACAAATACTCTCCGATTCTATCATTTCATCAGAAAAATTGAAAAAAAATCGATCCAAAATTAAGTATCAAGGTTTTGATGCAGATTTTTGGAGAATCTATCCACAAATCGTTTAAGGTATTCCGTTTATGGATCCGATGAAAATTGTCCAAGATATGGCTTTCGCAGTGGGGCCAAATTATCATACTCCTCGATTTCCCAAAATTTCAGAGGGGGTCCATCAGAAAAATTGAAAAAAAATCGATCCAAAATTAAGTATCAAGGTTTTGATGCAGATTTGTGGAGAATCTATCCACAAATCGTTTAAGGTATTCCGTTTATGGATCCGATGAAAATTGTCCAAGATATGGCTTTCGCAGTGGGGCCAAATTATCATACTCCTCGATTTCCCAAAATTTCAGAGGGGGTCGATCAGAAAAATTGAAAAAAAATCGATCGAAAAATAAGTTTCTAGGTTTTGATGCAGATTTGTGGAGAATCTATCTACAAATCGTTTAAGGTATTCCGTTTATGGATCCGATTAAAATTGTCCAAGATATGGCTTTCGCAGTGGGCCAAATTATCATACTCCTCGATTTCCCAAAATTTCAGAGGGGGTCGATCAGAAAAATTGAAAAAAAATCGATCGAAAAATAAGTTTCTAGGTTTTGATGCAGATTTGTGGAGAATCTATCTACAAATCGTTTAAGGTATTCCGTTTATGGATCCGATTAAAATTGTCCAAGATATGGCTTTCGCAGTGGGCCAAATTATCATACTCCTCGATTTCCCAAAATTTCAGAGGGGGTCGATCAGAAAAATTGAAAAAAAATCGATCGAAAAATAAGTTTCTAGGTTTTGATGCAGATTTGTGGAGAATCTATCTACAAATCGTTTAAGGTATTCCGTTTATGGATCCGATGACAATTGTCCAAGATATAGCTTTCGCTAGGGGTTGTACTCTACTTTCCCAAGTTATTAAAATTTCTTGGTATCTTTATATCTATTCTATACTCATCGAATGTTTTATCTGTCAAATATATTTATTTCATTGGGGCTATGTATATACATACTACATAATATGTGTATGAAATTGAGGCCTATAAGTACCCCCCAAACACAGTATATCATCTGCAGTCACAAAGGTGTTGTGACAACAAAGGTAGGAAATCAAACAAATAATTTTTTCGGATCAATATTGTGTTTAGGCAATGTATCGTGGGTGTCGTTAATTTAATTAGGTAAACTCGGATTTTTTGTATCCTAACGACTGTCAAATGAATCGGTTCATTTAAGGTTATTATATGTTATTATTTTGATAAAGAAAATAAAAGAATTTAAGAAAAAATACTTGGTGTACTTTATCGAAAACACAAAAATATTTGCACAATGGGGTGCGGAGTACTTACCGTACAGGAGTTTCGGAATTGGCATCAAATAGGAGGCCTCTATAGGTGAGGCAAACTGTTGAAGAGGTACTATTGGAAAACCAGGAAAAGCCCTCCATTCCATAGACTTACCCAAGGCCACCGTAAACATTGCAGAGTAGATGGTAAAAAGCCAACTACGCCGGATCTCCACTTGTCCCTTGGTGTTACGATGGGTAGCGTAAGGGGCAAGGGCCAGCATTTTGCTGATATAAAAGACTCCGATGCTGGGCTCCGATATTTCCATCTTGATTCCCGACCGAGAACTTTTGAGCAGTCCGACCTCCGGACGAGAACTGTTCGCGATCCGGCAAATACCTGAACTTAAATTGTAAAACGCCATATTCGACACCAAACAAATAATGCGCTCCCATATTTGACTATTATTAGTGGCTAGCCAACTCCACCAGCCCCATCCCTCCGAGTCCGTACTCACAGGACACGAGCAGCCCGCAGGCCCGTCTGGGCAAACACCCCCCCACCCACCGGGCGCGACCAGGTAACACATTTGCTTATCAAAAAGCGCGGCTGTCCACGATGTAAATAATAATTAGCGTGTGAAAATACCAACCCGGTAAAAGGACACAGGAGCCAATTATTTCGGACCCCAATTCGAGAAGTTGCAACAGCTGCGACAGGGGGTTCCCCAAAGCCCAAGTCCATACAGTTATTGTTGGTCTTTCGCATGTATATTTTAACGACTCTTCTCAGAAGCCTCCACTTTACAGCTTAGATGTAAGAGCGGGCAATTAAGGAACAGTGATGTGTACACATTTAGTAATAGTAGAAAGTGGTGGTGCTTTTCTAATTCGGGACACTGTGGGCGTTGAAGATCTCAATCCAATAGCCGTCTGGGTCCTTGATGAAAGCCAAGCCCTTCATACGGCCGTCATCGGGTTTCTTGATAAACTCAACGCCTAGCTCCTGGAAGCTGTGAGAGAAAAGTGTTGCCTCAATTTTAAGCAGATGAAGGATTTTGTGAGCTATACCGTTGGCAGGCGGCGTATACGTCCGGTACCATGAGTCCAATGTGTCCAAAACCCCGTGGATCGCTGTTTCCGGTGTGATAGCTTTGATCCGGATCGCTTTCAGTGCCCCAATTGCTAAAAAATTTATCAGAAAGGTTAAAGGCTTAAATACACAGAGGCCATTCCTTACTGGGTCAGTTCAATGGTGGCCTTGCGGCTCATGGCCCAGCTGCGTCGCTCTTTGGGATCCTTGGGTACATCAGCGGGGTTCTCGTATCTGTGGGATACATGAAGGGCAAATAAAACAATCAATAGGTAAGCTATCGCAGCACGTATGCAGATAAGCGCCCGGTATAACCTTACCCCATGAAGTACAGCGAGAACTTTGCCTCCGGGAAGTCCAGCTTCACCAAGAGTGTCATGCCAAGGACACCAGTGTAGAAGGGCAAGGACCGGCGTGGGTCCTTGATGCGGTACATAGTTTGTTGAAACAAAAAGTCCTGCAGCGTGTACGAGTCTCGAGTGTTATTGGCTTTTCCTCAAGGTCTTTTAGAACCAATTAGAACCTTACCTTGGTTGATGCCTCTGGCTTTTGGCACAGCTCATCGGCTTCGGCATTGCTGAGACCCGTAACGTCGCCCATTTCAAGGGTTTTTGCTATTTATGAAACACCTGTTGAAATAAGCTTAAATCCGGTGAGGTAAATTATGGTTTGTCCAGAAGTGTTGGATAAGAACGCGTATGTGCTTATAATGTGCTTTTCTGTGTTAAGAAACGTCATTTTTTTTTGGAATTATGCAATACTTTATAAACTGTTGCATGCAACATTTTAAATTTCTCTGTTCTATCACAAACTTATAAGTTTTCTTTGTAAATAAGGTTAGATATACAATTTTTTTAATTCACTTAATTAATTTATGCGCTATAACTAAGTTCAGAGTTCAGTGTTTCATTTATTCTTTTTTGAAATATATAATTTTAATTTTTTTAAATGAAGGTGTACCGATTCCGATTTCTGTACTGATTTACTTTTTAAATTTGACTTATCATAATAAATCATAATAAATCTTTTAAAGAATCTTTACTTAGTAAAATAATTGATTAAGCCATAAAAATTATCGTTAAATCTTGTGTTAAATCTTGTTTAAGATCCAAATATCTACTTCTACTTCTAGTCTACTTTCTAGAAACATTAATAAGTATTAATATTTAAATACTTCTTTTATAAAAATAAGTAGCCTACTCAATTATATTTTAAGTATCTTTTGTGAGCGTTATATAACTAAAAATAATTTAATTAGTCATATAAATGTTGCTTTTAAATTTTTAGTTTCTGTAGGCCCTTTTAAAAAACATAATACCAAAGAAACCCAATATTTTGAAACCCCAACCCAAACCCAATAAATTTACCCAACCCCTATAGTCTACTTCCCAGTCCAAAAAAATCGAAGCCCTAGCTGACTTAATCAGGGAATTAAAATTAAACTATAATATCTTACTAATAACAATAAAAAATGCATTGGTAAAATCTTTGAATGTAATTTTCGTGATTTATTTTTTGTAGGTTTGTTCCTTTACAAGTACTTCAACTGAAAAAATATTTGTGTTTTAATGTCAAGTAGTGTGCTTAATCCTAAATATTGACTTACTAATTAGTAATTACGCTATTTCGCTCTATATCATTGTGACTTTAGGCCTTTTTGGGAATTTTTCGGAAAGTTGCCTTATAACTATTTCCAAGTTCTTTGAATATGTATGGGCTTACGATTATTTGAACCATGTTGTGGTTTTTGATTAGAATTTGTTTTTTTTATGTTTAGTGCTGCTATGGATGTGTTTTCAAGTTATCAAGTCCAAAAGACCCCGTTTCTTTCACCACAAATAGATATCAATATACCTAGATATACTCTCGTGTTTGTATATTATACAAAAATTAATCGGTATTATCTCCATTTCGTTCTGACGGTTGCTCAGATATTGGTCGTTTTACTTGTGGATGGTACTTTATAAATACAATTTATTGTTGTCTCGGCAAATGATTCTCAAGATACAAATCATAGTCTTGATTAAACGAATCCTAAGTGGACGTCCGTGATAGTCAAAGAGGAAAACATTGGCCAACACCGTAGTATTTTGGCCTTGATTTAAGCCACTTTTAACAAATTCCTTGTGTATAGAAGGGGAAGGTTATCTTTTTTTTTTACAAAATAAAATGGTTTTCACCAGGTCGGTTTCTTTGTTTCACATTTATTTTTATTTTTTTTTCGTTGCTTTTAACTATTGCAAGCGTATAACAAAATCATAATAGCTATTAAAAAATAATTAAAGAATTTCAATTAAATTCAAATAAAACATGAGCTAGAAACATAAATGTCTTCATACCGCACAAATTTTTAACTAATAATTATAATAATATGGAGCTAAATAATGTCGTAGTAATATACATATACAAAACTAACAAATAAATCGAAGCTGAACATTAAATAATAGTCATTATATGTCCATAACAATACCAAATCAATTGAAAATGATAGAATTAAACCTGAATAGAAAAGCAAATAAGAGGGATGTCGATATGAACGTTACACTAAAGTTCCAGTTTCCCTTCTTTTTTTTAGTCCGAATAATCAAAGTAACTCAAGGCTTAAATTAAAGCACGGAATTAATGGCAATTATCCGTGATTTTTATGTTAACTTAACGATTATGTGTAAGAGTTGTTTCTGATAAATGGGTTTTCGCGTGCAATTTAGGAAAACCTTTGAAATAAATATGAATACATTGATAAATGGTTGCCAAAAGTTAATCTTTAGGTTGAGGGTTTGTATGATTCGTTTTCCATTTTGTATGTTGGGCCGGTTTTTCGAGTCCCATCTTACTCGAAGAGACTCGATAAACCGGCCCTTCATATGGGTCTTTAAAAGTAATTCATATATTTTTCGGTACATCATGATTACAACTAATAATTTATTTATAAAAATTTCACTAGCAAGTAAATTCACCACTCAATAATTACAACTTAGTTACACGCATATAAACAGAATATCAATAGATTTGTTTCTTGTCGTTGGTTCTGTCAAATAAAGGCAATTTAGATGATAACCAACATAGCTAATCGTCGTCCTCATCGGACGAATTTGAGGACAGTTGTAAATCATTTTGTAGCAAATCGTTCGGAAAGCCACCGTTGGACGCATAAATGCCAGACTGTTGTTTCTGCTGCTGCTGCTGTTGCTGTTGCTGGTGGGGATGGTGGCGCGACTGCTGCTGGTGATGATTGTTACCGTAGGATGGCGATATGGAGCCCAGTCCCAGATTGGGTAACTGGTTAAAGTGTTGCTGCTGCTGCTGTTGATGCATTTGGGCAGCTTTTTGTTGGTGTTGATGCTGCTGCTGTTGCTGGTTAGGGCGGTCATCCTCAGTGCTATCGTCGGAATCACTGCCGCTATCACTGTCGCTAGAGTCAGATTCGGAGCTGGAACTGGAGGCACTAAGAGCGCCACCAATTTGCTGCAAACAACCAAGAACCGGATTAGTACTTCATTCATAATATGATCCAATGTGGCTAAAGATATTCACCTGCTCCAGAGCTGCTGCAGCTTGGGCAACGGACTTTGAAGTCAACTCATGATCCCTGGACGAATCCAGGTCCATGGGCATGCTGTTGCCATGCTGTTGTCCGTAGGGGGAAGGTCGCTGCTGCTCGTGTGGCTGCTGTTGTGCGTAGTTGTTGCCACCGTTGTAGTTGCGGCCAAAGTTCGGCTGTTGCTGAGCCATCGGCGGACTGGAGCGCTGTTGGCGCTTGGCATGTCCGTGATGGGGTGCCTGCCGCTGCTTACCCATGTGCGAAGACGAGGAAGCAGATCCGTAATCAGACTGGCCCACAGCCGAGCCGGTTGAGGAGCCTGAAGTATTCGCCTGGGAGCCATTATGGAGGGCCGCTCTCAGCCCGAAATCGTCGTCATCGGTTATCATGGGAATGCTGGGCAGCGTTTGTTGAGCATTGTTGGCATCCCAACTGAAAGGGAAATACGCAATAAGTTTGGTTTCCCAAATGGGAATAGGATTTTAGACATACGCTGGCGCGGATTGTGGACTTCGATGGATAACCGCTGGTCTCGAAGGAGAACTTTGCTGCATCGGCGAATTTCGAGGCTTGAAATCAACTGCAATGAAAAAAATAAACAGAAGTTGTATTATTTTCCCCCTTTCGGGTTATGGTTTACTTACTTATATTATTGCGGCGACTGCCCGTTGAAACCTTCGTCTTTGACGTGACTCGCATGGTGCTGTTCTCAAGCTTGGGTGCCGAGCCAGGCCCATGCCCGGAAGCTGCGTTCGTTGAGGGTCCAGAGCCGTTGCTGACCTGTTGGCCCTGCATGATGGCCACATTCTGAGGAGGCAGATGGTTTGTTTTGCTCGATATCTCACTCCTGGAAATCCAATTACATTAGAAAAGATTTATATAAATTATGAGAAGCAGGCATTACCTCGTTTTCTTGACTTGAATATTGTGATTCAACTTCTCGATTGTGATAGCACCCGTCTCCTTGTCATAGATCATCAAGCACTCCTTAGCATGCTCCCTCTGATTACCCTTATAAACTGTATGAGGCACACCGGAACTTTCTGTAAAATAAATACAGGGTATTAAGAGTAACGAAACAATTATCTATGGCACTAAGAGATTATAAATATTTACTTTTAGGCCGTTTAGTTTCTTAATAAAATATTTTACTCAGTTCTGATTCACAATGCAGTTGTTATTCATGTTATCTAGTAAGTTTCTTCTGAATAACTATTGTCTAAAATATTTAAATTATCATAAAAATATTTAGTTATAATATTCCTTCATGTAACTGATGTATGTCCGATTATATCTTTTTTTTGGGACGTGGCCGAGTCTATTTTGGAATTAAAATCGGACATATTGAATAGGACCGGTCACAGAATGAAGAATGCCAGCGCCAAACTCATGACGTATGTGAATCTTCTTGAAATAGCTACGGGATTCTTGGTTCCAAACAAAACTCTTCCTGATCTATCATCATTGTTGAACCCATAACTTAATTATAAAGAAATAAATATTCAATCTCACTTTAAAGTTTCAAAGACAATGGAATTTCTTTAAGATCTCCTTTAAATCCTATTAGTTCTGGTTGTACTATTAAAAATAAAAGCTTTATGGTTAAATATTTAATGGCTGTTGGTGAAACATTAGCATTTTAAACTAATTTTAATTTCATACCAATGGCAGCTATAAAAGCAGCTTCTTGGGAACAATAAATCTAATCTAAGAAACATAAACTAAAATGCACCCGGCTGCTCTAATTCTAGGTGAGTCTGTCTTAAAAAAGTTAAAGATATATTTCTTAAAATTATGACATTTTCAGTCCTGCTTGTGGCCCATTCAGCAGCGTATCCAGCTCCCACAACTGCTCCCAAGGAGACCAAAAATTGGTACGATATTCTTAAGGACGCACTTTCAGGATACTTCCACGAAAAGTACACAAACACACGGGTGTGGGCGGAAGGAGTCGCAGATGCCATGACCAAGTTCCTCCAACAACGAGACGTCGGGCAAGATTTGAGAAATGCAGAGACCACCTTAGTTAAGAACCTGAAGGAAGTAAGCCGGAATGCTGCCAAAATGGTTGGCTTGGGAAGGACGGCGGCAGAGAATAAGGCGGATACTATGGTGCAGGACGTTCTGAAGGACATGAAACTGTGAGGTGATCGACCTTGGCATCTGGATAATAAAGTTTAATAGTCGATTAAGCCGTGAAATGTCGATTCGTCATGAATTGGACATAGCTGGTGTGAAATAAAAGCTATTAGTAGTGCGGTAGCAGCAAGCATGACGTTTTGTGCAACTTTTGTCTACGGTAAGTAGATTCTCTCTCCGGATCAAGTCCAGTCCGATCTTTACCTCCCACTCCCCCGAAAGGCATGTTCCTGCCCTTGGCCCTGGGATACCTGGGGAAAGACGCCATAAGGCTAAAGGACAGGATCTACCGGGAAATTGCCGATTACTCTCTCAAAGGAACGGCCGATCCAGTAGTCAGTGCCCAGCTGGTGGAGGCCAAGAGAAGGGTCAAACAGGCCGAGAAGAGCTCTTCCAAGCAGACCATGGCAGATCTGCAAAAGCTTCTCTTGAAAATATGCGATACAACTTCTAGAAACCGTGAGAGACCATCAGTTCTATCAGAAATACCCACCCGTCCACCGGATACTTGTGGAGCGCCTGGAACGCCAGGAGGACCTGGTGGCCCTGGAGGCCCAAACGGACCGGGAGGACCTGGCGGGCCTTATGGACCTGGGGGGCCCGGCGGCCCTGGAGGTCCCGGTGGACCTGGAATGCCAGGTGGTCCAGGGGGTCCAGGAGGCCCAGGTGGACCAGGAGGACCTGGAGGACCCGGTGGCCCTGGAGGACCATGCTCACCAGGATGTGTAATAACTCCCAGAAAGACAATCAAAATAAGGAAGTGGTGTAAAAAAAGGAACAGCAAGAAATGCAGAATTAATGCAGAATTAAAAATGTACTCTGCGGCCAAACAAAGGCTTCCTGTGGGACCCCCAGGTGGACCAGGTGGTGCAGGCGGTTCTGGAGGTAAGGGCGGCACAGGAGGTCTAGGTGGCGCAGGCGGTGCAGGTGGTTCAGGATCTCTTCGACTGAAAAGATCAGTGGATTCAGAGCCTGAAAAGACCTTCTTCCAAGAAATGCCTCTATTCAGGAGTAAATCCAACAAAAATTGCATAATAGCTGATATATTGAATTCCTTCAACGTGAAGGAGAAGAACCAGGTCAACAAAAATATAAATGTTAATAAAATAAATGTAGGTTTAAAGGTAAAATCCAAAAAAAATTGATAGACCCAAAGAATAAATATTAAATTGTATTATATATAACCCAAAGTCCCTTATAGTCTTTAATATAATTCTTTAACTCTATAATCTAACTAGATATAATAGAATCTATAATCTACATGGGAAGTTTCGACTGCACCCGTTCGCTTACGATTGCAAAGTTACCGCACCACTTCCATACCATACCCACACTTGACCAAATGCCGCTATTACTGTCGTCGCCACCGCTGAACTCTTCGACTGCTCGGCGCTAGCAATCAACGAAGCGTTACACAAGCCAAGTCGGCCCCAATGAAGTCCACCAACAACAACAACAGACCCAAGTCTGGCCACAAAGAGCATGGCAAAATAATGCGAGTATATGGAAAAACTTGAACGCTTGGCTGCATTTGGCTGCCTGACCTGATGTAATTTAGTTTCTCTCCTCAAGAGCTGGCCGGGAACACCCTTCACCGCCCCATTCCAGTCTTTTGTTTAAACTTTAAACCATCTGATGCACAGGGTAGGCAACTAATTTCTGGCTATAAAGAGTGCCGAGGAGTGGATTTATGTTAATAAACTATACCATCATGGAATTATGTCATCTAAGCTCTCCAAATATGATATATATCTGCTTGAAGCAACATTACTGACAGAGTTCTTGTCTCCCAAGTGCTTGGGGTATTCCATTGGAGACTCACCTGAATTTGGCACGATAACAGTAACTTGATTGTTGGAGCCAACGTCGACAGATGCCATCCGGCTGGTATCCACACTCGCTGGCTTAAAGTCATCTGGCAAGAGCATCATTTTTTGCATTAATATCGTGGAATGGAGGTGAATTAAGGTGCAAAACTTACATTTGATTGTGTGAAATGCTGTCGACGTGTTCTTCGGGTTGAAGGTGGCCCCCAGCTTCAGCTCCCGCACCTCCTCCCCGATGTTGAGGCGCTCGGCCAGTGTGTTCTTCTGTTTGGTCATTATCATCGTTGTGTTGTTGTTCTGCGACGAAGACGACGATAGATGATGGGACTGATAAGGCAGGATGGTGGCGGTCTGAGGGTGGTTATAGTTGTTGTTGTTTGTATTGTAATTGGCACTGGTGTAGTTAGACTTTTGATAATTGTTGTGGTTGTTGTTAATGTTGTTGTTGTTGCTACTATATTGATATGACTTCTCGGCCGCGTCTGTGGCTGCAGCTGCTGCCGCCGCCAGCGCCGACGTCGCAGCAAAGTTACGCTCCTCGGCACCGCCACCGCGTTGATAATTGGAGACGCTTTGGGTTCCAAAACTGGGATCTCCGCTTCCGATATTCCCACTGCTGCTCGCTGAGGAGGTACTTTTGCTGGACTTTCGGTAACTGCTGCCGTAGTGTTGACTCGCAGCCGCCTTGGCCTTGAGACGCTGCAGCTTGGTGCCCGTGGATTTAGGAATTTTTGCGGCCGTATGCTGTTCGAGGTGCTGTCCAGTTCGAACGATGCAACGACTTTTCCACACGGACGCGAAAAAAGTGTTGCACGCCGAAAACTAAGAGAACACCCTCTCGAACGGTGAAAATAAAAATAAAGGGGTGGAGACAGGAGCGAGGAAACAGACGCTGGCCAACGGTTCGGTGCGGGTTCGGTTTAACCTCTGGAAACTTTCCTATTCCTCAGGGCGGCTGGTGAGTCTGCGATGCTACATTTGTCATTTGGTGACGTCGTCGTGGCTGGAGTATATTATCTTCTGATTCTGATTTGGGCAAGGCGTATAGCCTTTTCTCTTCTCATTCCACTGGTGCTGGGGAGTGGGGCCGAGACACTGTTCTGCAAAGAATGCATAATTTTATAAAATGTACATATTTTTTTTTTTCAGCCAGACATTTCTCCATATGTTTGCGACACGAACACACACACATACACACGTGCAGCAATGCAGCACTTGCACCTGCTGCTTTGGGCCCTCTAGTGACACACATTCGAATAGCTCCACTCCGATTCAAATGCGGTTTGCTATTATTCACCGAACCGATCCGATATGGGGTATATTTTTAGCAAGAACCCACCCACACGCATACAATGGCCCACGCGTGACGGTGGCCAGGAGACTTCTTTGCCTAATTCGAGCTGCCACAGAGGAAGGGTGGCGAGGTTGGGGCTTCAGCTGCAGCTGGAGCTGGAGGTGCGTGAAATTGTGCCAGCTTCTGCATTTGCACAGCAAATTGGCATTAATTTCCAGCAAAACCTACCTACACGCACACCGTCACACGTAATACGTAAGCAAATTAAAAAGTGAGCGGCTGCAAACGTCGTGTGGTAAGGGGCGGGTCGGGGACAGGGGCGGGCACAGCTGAAAACAAGTTTCAATAGCCGAAAAAAAAAAAAACAGCAACGCAAAGGTGAAATTTCCGAAAATCGAATTGAAACGTAGACGAAAAATATCTGCCTATAGGTGAGCGTTGCGCGTGTGTGTGTTCGGGCGCACCAGTGGTCGTGCTCTACGCTTTCCACAGAAGCTATCTCAGCCGCTTTTCGGATCACACCAACCAGTGCAGTTCAAATAAAGCACACACAGTTCAATAAAGCCTGGCTCCCGCACAATATTGGCTTACATTATTTACACGAAGCAGTAACACGTCCAAATTTACAACCAGTGTGACCATTGGCCGTTGGAGCCGAATAGTTGGGGCGGAAAGTGGAGGGAGAGAGAACCATCGATAACAGCGTAAATATCATCGATGTTTTTAACCATAGTAACTAAAACATTGATTTAAAAAGGAAACTTTTATCCAATTATAATCATTTTGTTTATAGATTTATTTTTTATCTAGTCTTCCATATAAAAAGAAAGTCCCCTAGATCAATGTGCTTCCACCTCTAGCAAAAAAACAGTGCTGGAAAGTTCTCGAGGATTATGAAGTAGGCCATCTCTAGCGGCGACTTTTTCCAGGTAATCTCTGTTCCTAAACAGGGAGGTAGCCAGGTAAATAGGCAGATCTCAAAATTCAATAGAACGAAAAACAATCCAACAGGTACATGGAATCCCCCATTGTATCTGCGCCTACAGAATTCGCATTTCCGCTAAAATCCTGAACGTGGTTGCGCAGATACGCATGTATACATATGTTTGTATGTTTTTGTTGTATACACACAAGTGTAGGTTGTGAGAGATACTTTGTGGCTCGGAAATCATTATCAGTTTGAAGAACTCTAGAACCCCCAGTCGATCGCCAATGACCGACCTGTTTGGATCGACAGCTCAGTGTGCTTTCTGTTGTTTCCGGGGGCTGTGACTGTCAGAAAGCAACTGCTAGCTTTTTCCTTTCCTTTCACTTTGTTCGTTCGGCGTTCTGATCTAAATTCCGAATTTATACATTTTCTGCAGTGCGGTCTTCGGTCTGTGTGATTAGTTAGCCACCATGTGTCAGCCGCTGGGCCAGATGCAATGCGAGATCAAGAACATGGCGCTCTCGGGCGACCCGGAGCTGGACAATCAAATACGCAGGTGGATACGCTGGGACAAGTGTCCTAGCACCGCCTGCCAAATCATGGATGCAGTTCGTGCCAGCGACTGGGATACGTAAGTCTAAAACATCTAGGGTGGACCATCTTCTAATCTCAATTCTTATCCCTGAGCAGGCTGCGCAAGAGACTGTGCAACCGCATAACGTTTGGCACGGCGGGATTACGGGCCTGTATGCGAGCTGGCTTTGATTCAATGAACGAGCTGGTGGTAGTTCAGTAAGTGTTTCTCTTTCTCCTTGGGAGTGCCCTTGAAACGTAACGTATGTGTCTCCCATTTCCAGAACGGCCCAGGGTCTGTGTAAATATTTAAAGGAGCAGTACCCGAATCCGGAGGATTGGACCAATCGTGGCATTGTCTTCGGGTACGATGGACGCTACAACAGCCACCGGTTTGCTGAATTATCCGCCATCGTATTCCTGAGCAACGAATTCAAGGTGTGGCTCTTTAAGCGCGTTGTGGCCACACCCATGGTTCCGTACGCCATATTGCGATTGCAGTGCTTGGCTGGCGTAATGGTGACTGCCTCTCACAACCCCAAGGAGGACAACGGCTACAAGGTTTACTGGTCCAATGGAGCACAGATAATACCACCTCATGATGCAGGAATTCAGGATGCCATTATGGAGAATCTAGAACCCATGAGCGGGGCGTGGGATGACTCTGCGATGTGCTCCAACACTCAATTGAATGACCCCTATGACATTGTGGTGCCGCCCTACTTCGACCATCTCAAGAAGAAGTTCCCGTGCAACCTGCTGGAGATTAATGGGCGGTGTCCCATCACATTTACCTATACGGCAATGCATGGAGTGGGCTATGATTTTGTGAAGACGGCGTTCAAGCGGACCAACTTCCCGCCGTTCATCTCGGTTTGCGAGCAACAGGAACCGGACCCAGAGTTCCCCACCACGCCCATGCCCAATCCCGAGGAGGGCAAGACTTCGCTGGACTTGGCGATAAAGACCGCAAAGCAGAGCAACAGCGAAGTTATTCTGGCCAACGATCCGGATGCAGACCGCTTGGCGGTGGCTGTACGGCGCGAGGACGGTAGCTACAGGTTGTTTAGCGGCAATGAGGTGGGCGCCTTGCTCGGCTGGTGGAGTCTGGAGTTCTACAAAATGACCGTCCCCGATTGCGATGTTTCCAACTGTGTGATGATATCCAGCACGGTCAGCTCGAAGATCCTCAAAGCCATGGCCGAGCGCGAAGGCTTCACCTTCTTCGACACCCTGACCGGCTTCAAGTGGATGGGCAACAAGGCCATCGAGCAGGAGCAGGCTGGCAAGACTGTATTGTTCGCCTTCGAGGAGGCCATCGGGTTTATGGTTGGCACTGCCGTCCTGGACAAGGACGGCGTCAGCGCTGCCACCCATGTCGCCACCATGGCTTGCTACTTGCGCTGCACCCAGTGCATGACGTTGGAGGAGAAGCTGCGGGACATATACGAGACATACGGCTACCACACATCCATCTGTTCGTATGTCATCTGCCGGTGTCCGCCGCTCATTGAGAAGATTTTCGAGCGGCTTCGGAACTGGGACGATGGCCAGGCGGACACCTATCCGACGAGCATCATGAACGGCGAGTACGAGATCGAGAGCATCCGCGATCTCCACACCGGCTACGACAGCAGCACACCCGACAAGAAGGCCACTCTGCCGACCAGCAGCAGCTCACAGATGATCACGTTCACGTTCAAAAACGGAGCTGTGATCACCCTGCGGACCAGCGGCACCGAACCGAAGATGAAGTACTACGCCGAGATGTGCGGCAAACCGGAGGAGAAGAATTGGAACAAGCTGAGCAGCACACTGAAGATCATGGTCGAGGCCACTGTCGAGGAGTTCTACGAGCCAACCAAGAACGGTCTGCAGCGAAAGAAGGATTAGGCCGACGGCTGCCCAGCTAGCGGAAGCTCTGACGATCTTTTAGCGATTAGACCTGGCTAAAATGATATTATTTGGATACGGATAGCACTCATGCACAAGCCAAAAAGCAACAGCGGGCCATGCTGTTAACTAGTAGCTACTTATTGATAACCAACTGTTACGTTTTCTATTTACACTAGGGGCATATTTATAAAAGTATGTAAATAAACGCAACACCGACACCAGGCACTAGAAACCACATTCGTATTGTGCTCCGCACCCAAAACAAAAATAGGCTGAGGAACCACGTTTTCGGTTCTATTGTTATCTTTTGAAATGCGAGGTGGGGCTGGCAAGTCAGACCACACTCGAATTAATTGCCCTTGTTATGGTTATCTCGGGGAACTGGAGTGTCAGCGATTGGATGAATCCGAATCCCTCCATTTCGCAAAGTGATTGATCGGCGATTAAATCCATTGAACTTGATTGTGTCGAATTAGGAAATCGGTATGGTAAATCATTCGAGGAAGTCTCATAGCTGATAAGACTGTTTTCATTTATATTTCCTCCATTTGCGTCAAGATCAAGAAATCAAGAAAGAAGCTCGCTTAGTTAAAGCTGTTAAAAAAGGGGTTTCAGTTTATTATATTTTAGGGCATCCTCCATAGACTAAGTACAGATCAAGTACAGGTTACAACAGTTACAGTTGGTTAGTTAATATAAATATTAGCTTTAATATATAGGGACTGGCTACCCAATTGCTTTAATTAATTGCTACAGAACGGCAATAGAGGAGGAGTACTTCGGCAAGAAGCATTAGCTAGAAAACGATAATAAAATCAAACCTCAAGCAGAAGGTGTATTTAATTAGTTTTGTAAATAGGTTATAGCATATATCGTTTAGATTGGATTCACTGGAACGTGTATGTATATGTGTATATATATAATCGGGTCCTTATCACTAAAATTTCGCTTCTAAAAATACACTTGTTTTTTGTATAAATGAGTTGCTATGCCTGCGGGCGGCTCTTGGCAATCTGTGTTTTGTTTATAAAATGCATATGTTCAGGCAGTCTCTTTGCTTAAAGTATGTATTTGTCAACGGTTTCATTCGAGTTCTAGTCCTAATCTCATCTTGGCAGAGGAGTTCGATCAGGACCTTTAGGTTTCGGCTTAAAATGTGCGTCGGTTTAATTCTAGCGAGTCGCGCCAGAAGTGGTCGCTCCACTCTTGGCGCAAGTCCGAATCTTATCTAAAATTCCATTTGGAATATCTTAAGGCTATTGCGATAATCGGTAAATAAGATATATCGCTCGTTATAAGCACAACTTTACACTAAATATTTCCTAAAATAAAAAGTGTGTATAAAAGAGCAGCATTGAAGAGTTGATATGATGAACCCTCCTCATTCTTATAATTAATACTTTGGGAACTTTCAAGTCATGTTTTCTTAAAAAGGGGACATGTGATATGTGTTCGAGTCGGTCTAGGATGTGATATACTGGAATTTTGAGTATTTTTAGATGATATCCTGGGCATAGGGTGGAGGAATCTTCTCTTGATTCACCGGTTCTATCAATGATTATAAAATTGACATCGAAATACTGAATCTAAATAGACGATTGATTGTTTCAAAGCTTCGAGATAAAAGAAATAAAAAGTTAGAATGGATAATAGGACATAGGAGTCTCACACAAACACATGGAGGTACGAGGACTGCGTCTGGTTGCTGTGAGTGGGCGTTATAGTCGGGGGCGGGGCGTTGTGGTGGTGTCATACGGAGGTTTCAGAGTTCAGCTTAAGTACAAATTTGTTACTCTTGGGATCCACCACCTCCTCGGCCAGGTTGAAGTGCGGCAGCTTGTGCACGGTGACCATTAGCGAGACGTCGTTTTGGATGAGCTGGAAGGTGCACTCGTTGCTGATCGGTCGGGACACAATATCGTCGCAGATGAGCGACCAGGACTGCACCCAGCGACGCTCCTTCTCGCTCTGCATGACTGGCGACTCGGTCAGATACGGCTCCAGGAAGGCACGCGGCGACAGGTCGTGCTTCAGGCAATGGGCCAAGTGTTTCAGGATGCTCTCGAAGGTGTGTCGTGGCTGCTGTCGCGTCACTCGCAGATACTTCTGCAGAGCCCTGGCCATGGAGGGAAACACAGCGGCTGCGGCTTCCTGGGGATCGAGGGGCAGGGCCGGAGCGGGTTCGTTGTGGATGCGTTTGATGTGGGTGAAGGCCTCCTCTGCGGCGGTGATGAGACGGGCGCGACGCTTCTTAACCCGGCGCTCGTACTCGTGCTCCTCGTAGAAGCGCTCGTTGTGCGAGGAATCACGACGACGAGCGTTGGCCGCCAGGACGGCCCGGCTCTGGCTCTGCTGCTGCGAGTTGCTTACTCCGTCCACCTCGTAGTACTTGAAGCTGTTCGATATCTTGTTCCGCTGCGACTTTGAGACCGAGATGGGTATGCGTTCGAGATACGGGTTGAAGATGGGAAAGTCCACATAGTAGTGCTGCAGCACCCACACGGCTGCCCGCTGGATGCTCAACTGGCCCAGCATGTAGGATCGCGACACTCCGTCCGGGGAGCGGATGATTTTAACATAGTAGCTGGGCTGCTGGTGGCGCAGCTCCAACAGAACCACGGCCACGTAGTGGACGAAAAGCAAGGTGTCTACGAAATTAGTCGCGTAACTCACCAGCGACTTGTAATCAACGGCGTAGCCACCGGTCTCTACGACGATCCTGGCCCCATTCGTGACCTGCACGATGTAGAAGAGCCAGTAGGCAAAAGTGCAAATAGTGACCAGCAGAAGAACCAGAGCGCGGTACAGGAAAATTCTCGGCATGCTGGCCGAGGTGCGGCGCATGAAAACAGCCCACAGACCAATCGCTAGGAGCAACAACCTGGCGGCCAGTGAAACCAGCTGACCCTTGCACTGTTCACTGCAGGCTAGTAGCTTGGTGCGTACCGTCTGCGTGAGATCTGGATCGTCGAAGGCGGAAGGGAAGAATCCGGCGTGCGGCATCACCACCATGGCCACCGGCGAGAAGAACGCAGCGCAACCGAGCAGGAAGCAAAAGCCAGACTCCATGTAGCGACGACAAGCAAAGCCGAATCCCTTCTCGTTCTCGCGGTGCCACATGTTGTTGATGTCCTCCATGGAGATGCTCTGCTCCGAGGTGTTTCCTGTCACTGCGGTGGTGTTCTCGCCCCAGTTCTCATCCTGCGGAAGGATCTGCACCTCAATCACCTCCTGGCCGTCGCGACTCTCATCACCTAATCAGATATGGTTGGAGGTATTACTTTAGATTCAAATTGGGGATAATGGGAGTGGTGGACTCACCTGTCATATTAACGCTGGTTTGGTAGGGAGCCATGTCCCCGCGCTGAAATCCCGATTTTCCCGACTTTGAAGAGTGCGTACTGCGGTGGGAATGGCGAGACCTATCCCGCTCCCGCTCCCTGTGGTAGCCGTTGTTCACGCTGCCTCCTCCGCCACCTCCTCCCCCGCCGTTGTTATTATGGTTCCGCGAGCGTCTGGAGCGTCCACTATGTTCCGACTTCACGGATTCGTTTTCCATTGCGTGCGTGGGCAGTCCCCGCTCCCGTTCCCCCTCTTCGCTAGCTTGCAGCCCCCCTATCAACAACCTGACCGTGCAGCTATTTTAGTGTCTAACTGTAATTACGGCCGCGGCAGCAGGTTTTTTATATGCAGGTATGCAGGGCGGAGTGCATACCTCTCGGTCGGTTATCTTTTGTATCTCTAGCTATTCCTGCAGCACATTGCCTCTATTTACCATCCGCGCTATTATTTTGTTAACATTTTAGCGATTTCACAGACACTTTTCCCTTTTTTTCTGTTTTTTCTTTAGACTTGGCTTCACCCCGACGCATCGAACGCCGTGCCTAAGGTCACACTTTTCAGCAATATTTTTCAACACTGGCACCTTTCACACTTCGGGTTTGAATTCTATTTAAGGGGGAACCCAATTAATATGCGTGTTAAATTTAATAAATTTAAGCTTTCAAATATAATTTTAAATATAGTTAATTTTAGACACATTTTAAAACTAAATTACGAACACATTGTATAGAAATATCAGTATTACATTTTTTCACATATTTATTTTTTTAAAACATTTTTTAACTTTTTTTCTTAAAATGTATTTATGTTAATGGGCAATAATAGAGGCAAGTAATTTTCTAGCCTGCTGGTTGGTTGGGTTCAGTCGGATAGCGCGCTGCACTAATTTGGAGGAGAGTGCCTTGTCCACGGGACCTACGGCCTTGCTGGCGTAGATAATCGTCTCCGCTTCCTCACTGGCCTCAATGCTAAAATTGAATGATTTTTTCCTTTGTTATTATTTATTGAATGTTAAAATATTATATTCTTCATAAAATTTAATTAGTTAGTCCATTCATTTAAAGAGTTCATCATATACCAAAGCAATACCAAAAACTTGATCGTACAAATTCTTACCTCTGTTGCAGTTTAGTATGCCCTAGGGTAAGGGCTAGCAGTGCCACATTGGATGTGGCTAGTTTAAGGGAGGGATCCTGAACATAGTAATCTAGTAGAAACTTTAAGAACACCTTACGAAGGTTAGTAGACTGGGGAAACATTCGAACACGGGTCTGCAAGTAGCGCAAGGCCTCATTGGTGCCATCCTAAAAAATAAAAGTTATCATTATTAACTTTAAAAACTCCAATTAACACTTACATTTATAAGGATGTAGTGGGCAGTTAGATAGGAAATCTCATCACAACACTCCTCGTTATGGTCATAAGCCTTTAACTCCGCCATCACCATACGGCTTAGCTCGTTGTCCCGATGAAGTATGCCCAAGGCATAGGAGGAATAAAGAGCCTGTATGGGCACTTCTTTTAGAAGAATACTTCAAGGATCAAAGTCATTAGTTAAAGATTATTTGAAAGCATTATCTTATACCCACCACTGATAGAGGAGAGTCTTGGTGTCTGCCTCGCCCTGAAATGCGTAGATCATGGAGGCCATGGCCACCAATATGGTTGAAGCCTTATCATCATCCTGGCCCTCTACATTCCTCAGCACCGAGTTATAAATAGAATACGATTCCTGCAACTGTCCAGACCGAAAATACGCCAAGGCCAGACCGATGATTGGCTTGAACGTGGCATGGGCCACAGTATTCAAAGCATTAACTGCTTTTTCAGGTTCATTGAGCTGCAAATACAGGTATCCCAAATTGGTGTACAACTTGTCCCGGTCTGCACCCGGCTCACATAGCTTGCAAGCCCGGGAGAAGGCTTCCACTGCCAGACGATACAGCTTTTTACGGGCGCACAGGAATCCTTGAAAGGTGAGCGCCGCAACACTAGTTTCTGCTTCTTCGTTTTGGACAAACCTTAAATATATAATTGTTTAAAACAATATCCAAGAACATACATATCTTGGTCACTCACCAGTTAATGGCGTCCAGGGCAGAGACATCAGCGTGCATGTGCTCTATGGCATGCTTGTTGTGGGGTTTTTCCATGGACTTCGGATTGGAAAGCACTTCGCACACCCAGTGGGCGAAGCCAATCGCCGCCTCCGGGTGGTACTCAAATTGCTGGCAATGCCTGAAAAGGTCAAAGGACTCTTCCTGTTCACCAATGGTCTCCGCCACCATAGCCTGGCCTATCCAGGCATTAGCGTAGGTTGGGCAGGCCTGTTGGGCACGAGTGAAGGCCTCGTTGGCCAGCCTTATGTTTTTCACCTTCACGTACAGAACCCCGAGATTTGTCCAAGCCGTGAAACTTTTGCGTTCCAGCTCCACCGCCTGGATGAAACAGTGCTGGGCTAGGGGCAGGTTCTCATGATCTGGGTGCATATTAATCACACCGAGGAGGTTCCAGTTTTGCCACCGATTTCCTCTTTCTTTGATAGCCATCTTGCAAACTTTTTCCGCCGTCTCCAAGTGGCTTTTAGCTTCCTCGGGAATGTAAACGGCGCTGTAGTAGGTGGACAAGGCCAGTTCGTACCACAAGTAAGTATTCTGCTTCAGTTTCAAGGCACACAGATAGAAACGCTGGGCCAACAAGAGGAGATCCTTGCGGGACAAGTAGGTTACAAGTTCGTCGCGTTTCGCTAGGCTTCCAGCGACATCTAAATTGGCCAGGGAAGGGGGCAGCTGGGCCGTTTGGACAAATACGCTGGCCATCAAACGCCACAACCAGACCATACCATGAGCTTCCGGTTGATGAAATGCCCTGTATAAACAGAATTTTGGTTGAATTTCGTATTAAATTTTGAGGTTTCTTACTTTTGAAGGTATTCCACAGAGAGCTGCCAGTGCTCTTTGGCTCTACCGTACAGGTTCTGGGCTTTGAGGCTGTTGGCCAAGCCTATGTGTGCCTCGGCCGCTCCTTTCAAGCCAGGCAAATATATAGGATTCAGCTTTAAAAGAGTACTGAAATCCTCAATGGCTTCTGGATACATTCGAATAATCTGCAGAGAGTAAAATATAAGTAACTTAATCTTTAAGAAAAGACTGTGTTTCCACACCGTTTTTATAGAAGCTAGCTGGAGCAGAGCATAGCTGTTCTCCGGGGTAAGCTCGAGAATTTTTTGGAAGACCCGGATGGCAGAATTGTAGGAGCCGCGTGCTGCGTACGCGTCGCCCAACGATTCCCAGTACACCATGCACTTGGAGTCCTGCTTTATGGCATCACGGAAACATTGGATGGCCTGCGTGGAAGCGAATATTCAAAATTAAACAAATATTCCAGCAGTGGATGAGTTAATGCCTACATTATCCCATTTTTTGACTTTCTGGAAGTGGAGGCCCAGCTTGTACTGCAAGCGGATGGAATCCTCACTGCTCAGGTGGTTCACTGTGTTCAGCAAAAGCGCCTCGTTCAGCTCCTCCTCACCAAGCTCCTGATAAATAAAACTCAGGGCGTCTACCGCTTCTTCCGCTAAAGGATTCAGGCTGATGCACTTCTCGTAGCACTTTCTGGCCCGAGCCGTATCCCCTGTAGTCAGAGGATACAGCCTTCCCAGGTAATCGAAACATTCGGAGAAATGCGGTCGGAGACGAGTAGCCCTCAAAATGCAGTTCAAAGCATCTGGGTAGTTCTTCAGTTTCATGTTTAGTTTTCCACAAAGAAACAGAGCATCAAAGGACTCATCATGGCCAATGGTCGAAAGGGCTTCCTCTGGTGATCTGATAGGAATCAAATGTAGAACAATAGGTTATATCTATAACATTAAGGTATACTTTTACTTACAATAGAAATTCTGCTTTAGCTATATCGTCTAGGGCTAGATCCTTAAGATGATGCACCTCACCCAGTTTATGATAGCAACTACAAAAAAAAGGATTTCGGTTATAATATCGATTTGCAAAATATCCTAGCCCTTACCGAGCTAATGTTTTAACGTTAGCCGGTGAATTTTCCAGAGTTTTTAAAACTCTAATGGCTTCCTTTATCTTGGACTCGTCTTTTTCGTATGACAAACACTCTGCCAGAGCTTTATCTTCCTGACCCAGCTGCAGCCACAGCTTCAGAGCCAGCCTAAAGGCTCCCAACTCCATATGAATTCGGGCTAGAAGTTCCAGAGCTACCTTGTAGGTTGGTTGGGACAACTGGGCCTGCAACGCGAGCTGTCTGGCCGGAACAAACTGGCCACTGGCATATTGCTGCAGCGCCTTGATTAGCAGAGCTAGATTGGAATTGGGATTCAGCTGAAGCAGCCTCTCGGCATACGAATCTATAGGATGTTTCAGCTCCTTCTGCCATACATTGCTGTAATCTTGGTCGTGGTTTTCGCAATACGTTTTACAGATCCACTCGTAACCATAGACATCATTGGGATGGGATATGGTCATGTTGATGGCGTGGCGCACGCATGCGGCATAATTCTTTTCCTTGTAGAGCCACTTCAAGTAGCGTTTGTACACGACATTTTTCGTATTTGCATCTGAGCTTTTAAGCAGAGCTTCCATTGTGGTTTTGTACTAAAGATGGAAGGGATATAGTTACAGGATGTTACGTATGATGTTCGATGGACTTACTAGTTCCTTTTCGTCTGTTGGGATTTCAAAATCATGTGTGAACCAAATACGTCCCAAATAATCTTGTAATTTAGCATAGTTTATGTCCTCTGTCTTATGGGTCCTTTTTTTAAATATTTTAAAACATGCTGGAGCTATGTTTGCATCAGAAGCTAAAGAGAAGAGCTTATCCCAGTAGTCCAATGCCTTTTCTCTGAAAAACAAAAGAAATTCATGAGCCATTGCAAAGATTAAGAAGTTCTTCTTAGATTACATGGATTTTATATCCAAGAAAGAGTTTGAAGTTACCAAATGTGCCATTCAAAAACAAATTTTCAAAAGTATTACGTTGAATATATGATATTAACTACAATAGATACTTAAAGCGAATGCTACTTTTTAGAGCACAGCCTTCCCGCACCGCTTGACAGTTTTGTTTTGATCAAGTTTAGATAGTATCTGACAGATACTTTTTTGATTGACCGTTCGATATCATTTAAAACAATAAAAAGAGTAAAAACCAAAGAATAGAACCTGGCTCTTACGGTAGCAGATCCGCCAGCTGATCGTAAACTTCAGGCAGCTCATCGTTTGGCGCACAATTGGCCAATCCTTGGAGCGCTGACGTGGCTGGTCCCTCCGTGTACTCAATGGATTTCCGCAAACTCCTTGCCGCCTCAGCCTTGTCCAGATTTTGATAGGCAGCCCCCAGCAACAAGTAGGCCATGGCATTTTTCGGCTCCATTTTCAGTAGGCGCTGCAATTAATGTCATATTTAAGTTCGCAATGGTCATGCCGGTGGCAGGTGATGTTACTTGGCATTTCGGAATGGCCTCCGCATGCTTGCCCAACTTGATTGTGTCCCTAATGTCCTTTAAGAGGGATTTCGCTTCTTTAGATGCACTCATTTCGTTTATCAATAAGTATGTTTGTTTGTGTGTTTTTGTTTTTATTTTTGTGTCTTGTGTGTTGTGAAATTCGCGCAGTGTGAGTGTTGAAAAACGTTTATTGGGTCCAACGTGTGTTTACCCAACACTCGACTTTTTATTGAAAACATTTCAATATTTTTGGATTTTAAATAGTTGTAGAGATTAAAATGCCCATCAGTTGCAAGTCCCGGTGTGGGAACCGCGCCGCCTTAAAGGTGAGTTGTTCAAAAAATCAGAAAACAGGAATTGACATTATTTTATTTCTTAAGAGACCCAAAACTGGCGATGCCTTGTGCAAGGAATGCTTCTTTGCCGCTTTTGAGGCAGAGATCCATCACACAATCTCGTCCAGCAATTTGTTTCGACGTGGCGAAAAGGTGGCCGTAGCTGCCAGTGGAGGCAAGGACTCGACGGTATTGGCTCACGTGTAAGTGGCAGAGACAAAGCATGCAACTCTGACTCATTTGTAACTTTCCTTGGTTTTAGGCTAAAACTTCTCAACGAACGACATGACTATGGACTGGACCTGGTGCTGCTCTCCATCGACGAAGGCATCACGGGCTACCGAGACGACAGCCTTGAGACTGTCAAACAAAATCGCGATGACTACCAGATGCCCCTCAAGATTCTTTCATATGAGGAGCTCTACGGTTGGACCATGGACCGAATTGTGGCCCAAATCGGACGCTCTAACAACTGCACGTTTTGCGGAGTATTCCGTAGGCAGGCATTGGATAGAGGTGCAAAGCTGCTGGGTGTAGACAGCATTGCCACGGGCCACAATGCGGATGACATTGCCGAAACGGTGCTGATGAACATTCTCCGTGGGGACACCGCTCGCTTGCGCCGCTGTACAGACATCAAGACAGGTGGCAGCGAAGACTCCATACCAAGGGTTAAACCGCTCAAATACAGCTACGAGAAGGAGATTGTCATGTATGCGCACTACAAGAAACTTGTCTACTTTTCAACGGAGTGCGTCTTTGCCCCCAATGCGTACCGTGGCCACGCTCGAGCGTTTCTGAAGGACCTGGAGAAAGTTCGGCCCTCTGTGATAATGGACATAATTTACTCCGGCGAGCAGCTGCGATTCAAGGACACTGTGAAGAAGCCCGTGCGTGGCATTTGCACACGTTGCGGCTTTGTCTCCTCCCAGCAACCTTGCAAGGCGTGTGTGCTCCTCGAAGGATTGAACCGAGGGCTTCCCAAACTGGGAATCGGCAAAAAATCCAAAGGCGATCGCATGATAGCCAAGCAAGACCAGGAACTAGCCCTAAGGGAACGTGCAAACTTAGTAAAAAACGATTTTTAATCTTTTAAAACAGTCTTTATTTTTATTTATAAGCGACTGGAAGGTTTTTGAAGGTTCCTTTGGGTTCCACACAGTTATCGACCTGGAAATATAGAACAAAATATATGGATAAGTAAGCTGACAAGATAATGTTAATATTAATTTATAAATAGTGAAGCTCAGTGCCAATTTATTAACCAGGGTCCATAACCGGTCAAGCAAGACTCCCTATCTCCAAAAGAATATTGAAGAAGTTTGTCAGCGCCTAACTTTTATATGGTGTCTGTGAATGGTTTAAGTGATCATCATTGAAGCTCGAAGAGGCTACAAATTGGTCTTTTCATACTAACCCAAGGAAAGTTTCCCTTCTGCATAAGGTCTCGCCAAACTCTGCGGATGCTTTCTTCATCCAATCGTGTCAAAATACGTCATAAATGGACCTAAAAATAGATAAGTATTATTATAATTGGGTCTATAAATATCATATATAATATATTTAATTAAGGATACTTCAGATATTTATTATAACTGATTTGAATCACAACGGTTCATTAGAGATGTCAGAAAAGAATTTAATAAATCATCATAGTATAACCATTAAAAAATAATAAAGATATAAAAGGTGCTTACCATTTTGACAGTTTTTGGCGGAAATGTCAGACCAATCATCTGGACTTCATTTTCAGTTTCTGAAACAAGAATAAAGAAATTTTTCATTAAATTTTTAAATATTTAAGGCACGCATGTATGCATTGATATTAAAAAAACTGTTGGCTTTACGAATAAAATATGCACCGCAAATTCAGTTAAAACAAATTTGGGTTATGCTTGGGCAAAGCGCATTTCTCTGCGAACAAGTAAAAAAGCACTAGCTAAAGTTATGTTTCTTTACACCAGCGACTCGTGTTCGCCCTAAAGGTTATGTATTTTTTTTTAAGAATTTACCTACCAATTTAAAATGCCGGTGTATGGACGCAGCATCCATTATTTAATAGTTCACCTGAAAAGTAATGAAATGCATCATTAGTTAGAATATAAGATAACATTGAATTTGTTGAAGTTGCATAGGATTCTGTACCACGTGCATGCAGTTTGACCTGCAATCGGTACAGAAGATTCCTTGCGGCCACAACTTGATTTTGCAACATTGAGTTCTGCAAAAAAGCTGTGTGTACTGTAATTGCAGTTATATTGGCTGCAATTATCTGAACTTAGAAACCCAAAGATAATACTTACATCTCGAATGTATGTTGCTGCTTCCACGTTTGAATTTAAAATAGAAATGGAAATTGGAGGAAGTGAGTTAAGTTGGTTGTGGCTGGTGCAATCAATGATGCCAGATGTCGAAACGGGTTTTCTACAGCGTTTTAAATTAAATAACTAACGGTCACTCTATGACAAAAATATCTGTTATACGGTGTTTAAACGAGTTGCAAATTAATATAATTTGTTATCTCCTTTAATACCAATGTTTATAAAATATTGCCAATATTGGTAAATATAAATCCAAAAACCAGGTAAAATATTTAGAAAAAATTGTATGACAGTATGATGTATGACAGTTTTTTATTCGTATATTTTTACAATGCATACAGCATTGTAAGCATACAATAAAGTCGAAACAATTAAAAATTTATAATTGATTAATAAGTTCCAAATTAAAGTTTTTTTTAAGTTTTTAAAAAGCTTTTAACGATTTTTTAAATTTATGGCTTTTTGCGTAGTGCTGCCCAATTTCTTAAGTATCGATAGACAAGCACACCGTCGAAGCCGTCACCGCTGAAATTTAACTGTATTTTCTTGTCGTGACGAGAACGCTTTTTTTCGGGCTAATTTTGTGCGAAAATTTTTATATTTTCTTATTCTACAAGTAGGTTCAAGAATGACAACTTTCAACGCATCTTCAGTTCTTATGCCGTTGGGTAAGCTTTATTGGTGGAAAACTTGGTTGCCTTGATGTAAACTAATTTATGATCCTTAGATGAGTACTACAAGCAATGCGTAGAACCGAAGCCTATTACTCTTAGACGCTCTTCATACACCTACGGTAACAATCCCCGCCGCCAGGCTGGGCATTTGCGCAGCTATAAAGATTTGGATTTCCCAGAAGAGGAGGAGGATGATGATGAGCCTGTTTCGATTCACACGACGCGCTCTGAGAGCTTGGACGATATTTTTGCGTCCAACGAAGAGGATCCCAACATAAACCAAATAAATTTTGAAATGAAAGATTTTGACAAGTTGTACTCCGAGGAAACTGGGACCTCATCAGAATTCGCACCTAACTCTGCTCAGGGCAGTGACAATAGCTCGCGATCCAACGTTAAATCACGTCTTGATCTCAGAGCCGAGTCACGTTCAATCCATTACAACCGGAGACCGCGAAACCACCAAAACTGGAATAACGGCCAACAATACCGCGGCGGCGGCTATCGTGTCCAGAGGCCTTCAATGGGAAACGCTTCAATGGAGCAGCGGATGCGCAATGCTTACAATGCATTCTCCAATAATCCGGAGCCGCGGAATGATACCCAGATAACTGTAAAGCATCCCAAAATCATCTATCCCAACCAGGCAGCTTCTGAAACCAGCCCACAGAAAAACTCTGTTTACTCACAGGTCAATTATGTCTCCGGACCGAACATTCCGGACCAGCGTGCCAACAATGTGGGAAATTCCTCATTTCCTCAGCCAGGAATGTTTGGCCAAGGATGCAGCGGAAATCAGCAACCCACTGAGCCGAAAACCGAAAAGAAAATCGAAGTTTTGGGTGACCTTATTGGAATGAATCCGACCGAAAATTCAAACTTTAACGCACGCGAGGTGGCTCGGAACGTTCTTCTATTTTTGAACACCGTTTCTGCGAACGAACAACAAGGACCGTCCCAGGTACCGATTGAATTTCAGCCAAGGAATAATTAATCTTTAATTTTGTGTGTTTATTGTAGAGACCGAACTGGATGGCCGGAAATCATCGTTTTAACTAAAATTTCCTATTTGCAGCTACATTAACATTCATGATATTTAAACCATTAAGTTAGCGGGCTCGTTCTGTGTGAATGGAATGCTCGTGTAGGGTAAGAAGCAGATATCGGGAGGTCTGCGAATGGCAACAATGAATAGTTGCCGACTGTTGTTTCTTTTTTTTTTTATATAGAATACATATTTTGGCTGATAAGAACAGGCTGTGCCTCTTATCAGCAATGCACAACAAAAAGTACACACGGACGAGCAAGATGTGAGAAGCGAAAGCGGACGAAAATAGAAACAAACGGCGATAATTTTACAGCAAAGGCGAATTTTCATACATAAGCAGCAGCACTGTGTTGATGGAGGAACAACCAAGAGAATTACGCCAATAATCCAATCAGTTAATCTTCAAAGCAGGCGGAGCGTGGACGTAAAAATGCTTAGCGGTTACGGGTATTCGGATGGTGCTTCGTGATAAAAACTCCAGGGAATAAAAAAAACACTCATTTAGCTTACATTATGTATGTGTATTATCAGATGTAGGACACTGCACTCATTAGCTATTCCTTTTTTTATTTTTTTGGCGAAACGCCGACAAACGTTGCTACAATCGAACAAAGAAGAAATCCATTTATTTCACTTACTTACTTGTAGTTTTCCGTTGAAACCGATACGCATTTGGCTGCGGACTCCGCTTCGGCCCAAAGAATACAAAATAAACGTAAAAACTATTCCTAAATGTTCGTTGTTACTCGTGAGCAGCTACCATCATGTTGAAGTCTACCCAGTTGGTGCAACAGTTTGCCAAAGGTAAGGATCTAGGGGATTCCAGTTGGATGATGGCTAAAGGCGCATTAAAAGCTAGATTTGTACCTTCATCTTCCTATCTGTGTTTTCGTTGCTCCTCTTATCAGCTTCGCGCATGTGCTCGTGTAAGCATAGTACTATATCACGAGATTGTAGGCTCGCCTTGGCAGGCCTTAAGGCCTATGACGCTGAAAGCGACAGGTTCTTCGTCATCATGAGCTTTCCAATAAACTGCTTTCTTTTGTTTTGATTTTATCTCGTCAGTAAGGTTTAATAATTAATATTTTTCAAGTGATAAAAGTGGCAATACCCCTTAATAAAATGGTTACTTATCTGCCAACTTTTCGTTGCTTTATATGAAAATCCTAATCATTGTAACCTCACCCCAATTGTCAACCTCAGAATGATCCTGGGTTGGAGAAAGATTTTGTCAGAGTTACTCAGTAAAGTGTCAATCCCAGTGGGGCGCTTCCAAAATCGGACTAACAAGGACCTCCGTTGCGTTTGTGCGTTTTACAGAGTACGCCAAGTTTACGCCGGCCAACTTTAAGTTGGAGCGGGCACTGGTGGTCACCAAGTTGTCTCGCTATGAGTTCGAGCAGCTGCGTCATCCCGGCCTCTCCAAGGAGCAGCTGGAGCAGAAGTTGCGGAACCGGGGCACCGATGTGGAGATGGTGCTTTACCTGCACAACCTCCACAAGGACTTTGAACGCCGGATCGTCCAGAGCTTCAAGAACGTGGGCTGCGAGGTGAAGCTGGCCAGCAGGTGCGTACCTTCTTCTTCCTCCCTTATAATCCTCCCCGTGTCCGTGTGTGTCGTGTCGCCCGTCACATAATTATTATGCAATTGTATATCTTCGATCCTGCCACAATTGATATCTCCGTCATCCACACACTTGCGTGTCCGGCCGCTGTTCTGTTGTGTGTTGTGTTGACTTTACTAAACGAGCAGACTTGAATTTAGAAGCTCGTTGAGCAAGGAGGTCATGCGCTGGGCGGACGTCATCGTTCCTGTGGGTGGTGATGGCACCTTTCTCCTATCTGCGGGACGCGCCAGTCCGCTCTTTGCCCTTAGCCAACAGAAGACGCCGATTGTGGGCTTTAACTCGGACCCCCTTCACTCGGAGGGCAGGCTGATGCTGCCCAAGTACTTCTCGGAGAATCCCTCCGATGCAGTCTCAAGGATAAAGAGCGTAAGTAATGTACTTATTCCTATATATTTGTATATATTGAAAAAATATGTCTTTATTGAAGGGTGACTTCAAGTGGATGCATCGCTCCAGAGTGCGCACTACGCTGCTGGGTAGCAATGGCAAGATCCCGGAATCCACAGACCTCTTCCGGCACACAGAGGTTAAAATGGAGCAAGTCACAACCGAACCCGAGATGCTCGACCCGGAAATGGCCAGCAAGTACAAGGCAAAAATGAAGCGCATTCTCCCCTATTTGGCCTTAAATGAGGTTGGTTTTCAATGAATTATAAATAAAGTCTCGAAAGATGGTAAATAATTATGTCCGATAGGTCTTTATTGGCGAGCATCTCTCGGCGAGAGTGTCCCACCTGCAGTTGGTATTGGACCACCAGGACGTGGTGAACAAAACCAAGTGCTCAGGACTCTGTGTGAGTACGGGAACGGGTTCGACCTCGTGGCACACCAGTATCAACCGCATTACCAGTAGAAACGTAGATGCCTTGCTCCGATCGCTTCCTAACAGTGATTCGAAAGACGTATTGAAGCTGCGGGAGAACACGGAGGAGATCGCTCAGAGATACAACCAAGGTCTGCTATTCGCACCCGATGACCCAAGGCTTTGCTATTCGATCCGGGAACAAATCTGCGTGGGTGTGTGGCCCTCGCCGAAGACTTTTAAGGAGCGCGACTTTGTGCAGAGTGTGTTTGTCAAGTCGCACTGCATCGATGCCAGTAAGTACCTATATAGTCTAGCTGCGAAATTATAATAAATTTCATATTTCTCTTACGCTAGATCTTGTCATAGACGGCAGCATATCGTACCCCTTCAATGATGGTGCTAAGGCCTTGCTGGAGATCTATCCCGAGGATGCGCTGCTGACCATTGCCCTAGACTGATAACTGAGGAATCATGGGGGAATAACGCGTCTCAAGTGCCTGGTCCGGCGTCTCTAGCATGTCCGAATTTTGGAAATTATTTAAATATGCATTTTGCAACTACTTAGCGGTGTAAGCTCAAAAGTTATTTTGTTATAATATTAAAGTATATTTAAACATCACGCTTTAGACTTTTTAACTTTTTTGTTGGCCTTCTCAGCTTTCGATTTAAAAGGTCTCTTCTGTGGTTTTACTTCTGACCCATCTTTGGTGAGCTTTTGACTCCGTCCCTTGTGTTTCTTCTCGAATCGGGCACTGTCCACTGTCTTGAAGCGTTCGTCTTGCAGAAGCACCTTGCTCTCTTCGTTGTTGGCGGATTCTGCTTGCTGTAGCTTTCGTTTGCGACGAATTTCTTTCAGCTTATCCTTCTGCTTTTTCCGATAGCTGTGCGAATGATTTTTATATTAAGGATCTCGGCTAAAAAGAGTTAATTGCTTACAGTGCTTCCATTTGGTCTGGATCCTTTCCTTCCATTATCCATGTTTTCCTTCTGTAGTTCTGAGCCCGCTCGTCAAAGTCGTTATTATCCAGTTGCATCTCTGACTCTCGTCGCGTTACATTAACTTGCATAAAAATTCGTTCAACCATTCGCTCTAATGATCAAAAAGAAACTTATTTAAAGGATATTTTAAAATTATACTGAAAAACGTACGGTCGATTGGATGCTCGGTCATTTTGGTATTGATTTCCTCCTCAATGGCCCCTAACAGCTCCAGATCCCGTGGAAATCGAAAAATAGAGATGGACATGCCTTTCCGTCCTGCCCTTGCAGTTCGACCCACGCGGTGGATGTACTCCTTAGGGGTACGGGGAAGCATGTGATTTATCACCAACTGGACACTGGGAATATCGAGGCCTCTGGCAGCCACATCTGTGGCAATCAAGGTGCGTATGTGGTTAGACTTGAAGCGACTTAGGGCAGCCACGCGCTCCTTTTGCCGCATGAAGCCGTGCAAACACACATTGTCTATGTCCATGTTTTTCAGAGTCATCGAAAGCAGTTGACAGTATCTAAAATAAGAACAAATGATTAAGTTAAATACGATTTATCTACGTTTAAGTCTTACTTTTTTGTGTTGGTGAATATCATGACATTAGCGTTTTCATTTTCCTCCCGGTATTTCCTTAAAGCCTCGATCAAAACCATGTCGCGATCATAATCTGCACACAGAAGATACCGTTGGTCAAGGGTATCTACAGTGGCCACATCGGAGTCCTGCGACCATTCCAGGCACTAGACGAAAAATACCTGAGATTAACATAATCTTTTGTAATTTTTTCACACTTACATCTTTAGATATGGGAAAAATGCTAGACTCTTTAATGAAGTCCTTCATTGTGGCTGAGAAAAAGAGGTTCTGTCTGGTCTTGGGCAGGCAGCGTTCGATTATGGCCAGGCTCTCATCAAAATCGCCGTTTAGCATGCGATCCGCCTCATCCACCACCAGGTATTTCAGGTTATCGAAGGAGAACGTGTCGCAGCCGGTGAGATGATCAGCCAGACGTCCAGGCATTGCTACCACAATGTGTGGTCGTTGCATAAGTTTCTGGCTCTCTATCATTTGATCTGTTCCGCCGGATACGACACAGACACGAACCCCCATAGCCTGGCCAGCCACAAGAAACTGCTCTGATATCTGGTACGCCAGCTCGTGCGTGGGTGTTAAAACCAAAGCGAAATGACTGACGGGTTCTTCACTCAGCTTCTCCAGGATTGGCAAAGCGAAGGCAAAGGTCTTTCCCGACCCAGTCTTTGCGGCTCCGATGCAGTCCTGTCCGGACAAAATTGCAGGAATACAATTCTGCTGAATGGGAGTTGCTCCTTTCAATCCTGTGAGTAGAGATTCATATTTAGTCAGGGTACTTATTAATTTTACGCTTCAAATTACCCAATTTTGTGAGCTGCTTTACCAGCCAAGGCCTCAAGCCCAGGCTCTGGAAGGGATTCACCTCCTTCCGCTGCATTTTTCCAAAATAAAAACAACAAAATCAAAACAAGAAAACAACGTGCGCGAGCTAGTGATGGGCGAATAACATATGGACAGTTTTCACATCGGATTATATATCGCAAAAGCTATTTTTGCAAGCTTGAGTAATATTAGAATAGATTTTTCACCCATAAGTTAAATTAGTTGGAAATTAAAGAATAACACAATAAATTAATACAAAAATAAAAGGAGCAAATGGAGGAACAGTGATCAGCTGACAAAGGGGAATAAATATCGATAACAATCGAGTACATTTTACACACCACTAATGTCATTGGCGCGATCTTTTTGTAAGAAATTATACCTACAGTACACGAAAAGTAAATTAAAATGCTTGAAGACACTCAAAAAGAAGCGATTTCGATGTCGTACAGTGAGCTGGAGTGTATAGACCAGGAGGACATTATTATGCTTGTTGATGTCGAATCTGCAATCAAGATATGCCAGGAATATTTGGACAGTAACACGAACAGCTCTTCCAATGTTTTGTCGCTATGGTTTAATAAAATGTTAAGAGCATATATGGATGAGGATATATGCTGCTTCAATGCCATCAAGCAAATGTGCGAGTGGTTTCAGACAATGGTAAGGACGAAAAACACTCCATATACAAAAACCTATAACATTTTTATACCCTTGCAGAGGGTATTATAATATTGGTAAAAGTAAAGGTGCAACGCAGTGAAGGAGACATCTCTCAACCTATAATGTATAAATATTCCTGTTTAGGATCACACCCTGTCTCTCAGTTTTAAAGCTATCGACTTGAAACTTTGCACACACCCTTCTTTCCAATAATACATATTATAGACTTATATAGTCGGAACGACAGGGTTCGGGCGACTATATCTTATAGCTGCAATATAACTGATTGATCGAAAATGCAATAACGTTGTTGTTTTTAATATAAGAGATAGAGAAATAATACGACAAACCAACTTTCATAAGGATCCTTTCATAAGAATTCACAAAAAATAAACAAAAAATCTAAAAAATAGTTTGTCTCGGGATTTTGATGCAGAATGGTGGAGAATCGATTTACAAATCGTTTAAGGTACTCCGCTTGAGAATCGGATCAGGATTGGGGAAGATATAGCCACCACTGTGGACCCTATAGGGGAAAAAACCATTTTCAAGGGATCCCATCACGAAAAATTGACAAAAAATCTAAAAAATATTTTGTCTCAGGATTTTGATGCAGAATGGTGCAGAATCGATCTACAAATCGTTTAAGGTATTCCGCTTGGGAATCGGATCAGAATTGGAAAAGATATAGCCATCACTTTGGGCCCTATAGGGGAAAAAACCATTTTCAAGGGATCCCATTACGAAAAATTGACAAAAAATCTAAAAAATATTTTGTCTCAGGATTTTGATGCAGAATGGTGCAGAATCAATCTACAAATCGTTTAAGGTATTCCGCTTGGGAATCGGATCAGGATTGGGAAAGATATAGCCATCATTGTGGACCCTATAGGGAAAAACAGCATTTTCAAGGGGGATCCCTCGAAAAATGGAAAAAAATCGAAAAATATATTTTGTCTCAGGATTTTGATGCAGAATGGTGCAGAATCGATCTACAAATCGTTTAAGGTATTCCGCTTGGGAATCGGATCAGGATTGGGAAAGATATAGCCATCATTGTGGACCCTATAGGGAAAAACAGCATTTTCAAGGGGAATCCCTCGAAAAATGGAAAAAAAATCTAAAAAATATTTTGTCTCAGGATTTTGATGCAGAATGGTGCAGAATCGATCTACAAATCGTTTAAGGTATTCCGCTCTTCCAATGTTTTGTCGCTATGGTTTAATAAAATGTTAAGAGCATATATGGATGAGGATATATGCTGCTTCAATGCCATCAAGCAAATGTGCGAGTGGTTTCAGACAATGGTAAGGACGAAAAACACTCCATATACAAAAACCTATAACATTTTTATACCCTTGCAGAGGGTATTATAATATTGGTAAAAGTAAAGGTGCAACGCAGTGAAGGAGACATCTCTCAACCTATAATGTATAAATATTCCTGTTTAGGATCACACCCTGTCTCTCAGTTTTAAAGCTATCGACTTGAAACTTTGCACACACCCTTCTTTCCAATAATACATATTATAGACTTATATAGTCGGAACGACAGGGTTCGGGCGACTATATCTTATAGCTGCAATATAACTGATTGATCGAAAATGCAATAACGTTGTTGTTTTTAATATAAGAGATAGAGAAATAATACGACAAACCAACTTTCATAAGGATCCTTTCATAAGAATTCACAAAAAATAAACAAAAAATCTAAAAAATAGTTTGTCTCGGGATTTTGATGCAGAATGGTGGAGAATCGATTTACAAATCGTTTAAGGTACTCCGCTTGAGAATCGGATCAGGATTGGGGAAGATATAGCCACCACTGTGGACCCTATAGGGAAAAAAACCATTTTTAAAAATCTAAAAAATATTTTGTCTCAGGATTTTGATGCAGAATGGTGCAGAATCGATCTACAAATCATTTAAGGTATTCCGCTTGGGAATCGGATCAGGATTGGGAAAGATATAGCCATCACTGTGGACCCTATAGGGGAAAAACCATTTTCAAGGGATCCCATCACGAAAAATTGACAAAAAATCTAAAAATATTTTGTCTCAGGATTTTGATGCAGAATGGTGCAGAATCGATCTACAAATCATTTAAGGTATTCCGCTTGGGAATCGGATCAGGATTGGGAAAGATATAGCCATCACTGTGGACCCTATAGGAGAAAAACCATTTTCAAGGGATCCCATCACGAAAAATTGACAAAAAATCTAAAAAATATTTTGTCTCAGGATTTTGATGCAGAATGGTGCAGAATCGATCTACAAATCATTTAAGGTATTCCGCTTGGGAATCGGATCAGGATTGGGAAAGATATAGCCATCACTGTGGACCCTATAGGAGAAAAAACCATTTTCAAGGGATCCCATCACGAAAAATTGACAAAAAATCTAAAAAATATTTTGTCTCAGGATTTTGATGCAGAATGGTGCAGAATCGATCTACAAATCGTTTAAGGTATTCCGCTTGGGAATCGGATCAGAATTGGGAAAGATATAGCCATCACTTTGGGCCCTATAGGGGAAAAAACCATTTTCAAGGGATCCCATCACGAAAAATTGACAAAAAATCTAAAAAATATTTTGTCTCAGGATTTTGATGCAGAATGGTGCAGAATCGATCTACAAATCGTTTAAGGTATTCCGCTTGGGAATCGGATCAGGATTGGGAAAGATATAGCCATCACTGTGGACCCTATAAGGGAAAACAGCATTTTCAAGGGGGATCCCTCGAAAAATGGACAAAAAATCTAAAAAATATTTTGTCTCAGGATTTTGATGCAGAATGGTGCAGAATCGATCTACAAATCGTTTAAGGTATTCCGCTTGGCAATCGGATTAGGATTGGGAAAGATATAGCCATCACTGTGGACCCTATAAGGGAAAACACCATTTTCAAGGGGGATCCCTGGAAAAATAGACAAAAAATCTAAAAAATATTTTGTCTCAGGATTTTGATGCAGAATGGTGCAGAATCGATCTACAAATCGTTTAAGGTATTCCGCTTGGGAATCGGATCAGGATTGGGAAAGATATAGCCATCATTGTGGACCCTATAGGGAAAAACAGCATTTTCAAGGGGGATCCCTCGAAAAATGGAAAAAAAATCGAAAAAATATTTTGTCTCAGGATTTTGATGCAGAATGGTGCAGAATCGATCTACAAATCGTTTAAGGTATTCCGCTTGGGAATCGGATCAGAATTGGAAAAGATATAGCCATCACTTTGGGCCCTATAGGGGAAAAAACCATTTTCAAGGGATCCCATTACGAAAAATTGACAAAAAATCTAAAAAATATTTTGTCTCAGGATTTTGATGCAGAATGGTGCAGAATCAATCTACAAATCGTTTAAGGTATTCCGCTTGGGAATCGGATCAGGATTGGGAAAGATATAGCCATCATTGTGGACCCTATAGGGAAAAACAGCATTTTCAAGGGGGATCCCTCGAAAAATGGAAAAAAAATCGAAAAAATATTTTGTCTCAGGATTTTGATGCAGAATGGTGCAGAATCGATCTACAAATCGTTTAAGGTATTCCGCTTGGGAATCGGATCAGGATTGGGAAAGATATAGCCATCATTGTGGACCCTATAGGGAAAAACAGCATTTTCAAGGGGAATCCCTCGAAAAATGGAAAAAAAATCTAAAAAATATTTTGTCTCAGGATTTTGATGCAGAATGGTGCAGAATCGATCTACAAATCGTTTAAGGTATTCCGCTCTTCCAATGTTTTGTCGCTATGGTTTAATAAAATGTTAAGAGCATATATGGATGAGGATATATGCTGCTTCAATGCCATCAAGCAAATGTGCGAGTGGTTTCAGACAATGGTAAGGACGAAAAACACTCCATATACAAAAACCTATAACATTTTTATACCCTTGCAGAGGGTATTATAATATTGGTAAAAGTAAAGGTGCAACGCAGTGAAGGAGACATCTCTCAACCTATAATGTATAAATATTCCTGTTTAGGATCACACCCTGTCTCTCAGTTTTAAAGCTATCGACTTGAAACTTTGCACACACCCTTCTTTCCAATAATACATATTATAGACTTATATAGTCGGAACGACAGGGTTCGGGCGACTATATCTTATAGCTGCAATATAACTGATTGATCGAAAATGCAATAACGTTGTTGTTTTTAATATAAGAGATAGAGAAATAATACGACAAACCAACTTTCATAAGGATCCTTTCATAAGAATTCACAAAAAATAAACAAAAAATCTAAAAAATAGTTTGTCTCGGGATTTTGATGCAGAATGGTGGAGAATCGATTTACAAATCGTTTAAGGTACTCCGCTTGAGAATCGGATCAGGATTGGGGAAGATATAGCCACCACTGTGGACCCTATAGGGAAAAAAACCATTTTTAAAAATCTAAAAAATATTTTGTCTCAGGATTTTGATGCAGAATGGTGCAGAATCGATCTACAAATCATTTAAGGTATTCCGCTTGGGAATCGGATCAGGATTGGGAAAGATATAGCCATCACTGTGGACCCTATAGGGGAAAAAACCATTTTCAAGGGATCCCATCACGAAAAATTGACAAAAAATCTAAAAAATATTTTGTCTCAGGATTTTGATGCAGAATGGTGCAGAATCGATCTACAAATCATTTAAGGTATTCCGCTTGGGAATCGGATCAGGATTGGGAAAGATATAGCCATCACTGTGGACCCTATAGGAGAAAAAACCATTTTCAAGGGATCCCATCACGAAAAATTGACAAAAAATCTAAAAAATATTTTGTCTCAGGATTTTGATGCAGAATGGTGCAGAATCGATCTACAAATCATTTAAGGTATTCCGCTTGGGAATCGGATCAGGATTGGGAAAGATATAGCCATCACTGTGGACCCTATAGGAGAAAAAACCATTTTCAAGGGATCCCATCACGAAAAATTGACAAAAAATCTAAAAAATATTTTGTCTCAGGATTTTGATGCAGAATGGTGCAGAATCGATCTACAAATCGTTTAAGGTATTCCGCTTGGGAATCGGATCAGAATTGGGAAAGATATAGCCATCACTTTGGGCCCTATAGGGGAAAAACCATTTTCAAGGGATCCCATCACGAAAAATTGACAAAAATCTAAAAAATATTTTGTCTCAGGATTTTGATGCAGAATGGTGCAGAATCGATCTACAAATCGTTTAAGGTATTCCGCTTGGGAATCGGATCAGGATTGGGAAAGATATAGCCATCACTGTGGACCCTATAAGGGAAAACAGCATTTTCAAGGGGGATCCCTCGAAAAATGGACAAAAAATCTAAAAAATATTTTGTCTCAGGATTTTGATGCAGAATGGTGCAGAATCGATCTACAAATCGTTTAAGGTATTCCGCTTGGCAATCGGATTAGGATTGGGAAAGATATAGCCATCACTGTGGACCCTATAAGGGAAAACACCATTTTCAAGGGGGATCCCTGGAAAAATAGACAAAAAATCTAAAAAATATTTTGTCTCAGGATTTTGATGCAGAATGGTGCAGAATCGATCTACAAATCGTTTAAGGTATTCCGCTTGGGAATCGGATCAGGATTGGGAAAGATATAGCCATCATTGTGGACCCTATAGGGAAAAACAGCATTTTCAAGGGGAATCCCTCGAAAAATGGAAAAAAAATCGAAAAAATATTTTGTCTCAGGATTTTGATGCAGAATGGTGCAGAATCGATCTACAAATCGTTTAAGGTATTCCGCTTGGGAATCGGATTAGGATTGGGAAAGATATAGCCATCACTGTGGACCCTATAAGGGAAAACAGCATTTTCAAGGGGGATCCCTCGAAAAATGGAAAAAAAATTTAAAAAATATTTTGTCTCAGGATTTTGATGCAGAATGGTGCAGAATCGATCTACAAATCGTTTAAGGTATTCCGCTTGGGAATCGGATCAGGATTGGGAAAGATATAGCCATCACTGTGGACCCTATAGGAGAAAAAACCATTTTCAAGGGATCCCATCACGAAAAATTGACAAAAAATCTAAAAAATATTTTGTCTCAGGATTTTGATGCAGAATGGTGCAGAATCGATCTACAAATCGTTTAAGGTATTCCGCTTGGGAATCGGATCAGAATTGGGAAAGATATAGCCATCACTTTGGGCCCTATAGGGGAAAAAACCATTTTCAAGGGATCCCATTACGAAAAATTGACAAAAAATCTAAAAAATATTTTGTCTCAGGATTTTGATGCAGAATGGTGCAGAATCAATCTACAAATCGTTTAAGGTATTCCGCTTGGGAATCGGATCAGGATTGGGAAAGATATAGCCATCATTGTGGACCCTATAGGGAAAAACAGCATTTTCAAGGGGGATCCCTCGAAAAATGGAAAAAAAATCGAAAAAATATTTTGTCTCAGGATTTTGATGCAGAATGGTGCAGAATCGATCTACAAATCGTTTAAGGTATTCCGCTTGGGAATCGGATCAGGATTGGGAAAGATATAGCCATCATTGTGGACCCTATAGGGAAAAACAGCATTTTCAAGGGGAATCCCTCGAAAAATGGAAAAAAAATCTAAAAAATATTTTGTCTCAGGATTTTGATGCAGAATGGTGCAGAATCGATCTACAAATCGTTTAAGGTATTCCGCTTGGGAATCGGATTAGGATTGGGAAAGATATAGCCATCACTGTGGACCCTATAAGGGAAAACACCATTTTCAAGGGGGATCCCTGGAAAAATAGACAAAAAATCTACAAAATATTTTGTCTCAGGATTTTGATGCAGAATGGTGCAGAATCGATCTAAAAATCGTTTAAGGTATTCCGCTTGGGAATCGGATCAGGATTGGGAAAGATATAGCCATCACTGTGGACCCTATAAGGGAAAACAGCATTTTCAAGGGGGATCCCTCGAAAAATGGAAAAAAAATCTAAAAAATATTTTGTCTCAGGATTTTGATGCAGAATGGTGCAGAATCGATCTACAAATCGTTTAAGGTATTCCGCTTGGGAATCGGATCAGGATTGGGGAAGATAGAGCCATCACCGTGGACCCTATAGGGAAAAACACCATTTTCAAGGGGAATCCCTGGAAAAATGGACAAAAAATCTAAAAAATATTTTGTCTCAGGATTTTGATGCAGAATGGTGCAGAATCGATCTAAAAATCGTTTAAGGTATTCCGCTTGGAAATCGGATCAGGATTGGGAAAGATAAAGCCATCACCGTGGACCGTATAGGAGAAAACCCTATTTTCAAGGGATCCCATCACGAAAAATGGACAAAAAATCTACAAAATATTTTGTTCCAGGATTTTGATGCAGAATGGTGCAGAATCGATCTACAAATCGTTTAAGGTATTCCGCTTGAGAATCGGATCAGGATTGGGGAAGATATAGTCATCACTGTGGACCCTATAGGGGAAAACAGCATTTTCAAGGGGAATCCCTCGAAAAATGGAAAAAAAATCGAAAAAATATTTTGTCTCAGGATTTTGATGCAGAATGGTGCAGAATCGATCTACAAATCGTTTAAGGTATTCCGCTTGGGAATCGGATCAGGATTGGGAAAGATATAGCCATCACTGTGGACCCTATAGGGAAAAACAGCATTTTCAAGGGATCCCATCACGAAAAATGGACAAAAAATCTAAAAAATATTTTGTCTCAGGATTTTGATGCAGAATGGTGCAGAATCGATCTACAAATCGTTTAAGGTATTCCGCTTGGGAATCGGATCAGGATTGGGAAAGATATAGCCATCACTGTGGACCCTATAGGGAAAAACAGCATTTTCAAGGGATCCCATCACGAAAAATGGACAAAAAATCTAAAAAATATTTTGTCTCAGGATTTTGATGCAGAATGGTGCAGAATCGATCTAAAAATCGTTTAAGGTATTCCGCTTGGAAATCGGATCAGGATTGGGAAAGATAAAGCCATCACCGTGGACCGTATAGGAGAAAACCCTATTTTCAAGGGATCCCATCACGAAAAATGGACAAAAAATCTACAAAATATTTTGTTCCAGGATTTTGATGCAGAATGGTGCAGAATCGATCTACAAATCGTTTAAGGTATTCCGCTTGAGAATCGGATCAGGATTGGGGAAGATATAGTCATCACTGTGGACCCTATAGGGGAAAACAGCATTTTCAAGGGGAATCCCTCGAAAAATGGAAAAAAAATCGAAAAAATATTTTGTCTCAGGATTTTGATGCAGAATGGTGCAGAATCGATCTACAAATCGTTTAAGGTATTCCGCTTGGGAATCGGATCAGGATTGGGAAAGATATAGCCATCACTGTGGACCCTATAGGGAAAAACAGCATTTTCAAGGGATCCCATCACGAAAAATGGACAAAAAATCTAAAAAATATTTTGTCTCAGGATTTTGATGCAGAATGGTGCAGAATCGATCTACAAATCGTTTAAGGTATTCCGCTTGGGAATCGGATCAGGATTGGGAAAGATATAGCCATCACTGTGGACCCTATAGGGAAAAACAGCATTTTCAAGGGATCCCATCACGAAAAATGGACAAAAAATCTAAAAAATATTTTGTCTCAGGATTTTGATGCAGAATGGTGCAGAATCGATCTACAAATCGTTTAAGGTATTCCGTTCGGGAATCGGATCAGGATTGGGAAAGATATAGCCATCACTGTGGACCCTATAAGGGAAAACAGCATTTTCAAGGGGGATCCCTCGAAAAATGGAAAAAAAATCTAAAAAATATTTTGTCTCAGGATTTTGATGCAGAATGGTGCAGAATCGATCTAAAAATCGTTTAAGGTATTCCGCTTGGGAATCGGATCAGGATTGGGGAAGATAGAGCCATCACCGTGGACCCTATAGGGAAAAACACCATTTTCAAGGGGAATCCCTGGAAAAATGGACAAAAAATCTAAAAAATATTTTGTCTCACGATTTTGATGCAGAATGGTGCAGAATCGATCTAAAAATCGTTTAAGGCATTCCGCTTGGGAATCGGATTAGGATTGGGAAAGATATAGCCATCACTGTGGACCCTATAAGGGAAAACACCATTTTCAAGGGGGATCCCTGGAAAAATAGACAAAAAATCGAAAAAATATTTTGTCTCAGGATTTTGATGCAGAATGGTGCAGAATCGATCTACAAATCGTTTAAGGTATTCCGCTTGGGAATCGGATCAGGATTGGGAAAGATATAGCCATCACTGTGGACCCTATAGGGAAAAACAGCATTTTCAAGGGATCCCATCACGAAAAATGGACAAAAAATCTAAAAAATATTTTGTCTCAGGATTTTGATGCAGAATGGTGCAGAATCGATCTACAAATCGTTTAAGGTATTCCGCTTGGGAATCGGATCAGGATTGGGAAAGATATAGCCATCATTGTGGACCCTATAGGGAAAAACAGCATTTTCAAGGGGGATCCCTCGAAAAATGGAAAAAAAATCGAAAAAATATTTTGTCTCAGGATTTTGATGCAGAATGGTGCAGAATCGATCTACAAATCGTTTAAGGTATTCCGCTTGGGAATCGGATTAGGATTGGGAAAGATATAGCCATCACTGTGGACCCTATAAGGGAAAACACCATTTTCAAGGGGGATCCCTGGAAAAATAGACAAAAAATCTAAAAAATATTTTGTCTCAGGATTTTGATGCAGAATGGTGCAGAATCGATCTACAAATCGTTTAAGGTATTCCGCTCGGGAATCGGATCAGGATTGGGAAAGATATAGCCATCACTGTGGACCCTATAAGGGAAAACAGCATTTTCAAGGGGGATCCCTCGAAAAATGGAAAAAAAATCTAAAAAATATTTTGTCTCAGGATTTTGATGCAGAATGGTGCAGAATCGATCTAAAAATCGTTTAAGGTATTCCGCTTGGGAATCGGATCAGGATTGGGGAAGATAGAGCCATCACCGTGGACCCTATAGGGAAAAACACCATTTTCAAGGGGAATCCCTGGAAAAATGGACAAAAAATCTAAAAAATATTTTGTCTCACGATTTTGATGCAGAGTGGTGCAGAATCGATCTAAAAATCGTTTAAGGTATTCCGCTTGGGAATCGGATCAGGATTGGGAAAGATATAGCCATCACTGTGGACCCTATAGGGAAAAACACCATTTTCAAGGGGAATCCCTGGAAAAATGGACAAAAAATCTAAAAAATATTTTGTCTCACGATTTTGATGCAGAATGGTGCAGAATCGATCTAAAAATCGTTTAAGGTATTCCGCTTGGAAATCGGATCAGGATTGGGAAAGATAAAGCCATCACCGTGGACCGTATAGGAGAAAACCCTATTTTCAAGGGATCCCATCACGAAAAATGGACAAAAAATCTACAAAATATTTTGTTCCAGGATTTTGATGCAGAATGGTGCAGAATCGATCTACAAATCGTTTAAGGTATTCCGCTTGAGAATCGGATCAGGATTGGGGAAGATATAGTCATCACTGTGGACCCTATAGGGGAAAACAGCATTTCCAAGGGGATTCCTCGAAAAATGGAAAAAAAATCTAAAAAATATTTTGTCTCACGATTTTGATGCAGAATGGTGCAGAATCGATTTTCAAATCGTTTAAGGTACTCCGCTTGAGCATAGGATGGGAATTGGTGAAGATATAGCCATCAATGACCATATCGGGGAAATCCTATTTTAAAGGGAACCCTTCAGAAAAAATGGACAAAAAATCTAAAATATATAGTATTTTCGAAGATAAAAGCTTGGGACTTTTCGGCTCCTCCCTAATTTACATTTCTTTTCTTGTTTTCGTCAGATGTCAACTGAATCATCGGATATATGTAACAATATAAAGACTATCGTGACGGACGCACAGCAGTTTGTAACAGATTACAAGGACCATTTACTAAGAAGAGATGAACGTATGGTCCATGGAACTGTATATATGTTGTTTGAAATGGTCAAAGTTTTTTTTGAAGAAAGGTACGGTGAATAATTTAAATAAATTTTAATAAATAATTCAATAAATGTTATCTAACAGTGGAAAAAATGAGAATCGCAGTACTCTGAAGACAAGTGCAGCAGTTGCCGTTAATCTTCTTTTCCAAGTGCTTTCCGTACTCAAGGAAATTACTGCGGTTTCAACAAAACTGCATGTGCGCGTTTCAACCCGTAAGTATATATTAACATATTTTACAAATTGTGTCCTCATTGGGTTCGTCTTAAAATAATAACCATAAAAACCTAATTTTAGTGATTCAGCAGATGAGCGACATGTCCGCATTTGTATGCGAAAATGTCACTGACACATTTATAGGAATTAGCGAAACTATGACCTTTATATGCTTACACTATTTAAAATTGTATAACGAAAGTCCAATAAAGGAAGAGCAGATGCCTCAATGGCTCAAGGAGACTATTCTGCATATTTGCGATACGATCCTAAACCTCTTGGAACCAGTTTTTAAAAAGGTTTGTTTTAAATTTTTTATTTCTTTGTTAGACATTTAAGAGTTTGTCATTTGCAGGTTGCACTTTCTATACCCATTGAAAAACTAGAAGAATTGGTCGTACTTATTCATAAATATTTATTGATGCTGCATGAGATAATCAGTGGTGTCGTTACCCCAATAGACGAAGAAGTTTTACAAGCACTAATTGAACTCCTCGGTGAAACGTAAGAGATAATGCAATTTAATACAACTTTCTCTTATATCCTTTTTTTATAGAAAACCATGTCATAACCTTGGCAAGGATATACCTTTACTTTTATCCACATACATTACCCCGTATGTGATTAATGTAATCGGAATTGTTTATTCCTATGATGATTTTCAAAAGGTATTTCCATCTTTATGTTTCATAGATATATATGCATATTATTCAATATATATTTTATTTAGTATTTAATCTCCTGCCTGAAAGATTCTATTCAATCGAAAGTAGAATATTTTTACGTATGCATTGGCTTTATAACAGCGGTATCCAAAGACGCAGCGGAAATCAACGAAAGTACCTGCAAAACCATAGAAAGAATTTTTGAATACTTGTTCAAAGGTAAAAAATGTTAATATTATTATTTTCGTGTTTAAAAACGTTTTAATGTATTCACAGATGCCTCCAATTTTGTAAATTGCGAGAAGTACGATCTCATTATTGAAAGCTATGCTACTTTGTTGTTTTTGGGAGAAAGTTATTTTCTGTTTTGTTATTTTTTCATGGGATTGTTTGAAGAGGACATTATCTTGGCCCAAGCGTGTGCCGATGTACTTATGTTATGTTTTCGGTTTGTAAATTGAGCTATATCATTCATATAAAAATCGTAATCCTTATACATCCACTTTACAGCCTAAAGGAAGTAAACCAGTCCTGGAACCAAAGCGAAATTGAAAAGGCTTTAAGTTTCTGGAATAAATGCAACAACACCTATTCAATGTTTTCTCAACAACCAAGTCAATGGCATGTTCAGCGTTTTCTTAAATACTTTCATCGAATAGGAAAAAAGGAGTTACCCGACTTTAACATGGAAAACTTTCGGTACATATCCGCAGTGCCTCCTTCACAAATGGGAAACAAGTTGTTACAGTGCTTGGAAAATTGTTCTTCTGATCCGCCAACTCAACCGGAAGTCTACTACGAAATGGTTAGGTTACTTGTAAAATTATATAATAAGAATTAAAATATTTTTTGTTACAGGCGGGAATTCTTGACTTGTTAGCTCAACAGAACAACGTAGATTGTTCAAAGTGGTTTTTACGCTCCTTTGAAATGGCCAAAGAGCTTCTAAGCAACGGCAAGTCTATGGTGTTTTTCGAGAGTTACTTCAAGCTTCTTGCCAAAGAAAACAAAGCCACACAATTAGTAATATTACGAGGCCTGCCGCCGTTAATTGGAGACGCCTGCTGGAATCAGCAGAAGTTCATATTTACCTGCAAAGCCAGCGACGACCCGCAATTGAAAGCTTTTAGTGCTCGACTTTCTATTGGAAATAATATACAGTCTATTTTAGACGCCATGTTTCGGCAAAATACATCTGTGGACACATCTGTGGATCTGTGGTCTTCTGGCCAAGACCTGAGTATAGAAAGTATTGCTCGACAGAAGCATGAATGCTCAGTTTCTAGTTTGAAACGTAAGCGATCTGATGATTCCGCAAAAGAAATTTTAAAAGTAATGTACGAGAAATCAACGCAATTTCGCCAAAGCAACTTGTCCAGTTTGGAAGCTGCTGACTGGGATCGTGTTAAGGATATAGTGGTTTGTTTGACAAGCATTTGCAACGAAAAAAATAATTAAACAAAATAAAAAAAAAGAATTGATTTTAAGGTATTCTTGTTTTAAAAGTGTTTCGTTTTTAAACAATTGGTCAAGCTGCGAAAACAATACGTCCTAGGCAGAGATAAAAGTTATCACGCTTGGTGAATTTCCATTAACTGACATTTGTTGCCTACACATTCAGAATGTGATGGTCAACATAATCATCTCCATCTGCATCTATTTCCATGAATTTCGATACCACATTCGAAACAATTGGCTTTTTGATGAGTATACCTATAAGAATTAAAGTCGAGGTAATACTATTTAGAGTTATACCACAATATCAACTTACCTGCAAGAGATGCAGAAGTAAAGCTAACGAAACTTCCGGCAAAGAAGGCACGGACCGCCACCCTAGTAACATCGGCCCTTCGTTGAGGTGCCATTGCACTAAGGGCGGCAATCAGAATTCCTAGGGAGCCAGGGTTAGCGAATCCGCAGAGGGCAAATGTGGCTATTGCTTCACTTCTATGCTGTAGAAGAAAGAGGCTCAACAATTTTTAATTATATTTGTTAGAATTAATGAAATGCATACATACTTCAATTTCGTTTGCTTGTATCAGCTCTCCCAAGTGTTTGTAGCCGATGAATTCATTTATTAGTGATTTCTCAGCAACCACCAACCCAATAACTGAACAGTCCTTTAAGGGAACGCCCATGGCATATGCAATAGGCCAGAACATTTTCGATAGAAGATACAGCAGGGTGATATCACTAATGTCCAGTAGTTCGAAAGCCCATTGAATAACAGCATTAAAGAAGTACACTAAAGCCAAAAAGGCGATTATGTTAGCCACGATTCCGAGAACAATAAGCATTGCATTCTGAGCGCCACTTGCGGCAGCATCCAGGATTGACGTGTCCTCCCTTAAAAAAAACAGATTATATTAATAAAATTGTGCTGTTTTTATTGGAACTTACGATTTTGCCAGCTTGATGTTGTCAGCCCTGGTTTGTGACTCCTCCGTCTCTGGATAAAAGAGCTTGGAATAGGCCAAGGCACTCGGAGCAGCCATGACACTGGCGGCAATCAGGTAAGCCGGATTGGCTCCGAAAGAGACAAACGCTCCCAGTACAGTTCCGGCCACGGTTGCATAGCCACAAACGCAAATGCAGTGCAACTCGCTAACCGTAAGAATATTTATATAGGGACGTATCATCAGCGGGCTCTCGGACATTCCCAAAAATATGTTGCCCACGGCGTTGACGCTCTCGCAGGTCGTGGTGCCGACCGTGGACTGCAATAGGGATCCCAAGACGCCAAGGAAGGCCTGCATCCAGCCAAGATAGTAGAGGATGGAGGTGACGACACTGAAGAAGAACACCACCGCAAGAATGGCAAAAGCGAACACGTATTCGTCGACGATACGGTCTCCATACACGAAGCGGGCTCCGAACCGGGCATAGCCAAGAAAAGTGGTCACCTTCTCGCCCATACATTGAAACACCGACCTTCCGAATTCCCATCGGAGACAAAAAATGGCCAACAGCAATTGTGCCAACATGCCATGTACCACAATTCTCCAGGGAATGCTTTTGTGGTGTTTGGAAACGGCAAATCCGATCGTGAGAAAGGCAGCCGGACCTATAAGGCCCCTGGTTTTGCCCCAATCATCTCGGCATTCGAATGTTAAATACGCCAATGATAGGACGATTACAGTGATCAGCATCACGACAGAGACAAGGCTGGATATGTATTAAAAAAACAAGCATTTTGTCCCACAAAAAGAACATTCAAACTCGACACTTTTACTTACATTTTGCTTCTAAATTCAATCCATTTATCGATCATTCCATCTAGGTAGTTATCATACAATTTTTGGCCAATAAATGGCTTGAAAAGGACATAGTATGTCCAAAGTATATGAAAGATCACGAAGATTACTACCAGTGATCCGTATCCATGGCACCAGTTGATGCTACACAGAATGTATGGAACAAATTTGGGCTTAGGCTCAGGAGTGGTTGACTCCGTTTCGCCCTCCGTTGTAGTAGGCGGTACAGTCGGTACAGGAGGCGCGGCCCCATCGGCGGGAGGGGCTTCACCCGCTGGAGGAACTGCTGTGGGACCGTCAATGGTCGTACCTGTATCTGCCGAGGTTGTATTTTCTTCGGGCGGTGCTAAGCACTTGTCGTTATTCTGATCTAAATGTATCATTTAAGTTTATACAGACTTAAATCTTAAGGTTTCCTGGACACTTACTATAGCGCATGTAAATTACTGTGGCTGCTATGAAATACGCAATGAATAATAAATGTAGTACAATGAGAATAATGCGCTCAAGAATCCTCCTCCATCTTGGCTTCGGCTCCTCCTCTGACTCTTCAGGTGCCGCCGGTTCTGCCATCGTAAATTTTTCTTAACAAATCCAAAAATCTACAAATAAACTAAACAAAACAATTTCTTTCGACTAAATCAAAGGATATCTGACAGTAGTTTTATAATGTTTTGACATTATTGGCCAGGAAGAAGGCTTGGCAAAAGAAAAACTGGATTATGCAGCTAAAGATAATATAGTTTAGTAGCTAATATTCATTGCAGATATTGCCAGGACGAAGCTGGACCTCAATTTTGTGAAACCAAACTAATACATGCCATGAATAAATAAATAATAAATTTATTAGTCTGCTTAACAAGATCACTTAATTAATAGGATCTAAAACTTTGTAACATTTCTTCGTCCCAATTTCTCCATAATCACATTGTAGCTGGTTCTTTCATCGTCTTCTTGCAGGAGAATACCTAAAAGTTGTGATAAATTTTTATATATAAATACATTAAAATATGATTTATTTTATGTCTTATTTTACCTGCAAAACTGGCAGACACAAAGCAGACAATACTGCCGACCACAAAGGCTCGGAAGGCCACGGCTGTGATCGTGGAACGACGATGTGGCGCCATGGCGCTCAAGGATCCTATCAGGATACCCAAGGAACTGGGATTGGCAAAGCCGCAAATGGCAAAGGTAGCGATTCCAGCACTGCGGGCCTGAAATAATTAATGTACTTTAGATTAGTTTTTTATGATTATATTTCCTCATTCAACACTCACTGTAATTTCGCCACTTTCTATGTACTGTCCCAGACGTTCATAGGCAACGAACTCGTTGATTATGGTCTTGGTGGCCACGACCTTAGCAATTATGTTGCAGTCCTCCTTGGGCACGCCCATTGCCCAGACGAGTGGGATAAATAGCTTGGAGAATATCCATTCAAAGTCGATGTCATCGACGCCCACCAAATACCCCAACCAGCTGACCAGGCCGTTCAGGAAGGCAACAAAGGCTACAAAGGCCACAATGTTGGCGATGATGCCCAGGACGATGGGCACGGCATTGCTTGCTCCACTGGATGCGGCGTCCAATAATGAGGAATCTTGTCTGGAACCCAAAATATCTTCGTTAAAAATATTTTTCTGCCACTATGCTTGTTAAATAACTTACGATTTCTCCAATTCTATTGAGTCTGAGGTGGTTTGGCTCTCCTCCGTCTCCGGCATGTAGAGCTTGGAAATTGCCAGGGTGGCGGGAGCTGCCATCACCGAGGAGGTGATCAGATGGGCGGCCGAGGCGCCGAAGGAGAGGTAGGCAGCCAGAACAGTGCCGGAAACCGTGGCAAAGCCAGACACCATGATGCTGTGGATCTCACTCTTGGTCAGCTTGTTGATGTACGGACGGATGAGCAGTGGACTCTCGGACATGCCCAGGAAGATGTTGGCGGCCGCCGTCACGCTCTCGCAGACGGTGGTGCCCAAAATTGACTGCAGGATCCAGCCCAATTTGATCACCACCCATTGCATCGCACCCAGGTAGTACAGGATGGAGATAAAGAAGCTGAAGAAGAAAATCACTGGCAGGATGGCGAAGGCGAAGACATCGTTCTCCACCAGAAAGTTGCCAAACACGAAGAGGGCTCCATCAGTGCCGTAGCCCAGAAAAGTGGCCACCTTGTTGCCCAGGCACTCGAAGATTTTGCGTCCCACCTCCCAGCGGATGCAGATGATGCCGAGCAGGAACTGGGAAGTGATTCCGGTGATGACCACGCGCCATTTAATGGCCGCTCGCTTGGTGGAGAAAACGTATCCGCACAGGATGAAGAAGCAGGGTGCTACCAATGATACCAGCTTCTGAGGCTCATCTTTAGTCTCAAAGAAGAGGAAAATGCCCAACAGGACTAGAAGAAGGACAATGGAAGCAAGTGACACAATTCTGAAAAATAATTAAAAATTATATTTAAACTAAATGTCTTAAAAGTTGTTTGGTTGATGTATTATTTAATTTTGTTTACTTAAAAGTCATAAATATTTTTATTTGGTTTTTGTAGTTAAAAAGTTATGGAAAAGTTTCTTCAAGTAACTTTTGAAAAATGATTCATAAACGTGGCATTTTTACGTGACACCTACAATCTAAAGCTGCCATAAAGAAAATTGTTTTTAAACAGTAACTTTAAAATACCAAACTTAAATATTTGATATTTTTAAATTTATTTCTAGCCTTGATGGGCATGAACAATTTATTGCTCATACGACATGTTGTCTCAGAATCGAGTAAAATTTTGTATTATCTTGTAAGAGGCTCACCGGGTTCTGCTAAAGCTGTGCCATTTCTTGGATAAAGGTCCCAAAAAATGTCTGTACAGATAGACTCCAACAGTGTCCTTAAATATGTAATAGTAAAAGAGACCCAAGTAGATGAATCCCAGGAGAAGGACTAGCATTCCATATCCACTGCAAAAGTTGATGCCACAGAGGGGATTGGTGCTCCCACTCCAGGTGCATTCGTAGTTAGCTAAAAAAAGGAAATAATCAAATAAAATAGAGTCATAGATATTATTTAATAATACTTACTTATATCATTATAATGGTAAGTGGCATAGGAAAAGTAGCCGACAACCACAAGATGCAGAGCAACATATAGCAAGATCTTTACAATGCGAACAACTTTTGGATTCGAGTCCCAATAGGTTTTTTTTGTGACACTTTCATTGCTGTCGATGGGTGGGAGCTCCTTAAACTCCTCAATGTCTGGTATGCTAAGTTCCTTCTAAGAAATCGAGAGAGAATAACTAATAGGCCACCTCTTGAATATAATATAATGCTTACATGATCCATTTCGTAGCCGTTGTTAAGGGCACCTTTAGAAGTGGTATCTGTCATCTGAAACGAAAAAATACTCGTTCAATAATCTTCTTGTCCGTAATCTGAAATAATCTATATAAAATTATTTTAAGAGTGGAGTGTGCCGACAACTCAAGTCCATTGGCAAAGCATAGCTTTCTATTCGCCATCCAAATCAAAGTGCGAATAGATTGAAGATTTGTGGCCACTTTAAAAAGTAAAAAAACTGGCGATAAGGCAGGTTGGATTTTTGTAGAAAAAAACGCACGTGGGACGGCACTTGATTTTTGCACTTGGCTTATGTTTTGCGGTGTCAATGGCATTTCTTGTTAACAAGCACGTGGATCGACACTTTAGAATTTCCGGCAATTTGTAGTTCGAAAAGTAAAGCTTTAGGCACTGCCAGCAGATAAGCCGCTTACTGGATTGGGCTGTAAATTAAATTCCTTGAAATATTTCCTTGTTAGGAATAGGATTTTGCCTTGGGGGCAAAAACCCAATAAATGTTGATAGCACTATCTGAATGGCGTAACTCGTGAAAGCTAATCGCACTCTAATTTATTGTAGCTTCACCTATATATCCCGCTATATACAGAGTTATAAACTAGAGTAATCATTCACAAAAGCACTTATTATTGTTTTTATTCACTGTCAGAATTACAGCCTAAAGCTGTGAGGGGCTTTTCTCTTTGTATCACTCGAATATAAATCATTTTGTTAATGAATAGTGCCAGAATTATTATGTTCCCTTGATTGCGTGCATTGCCAGTTAATTCACCTTTTAATATTTGTTTTTGTGTCGTTTTTTAATGAGTACTATCGAATTGTTGTGCCTCAAAACGTGTTTTCAAAGTCGTCGCTCTCAGGCCGAATACTAATGAGTGATTAGTGCATCTGGTTAGCGCGTTAATAAAAAAAGCTGGCTAACTGCTCTCCGCCACCATCGTAGTCGGTTGAAAGTCGCGTCAAGACTGAACAACCAAAAGTTTGTCAGGGCGTTTATACTTAAATCGAGCCCAAATACTCGGTAACTGATAAGGGGTGTATCAGGTTTGAAATTCTGATTATCGTTGATTTATACGAGTAAGTGTGTTAGCCACTTTACAATCAATTAAAAACGAAATTTGGCGAAATAGGCCTATCCGTTTGAAGCTTGGGATGATCTTCAGAGAACATTCCATAGAATTCTTAAGAAATTTAAATATATATAAAGGTACTGAGATAAGGAATATGGATAATCTCGTGTATTACAAAATATTTGCAATTTAAATATTTATTTTCTTACTTAATGTGATCAAGGGGTACTCATTCGTTGGAAATGATTCAAGTTTCTCGTAGTTTATCAATGGGGTTTCCATTTACGTATGCCTATAAATTTTTATTTGTGTTTCGACTTCCGAAATATTATATATTTCTTAGGCCCTTTTAAATCTATACCCCTTCTAGAAAAATTGCGGATTACGAGCCAGTTGTGAAATCTAATAAGGTTTAACATGCATACCGAAGAAACAGTAATGCCCAGTCGAGTGGCCTCCGATGGGCAATTTGAATGACAAATTAATGTTTTATCAGCTGCTTGTAGAAAAACGAATGCTGCTCGCAGAACATTCTACGAGTATTCCGATATTTGAGCGAGATAATGTTCAAGTAGGCCATATAACTTCCCACAGATTGCTGATAACAGTGACGTTTGAGGAATCTGATTGCGATAGAGATGGAGATATGGGCAGTACCAAAGGGTGGGTGGGCCGGTAGCAACATGGGCTCGTACACCCTCCCATTGAAAGAGTTGTGAGGTTTGTTAACTGGTGGTCTATCAGCGATAAGTCACCATTGATTGGTCAAGCAGCTAAAGTCCATAAATACCCATGCGTTGAGTTAGAACCAATTCTAATCGTTCAAGTAAAGGCGCACGGTACATATCTTATCGTAGATTTGATCCGCGTGAGGATAATAAACCCAATAAGCCCAGCAGTCAGATTAATTCTTAATTAACTCGCAACTATACATGTTTGCGACTTGCTTTTATTTATATATGTGTTTTAGGTTTAACTCATATTTGTAATCGATTTACAAATGCACTTAGTTTGGATGGTATGGAGGTGGATTATTATGCATAGATAGCTGTTAGACTTCATGAAAATGTGTTACTTCAATGGGTTCTTATAAAATCTTAAAACAAAACACTAATTTCGGACTACAAAAGGATTACAAAAGATTGAGATTCAGAGCTGTTACCGAGGCTCTGTTTCCTACAGGAAGGCACTTTTAACCTATTGACTTACTCATATAACACAAGTGTAAATTTATTTCAGCTACTTCGGGACGATAATCGTTTCGCAAAGGCATCCAAAAAATAAATTTTTTTCTGATTTGGATCGCCCTTGGGTTTTTGCTTTTGAGTGGATTGTGCTGAAGTCTGGGATTGTAATGTTTCGATAAGGCATTGATTAATATTTGATTTACCATCTGGCCCAAGGCCACTTGGTTATTCATACTTATTATGCGTTTTTTTTTTAAATTCGTATATAAAATTTTCTTATAGTTTTTCAATAATTCTTTTTTTTTGTGTTTTCTGGATAATTTTGTATAATAAATGATAAACAAAGAATGGCAAATTCAACCACATCTAAATCACAGGCTTCTAATATACGAAAGTTTCTAAAAATAAACGACAAATTTCGATGGAAATTTTGCTTAGCTTACGAACGAATTTTATAAATAAGGTTACGCGATAAAAGAAACCGATGAACTAAAAACTAATTAAGTCAACTGGCCCTAATGTTAAAAATAAAAACAAAAAATTAAATTTAAGACCAGCATGAGTGAGGGTGAGAAATGTTTTTTTGTTTATATGAATGTGTGTTTTTATGAAAGGATCCTGGAACATGGTTCTACTCCGGCTTGTGGGTCATCTTGTGGTGCTTGTGGTGGTGGCGCTGATAGTGGTGGTGCTGCTGGAGCTGGTGCGTATGATGGTGGTGGTGATGGTGATGGTGGTGCTGGCCGGAGCGTTGCCGGTGGTGATTGGAGATCGGTTCCATCTGTTCGCTGTTGCTCGCCGAGGAAAAAAGCTCCTCAGCCCCGATCCCGGTCTCCACTTGACTCGACTCCGAATCCGAGCCAGAGCTAGACTCCGACAGGTGATGTCGTCGGTGCTCTCGCTCCTGGCTCTCCTTCTCGCCGACTCCATCCAGCTGGTTGTCGATTGCGGGCGATCCAGATGTGGTAGTTTCCATGCCATAAGATTTGATTTTCGGGGAAATGTAAATGGTTTTGACTCCACTGTTGAATGATGGGATGGTATGGAAGAAAACGTCTAACCTTGGGTTTCTGTTGAAGAAAGAAGACAAAATAGTTGGATATAGTTAGCCAACGGAGTTTGATTAACAAAATAATTTCTTATAATATAAATATTATAAGCCCATAGTTTAATTTTTTTAAAACTTGAAACCGATATATACTTATGGTCGGAGAAACATTACCAAAATTAAAATACCCTCTGCAAGAGTATAAAAATAATGTATTTTACATACATAGTTTTTACATGTATACTACACGGTCAAAAAGGTTTTGGTGGTAAAGTAAATTTTAGCAAGGTTCACAACCTTTTAAGTTCTTTTAAATTTTTTTAAAATTTCATATGCGAATTTTTATTATCGTTATTTTAATTTTAGATTTAAGGAGAAAATAATACCTTGGCACTGTCCAACTCTCCAGATCAGGCTTAAGCGATTCTGTTCCGTATGCGCTCCAAGGGACTGCAATCTCTGTGAAATAAAAATTGCCAGCAAAAGATTAGAATATATTTTTAATATTTTTAAAATATTTACAAGTCATGCAAATGCAATAAGGAAATGGCGCAAATGAGGAAGATCATGCAAAATAGCAGAAACAGCGACACGCAGCAAAAATTGCAACACACATCAAAACTAAACAACATAGAAAGCCGAGCAGAAAACCACGCACAACGGTGCGTATGAGCAATATTTTTTCTAAATTTTAGATTAGTATCTGCAACGGCGAGTTCTTTGTATCTTACCAATCCAGGGCAATAACTTCGACAACAAACATTAATGAATCTCAAAGAAATCTGTGTACTTTCGTTACTTCCGCTCTACTTTTAGCTTTCTAGATCCCTCATGAAATTCAAATATATACATAGTATGTCTCGGACGGAAGAAACACTCTGAGAATCTCGTAAGATTTTGTTATTGGTACGAAAAAACGTGCGCGAATCAAATTTTACATTTAAGCATAACATTTGCTGACTTGGCTCGACAATCAGACGACCAGGTATTTTGTTGTTGCTTTGGATTACGTATTCTGATATTCGAATTCGGACTTTTTTCTTCGAGCTCAGCTCAATTTACGCTGTCGTGTCTGGTCTTTTTTGGTCAGTTTTGCAGTCTGCAGTCCGGCCCCCAAAATCGCCTGACTAATGACCTTTTATTTGTTTTTTTTTTGTGTTGGTATCGTAAATCAATTGAAACTGCAACGTGGATGGAAAAGGGGCCTGTCGCTACCAGGAGAGATTGTTTATGAAAGAGATATATGTGACTGATGATTGGAGACATCCACGATGTGGAATGACATCGTTTCTCCATTCTTATCCTGGCCGTTAGTTAAGCTTGGCAAACAACACGCTTACCTGCCTGATCGCAGGTGGGTGGCGCAAAGTAGAGTCCTGGCCTCAAAGGATTCTCCTCGTCGTCATGCACCTCAATCATCAGCATGCCCACCACACTGGCAGCCAGTTGCTGCTGTTGTTGCGAGTGACGTTGCTGCTGCTGCTCCTCCTGACGCATTTGCTGCTCCCAGTAGGCGAGGGCACACTTGACATCGATCTCCACCCAGCCGGTCATGGCGCTGCTCAACATGGTGGTGTTGCAAGTGCGCTTCTTACGTTCTGTGGAAGAAAAAGAAGGTTTATTGTTTTGATTATTAAAAGATTAATAAACTGAGTTTTTAATTCTTTAAATGGTTTTAAAATTATTGAAATATTTACTTATATATTCTCCTTACCTAATTTACGATTCTTCTTTTGCTGATGGACGATGGATACGGTGACTCGAATTTGGGGACCCGCTTGAGGCTGATCCGGGCATTGAGAGGAGGTCCTTTCAGTAGGCTCTGTCGGAACTGGGACCTGATCCTGAGGATTATGGCCAGGATAGGTCTTGTAGAGGCGAAGCACAGCGCTGGTAAGACGGTCATCATTGTGGACAAACACACTGTTGGCGAACTTAAGAGTGACATTGGTGCCCAGCTGCCATTCCTCTGGAATGGTTGTCTCTGCATTGCAGATGGGGAAGCCAGCCTTCTCCTTGGTGGTGCTACTGTTCGGGTCATTTGTGATGGCCTTCTGGACACGCTTGATAATCTCATTTAATCTGTGAATAAATATATGAAAGTTTTCTGTAGAAATATAGTTGTTTTCTCGTTTTTGTGAATCTTAATTCCTGTAGACTAGAATGATTTCATATATCATCACACTGCCATTTGTATGCCCAAGCATTCCCGTCCAACAAATTTGGTTCAAGTGTTTATGTAAGGCCCACTTAATTGACATTTGAGAGCGGTCATAGTTACAGACAGCCACAATGGAACCGCCCGAGAGGACTGGGAGGTACGAGAGGTCTGAGAGGGTCTGTGGGTGTTGGATAAAACGTGCTCGTTTCCGTTTGGCAAGAATTTAGAACTTTTGATTCAATTTAGCTAGACAGCTCTCGTAAACTATTCCCCCTCTTTCCGCCGAACTACTTACTAGAAACCCCCCCAAATGAGTAAACATTTTTTCCATTAAATACAATCATATCTTGAAGTAGCTGGTGATATGTGACGTGGTTATGTAGTTGGGGTTCACTGCACTGTTTGATTATAATAGTATTATTAGATTGTATTAAAATGATTAGAACGTGCGAACTATTATCATTAAAAGTTTTAAAAATAACTCTGTACTTTGGGGCTTGTAATCTTTGCTTTTGAGAGTTCTTCACATATTTTGGAGAGTTCCCTAGAACTCATGGCCAAATTAAAACTATTTCATACTATTCAAATAGGTTCTGAACTAATCGACTTATCAGCAAATCAAAAACATTGATAGTGACTTGACTATTTTAAAGGCACTACATAAATTAAATGGGACAGGTCCGAGACATAAAGGATGATTAAATGGCTTCACATGATTCGCTCGCCAGGCATGTGATTGCGGACTCAGATGGGGTCAGGTCTTTGCCGGAAAGTATGTCGGTAGGAGGATAACCATCGTGATTTTTTATGAGTACTTTTATCACGAGCAACCGGACAACAATAGATATTCAGCTATGATCTAATCTGGCCACATTCATTCCTCTCGAAATTGGACAATTGTACGATTATATTTCGTATGTCTGGATCAGTAATTGAAGGTTTTGTTGCCTTTTTTTTGCTTTGGTTTTTTTGACTTTACATGAAATGCACAAAATGATTGAGAAAATAACTGATTAATTGTTTCGGATGTTGGAGAGTTGCCCACGGCGCAATTTGTCTAGCCGAAATAATTATGAAACACGGTCGATCGGTCGCAGTCTGTCTGCGGTCTGAAATTGAACTGAAACTGAACCAAGTCGAGGAGAGCCGAGTCGAAACGCCTTTGGCTTATTATCGTTCTTGTTTATGTTTATGTTTACGTTCCGATCGCATCGAATCGTATCGAATCTGTCTGGCCTGGTCTGGTCTGGCCTGGCCACGGGAATGCCATAGCCATAGTGCGAAGTCGTCTGGAGTTTCGCTCTGTGGCATGAACTTGAAAACTTGTTGAGTTGGGCCGGGACGGGCCGTCTGTCTGGCCACCGTCTAGACGTATTCTGTCCGCTTGTCCGTCTGTCCGCCTTCTTGTTTGCTGGCTGGCTTGTCTGCCGGCCTAGAGGAGCTACTGTGATGCTGCCAATACTGTACATGCGTGAGTCACGCCATTCAGTCATCCCAGCCATCTGGGCATGCGCAAAGGTAGAGGTTTAGGCCAAAAAAAAAAAAAAGATACAGGTGCCTTGGTCTTGGATGTCTCTAGGGGGAGGGGACCGTCTCCAAATTTGCATTGGCCTCCATTTGACAGAGGCTGGAGCTAAGGCTCTGGGGCAGACACATCACTGAATGCATCGCCTCTGTGTCTACGTCTGCGGTTTTGCATTGCAGTCCGTTGCCTTTGGCCGCAGCAGCACCAGCAGCAATGGCAAAGTAGCAAATGCAACAGCAACAACAGTGGCTAGACAGTGTCTCGCCGGCTGCACTTCATTATCATGCAACCAACAGCGAACTGCCAACAGCCGGCAGTCAGTAAGTCATTCAGACTTTCGCATACACTGAGAAAAAGGACCGAAAAAAAGGATATCCTGAGGCATTTATATTTCTAGAAAGAAAATAGATAATGCCTGACAGTTCCTTGAATAGAACCCTATGAAAAAATCCAAAGTTATAAATAAAATTTCAGTGTAATAGCCGCAAAATGCACACGCCTACAATCTAAAACTGTTTGCATTGCATTGCAAGTTGTGGGGGGGCAGACATATCTACTGTGCCGATATTGTTCATACGTCATAATTTTTTTGTTTATTTGGTTTTTGTTTCTGTAGTATTTGTACCGTCTGTGCGGAACTCTGCCAAAGCAATCAAACAAGATGAAACAATTTAGATATCAGCTGTTGGCCCCCACAAATGCACGAGTGCATATAAGAGCCACTACTATGTGCCCGTTTGTCGTCTCGCATAGCAACGACCTACAAAAAGTTCATTACCGGACACGGAGCCGGAGACGTAGACGGAGACGGAGACGGAGACGGACACAGAGACGGAGACGGTGCCGGAGTCAGAGCCAGTAAGCTAGACATGGCCCAGACTGCTCCCAGACATATGCCAGACACCCGCGGGCTCACCGACAAAGATATACAGATACAGAGGTCGCCGCCGTCGACAGATTTCGATGCAGTCTGCAGATGTGTGAGTGCCAGTGTGCTTCTTTCATTGCATTGAGCTACTGTATCTGATGGATACAAGAGATACCATTGATGGAAGTAGGACTACACGATAGTAGATTCTCACTTGGACCCATCAGATTTGCATTTAATTGATTTAAATGGTGCCCGAGAGGAAGTCAATAAAAAAGGACTTCCAAAATGTATTTCAAAATAAATATTTAATGACCCACTTATCTATCTTTTGGAAAAGACGCATTTGCTGGCACACTTTTCAATGAAAAATCAATTAAATTACAGTCTAGTGGTTATTGCATTCGATTTTACGACTTTTTTTTGGAGAACATTTCCGAATCATTGAATCGTTTACTAAATAAATATATATGTAATTAAACTTTGTGAGGGCACGTGTCGATAAAAGGCTATTAATTTCCTTTAAAGATATATATTTATTTTATTTATTCGCGGAAACGGTTGGAATATGGGAAAATCGTGTTGGAGATGAACTGAAGCACAGCATGTACTTCGTACAATGTACCTTATAAATATATATTCCTGTTCGTGGAAGTACTGGTCTATATATTAGTAGGGGTGCTTGGCCACATTTACGAGATGCAAAAATGTTTTTAGCCTTGAGTTGGGGAAAACGAGTGTTTCTGGACAAATCACGCAATTAACAATTTGAAAATATTTGGCAGTAGAACATTGTGTGTTTACACATCCAGACAAATGCATTTTCATCACATTTTGTATACAATTTTGAAAGCCTTTTTTTGGATGGTATTTCTTCTTTTTTTCGAAATATTTTTTGCTGGTCATTAACTTGCGCCGAGAATCGTTTCACTTATTTATTTTAAAGATACTTATATTTAGAGAAACTGGTGGCTATTATTAGAGAACGGCCGCACAGTGATTGACAGTCGTTCTGCAATTGTTTTGAAAAGTATTTCTTACCTTTGGGTGGCGACTTGCTGCAGATACAGCTGATTGGATGACTGGGAGGCCTCGTCCCTCATATTGGGATTGCTTCGGTTCTGGATGCGTTGTATCTGCTCCTCGGTCAGGTTGAAGCGACTGAGGATGGTCCTGTTAAAGGGATTCACCACCTCCGACTGTACCCCCTCCATGAAGGAGGGATTGAAAGGCAATGCCTGGGATTGTTCGGCAGTGAGCAATACCAGAAACATGACCAAAATTAGATCACGACTCCGGCTCCTTCCGCGTTTTTCGCAACCCACATTAGCCATTTTTTAATTAAATTAATTAAGCTTTATTTTCACAAAGATAGTGTCTAGTTGTTTGAATAAGTGTTTCTTTAGTACTTCAGTAAATCAGATCGAGTCTTTTGTAACTATTTCACATATTTTATCATCCTCTTTTTCACAAATTTTTAATATTTTATTGGCTTTTTTTTAGAATTTTTCGAAGAATTTAATTTTGTTGGGATTTTGGTGTTGGCTCTTTTTCTGGTGCTGGTATTTTGCTATCGACGTGTTCGCTTTAAGAACCAAGTCTGAAGTGATTTGCGCGAGTCAGTTTTTTAGTCTTAAATAAGAAAAAATTTGGTTGTGGCCGGGCATATCTACTTTGTTATGGTCGTAAATGCTGCGTTGCTGCGAACACTGAAAGAAATTGTAGTGGAGTTGGATAAATGCTCTTGTCTTGTGGGCCTAAAAAGGCATTTGAAAATTATAATATTTCCAATATATATATATTTTTTTTTAATTTATTAAAATAATTGAGACAAAGTGCATATCTATAGTGAGCTTAAATAGTTTCTATATTTTCTTAAAATAAAACCTATTCAATAATTTCTTACTTAACACTATTGTTTATGGAGTTTCTTCTTTTAATTTTATAATTCTTACCTTCATGGTTCTTTATTAAAGCAATCTTATAATAATTTATAAAAATTCCTAACAAAAACGCAATTATTTTTCAATAGAATCTTTTTATTTTAAAGCTTCATATTAATTTTTGTTAAATTTTGTCATTAAACTACACATTCTCTTTTACTTATATAATTTTTAATAAAAAAGATTAAAAGTTAAAGTCTTTATCTTATTGAATTGTTTTCAGTGTACCGCTTATGCACTTCGGCTGATAGTTCGGCTGGTGTTCGGCACTGGCGTCGCCGACCAATCAACGTCGCTTGAGGATCTGCCGGCGCAGCAGAAGGCTTTCTGTTGTTGCCCCATGAATATGCGTGACACACAGATACAACTGGTGCGATTGTGTGAGTGCTTGAGTGTGGGTGCGTGGTTGGAAGTATCTTTATCTGCAAATCGGTGGCTCGTGATGCGGCCTATCGACTATGGGGCGGGTGCGAAAAGCGATATATCTGGTCCTATGGTAACTGTTCCGGCCCAGAAGTGCACATATGGTGCTATGTTTGTTACCGATTTTCCAAACTACTGACACAATCTGATACAAAATGCCTGTCTATCAGTTAAGTTAGTACTTCAAACACTACTTCAGCCAATGCCTTGAATTAATTTGCACCTAACTGGACCTAGAAAGGAGCTGAATGCTCCGAAATACTACTATTGCCCGGTAGTTCTCATTTAGTGCGTGGGTGATTAGATTAATTTGGAGTGATTTTGTGTCGCACAATTATAATAGTAGTATGACTTAATCAAATTGTTTTGATTCTCAAGTTATGTGTGTTATCAGAACAAGTTGTTCTTTATTTCTTATTCTGGTTGGGTACAATCCGAATTGCTTGATCTTTTGACTTTCAGTTGACGCCTGGGATTTGTGCGTGCGGATTAATCAAACTGACAACAAGATAGGCCAGAAAAAGTGCGTAGTTCATCAATTGGAAGGTGAATTGGGCGGATATATCCTATTAGAGGTGGTGCGTATGGTGGTGCCTGGTACTGCCTGGCTAATGCTACAACCTTAACCCCAGAAAGCCGGCAGTTGTATCCTTGAGGATTTTCATCTACAGCTGGATAGCCTTTCCTCTGGGTGTGTTTCGAATACTAAGAAGTTGTGGCGCTATTCAAACGTATTATTCATTCCATCCGCATACGGAAATCCAAAGAGCCAGACTTCAAGGACGTTTCTGATTTATTTGTTTATTTGCTTTTGTTGTTGTTGCAGCATCTAAACATCATCATCATCATCATCATCATCGCCGCCTCAGCATCAGAACTCAGCATCATCAGCATCATTCCCATCAGAACGATCCATGTTTCTTTCGTCTGGACAAAAATTGAATTTTAAAATGATTGTATAATTCGCAGCACTTTATAAAGTCTGGATTTCTCAGTCTGTCCATTCATCTGATATACTCGCATCATATCATACATGTCTACACACCGTTTAAGCTATGAATAGAGGAGAATTGGGGGGCTTCTGGGGACAGGAGGACGGGTTCTCCAGACGGCGACTGTTATGTAAAATTGCAATCGTATCAAATGGCTGGCCAGGAGAAAAAAAAATGACAACAAAATAAAAAAAAGATATAGCAATCAGTGGCTGTTGAAGAGAAGTTTATATAATAATGTTTGTTTATTTAAGCATTCGCATAGAATTTGTCCCACTTTGTGGACAATGTGAGCGTGCACGAAAATAAACAGCCAGGCAGTAGATGCAGACATATAGACTGTCGGGATAGAGATACCTTTAAACAATTGGAATGCGAAATGAGTCAAGAGTCGGTTTCAGTCGGTTTTTTTGTTTTTTCATTAACTTTTCAAGGCTGTGTACCCCATTCCTGTGTCTACCGTCCACCCATCGTACAATTGGCTGAATTCTAAATGTAGGATCCAGATAGTTCTTGTTTTCTTTGATCTTGGGGGGAAAACTAAACGAGACATTGAAGCCGGGTAGCAAGTAAAACATACTTTTTGATTGGCATTTGTTCGTGGTTATTTCTGAAAGCAATTTTCTGACAAATCCCAAATATGCCTCACGCTCGTGCCCATTTGTGTGGCTAAATTTTAAACGGTGGCCGGCGGAGGCAATTGCCGCCAATGAGCAACAATTCAGCCAGCTGGATGTGGGAGGCTCGTGTGAAGCATTAAAAAAGACCGGTAGCCACCACCATCCATTACTATCAAAACACTAGAAATGGCCACCAGCACCACCTGCTCGCACCACCAAGTTCTAGTAAGAAAACATTTGTTCTACAGATTACAGGCCCTGATTGTTTTTCGAGTGAAATCAGCAGGTGTGGGCCAAGTAAGAGCTGGGTGGTTTAAGGTGTTAAAGTGGAGGGAATCTATAATTATCCCATCAACACTATCGAACCTTAATGGCGCCCCATCGAAACTGATAAAAAGATTTTTACCACCATACCTTGATAGTTGAAGAAGTTTATTACTTAATAGTTCTTGCCAAAATTTTTAAAGGTGATCCCTTCACCTTGTTTTCTATTCTATTTTAAGGTCTTAACGCCTAATTAATTAATTACCTTGTTGGCCCAGTTAAGAACTCTTAAATGAACCATAGTTGGAATTCTTACTACGTTAATAATGGCTTATCATATCGTTTTATTTCTGCCGATTTTTAGTTTGTTTTTTGAGAACTTCTTATCGGTCATGGTATGCCGATAATATAGAGCCTTACGATCTGCTTTGGAACTACAATTATATGTCTTGATAGAAAGAAACATTTCAGCTTACTTCTTACATGAATTTTCTTGAAAATTTATTATTCAACCATAGAGCGGAAAATATTTAACCATCAACACGTCATTAAGGTAATTACTTTTACATTCTTCCAAGTGGTAAGATGGGGTGTAACCAAACCACCACAGCAATAATACAAGATCTGAGAACATTCGGTAAGACCTGACTGCCTGGGGTCTGGTGGCAGTCTATGTATTCAAAATACACGAACCAGACATCCATCCGTGTCCCAGACTCTGCCCAGACAGACCCAGTCCATATGCATATAGACAGGCTTGAATATTTGGCCGGTTATCGGTTGCTCAGACACCGAGGGTGTTACCATGTCGGTGCTCCTGGCCATTCTGGAGGAGATGGCTATGGCTATGGTGATGGCGATGGCGATGGCGACTGGTGCCAGTGCTGCACCGAATGCAGTTGTCGTGATTGTTGTCTCAGATTGCATGTGGAATGCAAAGACCAGAAGCCAATTTGTTATTGTGTTGTTGTCTGCCCGCCGGGCCGATGCTACCGTTGATTTGCAGACGCCTCTACTGCTGTGGCACGTTGGTGTTTTCAGTATTTTCTGCCACAAGGCATACGAATACCCTAGCTTCTGGTGAAGTTTGTATAGGTTTTGAAATAAATTTAAGATTAACTATAACTTGATTATAAACTATAACCACTATATAACCAATAGAAAGGATTTATTGATAATTTTTATTGTAATTTTGGGGAATTTTAAAGGGTATTTTTATTTCGGGTTAGTTAAATATATCATGGGAGCCTCCTCGTAATTCTTATTCATTTTTGCACATTTTAATTTTCGATTTTTAGGTTTTTCGCGTGCCGTCGTTTGGCTTCTGTTGGTGTTTTGTTTGGGACCGGCCCCTTCCAGCCAGATCCAGATCCCAGCAGACGAAGGAGGAGCAGGCCAACACCGAGACCAAGGCACCCAGAGCCAGACAGCCCGTCGCAGTGATTGTGGCTGGAGAGGCTACACAGAAAACAAATGATCTTTAAGATCTTGTTAATAACCAAATAAAAATGAAGTAACTCAAATACTTTATTTTCAATTATACATACTTCAAATTTTAATAAAAATCTTTAATGTATTTGTGATTTGTTTAATATCTGAAATTTTTCTCCAGTGATCTCCTGACTGTCTGCTGGGGCATTTAAGCAAGCATGTGTAGCCACATCTTGTTGATTGTCAAAATTGACAATAAATGCATTCGCCGGGGGATGCTGCGAAATGCAGACGGAAGCTGACCTGAGGAGCCGTGTCTTTATCGCTGGGACAAGTGCATGTCTCGCGTCTGCAGTTTGTCTGGAGGCCGCACGGTGGGACTAGATTAGAAAAATAAAGAAACTATGTACATATGTATATTGCAAAAGGTAGAAGGACCAGACTATTTTATAGACTATAAATTATAGGTAAGATGTTTTAAAGACCCCCTAATCTAAAAGCTATCTACAATTTATATGTACCAAACACCATATAGCTTTTACCATGACCCACTGTAAAAAGACACTAAATGTTGCATTGGCTGAAGATGTGGCTGATTTTGGTGGTGCTGTCCTTAAGTGCCGCAGATGCGTTGCGGCCGTTGATGCATCCAAATATGGACCAAGGCCCGTCATCGTCGTCGTGGATGTCGTTGTCGCGTCATCTCGCGGAGTAGGTGAAGAAGCTATCGGCCAGACTGGACTGCAGTTTCACACTTTGGTGCGGAAAGTTATTTAAATGATATGCACATGCAGCATGCTCCTCCGTCGCGTCGCGTTGTCTGGTAGCTGTAAACTGAGACTGAGCCTGAGACCGAGACTGAGACCGAGACTGGGACTCGTCTGCTTTTGCTTTTGGCTTTTGGTGCTTCTGGTGTGTTGCCTTTGCCAGCAATTATGAGCGTCTGGCCGTCTGGCATTTTACATTACAATATTTTTAATTATCGCGCTTTTTTTCTAAGCACAGATAAGCATCTCAGTGGACTGACACTTTTCGAATTTCAATTTGAGTCCCCGAGTCTCTTCTGGTAATTGCCTCTGGTCAGCAGGACGAAGGCTCCCGGCAGTCTGTGGTCTGACTGGTCAAGCCATTCCAGGCCGTAAATTAAATCAGTTTCGACCAGTACGATGATGGCCATCCTCCATGGTAAAATCGGTCTTGAGGCTCGGTAGTAAAAGTGAAAAATATCTCTGAATATGGTTGGCACTCTGTCACTTTTGGGCCTATTGATTCTACACCTGTTGTCAGAGCTAGAAAGGATATACTACAGTAGCAATAATAACTAATTAGAGTTGAGCAAAAATAGTTCAGATTAGAAATGTATGAATTCTTTGTAAATTTCAAAAAGCTTGTTCTAAAATATATGATCTTTTCCTTCAGGAAAGAAAGAATCTTTTTGAATTGATGTAAATATACTTAAGCTTGAAAAGGGCTGAATGACCAGAGCTCCTTGTCTGAATGAAACGATGCTAAATGCTGGAAGCACTGCCAAGGTAATCAAATAAATGAAGATGCAACAGCACCATAAATGGTACAAATACCACTCATTCTCCTGCATTCCCCGATGACTACGTGCACCTTTGACTGTATGTTTATATTCATACAATTGTATATACCATATAAATGGCTGGGTGTATCGGTTTTGGGGCTACAGAGTTTATTTATAGGATGAGATGGGCACGTGCCGGAACGCCGGGACGCAAGAAGGGCAGGGGGAATGGAGACCACGTGGTCGTCGACAATGAATTTTGGTTGCCAACATCGAACAGGGGCGAGTTCCTGGCAATGACATACAAATGAATGAAATGGCGTTTATGGTAATTCGTAAGAGCCAAGTTTGTGCTACTTGTTAGCCAACTATGCTAATGAGAGCGACTTGCCGTCTGGACTGTGGATGGTTTTTGTTCCAAAAGCGGATTCCAGCTGGAAGGACGAAATCTACAAAAAAGTAGGAAGAGCTCTGTCCTATATAAGGTGTCAATACTTCGGGGGTTTCGAAGAATTTCCTGAATTGGGGTTTCTTTATTTTGAATTGTACCTGGAAGTCTCTAAAGATATTTATAAATACATATGTATTTATTTGTAGACTTCTTTACTGTTTCAGGTTCCACAGTGCAGAGTCCTCAACGTAAAAATTGGTTCTTGATTATTCATTTGCGGTTTTGGTAGTTAAGTTAATGCTTTCTTGGAGGCAATAAGTGGCAGAAGGAAAGATATTTTCTTACTCAAAGGAGGTGATCAAAAAATAATTTATTTACTAATAAGAAATTTAAAAAAAATGTAAAATTTTTGAACAGTTGTCGAATATTTTCAGCCCAAGAGTATGCAACAAGATTGAACTTCAAAGATTAAAATTAAAAAAGGCTTTGGATTTTTCATATTACACTTGGTTGGCTTGTCACAAATTGCAACTTTTTATTCAAAAATTAATCCTACACAACGAATATCAAGATGTGTGAGGTGGTGTTGCCCTGCAACTACAATCCGGTAGCTTGCCCGAGCGTTCCCTCCAAGGGTCGACTGTTCACCATCCTGATGCTCTATTGTTGGCAGCGGGAATACGACAAACGTCCTTACAAACACTTCCAGTTCAAGATTCTGGATTTCGAGAAGCGAATCGGAAGGCGCTACCATTGCATTCGTGATTTAGGCCTGATTGTGAACTATCTGCTGCAGCGCCCCCAGATTTCGGTGTCCATCACCGGCGTGCCCGTCAGTAATTGGGATTCCCATCTCTTAAAGGAGTTTGCCCACTCCTTGATTCCCGCTTGGTACATTGAACTGAAGCTTATGCGGCTGCCACTTGAGTTCTTTGTGATGTTGCGGCTTAATGCATCCCACATGGATGTCTGCATGCTAAGTTTGGAGGGTAAGGATTTCGGTTTTCGTACCAGGAATATACAAATAAACACCCCGGTTTCCTAGGAACACCTCTCACCGACGAGGATGTCCGAATTCTGCGGGAGTTCCTGATCGTCTCCCAGTCTCTGAGGATTCTCAATGTGTCCCACTGTAGCTTGACACAGTACAACTTCGCTATGATCGCCGATGGGGTGCACAAGTCGAAGGGTGTGTACCAACTAAATGCCAGTCGGCTGCTGGGAATGACTCTCAGCCTGGACACGGAAAAGGTGATGTCGGTGGTAGGGTCGCTTCTAATGCACAACGGATTGGAGGAACTGACTTTGGAGTTTTGCGAGTTAACCGCCCAGGATATGGAGCCCATTGCCGAGTACTTGAGGAGGTTGCACTCGAACCTGCGGCGCCTGCGCTTGTCCTCGAATCAGATCTCCTCGGATGGAGCCTTCTTTCTCATGCGCGGCATGTCCATCGGCGGGAGGCTGGAGCTCCTGGACATAAGCCACAACAGCATAGGAACGCACGGTGGCGAGTGGGTGTCCCAGTACTTCTCCTCGTGCCGAAAGTTGCACGTTCTGCACCTGCATAATAACGATATTGGTGCTTCTGCCGTTAATCAAATTCTTCTGACCTTAAAAAAGAAGTGCAAGCTGGACTACCTGTCCCTGTATGGCAATGAATTTGATTCTCATTCTGCCAAGATCGTACGCCGTTTACTCGATTCCGAGGTAATGTTGCAATCCGAGCTGGACATCAGTTATACCTACGACGAGAGTCTGCAGGACTACCGTGTTGTGCCCTGGAGATAAGTATATGGAGTTAGGTCGTTACTTTTGGTTTAAAATGAATCAATAAATGTGTGGTCTTAAGTCTTGGTTTGTGATATTGCATCAATCATTCGCAGTGTTGTCCAGGAACATTACGAGCTTTGAATACTTTGCCTCTGCTCATCTCTGATACTTGCAGTGGGTTAAGCTTTTCGACCACGTGCCTGCTCTCCCGCTCTCACTTAATTAAAACGATGAATGAAGTGCCAGGGCTGCCAGACCAAAGGGAAGAGAAAGCTTGGCTTGGGAGCGAGCTTTCAGGGCCAAACAGCTGAGATAACGGTCTGGCAACTTTCGCTTTCGTTTCCGGCTTTGCTTTGTTATTGTGAGAGCGCAGCTTGTGTATGTGTGAGTGTGTGTGTGTGTGCATTATTGTTGGCGATTTCAAAGTCAAACAGCAACAACAAGGACATAATGCGCAGCCAACAGCTGCGAAGCGCGGAGAGCAAAGCCGAGCAAGGCAGAGCAGAGCAGGAACTCCAACGGCACACGGGACTAGAAACGACGAGCGCAGGCAGCTGGCAGCGACGCGGCGGCGACAGGACAACGCCAACGTTATCCTTGTTGAGAGTTTCGCAATATATTTTTATTGCAGCAGTCTCAACGAAAGCGTCGAAGCAACCGAATCGCATCCAAATCGAACACCCGACAAATCGGTCAGGCCAAGTTCAATGCAAATCGCTAGACAAACTAATAATCAAAATTAAACAATATAAAAATTAAAATAAATAATTAATTTCCACACAAACATTAATCCCCAAAAAAATAATGAAAATTAAAAGCTTGTGTATTCTGTGCATTTGCTCATCCTGTGTGAAGTGCAAGTGCCTCCCTCCAGTTCTTGTATAACTTTCGTTGGAACTTCATATTTTAAAGGACCTGTGTTGGCAGGACGAACATTGGGCCTGCGGCGAAATTGTGTTTTTCCCCCTCCCAGAACTTTCCCCTGTTCTCTTATCTTATTTTAGTTGCAAATTTATTTATCTGCTTGCAGGCGTCTGCTTCCTCCCAGCTCTAGTGAATATACACATATTTCCAGCAACAACCCACCTAAACTAAACTACAACTATAAAACTAAAGCCAAACTCAACTAAGTAAACGAACTGAACTAAAACTGAAGCCAGAAGCTGTTACAACTTTTACCATTTCTTGCTTCAAAACTAAACTTAGAACCGGAATTATAATTAGAACAAACACAACCAAGTGAGCAAAATGAACGACAGTCGACGCAACACGGCCACGGAATTCAGTTACATTTTGCAGCGTCAGGTAACCACTCTTTAATTATACATATATGCACTAATTTTGAGAAGAGTTCGTTTTTGTGTTTTGCGTTTGGCATTTTTTTGCGAGTCCTGTTCCGAAATCGCACCCACTGCTCGAGCGTTTCCTTTGCAGCACCCTAATTGCACACATCTCAGCCACAGGAACTCCAACTAATTGCACCCACACGAACCGTCTGATTGTACGTACCACTACCCGCAGAGTGCATAATGGCCAAGGATATGGGGACTGCCGGGTTGCCTTGTCCATAGTGCTGCCTTTTAGCCAAATTGCTTGCACATGGCCATCCATATTTTTCACACCATTTTTTATCTGGCTTTGAAAGCTTCACTGGTAGTTGATTTATTTGATTGAAATTCTTTAGTAAAACTATTTTGATAATACGAAGTATCATTTATGTTAATAGAACTAAGCAAGCAATTCTCTATTAAAAAATTCATTCAAAACAAACATAAAATTTTTAATTTAATATGTTAGCTGCAGCTTAATTGAAATGCCACCATACTGATCCTGTAGGCCATAGCACACATTTGGCGTGTCCAATGAATTGTTAATAAACAAAATTCTCCGTCAATCAATCATGGTTTAATAAATGCCCCCATAGACATTTGCATATGAATATCTGGGCGAGGGGCTTATCGGGGACAAGTTGCCGTCGGCAGGATGGTAGAATGGCAGGATGCCCGCACGGGTTATGCTCGATAATCCCTTAAGCTCGTTATGAATTCCATTTCACTCAAATGCTGAAATTGGCTTGCGTGTCTGTCTGCACATACGGAAACACATTCACACAGCCACTGGTTCGAGTTTGTAGCTCGTGGCTCGTAACTCGTAACTCGCAACCCGCAGTTCGTACTGTGAAAAAGACTGTTAAATCAATTTGTTTTGAAGCACCCCCTGGCACTGAAATATTCCCCGAAGGGAGCTCCAAACCTCCGCTGAGACAATGACACATTAGAATCATCGAATCGTGTCTTGATTGAGTGATAATCCAAATCACAATTCACAACATGCTATGATTAATGGCAGCCAATTGAATCACAAGGGTCAGCTGTAACGACTCGACTATTTATTGTTTCAGCAATGACCTTTGACGGGTGAGAAAATTTGTCTGGACAGCCTTGGAGATCCTTCAAGATTTAATTAAGCTCTCCCCAGGGTGCCAGGGCGGCCGCGCTTAAGCACTTGATAACAAAATCAATAAGCGCCAAGCTCGACCTTTAATTACACAACACCCACACAGAAACACCCGCCCACGAAGGATTTATGAGGCCTGCTCCACATACTGATGAATGGAGCTCGACTTGCACTTCCACTTTCCCATCTACATCCTTCAGTGCCACAGTGCCACCTTCGCCTCCTCCTCTGTCTCCGTCTCCGCCTTCGTTTTCTCATCCACATCCACTTAATCGCCGCTTAGTATGCAAGGCATGAGGTGGCATCGCATCTGCTGTCTGGCCTTGGCCAGCCCGCTCCATGGTGGCCACCTCGTCCTTTGTGTCCTGCCACTGCTATGCCAGCTGGGGCATCAAATAAGAATGTCAGCAACAGCAACACCCTGCTGCGAGATAAGAGAAATCAATGTCGGCTGCAGGCAACAGCACTTTTCAGTGCATTTGGAACACTTCCTCGACCCCGACAATTAAGTTCCCATTGGAATTTCAAATTGGCCCGCAAGCCAGCTCTTCAAACGCTTAACTCAATCCCAATACCAATTGACCCAATTAAATCAAACATTGTTCGGGGGTATGGGAAATCGTAAGGCGGAAAACCCAATTTAAATAAATTTGAAAAGCAATGGCTATTGATGGTCCTCAACGATGTCCTGACACTGACAGGCGACAGAGTGCCACAGGGTGATGCATATCCGTAAATAGATGTTAAGACAATTTGATTAGTGGTGGATATATAAAGTGGTTTTTAATAGAGTTTTTATTTCCGAATGAGTTCACAGACAGTTTTAATCCATCAAAGAAGCTAATAAAATTAAAATTTAATTATCAAAGCTGTTTAAATGTGCTATTAAGTGTAGAACTAAAGCTATCCTGCAAAAAAAGAGGATTATCATATATCACTTTGAAACTTAAACGTTAAGTGGCTTTCTGGAAACACCAGGCGTATACGTAATATGTAATTGTATATCACGTACACGCCATGGCTTCAGTTATGCAATAACTGTTGGATACCTATCTGGGCTGCAGTTTTTTTTTAGTTTTTTTTGCTCCCATTAATTCACAGATAAATTTAGTCCTTTAAGGCGGCTAATAAATTAATATAAATGATAAAAGGAGGAAATTAAAGAAAGCTTCTTTGAAAATCTTCCATATAAGATGACTTAAGCCTAAGCTCAAGTACTCTTGCCTTTTTAACAGGATCATATATCGTTTTAAGATTTTATGGCTAAGAGGCTTTCCAGCCACACTAGGCGTATACGTTATATTCATGAGTATCTCACGTATACGCCACCGTTTCAGTTATGCAATAACTGTTGCATACCTTTCAGCTGCTGATGGTTCTTTTCCACAGGCTCACAGGCCATCAAGGCGAATCGCTAAATCCCAATCCGGACATGATGCCGGGGCAAGGTGCCCTAAGTCTGTCTCCCAGGACAGCGTGAGTGGGGTTTTTTTTTTTTTTGGAAGGGTCGGGGGTTCTGAAGTGGGAGTGAAGATGGGCGATGTGCTTAAATGGTTTCGATTTGCCATTTCACCCAGCCAGGCCTGATGGCCTGATGGATTCAGACTTGGCTGGGTGGCCCCACCACGCGACCAAAACAATAAAAACAAACGCGTTCGGGGCATCGCAACACTGTACGCGTTCGTATCTCGAAAATTGACGGGCAAAACGATAAAAACAAAAAAAAAAAAGAAACAAAAACTCAGCCAACCACTGAACTGAGTCGCGTATTTCCCTAGCGGAAGGGACATCTGTGATATATAAAGCAGAAAAAACACGTGTTCCATAAAGATATGTGCACACTTGTATATACAACAATCCAGATAGAATACGTATATTTTGGCATGCGAATAAATTGGAATTCTTTGGTGCGCGGAACACGGTTCGCAGTTTTCCCCCTCAATAATTCGGTATGCAGTGCACAATACGTATATGCATGTTTGTTTGATTTGATATATATTTTATGTTTATGTTTTAAGCGAATCATTCGCCGGATTGAGCTCGATTTAATGGCTAACAATTTGATTTATATTCGTTTCGTTTGCCGCACACAGGGCAGCGATGTGTCGGTTGCCGAGGCTTATGCATTCGATGACTTCAACAATTTAATGAAGGTAAACTTTGACCCACATTCCTTGCACTGAATCTAGTCCCATTGCTCCTCCACTCAGTCGACCTGTGCACTTGCATTCCGCTTCGTAGTCGTATTCACATTCTAGCCATCCCTCCACTCACATTCATTAAATTCCGAGTAACGCCTACACACATTCACGCCCCGGACGTGGCAGAGGCAGTGCCTGCCTTGGAGACTGGAAGATACTCGTCCTGGCATTCTGGCGCCGACCTTTGCCGAGGTCTTTCGGGCGGTACAAATTGCTTTTGGTCTCTGGACATCAAAAGAATTTTCTTATTAGGAAATATTTCCGTGCCTGCCTCGCACCCGATGCCTTATTAAATATTACATTAGACAAAATCATGTACGAGTTTCTAATGAAGAGAAATCACAATTGAGGATTTGTATTCGAGGGCGTGAAGGCAACTTTAGAACGTAGTTGGCATTCGGGGGAAAAAGAAATTAATAAAGTCCAAAAGTTAAGGATACCATGGCCCAAACTGATGAGGAGTTAACTCATCCATCAAGCTTACAGCTTATGAGACGCTGGCAACAAAAAAAAGTGAGAAAAAACCCTTGCTAGCTGGCTCGGCTTTAAGCCGTAGCTAATCCTGGCAACTAATACCAGAGAATGCCTGTCAGAAAAAGCAAGAAAAGGATTTCCCATACATACACTTGAATGTAGTTGGGTTTGGGTGGGGGGTAGGGGCGGCGGAAATGAAAGCAACGAATGTTGGCCTAGAACTTGAAGGGAACATTGTGTAATATTTGATGCATTACCATGCATAAGTAAGGAAATCCATTCACATTGGTGTGGCTATGAGTGTGTCTGTCAGTGTGGGTGGGGTGGTGCAGAGTGTTTATGTATGTGTGGCTTTTGTTGTTTTCTTAGGCCTCGAACCGAAAGTTTTGTTGTTGTTGGCAAAGCCATTAGGCGCCAAGGCTGTCCAAAAATTCCAACATTAACTACTGGGAGAGGGTGCGAATAAAAGAAGAAGAAAGCCAGCCAGCCAGCTAGCCATCCAGCCCTGATTGTTTGCTCAACTAATGGCCGCGCCAGCTCAAAGGCAAATTGCCAATAGTTGAGACACTCTCGGCCCTGTTTTCTCAATTAGGTTAGTTCCACCCGAAACTATAGCCACTCTCGGCCGGCAGTAAGGATTACTCGTTAATTGCAACCAGCCAAAAAAAAAGGAAAGCAAAAAGGAAACTGTGACTGAAACTGAAACTACAAAAATTAAATTAAATAGAAAAATTGGCAAAGCGAGCTATAAGCACACAAAATTGTTTTCACTAGAAGGTTATTTGCTTTTTTGTACAATTTTATATATACAGAGAAAAAAATGGATAATAGTAGGATGAGCTTGTATATTTTTTTAAAAAGTCTTTTATAGAATAATTAAACATTTTTGTTAGGAAGTTGGAAATGTTGTACAAAACCTAATACACTAAGTCTTAATTGCTTTTTTAAATTGTGCATTTTTTGCTGTGCATTTCTATTGAAAGAAGCAGCCCATTCGCCAGCCCAATTCCAATCTTCACTCCTCAGAAAAACAAGTAAAAAAACCTGACCTGACCCGGGACCATTTGCCTGCCTTGCATATACGTGTTTGCTTTTGCAACACCCCATATGGCTGTGGGTTGGACTTGACTTCCTATGGGAGGAGTGAGCGGGCTTAGGCCCTGTTTGTCTATCAGCATGGGGTGCAACCCAGGCAACCCAGGCAACGGCTGAAACTGAAATGACAACAATGTCGACGCGGCTGTGTCAATAGTTCAGGGGGAGACACGAAATGCAATGGAAAAACAGCTGCAATTTCTGTGGTCGGGCCAGGTTAACACTTGCCAGGTTTTTGCCATTTTAGCCATTTTTCTGGTCGCATAATTTGAGGTCCCTTGTTGTTAATTGCTGGCCCTGCTTCGGGGAGCAGCATTGTGTTAACCAAAACGCTTCAATTAAATGCAAATTGTTGCTCCCATTGGGCCGGCTGCCGTTCTGTAATTTCATTAGGCCGAGTTCAGAAATGTGAATTGTGATTTAGGGAGGTCATTATGGGTATAACCGAAATCCAGATACTTCTAGGCTGAAAGTAAAAAATTAAAATTATTTTGGAGTTTATTTTTATGTGTGCTTTTCAAAGCAATTAGAAAGAGTCTCCTTAACGATAAATAAGTCTCACGTTTCTGCGCCAAAAAGGGTATTTTTTATTCCGTTGTTTAATCATCTAGAATTTTTGTTGATTCTGGGTGTCCTTAGAGCTAGAGGAACCCAACGACATGAGTGTTATTAATTAAAATCGTGCACTGCATGAAATGGCTTGTTTGCCATTATGAACTGAGACCGGCAGGTCCTGGACCGTTTTCAGTATCCTGTATGGGTATGGGTATGGGTATGGGTATGGGTATGGGTATGGGTATGGGTATGGGTATGGGTATGGGTATGGGTATGGGTATGGGTATGGGTATGGGTATGGGTATGGGTATGGGTATGGGTATGGGTATGGGTATGGGTATGGGTATGGGTATGGGTATGGGTATGGGTATGGGTATGGGTATGGGTATGGGTATGGGTATGGGTATGGGTATGGGTATGGGTATGGGTATGGGTATGGGTATGGGTATGGGTATGGGTATGGGTATGGGTATGGGTATGGGTATGGGTATGGGTATGGGTATGGGTCCTGTCCCTGCTGTTGGCATTCCAATGCAGATTGCCTTTCGTGTTTGAGTTTGTATTTGTATTTGCCTTTCGACAATGTTTGTCTTTTATTAGAAACGTTCTGTTAGAACAGGTAGACTTTTGGCTAAGGTTTTTCGTGCGTGTGTATGCCTATATGTGGCTAAGCACCTGAGAAAAGCCCCCAAACAATTTCCATCTCTTGTGTTTTCACATTTTTTTTTTGTGTCCCGTCTCTCACACTTTTGACGCAATTGAGTTTCGAATGGATTTTTTCCGTTGCGATGCCCCATCCTTCTGGAAGTTAATTGGATTTGTGAGGTTTAATTGCTGACAGGGGAATGCCCGACAATTTAAAGACTTTCTGCTCGAAGAGGTTCTCCCTCGAAAGGTACATCCGTCTTGAGTTTGATTCATAAATCATACATGCATAATTTCCAGACCCGAAATATGCTCGATTGAACAGCGGAAACAAGGTCAGTCATTCGTTGAAATCATTTATTCCGGCAATTATTTATGATTCTTGATGTTGGCTCGAATGGCCTTAACTTGGCCAACTTAAAGTGGCTGAAGGACAAGTGACAATAACACTTTAATGTCGCCGTAATGCTTTACATGATAAACTAATCCAACTGGCTGGCTATAAATTATCCTGAGCCAGTATCCTTCGAGGGTTTTCCCCGGCTTGAGATTAACGTTGGCCCATTTGCCTTCGACGGAGCAATTTGTTTTTGTGTTTTCTTGGTCGTTCTTTTTGTTTTTTTGCTGGCAAGGATGCGACTGAAAGTGGCCGGGCGAAGGACTGGAGGGCCAAGTAACAACTGACAACGGACACTCTGTAATTTCATTGGGCCGCAGCTGCCTTTTGTAACCTTGTCCCGGGCATCTCCATCCCGGAGACCTTGGGCCAGGGCCGGGGGTCTTGTGCGCCTCATAATTAGCCATTTTCTTTGATACGCCATGGCACTTTTTCGGGTGTAAAAACACCGCGTTTCTGCGACCTTTGACGCCACTTAATTGAATTGAAAACTCAACGCAACTCGCGCGTAATGTGCCTTTGGAACTTTTCATTATGCCGAACACCTACTACAGAAAACATTTTAAAGTAGTTCTGCAAAAATGTTTGTTCTCCTCTTGGCGGGGAGGGCGGTTGATTCGGAAAAACCTGCAAAAGTGTAAAGTTTTCCGGCATTTGTTTGCTGTTTCAATGTTTGTGCGCTTCCAAGTTTAGTTAGGAGAAACTTCTTTAATTGCCAGCCAGATGGTGGAAGGTTTTCTTCAATTCTTTGCCTTTATAACCTCTGTTTTTATTATTTTTTTTTAGTTGCCAGTTGGCTCAGGAGGAGACCAGTGATGGGTAGCAGGAGGCCACACAACATTCGTGACTTTATGACGTGGCTGAGGAATTTTATTTATGTTTATGTGAGAGCTCTTGATATAAAATTGTCTTTTATGGCTGGCGTGGGGTAGGTTTGGTAGGGAAGGGTAAGGGTTTTTTGGGACAACCACAATTTACGATAAGGCTATAGATACTGCTCGTATCCTTTGTTTTTACCTGAATATTGCGTATACGCCACGGTGCGGGCTCTGTTGATTTTGCTTTTGATGTAAAGAGTCACTCGAGGCAATTTTGTGTGCTCTTATCCCAATCAACGAACAGTAATGGAGACTCTGTCCTCTGCCCGGGGATGGCAATTGCTAACCTTTGGTGTTTTTTGTTGCCTGCCATCCTAGAACAACCATCAGACACATCAGCAACAGGGCCAGCCGCAGCAGCATCAGCATCCACATCAGCAACAGCAACAACAACAGCAGCAGCAGCCACAACAGCAACAACCACATCAGCAGGATGCTGTCCTGGGAGAGGCATTGTCTTCCCTCCCCCAGGCCTCGTTCAACTACATAAACTCCATCGTGGGCAGCGGCGTCATTGGCATACCCTATGCCCTCCACCGCGCCGGATTCGGTCTCGGCCTGGCCCTGCTCATCCTGGTGGCCTACATCACCGACTACTCGCTCATCCTCATGGTAAGTGGCCGGCTCGAAACCCAATTTCGAAAAATTGCAGCGGAAATTGACGCACCACCGATGCTTCCCAAATCCGTTTAGAGTGCCAATCGAGCCACCCAGACCCAGGCCCAGACCCAGACCGAGAGTCACATGCATTCGCGTTTTGACTTTGAGTTTGGGTTTTCGGGCTTAGCATTTTCTGCATAATTAACGCCCACACACGAGCCGTTTAAGCCTCATTTCATTTACAGGTCAGGTGCGGCCACATTTGCGGTCGGTTCAGCTATCCGGGCATTATGGAGGCCGCGTACGGCAAGTACGGCTACTACCTGCTCTCCCTCCTCCAGTTCATGTATCCCTTTCTGGGTGAGTATACTACGGGAACTTTCTGATTTTTAGTTCTGAACTTATGGTAGAAAACTATTGAATTTTAAAGGAGTCTTAGGGTACTCAAATCTTTCGGTTTAATCTAAAAAATCATTTCAACATAGCTTCTATCATACACTTTTTAAATATTTATTAAATATAAGCTCGAAATGAATAAACTTCCAGAAATGATGAACTTAAGGGTCCAAGTCTCAATAGCTTTTATATAAACTTGAAAAAAAGGTTTCCCACAAGTTAATTATAAAGTTATAATAAGAACTGCAAGTTAGTATGCTTTTAAAGCGGCAATATATTTTGATATACTTTATTTTCAGCCATGATATCCTACAATGTTGTGGTGGGTGATACGCTGTCCAAGGTCCTTGTCAGGTTCTTCCCCTCCTGGGGCGGTTCGATGGGCGCCGTTCGGCTGGGCGTGGTCTTCTTTGTGAATGTGGGCGTGGTCATGCCCCTATGTCTCTACAAGAACGTCTCCCGGTTGGCCCGGGCCAGTTTCATTAGCCTGGCCTGTGTGGTCTTCATTTTGTTTGCGGTCATCATCAAGCTCATGTCCGGCGATTATAAAGTGTAAGTAGATGGGATTTTATATTTATGATTTTTGTGCATATGTATGGACTTAAAGTCTGGTCATGTATAATCATTTTAGTTAAAATTATATTTACAAAGCTTCAAATATTTATACATAATGTAGAATATCAAATGCTTGTGATATTTGTCATGGTTTCAAAAATATAATATTCAATTAGCTTCTGGCTAACTTGAATTCATAATTAATGAGAGAAACTCGTCAACATTTTAATTGGGGTCAAAAAATAATGAAATAAAATGTATGCAAGCTGTTTGGAAAAAGAGGAATTCAGCTACTGTTTGCTTTGGTGAAAAGGTATGATGATGGGATTAAAATGGACAAAAAATGAGGTTTTCCCCTATAGGGTCCACAGTGATGGCTATATCTCACCCAATTCTCATCCGATTCTCAAGCGGAGTACCTTAAACGATTTCTAGATCGAATCTGGACCATTCTGCATCAAAAACCTGAGACAAAATATTTTTTAGATTTTTTGTCCATTTTTCGTGATGGGATCCCTTCAAAATGGGGTTTTCCCCTATAGGGTCCACAGTGATGGCTATATCTCTCCCAATTCTCATCCGATTCTCAAGCGGAGTACCTTAAACGATTTCTAGATCGATTCTGCACTATTCTGCACCAAAATCTTGAGACGAAATATTTTTTCGATTTTGTCCATTTTTCGTGTTGGGATCCCTTGAAATGGGGCTTTCCCCTCTAGGGTACACTGGGATGGCTATATCTTCCCCAATTCTCATCCGATTCTCAAGCGGAGTACCTTAAACGATTTCTAGATCGATTCTGCACTCTTCTGCATCAAAAACCTGAGACAAAATATTTTTTATATTTTTTGTCCATTTTTCGTGATGGGATCCCTTGAAATGGGATTTTCCCCTATAGCGTCCACAGTGATGGCTATATCTTCCCCAATTCTCATCCGATTCTCAAGCGGAGTACCTTAAACGATTTCTAGATCGATTCTGCACTATTCTGCACCAAAATCTTGAGACGAAATATTTTTTCGATTTTGTCCATTTTTCGTGTTGGGATCCCTTGAAATGGGGCTTTCCCCTCTAGGGTACACTGGGATGGCTATATCTTCCTCAATTCTCATCCGATTCTCAAGCGGAGTACCTTAAACGATTTCTGGATCGATTCTGCACTCTTCTGCATCAAAAACCTGAGACAAAATATTTTTTAAATTTTCTGTCCATTTTTCGTGATGGGATCCCTTGAAATGGGATTTTCCCCAATAGCGTCCACAGTGATGGCTATATCTTCCCCAATTCTCATCCGATTCTCAAGCGGAGTACCTTAAACGATTTCTAGATCGATTCTGCACTCTTCTGCATCAAAAACCTGAGACAAAATATTTTTCTATATCGATTCTACACCATTCTGCATAAAAATCCTGAGACCAAATATTTTTTAGATTTTTTGTCCATTTTTCGTGGGATGGCTATATCCTCCGCTTGAAAAATTCGAAAAAATTTAAAAAGGTATTGTACCAGTTTCTTGAATTAGGAATTAAGCTACTGGAAGCCTAGGTCTCAGAAAAGTATGTCCTTTTCCGATCTTATGACAAATGGAGGGCTACAATTTTCGGAAATGGGCAAAATGGCGAATGCTGTAAAATAAAATAAATATTTTCTTACGTATATTTTCTCGGCCTACAAATTCTGTCAACAAGCCCGTAGGTGCTATTCTTTAACGAGTCCCAGATTTCTTTTTCGTCCACATTGTGAACAAAATATATGGTACACCTTTTTACACCTTAAACAGTATGCAAATTACTTTCGCGCCAAAAGCCATTTATAAAAATTACCAAACAAAGCATAAATACAACTCGCGGCAAGCGCGTAAAGATTTATTTACATTTTAATTACAAATTGTGTATTCGCCTCGATTTCCCCCAAAAACCGTTAACAAAGTTGCAACCAGTTGGACCTGTGGGGATGGCTTTTGGGGTGGCTGTGGCGGTGGCGGTGGCGGCAGTGCCGGATAGGGGGAGCTTCTGGGCTTTAGTGCTAAGTGGCGCTTTAGTGCTTTCAAATCTGTGGCAACTGCCCAGGGCGGGTGGTGCAATAGCTACTGGCGACGCAGAGCTCATAAAATTTAGTGTGCCACTTGTTTGCCTTTTATGGCTTTTCATTAGGCGAGTCGAGTTGAGTCTGTTGCAGTGCAACTAAGTTGTATGCATACACCCATACCCTTACACACACACATACATATATCCTTTGAGATCCAGGAGGGACGGCGGCGGCAGGACTCGAGGGTACCGCAGCTTAGCAAGGCAACACTTTGGCATGCAGTTTCAGGGTCAAAGCTGGAAAGGGTTCATCTCCGGTTTCCCCTTCTGGGTTAGCTAGCAACTGGCAGTAGGATACCCTTGAAGGCCGCCGCCTCTCTGGTCTCTCCTCGGTTGGTATAAAATTTAAATAAATTTCCAATTTGCGGCTGGGCCGGCTCTCCTTTCTTATCTATCCTGGCCAGCACCTTTTGTTTCACACATTTTTTATGCGAATAATTCACATTTCCGCCCCCACCTGGGGCGGCCAACGAAATGTTAATTTGGTGTTAACTTTTGTGTAATGTTTCGTCGGAAATGAACCTTTTTTCTTTTCTTGTTTCGTGGCTCTGTTGATTTATTTTCAGTACGGATACGGCGGAATCGTGGCGCTTTGCTAACTCTGACCTCATCCCGGCCACAGGCATCATGGTCTTCGGTGAGTGCCCGTGTCCACTGGACTTTCCATCTATCTCTGACATATTCCCCACCCGATACAGCTTTCATGTGCCATCACAATACCTTCCTCGTTTATCAATCGATGCGCGAAGCGACCATGGAGCGATGGGAGAAGGTCACCCACATTTCGATTGGATTCGCCTGGACTGTGGCGGCCCTCTTCGGCATCGCCGGCTACTCCACCTTCCGCGCCCTCTCCCAAGGTGAGCCTGACACAAACACAAATTGCATTTAATTGCATTGACAGGCAATTTGTGCGAATTTCCTGTTGCCTGTTTTTGGCATTCATTTTAGCAAGCACACAGGAGAGGTAGAGGTAGAGGCCCTGAAGGCACAAGTACCTAATCTTAATGTGCCACAAATTGTATAAATTGTTTATGCTAATGTCCTTGCGACGGATGTTATGGCTTCGATAACAAGGCAATGGCCCATAGATAAAACCAAAGAGATTAAAGCGAAACCAGATTAATCAATTTTTATTTAATTTGGTTTTTTTTTTTCACAGGAGACCTTCTGGAAAACTACTGCTGGGATGACGACCTGATGAACTTCTCGCGTGTCCTCTTCTCCATATCCATACTACTGACCTTTCCCATCGAATGCTTCGTCTCCCGAGAGGTTAGACCAAAATAGTTTGCCAAAGTTTGTGGCTCTTGGCTTATTTGGGTTATTCCCAACAGATTGTGCGCGCCCTCGTCCATCGTTTCGTGCTAAAGGAGCCCATCAGCGAGTTCACCCAGGACAAGGACCCCAGCCTGGAGAAGGGAGCCGAGATCGATGAGTATTCCAAAGCCATTACCATGGCCATCGTGTTCAGCGCCTTTGTCATTTCGCCCATGACCGACTGCCTTGGATCGGTGCTGGAGCTTAACGTAAGTCAATTTCAAAACAAATCCTTAAATAAAACAATCCCTGGCCAGGAATAACAAGGTTTAATTATGTAGAAAAATATCACAGACTTACAGAGAAATCTAGACTTTTCTAAAAAGAAAATCTTCAAAGCCAAAGAGTTAATAAAAGGAATAAGGAATAATAATAAGTTAAAATAACTTTTTAATAAGTTAAAAGGAATAATTAGTTAGGGAAACTTTATATTAAACTAAAATTCTATCAGAATAAATTACCTCGTATTTTAAATTTTATCTTGATTCCCATATATTAGCCTTATAATTTTTTATTTAGTGATTTAGGCAACCTCATATTATATTCATTCACTGCCATTTGAATATTTTATGAGGCAAATCGAATGTTTCAAATACTCCATCAAATACAACTGAGACTAATTCGAACTTCACCACTTGGGACTAAGGCTGCCGTATGGCCAAGTTTATTATCATGGCCCGAACCGGCTTTTTCCCCCTTGCATTCTGGTCACGGGTATCGGCCAAAATGGCCTCTCCCCCTCCACACATTTTCCCCCATTTCGGCCTTTGTAGTTTGTGGGTATTTGGCATGCAAATTTATGCTCTGGTTGGAACATTTCAGGGTCTCCTGGCCGCCATCCCACTGGCCTACATCCTACCCGGCCTGGCCTACATCCAGATGGAGCCGCACGCCCTCCTCAGCCGCGAGAAGCTGCCCGCCCTGGGCCTGGTGGTGTTCGGTGCCCTGGTGACCATACTGGGGGCGGCGGTGCTGCTGCCCGGCCTGATGGGCGGAGACTGCCGGGCAGACATTGTGATGGGCTACTGCCGGCAGGAGTTCCAGAACGCCACAGCCTCGAATTAAGCACTGGACGATGGCAGACGTCGTGGGGGAGGAACATGGAGCCAAAACCCAGCGTTTTGGGTTGCGGGTTGGGTTCAACAGGATTCGTTTACCTTAGAATATTTTCGGTTGGCTTTTCGGTTGAAACATTCGGTTAAGAGCTGCACCAAATCGCATCGAAAGAAACTTGTACCTGAGTCCCAGACGTTCAAAGTATCTGCGTAAGTAAGTTGTAGGGAAAAGTGTGTGTGATACGGGCGAACCTCAGTACAAAGGCCAGGCGGATTCTCTCTATGATCGAGTCACCAAGCATATATGCACTAGGATTGTTGAGTTTTGTTTTTTGTTCGGATATACATACTTACTTGCCATAAACTATTACCATGTAGTATCCATTGTTAATTGTTGTCCAGCCCGAAATGTTTGCCGTAGTGAAAGTTCCTCGATAGATGTACTTTGATGCCATTGCACTAATGAAATGAAAATGAAAATGATAAAGAAACAAACCAAATACCAAAAACTTAGAACCTAGATGTTATCCGTAGCTTTAGCGTAGTCTGAAACTATTTGGGCACCAATATACACAGAAATGCAATCCTTAGCAAACCAAAAACCAATTACCAACTCCCCATGTTGAGAGGCAAATCAAAAGCGAACAAGTATTATACGAAACAACTATTTATAACTATGTATTGTATCTGTATCTGTATATCATCATGTTACCAAAGTCATATTTCAGCGTTTTATATGTATATGTATACAAAAATAAGTAAATAGTTGCTTAGCTCGGGCGAAACATCAAATCGCATTGAAATCAAAACAAGAACAACCCCCTTTTCCATGGACACATCGATTTCTGACAACAGTTTTGAGTTGTTAATGGCACTGAACTCTATATATTTTAAATTGCTTAAATATACAACACACAGGAAGACACTATGGGACACCATACACATGAATATTTATACATGTTTATACACAAAGATATATTTTTGTACAACTCTTGATTTATAGTGCACGATATTATGTAAATACATGTGTATGCATTTTTGGATGTGATTAAAGTTTATACACAAATAAACTGGAAGCTCTCACTTGTTACTTCCTCCTCGGGCCGCAGGACGACACAATGCTGAAGACCCTTACTCTAACTCTATTCTCTAAGAGCTTAAACACACATATCATACGGCCAGAAGACACGGGACAAACACAACCAAGGGCTTTTCTATAGATACTTTTTACAAGAACTTACCAAACTGACCCTATCGCTTATACACAACGAAATCGGAACAACCAATTTCCACAGACTTCTTGTATATACACTCTATAGGGCTCTGCTTATCGATCAGAACGATGTTACCCATCTTCTCATTCGCCGATTAAATCTAAATGTCTCTGTTTTCTATCTACATATAAAGTTATATATAATTACATATTAAAGTTGTAGGGATTCGATTAGGGAACTGTTGAATTGGAATTATTATTATTACTGTATTGTGCATGTAGCGAAAAAATATATCAAATACAACATATTAATGGTTGAGATCGGATGCGAGCGGCTGATCGCCGCTTAGGAGGAACTTTTGATTTCCAGCGCAGAGATAACCAAATTAAATTTCATTCCAATAGGAACATATGTCTAGATAAGCATATGCAATATCAAAAGCAAAGAAAACCAAAATCAAATAAAATAAAGAATGTATTTTAGAAATATGCAAAGCAAAACACTGCGGTTTTCCTGCACAAAAGTCTTATCGGAGTCATGGAGACCGCCACCGGGTTTCCGTTTTAGAAATTTTGCGGTGTCTTGAAAAGATAATTATTTTAAACTAGAAACTAAAAACTAAAGACTACAGACTAAGCACCGATAAGGTAAGGTATAAAAACCCCATGCCGGCTGTGGAAAAGTCACAGTTGTGAAGTGGCATTGCTTCCAGTGTTCAGTCTCCTAGATTCCCTTGGGTTTTCATCGCTTTCTACAAAATCACCGACATGGCCGACAAGAAGAACCTCCTGCTGCTCTTCGACCACCCCACCGAGCCGGTGTTCATGGACAAGGGCAAGACGGTGACCGTCTTCGACGTGCCCGACTCCTTCCTCACCGATCGCTACCGCCCCATTAGCAACGAGGTGCAGAGCCGGGTGGGCGAGACGGTGGAGCAGCGCATTCCCGTCCGGGACATCTCCATTCCGGATCTCCGGATCCCCATGTCCCTGGGCCGCGACGAGCAGTTTTCCCTGTTCCTGCCCAAGCACCGACGCATCGCCGGCCGCTTGATTGACATCTTCATGAACATGCGCTCCGTGGACGACCTGCAGAGCGTGGCCGTGTACGCCAGGGACCGGGTCAACCCGGTGCTCTTCAACTACGCCCTGTCGGTGGCTCTGCTCCACCGTCCGGACACCCAAGGCTTGGACCTGCCGTCTTTCTCGCAGACCTTCCCCGACCGCTTCATCGACTCTCAGGTGATGCGCAAGCTGCGTGAGGAGTCCTTCGTGGTGCAGCCCGGCTCCCGGATCCCCATCACCATTCCCCGGGACTACACCGCCTCTGACCTGGACCCGGAGCACCGACTGTGGTACTTCCGCGAGGATCTGGGAATCAACCTCCACCACTGGCACTGGCACTTGGTCTACCCCTTCGAGGCCACTGACCGCAGCATCGTGGCCAAGGATCGTCGTGGGGAGCTCTTCTACTACATGCACCAGCAGGTGATCGCCCGCTACAACGCCGAGCGCTTCAGCAACAACCTGGCCCGTGTCCAGCCCTTCAACAACCTGAGGGACTCTATTGCCGAGGGCTACTTCCCCAAGATGGACTCCCTGGTGGCCAGTCGTGCCTGGCCTCCGCGCTTCGAAAACACCAAGCTGAGCGATCTGAATCGCGAGGCCGACCAGCTCAACGTGGAGATCGGGGACCTGGAGCGCTGGCGCGACCGCATCTACGAGGCCATCCACCAGGGCTTTGTTATGGATGTGAGTACCATTTAGTAACTCCATAAGGCTCTTTATTAATGAGTAAATATTTAAAGGAACGCGGCAACCGCCTTGCTTTGGATGAGGCCACTGGCATCGACACTCTGGGCAACATGATTGAGTCTTCCATTCTGTCCCCCAACCGAGTACTGGTAAGCTTCAATCAAATCTTGTAATGAAATCTATTCCTGAGAATAATTATTCTTAATTAATTATTAATTATAATTGAATATCCTTTCAGTATGGTGATCTCCACAACAATGGACACACCTTCATTTCTTATGCCCACGACCCAAGCAACAAGCACTTGGAGTCCTTTGGCGTGATGGGCGATGTCTCCACCGCCATGCGTGATCCTGTCTTCTACAAGTGGCACTCGTACATCGACCGCATCTTCCAGGAGCACAAGTCCCGCCTGCCGGCGTACACCGATGCCCAGTTGAACTACTCCGGCATCTCGATCACCGGTATCCAGGTGGCCGCTAACGGAGGCCAGCCCAACACGCTTACCACCTTCTGGCAGCAGTCGGACGTGGATCTGTCCCGTGGCTTTGACTTCCTGCCCCGTGGCAATGTGTTTGCCCGGTTCACCCACCTCCAGCACCTGCCCTTCACCTACACCATCAACATCAACAACGATGGAGGTGCCCAGCGCTTCGGCTACGTGAGGATCTTCATGGCCCCCAAGAATGACGAACGCAGACAGCCCATGTTGCTGCGGGAGCAGCGTCTGATGATGATCGAGCTGGACAAGTTTGTTGTGTCCCTAAACCCAGGACCCAACACGATCCGTCGCCGCTCCACGGAATCGAGTGTGACCATTCCATTCGAGCGCACTTTCCGTAACTTGGATGCTAATCGACCAACTGCCGGATCACCGGAGGAGCTGGAGTTCAACTTCTGCGGCTGCGGCTGGCCCAACCACATGCTCATCCCCAAGGGTCTGCCCGAGGGTCTGCAATGCGACCTGTTCGTGATGGTGTCCAACTACGAGAACGATAGGGTGAGTATTCTCGGCTTCTTCGCAGTTTCTTGAATCTAAAGTTTGGATTTCTTCTTGAAGATTGACCAGCAATTGGTTGGTCGATGCAGTGATGCCGCCTCCTACTGTGGCGTCCGCGATCGCCTCTACCCGGATCGCCAGTCTATGGGCTATCCCTTCGACCGTCTGCCACGCACCGGAGCCGACCGCCTGGTGAACTTCCTGACCCCCAACATGAGCATCGTCGACGTGACCATCCGCCACGATAATCGCACTGTCGCGCGCCCGAACTAAACCAAGTCGAACGCATCCGTACCGACCCTGACCCGAATCCGCTGACCTTGCCCACTTCTAGATACATAACTCTTAGCAATCTATTGCATCTTTATTGAGACTTTAAAATAAACAAGACATCATGGCATTCCACACATCTATCTGCCTTTGTGCTCAATTGTTCTGGGGGCCTGGGAGCAGAGGAGCATCCCATTGATTGCGCTTATCAGTGGTTGGCGTCCGGACTTCGGAGAGCCAAGCCGTTAAAAGGCAGCTCCCCGGGCCGGAGAGGCTCAGTCCGTCAAGATCCGGTGTTTAGTGTAAAAGTGAAATTGATTCCAGATTACGGATTACGAGTTCCAGATTCCGGCGGAGATGAGTCTACGGAGCGTGGTGCTTCTGCTGCTGATAGCTGGCATTGGCGTAAGCGTGTTGTGGATTAAATAATCTAAGATTCCACCATAAAATTAAAGATTTGATGGGTCCATCTGTATAAAATAAATGATGTTGTTAATTTTAGTTCCAAAAATAGTCTAAAATATTAATTTTATAACAAATATTGAATCTTTTGGGAACTAAAATTGGGTTAAGGTCACAATACATTTTTAAAAACCATAAAAACAACAAGAAATAACTTATAACTTAAAAAGATTTTCATTTAATGGAAGATAATTATAAAAAATTAACAAGATCTCATTGATATTTTTGGATGGGTATTCCCATTTCAGTGCGCCTCGGCAGCAGCGAATTATGACCTCGAGGCCAAGACTTTTGTGAACCAGTCGAGTGCCAGATACTACAGATTCTACAACGAGATCGCCGCAGAGACCTACTCGGCGAACAATGAGGACGACTTCGAGGCGCTTTTCTCGAAGCTGAACAACGTGAAGCGGATTGCCGAGGAGCTGGTGAGCATATCCCGCCAGGCAGCCGCATTCGATCTGGAAAGGATTCGCAATCCGGAGACCAAACACGCCCTCCAGGAGCTGCGCAGTGTGGGTGATTTGTTCGTACTCGGGGATGACTACTTCTCCTCCGTTCAAATGAATCTGGCGGCTCTGCAAACCCTCTCCACGGACAAGGACATCGAGCCCTACTTGGGCGGGGCCAAGATGCCTGATGGGGATGACAGTCCGCTGGCCTACTACCCCGACATCCAGAAGATTGTGCAGACTAGTCGAGATTCCGATGAGTTGAAGTACTACTGGGAGACCTGGAGGGAGAAGAACCAGCTCTGGGCCTCGCTTAACTTCTACACGATTGTCCAGTCGTATCAGCGAGCGGCCAAGATCCTGGAGGTGCCAGTACACAAGCTCTGGTATCGCTCCGACAGCCAGGAGATGCTCCAGCAGATGGAACAAGCCATGACGGAGTTGCGTCCGGCTTACCAGCAACTGCACGCCTTTGTCCGCCAGGAGCTGCACAAGAAGTACGGTGGAGAGGTGGTCGACTTGAACAAGCCCATTCCGGATCATCTGTTCCAACAGGTGGTGGAGCAGGCCTGGGCCCCGGGCAGCATTCTGGAGGATTACTATCCCCGTGCCCAGCTCCCGGAGTTCGATGACTATGTTCGTCATTTGAATGCCAAGGCCATGGTCAATGAATCCGAGAACTTCTACACCTCACTGGGATTCGAGCCTTTGTCGCCGGAGTTCCACAAGAACCAGCTGAAGGAGCCTAACGAGGACAGGCCCAATGACGACTGTCGTCCCTCTGTCTTCGACCTCACTCCGCATCCCTACTTGATGTACTGCGAGAAGGTCAGTTTCCGAAAACTGATGCAGTACCACAGTCACTTGGCCAGAGTCTACTATGCCCAGCAGAGAAGCCACCTCCCCTCCTACTATTTCAAGGCCTACAACCTGGAGTTTGCCGTGGGCGAGGCGGTGGTCCTGTCCGCCTCTTCACCCACCCATCTTACGGGTCGTCAGCTGGCCAAGGGAGTGCTCAGTGACCGGGAACTGATGAATCGCCTTTTCCGCATGGTGAGTGGTTTGAGGCCTCGGATAGTTGGGATACACTTTTTAAAATTATTTTTTCCAGTCCCTTCATACCATTCTGAGCATTCCGCTGTACTATGTCCACACCAAGGTGATGCACGACTTGCTCAGTGACGCCGTAGACATGGACACGGTCAACAAGCACTATTGGCGGCTGATGGAGCAGTATGCCGGTGTGGAGCCCCCCATGGATCGTGGCGAGGGAGCCATCGATTTTCCCTACAAATTCTACGTGAACATAGACCAGAATTTCCAGACTCAGTAAGACTTCAAGCCATTAGACCCCCAAGAAGTGATAAAAATAATATCTTTTTCTAGGAAATTCATCTCCGAGATTCTTGGCTATCAATTCTATCGAGAACTTTGCAAGAAGAGTTTCAACAACAAGCCGCTTCACAACTGTGACTTCTATGGCAATTTAGCTGTGGGAAATAGCTTGAAGTACGTAATTGAATTCTTTAATACAATATAACATTTCATTGGAATTGTGTTCCTAGATCCATGATGTCTTTGGGATCTAAAAAGCCCTGGAGGGAAGTGGTGACCAAAATATTACCCAACAACACAGGAATAAGCAGCTTGGCGCTCTTGGAATATTATCAGCCTGTCCTTGATTGGGTCGGTAATTATAACAAAGAAGCCAATGCCAAAATAGGCTGGACAGCTACTAAAAAGAGTAAGTAATACAAATTTTTGTTTCAAAATAAATAAGTAATATTATTTTTTACTTTTAGAAATCGTTTAAGCAACTTGATGATGCTTATATACATATTTAAGACAACCAAACAATGTTTTTAACAGGCAAATTTTATTTTTCTCAGATAAATCATAAAGAAATATTAAAAATATGCTTTTAATTCAAACTTTTAAAATAAACCGCCTTTTATTCACGTATTTGTCAACACTTTTTACGAACCAGTTCAGGGAGAGCTAGTTGTCCCACTCGCATGTGGGGAAAGTGGCATATATTGGGGCTAGCTCCAAAAGCATATGCTAGAGAGAGATGATAGATTACATTTTGTTGGCGCGAAGGAAATCCAATTTAAATTTCCAAATATTTTTATCACTTTTTTGTACACATTTAATTGCTAAATCACACTTTTTGCTTAAATATTTTAGTGAGAATTTCTTAACTAATCTTTATTCAACTGGAAAATCTGTTCCGGCTGTGAGCAGGCTTTAACTTTTCCCTTTCAACTGACGACAGCTACCTGCCGTGGCTTTGCATGTTGCAAGTTGGACCAAGAGCCCTCGAAATGTTGCTTGGCCGGAGTTGAAGTGTCGCAATCCGAAGCCAAGAGTTGTCCCCGGTCTGAAGACCATCGAAGCGGACAGCAGCTTCATGTGCGTTCGCCGCTTGATTGCATCCACTGGCCACATCCACCGACCACATCCACATCCGACTAAGGAAGGAGAAAGATTTTTAGTAATTTTTCAATACTCTTTGAAAATAAAAAGTAATTTTAAAATAAATTAAAAGATTTGAAAGATTATGTTTTTTTTCCTCAGCAATTTTTAAACGATTATAACTCAGACTTGTATATCACAAAGGGTATCATACCATTCGGTTTTTGACTTTTCAGCCGGATTTGGAACCGGCAGCTGCCATGCTTCAGTTGTCCGGCGACAGGCGAAAGGTCAGTGATTCTGGTTGTCTCCAAGCGGACCGCAGGTCATTAGCCAAGACAAAGTCCAAGCCCAACGGATTGTGGAGCAAGGCAAGGTCGGCGGCTTGCCTCCTTTGCGCCTCCCGTTGGGTTTTCCCCAACAGCGGGCGTTTCTCATTTAGACGGCCGAGTGCTTTTTCTTCCCTCCCGAGTGATTTTCCTTCTGCTTTCGTGAGGGGGCGAACTTAAAGGCAATAGAAACTGCAACTTCAACAGCCACTGCAACTGCAAATGCGAATGGGAATTGCGTGCCGCCTGCCCCTTGCTAATTGCGCCAAATTGCGGTGGTCGGGGCGGATACTCGACGCGGAATGAATGGCCGTGAAATTGAATCATTTCCAGCTTCAGCTCCAGCTCCAGCTGCAGCAGCAGAAGCAGGCAGGCCACTCGGCGCGAGTCCAACTTTGACATGGCACGTCGGCTCCCCCGAAACGGAGAGTTGAGTGAAAGGCACCCACGCCGTCGTCCGACATCCGTATATGTATCTCTGGATTTTATGCCAGCTGTTGTTTAAACAAACAAGAACAATCATCCTAAATATTAAATGCCCTTAAATGGTAGATGTAAGACTTGATTTTTAAAAAATATTACCCTAAAAAGGTTAATTTAAAAGAGCATTTAAGTATTTTCTTTCAATTTGTTGCGAGTGGTATCCTGTAACTTTCCAATGCCAATTATCCAAAATTTCAAGACGACCCCTATGCGAGAGTATAAAGACTTGACTGTCCAAATTATGCATAGATATATGGGTATATGTAGGTATAGTTACAGTGTGTAGTATGTGGTGTGTGTGGATGGCTGTAAAAGATGGTGAAAAGAGCCAAAACGGAAACCGCAAAGGGAAAACAAGTTAAATGAAATTTGCATGTCGATGTCAGACAATTTGGTGAACTTTTTTAAATTGCCCATCAGCATCAGGAGATGCATTCACATTACCATTAACCCAAAAAGTAATCCCCATATATAAACACTCGTTCACAAGCTGCCAACATGTGTATATGTGAGTGTTAAATGCGAATTTTGTTTACATATTCATCAGGCACGTTCAAAGCAAATATTTTACCATTTATCTCGCCAAATAACAGGCAAAGTTTAACCAAACACAAACGGAATTCAACTCAAGTCCAGCACAATAACGCGGAATTGGGGGGTATTTGAATAGTTTTAGCATAATTTTATGTGTGGGGGGGATTGGGAAAAGGAGATCTGGGAATAAGCTCTAAAATGGCTTTGTTACGTGGGTCCATCCATTGTCAAGTTCATATTTGTTAAATAGACCCAATTTGGAAGCTTATAGTGGCTTAAGAAGGAGGATGTACTAATGTTGCAAAAGAGAAATCTTTACAGGGAAACTGAATCCATTAAAAAAATATATATGGTTTACTTACTGATTTGATTGTGAAATTAAACCAACTCATACATTTCCTCATAAAATATAGTTTGTCTTATTTCTTCCCTTTCTTAATTCTTGTGAAAAGTTTATAATTAGCTAAACATTTAAAAACCGAAAGCATATAATTGGTTAATGGAATCATTGGATCCTGGTTTATGTTAATTGTGTTTCAAGTCGAACTTTCGTTACTTGTTGTTGCAAAAACAAAAAATAAGAAAAAACGTTTGAGGAAGAAACTGCAGATCACCATCAACGTCACGCGCTCGCGCAAAAATTATGATTATTTGACGAAATCGCATGCTGTGTCTTATGCCAGCTGCCGCAGCGAGGCGCCCCAAAAAAACGCAAAAAAAGGAAAAATAAATAAACGAAAAAATAAAGCCATGGGGGAAAACAGAAGACTGAAGAAGCAATCAGCCGTCACAAACCATCCGAGCATCCATCCGAGAGCTGACCCCAAGCAATTAAGAAATTATGTATATTATGACGCGCGCTGTGATGATGGCAGCCCCGAGTCGAATAAAAAGCAATAAAATGTTACAGCAACAAATGCGAGCGTCGGATTGAGCATTATGTATACGCACCGTTGGTCGAGGGGGTGCGACGGAGCTCGGGTGCCCTGCAGGCGGTGTGCTTTGCTTTTTTCACTGTGCTAACCTTTCTTCTTTTGGGTGCGATTACAATGCCACAATGATATGGCGCGCCATAATTATCATTTGTTGCATCTTCTTTTGGGGATTTTGGGATTTTTGGGGGGCTGCGGATCATTATCCCCATCGCACGCCGTGGACATTGTTCAGAATTTATTTATGATGGAAATGAGGGAGGCGGATGGCAGGCGTTTGCGGTTGCTTCCTGGCGTGTCGAATGCTTCAAAAAACAAAAGACTTAAGGCACGAACTTGAGCTCAAGCCCTGGCAGATTTTACTAAATCTTATGTAAGCGCGTGCTCGCCTTAAATTAAACACCACATTCAAGAGGTCAATGAGAGACAGAGAAAGAGAAAGAAAGAAAAGGAAGAGAGAGAGAGATGGATGGCCTGCTGTGTAGGTGGAGAAATTATGTTGACATCATCGCCAAAAAATGGCCAAGAAACGAACTCAGTCGAAGCCCACAGCAGGCGCCTCTTGAAAAACTGAAGCCCAAATAAAAAAATTGTATTTTACTTTCATTTTCGTTGCGGCGAACGCTCGCCTCTTTTACTTTTTAATGAATTTCATGTATATTTATTTTTCGGTGTTGTTTATTTTTTTTTTGTTTTATTTTTGGTCAAGACATAAAAACCTCCGCATCTAAGTTTGGCTCTTTTGGCTTGTGCCACTCGAAACGGATTGATTGCACTTTTATTGTCCGGATTCCGTTTGGCCTCCGGTCGGATTAATTTTCAAATCGATTTGCAGCAAATCTTCTACAGCCGCAAAACGGAATTGTCCATTAAGTGCAGGCATTAGCTGGCTATAGTAACTCACTAACTGATCGATCGATCGATTCGTCGACTGAAAGTGAGCGGCTGGTGCAATGAGGAAACGTCTATTTATGAAAATCTGTTTGAATGAAAGTCACCAGCTCTAGCCGTTTTCCAAATTGTATTTTAATAGGCCAAGAGTCAATTTCCTGGCCTGATGCCAAAAAAAGCTGTTATTCGCTCAACGATTGTGAAAAACGGTCCAATTTTATTGCCAATTTTGGTTGCGCATTGGCCAATTTTCTAGGTCGCTCATCGGTATATACGAGACGCCTCAGGCTTACGAAACCGCCCAGCAATTTGCCAGTCAAATCTCTCCCACGCACTAATGTGCAAATTAAACGCATTTCGTATGACGTTGCATATGTGACGTTGAGATGGGGCCATCTGCCAGGCAATTACATTTACTCAACATAATTTCTTTCGCTTAAATTTTATGGGCTCTTTAGCCTGTTCAGCGAGCTCTGAGCCATTCCAGGGCCCACATTTCAGGGGGGATATTTCGAGTTATTACTCGGCTCGAAGTCGAAACCCCCTCGGTTACGCATGCCCCATCAAGAGTCAGCGGGTTGTATAAGCCGCCGAGCTCTTCCCGCATTTGACAGAAAATGTGTCGTGTTGGTAGTACCGAGGGGGCTAACAAAAAATAAGCACCACAAAGCACTGCCAAGACAAATGTGTAATTAGCGGGGAGAAAGAAACGTAAAGCGGGAAGTCAAGGCAAGAGAGCTCTTCAAGACAAAAAGATCTAAACGGCTATTCATAATGTCCAATATTTCTTGGGCCATGCCATTCCGTTCAATTGTCTGCAGATGCCATTCGGTAATCCCAATCAGGAAAAGGCAGTTGTGGTAGTAAATTTTTTTTGGTTACCAACTGCTGGAGACTAAATGATTTACGGCATATGTGGGACTTGAGATGTTAATACTCTTTGGAAAAGAGTCTTGGGTTGAGATTCAGTGTTACTCGGTTTTTAAAATAATAATAAAAAATTAATTAGAATTGTGGTGATAAAATACTTATGCAATGTGCCATTTTATTAAAGAAAAAATGTCTAAAATGATTCGGTGTATTCCAGATGGGTTACAATTTTCGATGTCTTCTCACTAATTGCCGCAAATTTCACGATCAAGTTTGGCTCGTGGCACAGACCCTACCACCATCGTCCGCCCTGATTGACTGATCGACTGATGGCATCTGTTTTTTTTTGCCTTTTTTTTTTGCCAGGAATGGAAAGTTTTTAATGTCCTAGCCACGCGTCTTGATCGCTCTCCCTCGCACTCCTATATCATTTTTGATTGCATGCCATTTGTCTCAGTTTCTTGGTTGTTCTGGTATTTATTATCTAACTCCAACGAACTAATACCCGCTAATTGGTTGACTAAATATTGGGAATTTGTCAAGCTCTGCTAATCAAATTAGAAACTGTTATTGATAATCGTTAGCAACAATCGATGCGTGTGTTGGTGTTAAAATCAAGAAAACAATAGAGCGGATTAAATCAGTTCTTGGATTTGGACTTGCAAACGGAACTGCGGTTTTTACAAAAGATCACGTGATTGATACACAGTTGGGGGTTCAGGTGTTCTAGTTGAAATAAGGGTTCAGTTCAGATGATGGAAAAAGTTAGATCCTCTTTGTTGGAATACGAACAATGCACCTTAAGTTTCCTATAGTTTAATTTCTCCCACTTTAAGTACTTAAATTCTAAAGGCTAACGTTTTTAACTTTAACTTTAAATCTCTGCTTAAAAAAGTGATAAAATCGCGGAACACTTTATGACTCTTAACCCGACTAATTTCTCTCGTTTAGTCAGAGTACGCTTAAGATATAGTCTTTAGAAAAAAACCCCTTATATGGATGTACATACACGTATCTGGTGAAAAAGCATCTTCTGTGGCAGATGACGTAGTCAGGGGCTCGCTGGGCTGCGGTTGAGTCCATTATATCACCTCTGGGTGAAAGTGATGATGGCATATGCGAGGCTCTGGCGAAGCCGATACTCGTTTGCGAATATTTTCCTGAATGTGGCACACAGGGTGTGTGAGTGTGCCGGATACGCCCCACGGCACCCTGTTGCCTGGGTGTTGGGTGTTGAATGTTTGGTGTTTGGTGGGCATGGCGAATGCAAGTATGCTAATGCCCATCGATTTGCATTTCGCCAGCAAATATTTTTTTTCAATTATCGATTTTTCGTTTGCCTTTTACTTTGGGAAGGTGTGCATCGACTTCCTCATTGCAGTTTCTTGCCAGGTGATGGAGCAACATGTGGGCTTGTATGTTTTGTCGGTTTTTCTATGTGATGCTTCAATTGGCGCTGATTTTCAGGGGAGAAATCGGCAATCGCGTATAGCCAAACCTAAAGCAAATGCCTGTCATCGATTAATGAATATTCATAATTGTGGACAGCAGCCGAAAGCTGGAAAGCAGCAGTTAGCCCCTTGGAAATTGTGCCACACGAAATTAAGAGCAATTGCTACTCGACTTTGTGGTTGCCAGCAACAGCAACAGCCCCAGCACCACCAACAGCAGCACCAGTAGTAAGAGTGTATGCAAATATTTGCCCTGGCCGCAAAAATGAAAAAAATAAAAACACGAAATGGAAAAGGCCAGCCAACTGGCAACACTTTCCAACTGTCGCAAGCATCCGCCAGCAACATGGAGCTGTAGTTGAAGCGTTAAAGCTGGAGCAGCACCCGCACCAATCTCAAGCCCAAGCCCCAACTTAAACCCAAACCCAATGCCAATGCCGATGCCGATGCCAAAGTCGATGCTGAGATGCCCAGGCCCCGCAGCTAAATCAGCAACATCAACGCCAGCAATGCCAGCAACTACAGATACAGATGAAGAAATGCTGCTGCTCCTTTCACTTTCAATTTGAATCGAGAGCAAAACGGACTTTTAGCTTTGCCAAATGCCAGCACCACACCACCAGCAATCAAAAGTAAATAGAAGAAATCCAAACAAAAAAAATCAAAGACAAAAAAAGTAGCAACGGATACCGGATGAATCATCCGGATGCTGTTTTGTTGACCGCTTCGTGGTTTTCCAAAGGCCGTTTCGCTATTTCTGTATGGGGCGACACAAAAAAATCATCACATGCCATCGCGGTTTCGGGTAAACCCGTGCGTACACCTCCCGGTTTTAAGATCAAGGCTTCTCCGACCAGCCTTGACGTTGAATTATTAAGTATTCACTGTACAGGTTGTGAACGCTCGAGTGGCTCAACCACAGATCAACAGATGAACCATTGTGGGGGCTTCTTTGTGGGTGCTTCGGCCTAAATAAGTTGTCAAATTTTAGCTATTGAACCCTGCCGCACTAATTGAAGGCAGAATGTTACTCTTTGACAAGTTTATTTCAAAAGCAATACAATCTTAAGATCCATAAGAGAGCTATGGAGTTTTAAAACTTATGGAATGTTTAATCCAGACAGATATAAATTAACCATATATTTCTGGATCATGTTGAATAATTTCAATCCATCAAAGCTCTAAATAAAATTATGCACAGCCACCCATTGCCCAGGAAATTCCACGCATTCCTCGTAGCACCTTGAACTTGCACCCTTGGGATACGGTTAGCCCACAATTGGGTTAACCAAACCGCTTGGCCTGGCCAAGATCTTTGGGACCGCAGCTGCTGCTGCTCCTCTGGTGTCAGCTGACACACGCTGCCCGGTCGTATGTACATTTCAATCAAATCAACTGCAATTAGCTGTCACAGCCGAGTCACAGCCTGTCACAGTCTGTCAAAAGGCATTAAATGTTGCGACGCTTTAGTGAATTGTGGGTTCTGTTTTTATTTTTTTTGTCCGGCTTTGTGGCTTTCTGGCTGGTTTTGTTGGCCCGTAGGCATTGGGAAAATATGAACTGAAAATGTTTAATTGGCGGCTGTCATGTTTGACCGGCAACAAGTAATAAAAGAAATAAAAGAAAAATAAAGGCGAAATAAAACGATGGTGCTTACTATTGGCCATGGCGTCCAATGATGCTTTACGACTTTATATCATAATTGCAGCTTACGAAATGGTTGGGTGGCGGGCAGGGTGGGGGCTGCGGCGTGGTACGTCTGCCGACATTAGGCAATAATTCGTATTATTTGTACAATGCGGTGGCTGTTACAGTACTCCCTCCCAACTATATCCCCGTTTTGTATCTTTTACGCTTGTCTGTGCATTTTGTTGCCTAATAGTAGTAGTAGCGGGGGAGGGGTGGCTGGTGGCTGGGTCGACAGCTGTTTTCAAAGCAGCACTTCGACGCCAGCAGCGACTGCGACTGCGCAGCGGCGTTCGAAAGAAAAGCTCGCGCTCAGCTTCGCTCAGCTTTTGCGCCTGCGCAGCGGATCAGACTTCTTTGAGACTCCGCTCAAGAAGGTCGTGTTAGCGCTTCGCTTGGCTCAAATCCACTTCCAGACTCGGCTCGCGCTCGTATTTACAGTTAGCTTCGGGACGAACGCGATCGTAAGTGTCCCAGTGTGAGTGTGTAGAGGATTAAGCCTAAAAGCCAGGACTTTTATTATCAAAACGCCAATCAAAAGAGAGAAAATAAACCTTAAAACCCCCGAGAGAAGATTGTGTGTGTGTGTGTGCAAGTGAGTGCTATTGCTACTGTGAGTTGCAGTTGCAACTGCAATTTCATCCACCGTGCCCCACCAACCCCACTCAGCCCCCCGCACACCCCTTCCTCTCGGCAGCTCTTGCGCCTGACAGTGAAAGTGATTTGATTTTGCAATTGGAGTCGCAACGACTTTGAACAATATTTCTGCTTGTTTGCTGATCCGATCAGCCAGCAGCTAGCAGCTAACCGCCTAGCAGCCAAAAGCATTTCTGCTTTTTATTATTACTCTCGCTGCTCCAAGCTGCTCCAAAGCCGAGCAAATCAAAGCAAACCAAACGAAACAAAACACGGCAAAACAATAAAGAAAAGTGCAAAAGAAAAACAGCCACATAAATTGCAGGCAATTTTTAATCGCGATCCTAATACAATTTCTTTCTCCCCATTTCGCACAGTAATTCGACAAAATTTGGATTAATTCTCAGTGGATTTTCGAAAAGGATTTTCCAAAAGGTAAAGTCTAGTTTCAAACAAAAATTCCAGAAAAGCCTTAATTTATAAATTTCACTGCGGAGCCAGTGATTAAATCATTTGAACATTGCAACATTCGCACGGAGCACGAACCGCAAAAAAAAAGAAACTCTATAGTTATGGTGCAAAAGTAAAGCGTCATTATCTAATAAATCTTACCATATATATATATGCCCAGTCTGTAAATGCATAAAACGCAAACCTCATGGCGTGGTCTCTTGCAAAATGTGGAAAGTATTCGCACTTAAATGCTTGCAAAATACCTGGACACATAATCCACCGCAGTTGAATCGCCCCAGGCTGTTCCATTTACGGACTAGTTGTGGTTTTTTCATTGCAGTTTTTCTATAATTTAAATCTAATAGAATTTTAATTGAATTTTTGACTGAGAAACTGGCAAATTCTCTTCCACAAATGCCATAAATTTATAGGCTTTTAGCCTCATCAGCAAACCATTTTAACTGTGTGACCCAATAATTTGTCAAAACTATAAAACAATGACAAACTATGCTTGTTTATTCAATGCATTTCCACATTAAAAGCCTGATAATTATTATATAACTGGCGAAGACATGGAATAATAAATAGGTTGGCTCGAATAAGTTAAAACAAAAAAAGCATGTCAAGTCGCCAATAAAACAAATAAAAGCAGACGAATGCAAAAAGAAAAGACACAGCAAACCGGAAAACATAAATACTGGAGCTGTAGGTTCAGCTCCAAACAAAAGTGCGTAAAAGAAGGGCAACACAGAGGCCCAAATGTGAAATGAGTCAAAAGCCAAAAAAAAAATTTGGTAGTGGTTGGCGCATCGCAGCGGCAGCGACGTCTTAGCCTCAATTTGGTTAACTGCAACCGGGCCACAAATTATTTGGCAACGTTTTTATGGCTCTGACGATGTCTCGTCTTGACTTCACAATATATATAAATACACATATTCGTTGGTATAAGTATGACATGAACTTCATTATCAGCAAAGTTGAACGCCGACGCTGTTTTTTTTTTTTTTGGTAACATCTCTTTACTTTTTTTTTCGTTTTCCTGAAGTGGTTTTATTTTATTTTGCTTTTTCAATTTAGGGCTGGCTTATTGCATAAGCGGAGAAACTCGTATGGCTTGGTCTGCTCTTTGGAGCATGTTGTCTTTAAATACATATAGATGCCAAGTTTTGGTTCAAAAATACATATTGCAGGGTTTGTTATGGCTGAGAACTTTCCTTCCTTCAAGACGGCACAAAATTACTTAATTTTTTTTGGAGATGCTTTAGCTATACTTTATGTCCGGCTCAGCTGAAATTTTTGGGTTTTCAGGTTGAGACCCTTTTTCAACATCATGTAATAAAATCCAAAATATACGAGCCAAGTCTCCGGCTTTGGTCTGTTGAAAAACAAGTTCCGCCAAATTGTGACCATGGCAATGGATTTCTTGGCTTCATTTGCCTTGCTTTTATTTTCTTTTTTTGTTGTTTTTGTTTTTTTAAAGGTTTATGTAAATATTTTTCTCTCTTTTACCTTCTTTGTTGCATTGTACTTGGCTGGCTGGCTTATATAAGCCAATCGAAACACTCCAAAAATTGTTGCTGGCTTTATGCAAATGATTTCTCAATTTTTTGTTGTTTTCATCATTTCTTCGGATCTGTTCGCTTCGAATCCAATTGATTATGTATTCGGGTTGTTTGTTTATCCTCTTGTTGTTGTTATTGTTAATTGGGCGCCCTGGGTCAGTGGGGGGCGGGGCAGAGGCGGGTGGGGGTGGTAGTAGCCAGTAGCGGCTACTGGCCATACGGCAGCTAATTATTGCGATAGCAGTTTGCCGGCCAAGTTTGTGTCCTAAGTCTCTTGTTTGTGGTGGCGAGTTTGTGGCCTAAGTCTTTTGTTTGGGAGGAAATTTTTGCGGTTAGAGCTCAATGCTCGTGCATGCCACGAGTCATTAGCGCCAAATTCTCTTGGCCAGCAACTTATCTAATGTGAAGATACCAAAATCGCACATCTATTGATTAATATTGCTCATACGCCGTGTATGTGAGAGGCGCTAATTGCATAATCATCGTCATCATCATCATCGATATAGCGTTACGATTTGCATGCAACGCTACATATAAAATTGGCAGTGTTTTCTGTTGCCGCAGCTACTTCTTAACACTCGGGTGCCGCTGCTACTCCAACCGACTTAACACATTCGTAACAATTGCGCAGCAACCTTCTGTATTGAATATTAATTAGCACTCTCTACGCGACAAGTCCGAGTATGTGTGTGTGATAGCGTCTTGGGCTCATCTTTTGGCCAACGATTGATTATGTGGTTGGAGAGTGTTGAAACAAAATGCTGCGGGCCATGGGCTGCGGTTTGCAACGACACTTACCTTACCCAACAACGGCTCTAATATGCTTACGCCGTTTTGTTGTCGTCTCTGTTTTGGGCCTGGTCAAAATGTGCCAATGGCACGACACCGATTTCCACTCAATTTCGGACGAGCACAGCTGGCCTGACCCACTTGGTGCTGGCGCTGGTGTCGGTGGGAAAGCCAAACGTTTTAACCTTTCGGGTTGAGCAAACAGTTCGTAATTGCAAATGGTAGCAATTCAAAATAATTGAGCAAATCTATTTTAATTCCCAACTGTCCAACTGTGGGAGGGAGTGGGTATGGTGGGGCTATCAAATTTGTGGTTTCTGTGATTGTCTCTTGAATGCCTGGCATGTTGTTGGCGATGAAAGAAATAAATGAAAATGCCATGCTTAACAAGGAAAAATGGTTTGGGCATTTCAAGGTAGAAAACTTTAAATTAAAGTGGCAATTGTATTTATAGCCGGCGATTAAGAAAGGATTTATTTTGGCTTTCGGCTCAGGCTTCTTTGAGCCTAAATGAAAGAAAATTTCAAACGTCGCTGACTGCTTTTTTTTTGTGTCTCTTAATTTATTATCCAAACGTTGGCCTGCCTCCTCCATAATTTAAGCATTTTCCCCCAATTCAACAAAATGCATAAAAATTTCCTTGAGCCGGCGGCGCAGCTTGTTTGGCATTTATTTTATTTTATGCGCAACTCATCAGCCAACAACAAATGCAAGACAACGAAAATGACAACTTTTGGTTGAGCTTTTGTGTTGCCATTGTTACTGATGTTGCTGCTTTTGCTGTGGCACTCGTTGCCATTGTCATTTTGCGCATTAGGCATTGTCTTCTTTTTGGTGGGTCGGAGAGAATTCATTTGGCTTGAATGATGCGTGGCCGGATAAAAGATAAAAGAAAAGTCTTTCCAGATTTGAGCCGCATAATCGACTTCCAAAAGCAAGGAGTCGTCGCATCTGCATACGCAACTCTCAAGATTGCAACTCTTTTTGGGGTGTTGCTGATGTTGCAGCTGGTGCTGCTGACGATGCTGCTGTGGTGGCGCATTTAAAATGCATTTATCTCAATTACGAGCAGAAAAGCAACAAAATCGCTTGTTTACAACGAAATGAAAACGAAACGAAATGAACGACGCATTGTTTGCAACAGAAAACAGAAAAAAACTTTCACTGCCAGCTCGAAACTAAAACAAAAGTAATGAAGTTGCGGGCGAGTGTATCTCACAGATTGGAGATGGAAGGAAGGGTCCCATCCGCCTCCAAAAAAATACAAAAAATTAACAACCAAAAAAAAAAAAAGTGTATTGTTAATTAAAACAAATAAACCAAAGGCCAGCAGCAACAAAGCGATTGTAAATTATGCGTGGCAGGAATGGAAGTGTGAAGAAAGAGGCGTTTCAAGAGAAAGAGCTGCAGAAAGCAAACGAGCGAGAAAGCCAGTTTCCGGCGTCCTTCACTCAAGGCCGTTTCCATATCGATGCGGCACGCATGCAACTCGACTCGATAATGATGACGATGATGGCGACGACGATGATCATGATGTTCATGATGATCATGATGATGATGATGATGGGGCAGCTGTCAGACTTACGTAACCCGATCTCCGGCTGGGCAGATGGATTAGCCCCAAGTGCACCTCCTACCGAAATGTAAATTGAGTTTTGCATCGGTTGCATCACTGTAGGAGTATGCGTGCTGGAAAAACAGAAATGCCAGCTGGCAAAACCAGTTAAGTCGCCAAAAAAAAAAAAGGAAAAAACATATATATAAATATTTCATAACCAAGCAAGCTAGGTCTATACATAAAGTGTTCGCAAAATGTGTTAACTATTATGCAAAGCAAATCTTCGAGACTGTCGAAGCGCCGAGTCACGTTCCGAGGGGCTGCTTCCCAGCTTCCCAACAACTTGGGCCAACTTCCTGGTGCATGCCACCATCGATACCAAAAAAAGGCACCGCAAATCAAGTTCAAAATGTCAAGTTTGAGCCAAGTTAGAGGAAGCAATCGAACTAGTTGCTCGCAGCACCACCACCAGCAGCTGCTTTTGTGGTGCTTGAACCCGAAATGAAAGTGAAAATACACCAAAGTCGATGGTAACCAAACCGAGCGAGCAGCAGAGCCGAAAAGCTTGCAAAAAGCATTTACTTGAAAGTCATTTTTCCCTAACTAGGAGTTCTTAACTTAAGTGACTTTCTATTAAGGGAATTTGAGTTTGAAATAATAGAGGGATTTTAAAGAACTTCTTAAGAACAAAAGATGACCAACTAACAAAAAGGTTGTTTGAGGAAATCATAATTAAAACTCAAACCTTTAATGCAAAGAAACTCTCATGCTTCAATTACTACAAGTATAATGGTGATTATTATATCTATCAATTATATCTATGATATTTAATGAACAAGTGTCATGCCTAGTTACCTTAAAAACGAGGTTTTTTTGGACCATTTTTGGTTTCAATTTCAGTCTCCTATGTAGGGTACTATCTAAATCACTCTAACTAAGCATCCCCAATTCAAGTTAGAGTACCAAGGTACATATTATATTTACTTTTATTGCCTTTTTCATGACATTCATTCATTTCCTTCTATCGTTTAATGTTAACTTAAAAAAAAAAAACAAGGCAAAACATTTAAACAACAAAATGGGGAAAAAAATGGAAATTGTAAAAAAATAAAAACATTGTGAGGTTTAGGCGGCTGATGACGGTTTTTCCAGTTTTCCCAGATGCTTTTATCTCAACGGGCAACAGGTTTTCCAAAAAAAAACTCAGCTGTAGCTTGTGACCGAGGAAACGCATGTTGTCGTTGCAGTTGCAAGTGCACCTTATGGTGGAGTTGCCGTTGGTGTTGGTGTTGCTGTTGTTGCAACAAGCCGAAGCGTAAATTGATGATTTAAAATTAATTTGCTGCTGGATTAATGGGAATTTAATGCGCAGAGCGTAGATTATGGCTGCCAGATGAAAGCTGATTTGAGCATTTATGAGTTTTACGATGACGGGCGTTCATGCAACCGAAAGTGCCCCGAACACACCCACTCTCTTAACAGCCAAAATTCAAACCAGTTGCTTATAATTTGTTTTTTGTTTTTTGATTTTATCTTTTGCAGGCAATTAAGGAAGTGATTCGTGGATGTTGTCGCACGATACGATGCAGCATGCAACCACAAGAAATCGCTTGAAACGTCGCTGTTAAAGCGTCAACAGCAATTGCCATAATTGCCATTGGAGCACCACACATAGACATACTATCCACATACACACACACACACTCCAGAGGACGTAAACGGAGTCCAATAACCCGGCACCCCGTATCCAAGATCCCAACCAACCAAACCAACCATCCATTGGACCATCCGCCCGGCACCCGGACCAATTCAGCCATCACAAAACGAAACTCGCCACACGAGCCATCGGCGGCAGGCACTCCACTCCAATCCAATCCAATCCAATCTGCAGCACCACTCCACCACTCTGTGCCACACACACACACACTCATAACGGCGTAAATCGTTTTGCCGCAAATCCAGCTGAATTGTAACAGAGACGCCGCATAGCGCATAGCGCCGGAAAATCCCCAAAAGCCGCGACCAGGCCAAAAACCAGTGGTGAGAAGATCAATGAACGCGGCACGCAGCTGACAGGCTTTGGTATTTGGTATTCAGTAATCAGTATTCGTTACTCGGTCTTCACTGTTTGGTGTGTCCAGCGGAGCGTAGGAAAAGCGAAACGGCTTCAAGTTCAGGCCGTAAGCAGGAAGTTGTGCGGCTGCACCTTAATTGGAGCCAGTGTCATTACCACCAGGCAGCACAAGGCAGCAACCAACCAAACAAACAACTCACCAACGCTCATCCTGCTCAATGTAAGATGTTAGTGACCAGCAGCCACATTAACAAAAAAAATAACAGCACACGCAACACCTGGAGATGGAGCCAACTGACGTTGGCCATTAATCTGTTCGCCTACTGCTGCTGCGCCTCGGCGGCCTCGCCCACCACCGGTGGCACAACGGCGGCTCTGCTAACGGGCCATCAGCTTCTGCCCTGGCAGACGGCAGCCACGGCGGCCACGCCCTTTACCACCACCCCTGCCACCGCCCGGAACTTGTACGCCCCGTACCAGAGCTTCAGCCAGCAGGACGACATCAGCTTCAAGGATGTGCGTCAGCGCAGCGATGGAACGGTGGTGCAATCCTTTGGTTCCTACCGCACCGCCCGCCAGTCGGGTGGCTCGGCGGCTGCTCAGCGGCGGTCCGATGTCGCCGTGGAAATAGTGCCGGCTCCCTCCGTGGAGCTGCCCCAGGGCGAGCTGATCACGGTGCCCAAGCAGCTGGTGCCCACGATGCCGGAGAATGTGACCCGCCAGGGCCGGCAGCGCAACTACATGTACATACCGCTGCAGGAGTCCGGTCAAGGCGTGGGATCTGGGGCTCTGCTCCAGCTGCGACCCAGCAGGAATGCCACCCTCTCCGCCCTGGGACCGCCAGCTGATGGAGTAGCGGCTGTGGCTCACGAGTTCGCCTCCGACTTTGAGGTGGAGGTAGCGAGGGATCCGGAGCGAACGGAACGCAGCGACTTAATGGCTGCCGCCAGCTCCACGGACAAGCTGGAGTACGCTGAGCCGGAGAACACCAGTCGCCGGGTAGGCTTCCAGTTTCCCAGCTACAGTCTCAAGCCGGCAAGTCCCTTCCACCCACAGGCCTATCGGGAGGATAACCCCATCTTCGGGGAGACAAGTGGTGGGGGCTATGAGCCCCAGCCCTACAGCGAGGACCCCGTGGCCGCTCCAGCTCCCACGCAACAGCACGAGACCCGGCACACCCGGCAGCTGTACTTTGACCCGGACACCGCCTCTTCCAGCTTCGAGTTCCCTGGTCTGGTGAGCAACTCAAAGCCGCACGGCCTTAAGATCTATCGGGACGATGTGACCAAGTTCGGCGACATCAATGGACCCATTACGGCTCTGCCTCAGCAGCGACCGCAGCGAGGCTTTTACTTTGGCGACACCGAGTTCCGGACGGGTCCTCCGATCCGCCAGTTTGGTCCGCAGAAGAACTTCCAGGAGTACGTGGGCCCCAGCGAGTACCAGGGCTCCCGCAAGAGCCGCTACTACCCGTACAAGTCCTCCAGGAGCCCGCGTGTGGTCTTCCCGACCAACGACAATGTGGGAACCACCGGACCCAGTGGACCAGCAGCCGGCAGCGCTCCATCCGGCAATGGAGTCTACTTCAGTGATAATATTGCCTTTAGGTGAGTGGATATATCTTTAAAGGACTTTAAAGAACTAATCGGATTCTTCCTTCTCCCATTAGGGATCAGAACTTTGGCATCAATGAACTGGCCGCCGTGCAGGATGTGCGGAATGACTACAGTCTGCAGGACCTGGACAGTGCCTCGGAAGCCACCAGCAGTCCACAGTCGGCCAGCACGTTCAAGGAGAAGGGTAAGTGGTGAACCGAAAAGGAAAAGAAACCCCGTCGTTTCCGCTTTCGTTAGGGCTTAGATGAGCTTCAGTCAGCTGCTGGGAAACTGCTTGCACTAGGCCACGTACTACCCCGAAACCCCAATGACCCTCCTCCCCAGAACATTCCCACCCCCTCCCACACACACCTAATGCCACAACCAAGTCTAAGCAACCCACCCAACAACCACCCAGACACGAGAACAAACCGATTGCAACTCCGATTCGATTCCCATTCGACAGTCGACATCACAACGGACACGGAGTGCCAGCACCGCGGCGGTACCTGCGAGTTCTTTTTGGGCTGCTGGCTGTCGGGCGGCCTCATTCAGGGGACCTGCAACGGACTATTGCGCGGCTGCTGCCACCGGACGGCCAAGTCGGCCAACCTGGGCAGCTCGGACTTCGTCGGCAATGCCGTAGATCTCACAGATCTGCCGCAGAAAAACTTTGGACCGGTCAACAACGAACCCAGTGAGTGTGAGGCAGCTCAGCTCGAATGCAAGCCAAATACAAAAACCTCCAAGCACGTGCACCTACACTAAACCCAAAAAAAAACCCCAAAATTATTAAAAAAAACAAAATTATAAAATGCTGTTGAACAAAATAGTTGGGAAATAATTTGCATGCCACCTCTAACCATTTACGTATATTTTGTAGTTCGTTTTGTTTCTTCATTATTTTGTTATGTATGTAGTTATGCACTCGTAATTCGCATTTGGGTGGTTTTTCAGTGCCTAATTAAGCCGCAATCGCTAGTAGATGTACTAAAACACAAACAAATTAAAAATAAAACAGAAAAAACAAAAACAAAACAAACCCCCGCAAAGAAGATGGCGCTGGGCAGCGTTGGAATGAAAAGTGAAGAAAGAAAAGCTGGAAAATAATATCGTATATAAGTTTAATTGCCCGGCATGAGCATGTTAATTACCACAGCACGCTAATGATAATTAAGCCATATATTACACATAACTTAACGGCATTACGCTCCAAGTCCAACTCGGATCCACCCCAGACCCCGACCAGACCAGACTCCGCACCAGACAGAAGCGCCTCGCCCCTTCCGAAAGAAAGACTCCAAAAGCCCAACTAGAAAGCTGAGCTGAACCCGGCAGTTGCGATGGTTTTGTTGCTTGTTTGCCTAATTGCCTGCTTTATGGTCACCCCCGTTGTTAATGCTTCACTAATCCCAAGACCCCCTCAGCCAGGACCCTTGAAAGGATGTAACTAAATGTGGCTCTCCTTCCTCTCTCTTCCATTTCAGGCTGTGGCATTTCGTTGGCCAAACAAACGGCCCAACGCCGCATTGTGGGAGGCGATGATGCCGGCTTTGGATCCTTTCCCTGGCAGGCCTACATACGCATCGGTTCCTCTAGGTTAGTAGTGGGATGACACCCTCAACCAGCTGAGTGTTTATGTTATGGTTTGACTCTACCAGGTGCGGAGGTTCGTTGATCTCGCGGCGGCATGTGGTCACCGCCGGACACTGTGTGGCCCGGGCCACTCCCCGCCAGGTGCACGTCACCCTGGGCGACTATGTAATCAATTCTGCGGTGGAACCCCTGCCAGCATACACCTTCGGAGTCCGACGGATCGATGTGCATCCGTACTTCAAGTTCACCCCTCAGGCAGATCGCTTCGATATCTCAGTTCTGACTCTGGAGCGGACTGTGCACTTTATGCCTCATATTGGTAATTATTTAGATTTAAATTTTAGACTCCATTGAACTGACCTTAATCATTCCCATTTCTAGCACCCATTTGCCTGCCTGAGAAGAACGAGGACTTTCTGGGGAAGTTCGGCTGGGCCGCCGGCTGGGGAGCTTTAAATCCGGGTTCCCGTCTCCGGCCCAAGACGCTCCAGGCGGTGGATGTGCCAGTGATCGAGAACAGAATTTGCGAACGCTGGCATCGACAGAACGGCATCAATGTGGTCATCTACCAGGAGATGCTGTGCGCAGGATACCGGAACGGAGGCAAGGACTCTTGCCAGGGTGATTCCGGAGGACCTTTGATGCACGACAAGAAGGGCAGATGGTATCTGATAGGTGAGTTTTTTTGAAAGAGTTCCAACCCTTGGCCAGATGTATAACAAGACTTCCATCTTCCGCAGGTGTGGTATCCGCAGGATACTCGTGCGCCTCCCGAGGCCAGCCAGGAATCTATCACAGCGTCAGCAAGACCGTAGACTGGGTTTCCTACGTAGTCGGCCTGACGATGAACATCTAAGAAGGGCAACTAATTTATTCTCATCGCATTCGCACCTGCCTGCTAAGTGGGCCCGAAGATTGTTTTTTGTACATAACTCACTTCATTCTGCTTTCGATTCTGACTCTGATTCTAATACTGATTCTGATTTCGATTCTGCTGACTTTTAATTTATGATTATACGCAAAAAAAAGAAAAAAGAAATACTTATAATTGAACAAATTAGCGCAGTACAATTTAGCAGATAGGAATGGCTGTGTGTATCTGCAAGATATACACGTGTGCGATATTTTTTGCAAAAAAAAAACAGAAGACAACCTAAATCCCTTAAATTAACTAATAATTATGGATAATTTTACTTAGTCATATGCGCTGTTATGTAATTTTAAAAACTATTTATGAACTACATTTCGTGTGTAAATAAATTATACAAATGTTGAAATGAATTGGAGTACGTCAAACGGGGTTTATTAAACGTACAAACTTGGTCCAAATATTATATTCTTGCTAATATCACTAATATCTACGATTTTTTTTGAATTTATTTCTGCTACTTCTTGAGAGGAAGACGCGGCATAAACAACTGCTGATATGGAACCCCAGCCGCAGTCCATCCCTGCTCAGCATCTTGATAGTAGAGCCCGCCCAAGCCCCCGTCCTTCGATTGTTGCTCCATCACCCGAAATAGAGTAAAGACCTCATGATAGATCTTGTAAAATATGACTGAAAATCCACAAGGTTAGTGGGGGGAAGATTACCAGAGATAGGAAGTGTACTCACCTAGTACGAGAGTGAATACCAGAAGGCACATTAGAAAGCTCGACAGGTCAATGAACAGACCTGCGACAGCGTAGAACACACCCAAATATAGACCAAATCCAAAACTTAAGCCATGAAATATTAGCCAGGGATACATCAACCAACTCGAATCCTGGAGAGCAGGAAGGGTTAGTGGAGGAGAATGTGGTTATAAGCGGGATACTCACCCGAGCAATACCAATAAGCAACAGTAGGCTCACTCCCAAGTTGATCAACGAAAGTCCATAAGCTATAGAGCTAAAGATTCCCAACACTATAAGGTTAGGAATACTTAAGTAGAGCGGATAGCTACATATTACTCACGATAGGATATACTCACAATTGATCAATATCTGCTGCTCGGTGGCCGGGACTGTGTTAAGGGGCCACTGCTTGAGGAGCAGCTCGATGTCGGGCTGCATATGCACGGTGAGCAACGAGCTGCACAGGATAACGCTAGAGAAGATCACACCAAGCCAGCCCAGGATAAGGACGTTGTACTTCAGGTTCTGACACTGCACGTACGATATGCCATTGCCGGAGACAGCTGCCATGGCAGCCGCCTTGGAACACGGATGAGCTGGATCGTTGGGCGCCATTGTGGTCTCCGTTTGTTGATGGATGGACCAAACGTACCACTTATAGCCGAAATCGGTTTATTTTCGATGGGAGGGGGCTGTTTGGGGTTTTGCCGGCTTTTAGTTTTTGTTGTTTGCTTGTGTGTTTCCAAGAGAACAAACAACTATGAACTGAGAGTCAGGCCAACGACAGCCAGGTGACAGCAAAATATTTGGTAGGCAAGGCCTGCTTGTTTTGTTTCTTTTCCCAATTTGTATCTATTACAATGCCATCTCACTTTCTTCTCTAGTAGAGAACTTAATAGCTGATATTTAGGAACCTATTTATTATGCTAATCCCCCCGAAAAAAATAACCCACCCGGCGACAAATTAGAAAGTTACATAAATGAATGTGTGGCCCCCATTCGACGGAGTCGGTTCTCCTTTGTCTAGATGGCCTAACCCAAAAACACTTGAACCGCCACGAGAACTGTTCCCATTCCGCTGGGAGACTTGAGCGGTTGTTGCAATTATGTCGCATAAAATAATTATAACAGACTGGGGAGAACATTTCCTGTGCCGCTGGCGGCGTCATCAGCATTTCGTAATAATTAGTAAAGATGAAGAAGATCAGTAGCTGCCACAGCAGCAGCTAGAAAAGCAACATCAGCAGCCACAACTCGAAGAGCAACATGAAGAACCATCAAGATCAACCTGTTGGTAGTTCTTGGCCTGGCTAATGGCGTGAAGTTTAGTTAGTTTGCTTTTGGCCAGCGGCGCGTGCGGTTGTGCGGCTTTAGAACTACATGTTGCATACTATCATCTTCTAAAATGTGTGTAGAAGTGGCAGTGAGGTGTGCTGCTGCTCTTGAGAAAAGGAAAACCGAGTGAGAAAACTGTGCCGTCGAGCCAGCGAATTGGCACAGTTTGCAATATGATTGTTATATAAAAATCCATTAGCCATCGGCCCGACGTTTCGACCCATTTGCGAGCGACCCCAGAACTTGTTCGCCTATCAAGGACACAAATCTCTTTCACTCGAGAAGTGAGTCACCCAAAACAGACCCATAAACGACGACGGCGGCGGCTTCTAGTAAAAGTGGAGCAGCAATAATAGGAAATGTAAGATGAAAAAGCCAAGACAGAAGACCCCAAGACTTCTAAAAGTGTATGAGAAGTTGTCATGCTTTCATTAGCAGCCACAAAGAATATAGAACATTTCAATGAGTGTGCTCCAGTGCTTCAAAAATCAATTCGATTCGGTGGCTAAAGTGACCTGTGACTAGTGATCAGTGACCCTTAAAGATGCAGTTCTTCTGGCTGCTCTTTGTCTTCTGGAATTTCAGTGAAGGAAGTGCCAGTAAGTAAAAGGCTACGTAAATTCCAGAAGAGCATAACTGATCAGTGATGACACTTTCCAGGCATCCTAAACACTCTCCTGGGAGTGCCAGCAGAGTGCGTGCACCAGAGTGGCGTCTGGCCCTGTAAGCTGAGCTTCTCCTGCTGGTTGCAGGGCGGCAAGCATGCCCGGGGCTGTGGCAGCAACAAGTGGCTTTTCAGCTGCTGCGTCGCCGAAGCCCAGCCCCCGCACCACAGCTCCTCGCCCCTGGCCAATCTGGTCGACTACGGGAAGCTGAAGCTGAGCCTCTCCAGTCTTCCCAAGCGAATAATGCTGCGGAGACGCGACGATAACGAGCTTCTCAATTTCAAGGTAAGTGGCCCGCTAATTAGGCCTTCATAGATGATTGAGCCATTCTGCCCGATGGAGTCCCCAGGGCGTTGCACGTTTTCGTGCCTCAGAAAAGAATCTAAAAGCCACATATCTTCCAGCCCGAGTGCGGACTTCCTCGAACAGCGCAAAACAGCCTCCAGAAGCGAATCATTGGCGGACGTCCCGCCCAGTTTGCCGAGTATCCGTGGCAGGCACACATCCGTATATCGGAGTTCCAGTGCGGCGGCGCCCTCATTTCGGCCAACATGGTGGCCACCGCTGCGCACTGCATCCAACAGGCCCAGTTGGCGGACATAACGGTCTATTTGGGGGAGTTGGACACCCAGGACCTGGGTCACATCCATGAGCCACTACCCGTGGAGAAGCACAGCGTTCAGCAGAAGATCATCCACCCGCGCTTTAACTTCCGGATGACACAACCGGATCGCTATGACCTGGCGCTGCTCAAGTTGGTCCAGCCCACGTCCTTCAGCGAGCATATCCTGCCGGTGTGTCTGCCACAGTATCCCATTCGGTTGATTGGACGGAAGGGGCTGATCGCAGGATGGGGCAAAACAGAGGCGCACATGGGCCACACGGGCACCAACATGCTACAAGTGGCAAGTGTTCCAATTATAAGTGAGTATCATCGTTATATTGGTTTTGAACTTGAGGCTATTTCTTTTCTTTTTGTATAGATTATGTATAATAATTATATTTATTTCTTTTAATTTTAAGCCACATTGGACTGTATTCGCTGGCACGAAAGCAAGCAAATAAATGTGGAAATCAAAGCGGAAATGTTCTGTGCTGGCCACCCCGATGGACATATGGATGCTTGTTTGGGTAAGTTATAAAATGTTTCCCAACTCTCCTTGCCATGTCTTACAAAAGGCCAAATCAAGACCATTATATAAAAATGTCCCAATGTCTCTATAATATCTTTCCTTCATAAGAATGCAATACAAAACATTTCAAAAACAAACAAACGCTGAAAATATATATTTTTGAAAGCTAAGATAGCCTCTGCATTAAAACTAGTTGTATACTTTAAGGCGGCAACACTAAAAGTTTTCTGTATGGAAATTAAAATTACATACTAACAACAGAAAATTAACCAATTTAAAATTGCAATAAAATCTATCCACCCGACCCTTCTTTTTAAGGTATTTTACTCAACATCCGGCAAAGATATAGCCTTTGCCGTAGGTTATATTGTGCAGCCTATCATTCTCTCCTTCAAAAAGTGGGAAATGCATGGGGTGGACAATCTGGCCCACTGCGATGGCGATATCTCTGGCAATATTCCTCCGATTCTTGAGCGGAGTACCTTAAACGAATCATGAATCGATTCTCCGCAAATCTGCATCAAAATCCGAGAACAAAATATTTTTAAGATTTTTTGTCAAATTTTATGGGGGGTCCCCTCCAAAATGTGGAAAATGCATGGGGTGGGCAATGTGGCCCACTGCGATGGCGATATCTCTGGCAATATTCCTCCGATTCTTGAGCGGAGTACCTTAAACGAATCATGGATCGATTCTCCGCAAACAAATATTTTTAAGATTTTTTGTCAAATTTTATGGGGGGTCCCCTCCAAAATGTGGAAAATGCATGGGGTGGGCAATATGGCCCACTGCGATGGCGATATCTCTGGCAATATTCCTCCGATTCTTGAGCGGAGTACCTTAAACGAATCATGGATCGATTCTCCGCAAATCTGCATCAAAATCCGAGAACAAAATATTTTTAAGATTTTTTGTCAAATTTTATGGGGGGTCCCCTCCAAAATGTGCAAAATGCATGGGGTGGGCAATATGGCCCACTGCGATGGCGATATCTCTGGCAATATTCCTCCGATTCTTGAGCGGAGTACCTTAAACGAATCATGGATCGATTCTCCGCAAATCTGCATCAAAATCCGAGAACAAAATATTTTTAAGATTTTTTGTCAAATTTTATGGGGGGTCCCCTCCAAAATGTGCAAAATGCATGGGGTGGGCAATATGGCCCACTGCGATGGCGATATCTCTGGCAATATTCCTCCGATTCTTGAGCGGAGTACCTTAAACGAATCATGGATCGATTCTCCGCAAATCTGCATCAAAATCCGAGAACAAAATATTTTTAAGATTTTTGTCAAATTTTATGGGGGTCCCCTCCAAAATGTGCAAAATGCATGGGGTGGGCAATATGGCCCACTGCGATGGCGATATCTCTGGCAATATTCCTCCGATTCTTGAGCGGAGTACCTTAAACGAATCATGGATCGATTCTCCGCAAATCTGCATCAAAATCCGAGAACAAAATATTTTTAAGATTTTTTGTCAAATTTTATGGGGGGTCCCCTCCAAAATGTGCAAAATGCATGGGGTGGGCAATATGGCCCACTGCGATGGCGATATCTCTGGCAATATTCCTCCGATTCTTGAGCGGAGTACCTTAAACGAATCATGGATCGATTCTCCGCAAATCTGCATCAAAATCCGAGAACAAAATATTTTTAAGATTTTTTGTCAAATTTTATGGGGGGTCATCTCCAAAATGTGCAAAATGCATGGGGTGGGCAATATGGCCCACTGCGATGGCGATATCTCTGGCAATATTCCTCCGATTCTTGAGCGGAGTACCTTAAACGAATCATGGATCGATTCTCCGCAAATCTGCATCAAAATCCGAGAACAAAATATTTTTAAGATTTTTTGTCAAATTTTATGGGGGGTCCCCTCCAAAAAGTCGGAAATGCATAGGGTAAGAGGTTAAGAGGAAGGGTCGTTTTGAAGGTGACCTCCTACAAAAAATTTAAGAATAATGGTCAATAAATATACAAATGGTTTAATGTACGATTTCTCAAAACTCATTATTTCAGGCGATTCGGGAGGACCTTTGGTTATAAAAGAGCGAGGACGATTTGTGCTCGTAGGAATTACCAGTGCCGGCTTTGGCTGCGGAGTGGACCATCAGCCAGGTAAAATGAAGTAAATTCTAAAACTTTGAAACATAAATATTGCAAATTGTTTACATTTGTTGCCAGGCATTTATCACAACGTTCAGAAGACTGTGAGGTGGATACAGGAAGTGCTGGCACGCAACGAATCATAAACGCTATCCCCTCCGAATGGCATGCAACCCATCTCAATAGTTTACGGCTCGTAGGCTTAGGCAATGAAAATGTGCAATCCGAAACAAAAGAGCGCAATATATTTATTAGATTTAATAAACTTTGTAATTAGCCAATTGGTGTGGGTGTTGGGAAGAGACGCCACCCGCTGAACGACCTTGAACGCCGGGCCGAAAAGAGAAAACTGCTGCGTGGCCAAAACAAAACAAAGCGCAGGTCTTGTTATGGGTTATGTCACCTGCTGTTTGGCCTATTTGGTGGAGTGCCACAAATGGCACAATCCCTGACGATTGCCGCCGGTAATTTGTACATTAGGCACATTAAGCTCGGGCACTTGGCTTGGGGTTGCCCAATATCTGCGGCAATTGGTTGCGCAGTGCAATGTTGCTTCTGCCACGGCTGCTGTTGCTGCAATGGCATATGGCAATGATATTGCATTTGTGTGTCATTGATCAGCGGCTGTGGCCAATAATTATTAATGGCTACAATCAATGGAACTGGCTGGAAAGCTTCTTCTTCGGCTTCTGCGAAAATGTCATGCTTGAGATGAAGCCAAGTGGTCTTTCCTGCTGCAATTTGTTGGGCAATTGTTGGTTTTGCTAAAATACCAATTTGTGCGATGGAAAATGCCACTTCCTCTTTGTCAGGGTGTGCGTGAGGGCAGGAGAGGGGATAAGAGGGGGGCGTGGTATGTCGTGGAGAGTGTATAGAGATTAGTCATGATAGCAACAGCAACAGCAGCAACATGCAATTGTCAGTTGAGCGACAAAACTCGTTGGCCACTCTTCTGTTGCTTTTCACTTTCGTTTTCAATGCTCTCGCTCTCTCTCTGTCTGCGGCTAAGTGCCTCTCCCTCGCTCTTTTTGGTGACTATTACTCAATAGCTGGGGCTCCGCTCTCCAAGCCAGGTCTGAGCCGGTGTTGATGGCATTTTGATTTTGGATTTGTCAGCCAACTGTTTATTAAGTGTTTCGACGCGCCAGCAAACTGTTCGCGAACTTGCCGCCTGCACCGCCAAAAACCAAATAAAAACAGGGCGCCAAGTCCTAAAAATAAACTAAAGATATTGCCAAACCACCGCGGTGGCAGGTGGAGAAAATTGTGAACTTAATTCAATTTACTCGGGCAGCAACTCCGAGTATTCGGGCTTATTCGGGCTATGCAAACGAGACGAGCGATTATTCAATCAAAAACTCGCGCTGCTACGTGAATTAAGTGAAACACAATTGCAGAAATCAGTGACAGCCGCTGTCGTACCACCGACGAAAAATACAAAAATAAAGTGTAAACACAGCAACGAAAGTATTGCAAAATGCGCCTGGCAGTTGCAGGCTCGATGCTGCCACAGCAACGTCTGATGTTGCTACTGCTGCTGCCACTTGCGGCAATAGTTGCTGGCCACAGCAATTACAATTCGGTTTACAACGAAGTGATTACCCCGGAGCTCAAGCAGGCGATTGATAAGGAGCTGCCCAAGCAGGCCAAGTTCTTCGATGAGCTGGATTGTGAGTATTCCTCTCCCCTCCCTCGCAACGAGCAAGTCAAGTCAAATCGAGTTTGTTGCCTAAGTCTTTTGTTTGATGACGCTTCCGTGCAGTTTCGCATTACACCATTTGCATATTAGTTAACAGTGGCGTGTTTAACCTTGATCTTCGCCACTTTACGCCTCGGTCTCCATCTCCCACATCGATTCGATGTCAAGTTCGTACCGAATTCCTCACAGTCCATCGCAATCGCTGGCGCACTCTTCCGAATTCCGAACTTCGACCCAAAGCGAAAGTCAGACTCAGTCGCCCTGTTCTTGGGCCACCGATTCATCTTGTTTAATTGGACTTTCGAAAAAAAGACATGCCAGCCAATTAGCCAAGAGATTAAGGTGGCCAAAACATTAACACAAAAAACACTCAAACTCCACATGCACACCACACATGAATATTTTGTGGCTTGGAAAGCCCGCGTTTTTTTGGGCAACTGTGAGTGTCTATTAAAATGATGGCCAGGCGAGTGAAATATTAGAAATAAGCAAGTGTGCGATCGGGGCTGAAAATTGCTGCATTGCAAGTTCAATGGCAGCACGGATACGGCCCATACGGGTATATGTAATACGAGTATGAGAAAAGCAAAAGTGTTTCCAGATACAGTTACAAGCACACACCAGGCAGCCAGTCAGACACACACAGAGGAGAGAGACAGGAAAATCAACTGCAATTAACTTCAATTGCAAACTTGTAGCATTCGAAAGTGTTAACACAGCCACAAATACCAAGCCATGATTCGGCCATTTTCCCAAAGATTATAGATTATTTTGGTTTGGCCTTTTATGTAAGCAGAAACCTTGGCCAAAAAAAAAGCGTAATCAGTTGAAAAAAAATCAGCTCGAATAGTCGAACTCGGAATCGATGGCTTGGCAACATGTTGCCAGCAACACGCTCAGAGCCGCCCTGCTCTGATTCACTCCACCTCTCTCTATCGCACGCCCGAAGTTGCCGCTCGGCAAGTGAAATGCGAAAGGCGGCAAAACGAGACTCCGTCTTCGGCTTTTCGAGCTTGCTTCAAGCTCACAGACCGCACAAGTTTGGCTTAATTCTGAGCCGATTTTCCCGACGCGCGGTCGCATTTTTTTCGGTCGCTTCGTGTGCGCGTGCGCCTTATGAAAATTTTTTGATATAAAGATCAACCGAAAAGCTGGAAAGTGTAGCGTTGAAAAGTTTTCTTTTCTTGTTGTCGAGAGCGCCGAAACTGCGCATGCGTGAACCGCAAGCAGCCAGATGAAAACAAAAGTGAAATCCTTGGTGAACTAGTGGCAGGACCGAACGCCCGTACGCCCGAAAGCGAAAGTGCAGCTACCCCGTATCGAAAGTGAAAGTCCCCATCCCAGAGTCGATCATGTCTTTGCCCAGGCACTCAAAGGATACCTGGCTGAGGCTGCTGATTGGCCTGGCTGCCCTCCATTTGGCTCAAGGACTGGGCTATCCCAGTGCCCAGCAGGAGCACGATATGCTAATCCTGGATGCTCTTTCCCGCCGAAGTGGAACCGGATATTATGGCGAGAACAGCGTGATGGAAATGCTATCCCGAAGTACTTGATTTGACTTGACCTCTGACTTCCTTTGAGAATATTCCCTTATTCCAGACCAATTTCTCCCTCTCTCTTTCTATCTCTTATCCCATCTCCCTCTGACTATTTCGATCCAATGTCTTTACAGTGATACCGCAATCGTGCCGCTTTCGTGGCCACAAATTCGAGTGCGGCCTGTCCATTTCATGTGTCTTGGGCGGCGGCAAGCCCCTGGATCTTTGCTCCGGCGGCATGATCTGGTCGTGTTGCGTGGACAAAGATCTGGATGCCGAGGAGAGTCCACACGCTGCTCCAGTCAACAACACGAGTAAGTATCCCGCTTCCCTTAACCCCAGCCCCTTTCCATCTCCCGCCATCCTGCCTCCAACGAAACCATTTGATTCTGAAAGACATTTGTCTCTCTGCTTTCCCCGCGTGATTCCGACCAATCGCAAATTACTGGGCTCCAAGTTATGCAACTCGGATTCGTATAATAGAGCAATAAATTAGCTTGCATTTCGAAAATGACAACAAATTGCTCTGCTCTGCACACACAACCACAAAACCACACAGGCTGCACGCTAAACTCAAGCCCATGGGCAGAGTGCTCGGATTTAAAACTAAATGGCTTTGAAGAACTAAGTATCCCAAGGAGTTTGCAGATTTGTTGGCAAACACATGGGTTTCTTGAACTGATTGTAAACTTTTTAACTTTCGGTTAAATAAATATAAATAATTTGTAAAAATACCTACAACATCTCAGATCAGTGCTATTTTTAACGCTTTTGACGGTATATTCGATAAAATTTAATCTAAATGACTAGATCTACGGAGCTGTTACAAATCCTATCATATGATATGTTCTCAAATCCCATAGAAACCTCTTTATGGATCAATAGTTATCCATCAAGTGCATTGGCCATATCGTAATCGCATCAAAACGATTGCATTAGAGTAGAAATACCTCAGAGTGTTAGACCAGCCACTTATATTATGCCACTAACGCACATACATTGCTAACGAAATGGTTATATTTTTTTTGGCTACTGGCTGTTGTTGTTTCTTCCGCAGCTATTTTGTTGTGCTCTGTTTAATTTTCTAGATTTCTGCCTTCTATTTTCGACTGCTAGCATTACAAAGGCCAGCAGACAGAAAAAAGCAGGCAGAAGCAGCCTGAACAGACCATAACAATGCATTACAACATGTTGTGAATAATTCTTAGTGGAAAATTTTTGTTTTTTTATTCCACTCCCCCCACTGGTTTTTTGGGGGCTCACATCAATCTTGTTGGCTGCCATCAACCCTTTCTTCTTTTACCGCAATTTAACTTAATTTTGAGAGTTTCTTCTCCAGTTTTTCGGTTAACCATTTCCTTGAAGCCCATAAAGAAGCGGGTTCTGTGGGCTTTCTTCGCGTCGCTCATCATGTGTAAAGTCTTTTTCCCAAGCCAGCCCCGTCTGGCGACAATGATAAAGCCAAAAAGCCAGATGGCAGACACGAAATGGGCAAAACTCACTTGCGGAAATAAACGAAGGTGAACGTTTTCGCATTTAAAAGTGAAATTTTTGTTTTCTTTCTTTGTTTCAATTTGGTGGTGCACCCTCCCCTTCTGGGCTTTTATTATTTTGTTTGCTTTCAAATGTGGGAAAAATCACAGTGAAAAAGTTACGGCATAGTCCCCAAATCAGGCCGAACTGTTTGAAAGTGTTAATCAAGTCATGACGCCGCCGTTCTGTCTCCCCCGAAATGGCTTTTGGATTTGTTTGAATTACGTGCGAAACAACCAGCCAGCTTAAGTGTCTTTGTCCGGCTCTGTCTTAATGTCCAAAAACTTAAAAACTGAAAGAAAAAAAACTGGCCAGTCTGGGCCCCCAGACTGTCCATCTTCTGCTGACATAATCGCAGTCGTGTTGGGGGTCTTACTTTTTATTATGATTGCATGCCGCGATTGTCATCGTAAGTTTAGTTTTAGGTTTTTTTTTCAATTTTAAGGGGAAAGTCTGGCTTGGAGTCTTTCACTGACCCTTGGAGCTGCTACTTGATCATCCTAATGGTTTTTTGAAGAAATTTTTCCATTAGAAATTTGCATATCCCATGTGCATATCTTAGTTATTTTATTTAAGGAGTTTTAGATGTCGTCGATGACTAAGATAACAAGCCTAATGAATATGTCCTTAAATATTATTTTCAAAAAATTCTGAAAGATAGGCCATATTCTTAGACCTCTTAGGATGATCTAGACCCCCTGTATCACGATTCTTACACACAGGTGACATAATACACTTGCATGACATATACCCCGATCTGTCGCCGAATGCGAACAAGCCGCATCCACAGCAGCAGCACCACCAGCACCACAACGGCCTGTCAGCGGCCTCGTCCACTACCTCCTCCTCCACCCGACCAGCCTATCCCGGTAACTACTACAGCACCAAGCGCCCCACCTTGTACAGTGGCGGTAATCCTTACAAGCCGGGTGGTAATGGCGGGTCTAGCGGATCCGGATCTGGTCACAGGCCCTCGCCGTCATCTAGCCTGAACAGCTGGGAGCATGAAACTGGCGGTCACACCATCAACGGGATCACCAACCACCTGGATAGCTTCTTCGACGCAGAGGCCCCGCCGGGAGACGTCCCACCGCCGCCCCACGAGCCCCTGCCCAATGCCCAGGCCTTTGCGGTGGGCAATGTCTTGGACCTAAACGCGGGAGAGGCGGCGGATGAATACCAAAGCGGTGGCAGTGGAGGCTACCACGATGCCACCTATCGTCCAGTGCCGGGTACAAAGCAATCTCACACATTCTCTCTCTCTAATAATTATTTCTGTTCTCTGGCACTTCTGCAAATGATTTTCCGTAAAGCTGCACCACACCACATTTCACCTATTCTTTAGTTCTTTGGGATTCTATTTATCTTTCTTTACTTTCTTCATAAGAAATAGTATTATTTTTTATATATTTTTAATTATTATATTTTTGTTTCTTCGGCAGGTTGTGGCGAGGTCTTCACCCGCTCTAATCGAATCGTGGGCGGCCACTCCACAGGATTTGGATCTCATCCCTGGCAGGTGGCTTTGATCAAGAGCGGTTTCCTGACGAGAAAACTCAGTTGCGGTGGTGCTCTGATCTCCAATCGATGGGTGGTTACCGCCGCCCATTGCGTGGCAACGTGAGTAACAAAATAAGTGCAGAGACCTTATATTTCAACTCTGTTTTAATTTTTAGAACCACCAACTCGAACATGAAAATCCGCCTTGGGGAATGGGATGTCCGTGGCCAGGAGGAGCGACTGAACCACGAGGAGTACGGCATAGAGCGAAAGGAAGTGCACCCGCACTACAATCCTGCCGATTTCAAGAACGATGTAGCCCTGATCCGACTGGATCGCAACGTTGTTTACAAACAGCACATCATCCCGGTCTGCCTGCCACCTCCGTCCACCAAGCTCACGGGGAAAATGGCCACAGTGGCGGGTTGGGGCCGAACGCGTCATGGCCAGAGCACTGTGCCCTCTGTGCTGCAGGAGGTAGACGTGGAGGTCATATCCAATGACCGCTGCCAACGATGGTTCCGGGCGGCAGGACGCCGTGAAGCCATTCACGATGTAAATATTCAAAATATTCAAAAATTCCAAACAAATATAATATATACCCCTTTCAGGTCTTCCTTTGCGCCGGTTACAAGGAGGGCGGAAGAGATTCCTGCCAGGGCGACAGCGGCGGGCCGCTTACCCTGACCATGGACGGTCGGAAGACCCTCATTGGTCTGGTGTCCTGGGGCATCGGCTGCGGACGGGAGCACTTGCCCGGTGTTTACACGAATATACAGCGCTTCGTGCCCTGGATCAACAAGGTCATGGCCAATGACAACAATGCGTAGTCGAGGCCATAGCAGTTACGCTGACCATTGACCCACTGACCCATGAACCCTAAACCGGAAGACTGCAGTCACCGCTCGAGAAGTTCTGCAGTTGTGTGCGTCCGCTGCCGAGATGCATCCCGTCAGCCAGGCCATGTGATTCCTCTACGACTCGGGGTTGCTAGTGTGTAAGACCCAAGGTCCTTGTGGCCCTGTATTTATTTTACCTTTATACCACCACTCCAAAGGGGATCCCAGAACCGACTTTGACCCGATCCTGTCGCCTTCATTCGTTTCTCATTGCATAACTAGGATTTTGGTTTAAGTTTTTGATATTTATTGTATTTCGTGACGAAAGATTCCTACATTCGATAGATTCCATTCACACACTTATTTATAATTACAACTACCTTTTAATATACTATTAAAATTTATTGAAATATTTTAAAAATGGGGTGTTTATTTGTGGGTTCGATTATAATAGATTTTTGCAAAGTGATTAGCTATATGATATTTTTTTATACACTTAAAAAGATTTAAATTTATTAAATTCGTAAGAATTTATAGCAATATTTTTTCTAAAAGGCTTATTAATCTTAAAATCATCTTAGTTTTAATTTATTGAACTATTCTACATGACAATTGTATGTATATAAAGTTTCTACACGCATTGGTTCGTTTCCCCGCTATTGAAAAAAACCATTGCCTACTTTGATGGATGAATGAGGAACCTTTTCAGTAACGTTTCCGAATCACATTTGAATCATTATTTGATTTGTAATGCTAATAACAAACAAAAGCAGTAAACAGCAGCAGTCCACAAAAGACACGAATAATAAACAAAAGATACCAGGGTGAGATGCAAGTGGGAAGATGCCGTCGGTGACCCAAAACTCTTTTTAGAGAAACTGAAACTGGCGGGGAGAGCGACATGCAACAAGTGCCACATGCGGTGCATGGACTGAATTTCTAATGAGTTCAACTTCCGCCAGTGGCTGGTTAATCACCGTGAGGCAGGCAGCTGGCAGAGCCATCAAAATTCAATAACATAATCCAGGCAGGCAACGAAAAGACCGGCAAGACCAGATCCCAGGCATTATCATTGCGATCAACAGGAGCTTATCAGGCGCTCTCCCGCTCTTGGCCAGAATCTCGGGGCCCGCTCTTAGGATCCACATTGGCGTCCACTTCTTCGGGCAATTGGCCAAAGAACCGGGATCCGGCCAGCAAGTCAGCAAGTCTGTTGGGGCTACGAGTCTTCAGTCGCCGTGGAGCTGCGCCAGTGTCAAGGTCTCTCGAGTTCAAGAATCGGCCAAAGACACGCGTCATCAGCCACTTAACCATCCATCCATCCATACAGTCAGTCAGTCAGTTAGTCAGTCAGTCATTCGGTTCTTAATTGTGCGTTTTCTTTATTAAAGACGATACTCTCGGCCGCGTCTGACTCCCTGTCTGTCTGTGATTTATAATTGGGCCTTGCTGGCCATCCAAATGATTTTCCATAAAGCTTAATGATCTGTTGATGAGTGTTTGCTGGTGTTTGTTTCTTGAACAAAAACCAAAAAAAAACCGAAATATTCAAATGGGGGGGAAGTGGCCACTAGCCATGCAATTCTTATCAGCGAACAGGTTTACCTGTCAACGAAAACGTTAATAAAGATTGACTTTCTTAACCTGAAGACGTGCATAAATTAAAATACAAACCAACTGCGGCACTCACACACACGCACCCCTCGACAAAGACACAGGTGACAAAGAATGGCAAGTGGCAGCAGCAAAAACAAACTCATTTGCACCACAAAATATTAAAAGAAAAAGCCATCATGTGTGTGTGGTTGTGTGTGTTTTTGGGATATGTGTGGGTTTGTTGTTTCTCTGTTGTCTTCTGCTTCTTGCTATTTTAATGTGAAAGCGCTGTTAACCCCAAAGGTAGCCCCCTGGCTTCCCCACCCCCTGCCCAAAAAGAAACAAAAAAAGAAAAAAAAACACCACTTGCCGCCAATCAGCTGTGCCGCCAAAAGAGAGAGGCCCCCAACAGCAGCAGCACCAGCAGCAGAAGAGTGTTAGTGAGTGCGAGAGTGAGTGTGAAGTTCATTTGAATAAGAAACAGCGCCTAGCTTTTGGCTGTTCTCGCCGCTGTTGGCCTTAATGGAAACCGTTATGCGTCGCTGCCGAGCTCTAACTAGCAACGTCGACTGCGCAGCGCCGACTGCACGCATGCGCACATGTGGGGGCAACCACAAAGAAAACGAAGCAAGCGGGCCGAGAGAGCGCTAAGGAGAGCCAGCAGAGCGGGCTCCAACTTCTACCAATTTCGCTTTGTGGTTCTTCAGCTCTGTCGGCGTCGCCAAATCTCAGCCGCTGCTGCTGCCGACGCCGACAGAGGCAGCGACCGAGACTCCAGTTCACCTGGTGATGGTGCCTGGTGTTTGGATCTTTTCAGCGATCGCCACTCCGCAGACGTGCGCAACTTGTCGCGCTCTGAACTTGGTCTTCTGCTCGCTTCCGCTTCTTCTTCTTCTGCTTCGTGTCGCCCGCGGGATATTTCTGGGAGTGCGTGCTAGTGCGTTTTAGCCGCTACCGACCGACCGACCGAGCGTGTGTGTGTGTGTGTGTTAGAGTTTAAGCGAAATATTAATTGGCCTGACCCAAAGTCCCAAAGGCAAGTTGTCCCAGTGTGTTGTCCCTAGAGCGGCAGAACTAATTTCGGGAGCAAGATACTACCCACTCGGCCACAATAGCCAGCAATTATCCGGCTAACAGTGCTTTGTGTGATTTTTTTTTTGGAACTCTTCTTCCCGGCCTAAAACAAAAGGTAGAACCATCGCAAGGCAAAGCCAAAAAGCCAGTGTCAAACAAAAGCCAAAAGTGAAGAAACTCATAAAAAGAACAGTCCAAGAAGTTAGACCAAAAAAAAAAACATGAAAAAAACTAAAAACAAAAAACTAGAAGCCGGAGGAGTTATAACAATCATACAGTAATAGCAAATTAAAAGAAATGACCCAAAATAGCTGAAAAGCCAACGCATGTAAATGCAAAAGATCTCCGGCCAAGATACGCATCCGACAGATACGCCGGCCCTCGAATGTTTTTGTGTGTGCCTGTGTGTGTGAGTGCCTAAAGTAGCTCCGCTGCACTTTCTACCGCGTACAAGTCAATTAAGCGCCAACTCACAGTACTCGGATGCTGAATCTCACAGATACCACAGATACAGATACAGATACAGCACACACCCAATAGATGCGCATAACTGCAACTAACTGCATCGAAGATGCTGCAGCTGAACGAAAAGAAGAAGAGTCATCCCAAGCAGCAGCATCGGCAGCAGCAGAAACAAGAGCAACAAGTTCAAGCGCCGCAAACACGGCCAAAGCTCAAAAACGAGTCCAAAGCAAAAGTCTCGAGTCTCCGCTCTCAACCGAACCGAACCAAACCAAAACCAAAACCAAACCATTCCGAGGCTGAAAACTGTGGGCCGTTGCCGATCCGATCTGCTCCTGCTGTAAATTTATTGAAATTCCTGTAAACAACAACAACGGGAGCAAGCCAAAGCGCTTGCCACAAGACTTTCAGCAGTGTGTGGCAGAGTCAGAAGAGTCAGCTTCACCATCAGCAGCAGCAGCAGCTTAGTACAAGTGTTTCAATTGCGGCACGGCTGCTTCTGCGGCTGCCGAGACACAAAAAAAAAAAAACAGAACCAAGAACTGAAAGAACCCTGCCTTAGCCTTCTCCTTGGCAAACGATTTTTGCTTTTCGGTTTAAAGAACTGGTCTGATAGTGGTTATGCCAATGGCTAAAAGAACAAGGGTATGCCGGGTTAGCTGGAACATTAGCTGGGTGTAGTTAGTTAGTGGCAAGATAATCAAAATATATTTATTCTTTTTCTTGTATTATCAGGATTTGAATGTATAAACAAGAACTAGATCTAGAAATAGCCATGTTTACTAAATTTCACCTTGCCACAATCTGGTTTAGAACCAAAACTACATAGTAACCACACGTCGACTCTGCTGCAGTCGCACACGTCTCTTCCTTATTGTTGGAGACCTGCCATTCCGCCTGTCTTTGGTCTAAAACACACTCGACCGCGGTTAGGGGAGCAGAAGATGGCCAAGACAGGAGAGCACAAGAGAGTAGTGGGGGCTTGGGACGTTTGGCTCGCGGCCACAGATGATCTGGTAGTAGGATGCTCTGGTAGTGGGCATGGCGCGTTATTTGCATTTCACGTTCTTGGGGCGCTCTGGTTTATACAGGTTTCCTGACGACTGACGGCTTCGATGATGCTGGCCGGGCCCACAAGTAGCATAAAATGGCTTGCAGTAATTATTGTAATTTGCATTCGGCATTTGTAATTGAGAAATTGCCGTTGATGGTGGATGGTTGCATTGAACCTGCATTCTGGTCGCCACTTGCCGAAATAATTAGCCAGGCCATTGTCAAGTTTGTGCCTTGAGTCTTTCGATTCGAACTAATGAACTTAGCCTTCTCCCTGGTTGCCACCGGCAGGTGACAGGCGGGCCCCTGAGTGGACAAAAGCAAAGCAAAAACTTTTTTTTTACTAAAAATACACACAGAAATTTCTCCTAACTCCGTTTTTGGGAAGCAGAAATGAAAGCAGCGCCAAGCGAGACGCACTTCTTATTTGATTACACTAGAAATGTACGAGCTTAGTGACCGTGTATGTGGTTTCTTTTGCGGCAACTGCCCGTTTCACGCCAAATGGCATAATTCTTTTGTTCAGCATTTGAAATTACAAGCTGCTGGCGGCTTTTCACTTTTCGTTTAGGTAAATACTAAAAGAAGTCAGCTGCCACAATGAAATCCCCTGCTGGCTTTCGCTTTTACTCAAGGCGGGGCATATACCTTCATACATACGTACCGCTCAGCTGACAAAATGTATTTTTAATAACAAACAAAACAAATTGTAATTTCACTTTTAACGAGCCAACCGAAATTGTCACTTGTATCGAGTCGCGAGTGGAAATTACTTAATTGCCCATAAAGCTGGAACTTCAAGATCGAGATTCGAGGTGGAAGCTGGCAAGAAAGGGACGAGGCACTGACTCGTCTCGGCCAAATGAAAATCATGCAAATCATCCGTCGCTTCTGACCCAGATCGAGACCCATTTCGCGCTTCCCAGGCAATCCCCGCCCGGTTCTGGTTATCGTTTCTCTCAGTAGCTCAGAAATTCATGTTAATTTGCACACAACCAGCCAACGCCAACACAATTATACAGATACGCATACCGATACGGGTGTTTGCGTCTGAACGTGACCCAAATACACAAATAGCTGGCCAACATTTTTGAGGCTGCGAAAAGCCAAACAATCGCTGGAACTGGACTCGACTCGACTCTGTGAGATTGTGGCAACAACTAAAGATCACACTACCAATTAGAATGCCAATGCTTTCGATTCTAGTGTTTAATTGAGGCAATTTGATGTTAGTTAGTATTTTGTTTTATGGCTTCCGTTCTCGATACCAGACTTTTAGCATTCGGGCCTAATTAAAGCGATTTACAGCTCTGCGATGGAAGTGTCTTTAAGCCAAGTTTCTGATGGGGCTGGAAAATGCTACTGCTGCTGATGCTGTTTCTGTTGCTATTGGAGTTCAATGACCGTATTACGCAACTCACAGAACTGTCGCTAACAATGAGAGTTACTCTCCCCGCAAACCGCTTACCGCTTACCTCTTACCGCTTTCCCCCTACCAAACGCAGCTAATTTCTCAACGCTGCAGAATCGTGACTGAAAGAAAGAGCCAACCCAAGCCAACCCAAGCCAAGCTAAAGCCAAACAGAACAGAACCGATCAATGAATATGTTGTCACCGCAAAAGATGCCTCCCGGCCATGGGCAAACCAAAGAGATATACAAACAAACATAAAGATACATGTTCTTGTGAGATATAGAGACGCATTGTCATCGCTGTTCCCGGAGCAGGTCCAGTTAACTCTAGCCAACTCATCATCATCATTTGTTGTCGTTGGACGCGCTTTCTTTGATTGCTCCGGTTTATGTCATCATTTCTGTACATTCTCTGAACTTTCTTTGCAGTTCGAACTCGGCGGCTCAATTAGGCGACTGTTGAACCCCAAAGATGAGCAGAACGAGTAGTATGGGAATGGGTCTGGGTCTTGGTGTGGGAATGGAAATGCATTTCCGAACAGTTATATAAACGCTGGAGGAAGATTATACAATCAGTTGAACGATTCCCGTTTGGGGAACGCTTTCTATGCCCACACGCATACACTTTTGCTTTCCATTTGGAACATTTTAGGCATGACTATACTGGTATACGTATATGTTACACATACGCCCTGGGTGCCGCGGCAAAATTTAGCTTCGTTCGGTTTCCGTTTCTGTGGCTACGTTTTGTTTCATTTGTTCATCGTTTTTGCATATGCAAGTCACCGGAGACAGACTTTCACCTACTTGAGTCAGCAGAGGTATTGCTTCTACGCACTTGTTGCCTTGCCTGCTTTTGCTTCTTCTGCTGCTGCTGGGCCGTGCCCATCTGTATTTTGTTGTTTTTTTTTTGATTAATTTGAATAAGGCCGTAAAACATTTCACATTTTTGGTTATGAATCACCCCCGAATGAAGAAACCTAACCGATTTATGCTTCACTTTTGCAGATGATGGGTGCACAACCACACACGGATTCAGAAGACACCTATACGTACACTGCAGCAAAGTGCAGATCGGCGATATCCAGGTCCATCAAGATGCCACGCCCCAGCCTCCTACTCAGCCTGATTGCACTTTGCAGTCTCCTGCTGCTGACGATAGACGCCAGTCCAGTTTTTGTGGATAACCCCAGCTTAGCACAGTGTAAGTCACAGTATTGAATCATCAGAGCCATCAACTTCATGGGTGTCGAACGCTCTCACTTAGCCGGAATCGGTTCAGCAAAGAGATACAGATACAGATCAGGCAGCAGTACGAAGCTGTCGTGGTTTATTTCCATTGTTTCCCAAGAACTCCAGCACTTTCTCTCACGTAGACTATAAAAAGTTTCTTTTCGGGAGCATCCACGGTTATTACAATGAAATGAAACGCGGTCTGTAAGAAACTAAAATCTACAAAGTAAGAGAACAATAAGAGTTCCAGGCCAGCCCATAATTAGTAGCCAGTCAGATGAAAATTCATATTTACTTTAACTGAGAGATTAGCTTTTATTCTTGTTTTAACTATTCCACTGCCACCTTAAAAGTTTATTGCCAAAAAAGAGAAGCCAACAACAAAAGACTTAAGCGACGAACTTGTCGGGAGGGATATCAAGAGCCAGAGCATTTCCAATGAAAGTAATCAAAATTAATGACAATAGAGACAGGCGTTTCCCGATCCGGGCCCGGTCCAAGAAGATTAATTGGGTCACAGTCATTAAGAATCAAATTTATACGCTATTAGCACTTCCTCTGCGGACGGCCCCACACAGCTGCCAATTTGTCTGCCGCAAGGCAACAAAGCGCAGCCTTTGAAAAAAGATGAAAATAAAACTACAAAACTTTCATATACAAACTGAGACTGAGACTGTCGAGACTGACCAGCCAAGATTCAAGATCCAAGATGCGAGAGCCAACAACTAAAGCTACCAAAGCTACCAAACGGGCAAACGTCAGCGAGCAAAAGCAATTGAGGTCAGCCATCAAAGAATGTTGCCATAAAATAAGCAACCCGCCAGTCGGGCCAGTCCGTCTTGGACCGGGAATCGGAATTGAAATCAGAATCAGACTTGGACTCTTGGCCAGAAAGCGCTTGTGCCGGTGAGCATTTCATGTTTATGACTGGACCGCAGAGGCAACAAAGAAAATATAAATAATATTGGAGACGGCAAGAGGTGGCTGCAGAAAGCGGAAAGTAAATTTGACGGCAAGTGAAAGGGAAATAAAACAAACAAACCCTCTGGAATGGAGGAACGAGCCGAGACATTGATTCTCGGTCTCTCCAATGGGCCCCGACACTTCGATTCGATGGTGACCCACTTAGCCACTGCGCCACTCACCCACAATCGGGCCACGAAAATGTGGTGCCGCGCATTCGCATGCCAAAAACGAATTTCCTTACATTGCAATGCGGGTCTGTCGCTTCTCTACCGTGTGTCTATCTCTCTCTTTTATTCTCTCGCCATCTCTGTCTTTGTCTGTGTCGTCTTGGCCTTCGATTCTGGCTGTTTGGTAGGCCAGGCGAGTGGCGGCGGCTAGCTAGCGAAACATATGCTAAGCTGTTGACCCAAAAAGCCACAAACGAAATGCAAACAGAAACAGAACCGCTGCCACGATCCATGGAACGTGACAATGTCTCTGGGACCGAGTTCAATTTCGGTCGATTGATTTCTTTGCTTTTCCACTCAACTGGCCGCCAGTTCGTGTCTTGAGTCATTTGTTTTGGGACGCTTCTGTGGCATAAAATCTCAGGCCTGTATTTCGTGTTAATTGCATAAGAAATGCCCGATACTTTACATCCCCAAAAGTTCAATAAACGCAAAACACGCCGAAACTGGTGGCAGTTGGCAATATTTATTTGCATACCGATTATAATCGTGGGAATATAAACGATAACAGATAATAAGTATTCAGGGAATACTCTTTCTTTAAATAATATTAGTGTTTTATAACTCATAATGGATGGATAGAATTGTGGATTCTTAATAAAATATATTTGAAAAGTAAAGTAATATACAAATTTCACACCTTGTTTCGTACTTTCCAAATAAGAAGAGGTATTTAAGCCATCGCCCTGCCTTGTTTTCTTTTCATTTAGCAGAAGTCCGGCAAAGTGCGTTATTTATGTGAATGGATATATTTAAAGCGCTTACTTCGAAATTCTGTGGCCAGGTTGTTAACTAAATTTATGACCTCCCTGGGGGAAACAGGACACTCGGGCGGTCTCTCTTGTCCCTGGCCTGACACTTTTTTTTGACCAAAACAAGAAAAAAACATTAACAAAACTCTTGGCCCCGTGCTCGTGGCCATAATTATATAAGTTCAAAGCTCGAGCTTGGATAATTCTCGGCTCGATTACACAATGACAAAGATGACGGGGCTGGTGGTTGGTGGGTCTCGGCAGCTCTTGGTGGTTCTTGGAGAAGAGCAGAAATAAATAAATAACAATAATGCGGATGGGCTACTGTTGCCTCATCGGGCGGTCTTCAGCGAGCATGTCTGTATGTATTTATGAATATTCTTCGGCCGGAGCGACGATGACGCCCTTCAGCGGACTTGGAGGGGAGCTAGCCAGCTTTTATGGGTTCGCTGTTGGGTTCGTTTTTGAGTTGTTGCCACTTCATTTTCACTTGTGCTAACTGTTTGCCTAACGGTAAATGGACGGACTCAAATTGGCGTACAAATTCGAAGGCGTTAATCGCACCGGCAAACGGAAATGGTGTGGAGCAGCTAGAATGGGAATCTTATTTGCTTTGTCCCTGCCCCTCGCCCAATGGGTATCATCATCATTATGTTTATCACCATTTTTTTGTATATTATTACTGATTTTTGGTTATTATCTTTAAATTGGCAGTCCAATCGGGCCGAAATATACGCCATCTGCCCTGCATCGTACGCAAGTCTGGACGCTCGGGCGTCTGCATGTTCGCCATCGATTGCATTAAACAGAATGGCACACACCTGGGCACCTGTATCGATCGCTTCTACTTCGGCTCGTGCTGCGCGCTAAAGGTAAGTGGCATCCCAGACTATTAAATAAAATCTGGTAGCAATTTCTTAATTGCTATTTTTTAATTTCCAGGAGGAGGCCTCGCTATTCGCGCCGGAGATCAACGACAACAGCATCGACCAGAATACCATTTCGCACTTTGCCCACGAGTCCACCACCTTGCCCACCAGCGCTCTCTTCAAGCTAACCACCGAAAGTGGCCTGACGAGCAGCAGCAGCGGCACCAGCAGCAGCAGTGCCGGCACCACCCACCATCACACCACCAATGAGCTGCTCAAGAACGTAACCCAGTCATACCTGAGCACCGCCAAGCCAGTTCGCACCACCATCGGTGGCAATAACAGTTCCCTGGCAACCACTCGCCGCCCACCACAGCAACACACCACCCACAAAAACTCGCACTTTGTGGTTCGCACCACTCTCAAGCCAAGTGCTGCGCCGGTGAATGCCACTGTGGCAACAGTGAAGCCACCACGACGTCGCACCACCACCGCCAAGCCAGTGCTTACGACGGGGGCTATAGAGCAGCGCATCGAAACCACTACGGTGCCAACAAAGTTTGTGACTTTCCAAATTGTGGAAACCACCACTCCGACGGTGACGGAGCCTTCCCTGCTGCAGGAGACGACGACGACCACCAGGCGGCACACAAGGCCCACGGTTAGCAGTTCCCTAGGGGGCTCAGCTAGCAGGACAACTAGCAAAACAACAACAACTACAACAACTGGGGCACCAACAACAACTACTACGGTAACCACCAAGAGGCCAACTCCCCCACTGCGCACCACCACACAAAAGCCGCACAAAACGCATTCCAGTAGGAGGCCCACGCCAGCCAAAAAGCCAACCACAACTGCAACCACAGCTGGTGCAGCGCAGGACACTCGAAAGCCGGCGGAAACAAGCACCACAGTAAATGTCACGGTCGCCAGCACCACCTTGCCCACTCGAAAGCCAATTGTCCAGACAATTAGCAGCAGCAGCTCCACCAGTTCCACCTCAACAACCACATCGTTTAAGGAGGAGCTGAACAAGAACAACAACCGCACCACCACGCCAGCAACCACCCAGGCGCCAAGGCCGAAACCCAAACCCACAGGAGAAATCGTAAAGGTTCCGGCTTTGCTGGCCGAGACAACTGTAACCACCAGTAGCAGCTCCTCCAGCACCACCCTGGTGACCAAAAAGAAACCCACCACCACCACGCCTACAACAACCTCTACAACCACTCCGAAACCCACCAGAAAGCAAACTACAAAAGCTTCAACCACCATCACAACAACAACAACAACAACAACGACGACTACCCCTAAACCAACCACAACCACCGCCAAGACCACGCTCACCACTGAAGCACCCACCAAGGCACCATCTACAACAACCACAACAGCCACCAAAAAACCCGGATTGATCACCTGGACCGATGTGGAGGCTGAACCACCGACGAATGCCAGCATATCGAACGATTGGCAGCCAGTGAGCATTTTGGTGCCACTGACCACCCAAAAGACCGAGGCCCCTGCAGCCACAGGTAAGTCTGGATTACACCACTCAAAAAGGTGGATTTTGTAAAATTTACGATTTGTTCTTCCAGCACCACCCAGTGCCACTGACAAAGTGGTCATCTCGGTGGCCACCAGTGTCAGTGCCGTGGAGACCCACGGAACAGCCAAGCCGCACAAGACCACGAAGCCAACAAAGACCACAAGCACACCCAGGCCAACAGCCACTGCCAGGCCAACAACAACAACAACCACAACCACCGCACCAACAACCACCACATCAACAACAACACAAAGTTCAGTGAAAACCACAGATGCACCAATAAACAGTGTAGAATTAGCATCATCCTCCACGGAGGTGGCATCCACTAGCTCAACTAGCAGCCCCTTCAGTACTATCAGCACCACCAGCAGCCCCACAACAAAGCCAACGACATCCACTGAAGAAACCACCGATTACAGCAGCGAAGAACCAAACACCACAGCCATCGAGGCCACAGGCAGCACCACCGTAGCACCCGCCAATGCATTGGAGGGCGTCGATTACCGAGAAGGTGAGTAAGTGCACCACCGAGGCGGTGGGGCGGAGGGAGGGGCGTTCGCTCCTCGGGAGAAAACTTGTTTCCCGCGGGGAGAAATCTATTAATACACTCGTGGCTGACTTTGGTCATAAGACAAAGCCAACGTGCGTGGCCATTAAATTCAATTTGAAGGCTAACCGCTGGCCTTGAGCCAGCATCAAGCCAAGAAGACCAAGAATCGGAGACATCTTCCGAGATTCTCTTCTGACCAGATCATAAATGAATGCACTGAAAACAACAATAAATATATCAAGAAATTAAATAAAAAGAGTGTAGTAAGATAGGAAAGATCTTGCCTTTGTTATACACTGCCGTTAGAGCCCTCTCTAATCTTTTAATATATTTCCTGAAAACTCATTTTTATTCACATTTTTTCTCAGTGCAAGAACTTTGCTAAGGCCGCAACAATTTTTACAGCAATCATTTACAATAATGACTGCATCGTGCATGGGATGGTTTCGGTCATTGTGCCGTATGGGTCACGTTGTCGGCCAAGTCTGCAAAATGCAGCCAAAAATGAAAAAAAAAAAACCATCCCAGTCCGTGGCCTCCCCCTTTCCCCATTTTCCTCCTGCAACTGCAGCCAGTTGACCGATTTGCAAAAAGCAAAAACAATCTTGATACACGAATCGAAACGAGTCGGGCCAAGACAAGTGGTTGGCCATAAAGTAGGCCGTTGACTGACCGAACAGCCAGGCAGCGGATGGCCAAAGCCAAGGACTTGGCCAAAGCACATTACATTGGCGGCCAAAATGACTGAGTGCCTGGCGGAGTGATTAAAATGTTTAAGGCTCTTGCCAGCCCATTATTTTAATTGTGACCTGGCGCTGGCCGCTATTAGCCATGATCCTGTCCATTGTTTAATGTTCGCTTCCCTCCTCACCCACAGTCTGTGGACGGCGCATGTTCCCCGAGCCCCGAATCGTCGGAGGAGCGAATGCCGCCTTCGGACGATGGCCCTGGCAGATCTCGCTGCGCCAGTGGCGCACCTCCACCTACTTGCACAAGTGCGGAGCGGCCCTGCTGAACGAGAACTGGGCTATAACGGCGGCGCACTGCGTGGACAAGTGAGTAACCACTACCGATTCCCAGGGGATCGTCCTGATGAGAGTTCTACTTCCAGTGTTCCGCCATCCGACCTGCTGCTACGCCTCGGGGAGTACGATCTGGCGGAAGAGGAGGAGCCATACGGCTACCAGGAGCGTCGTGTCCAGATTGTCGCCTCGCATCCGCAGTTTGATCCCCGCACCTTTGAGTATGATCTGGCCCTGCTCAGGTGAGTCAGTTTCTTTCAATTATTTTAATTATTTCATTAAAATTTGTTTACCTACATGACAGGTTTTACGAGCCCGTGGTCTTCCAGCCCAACATCATTCCGGTTTGTGTGCCCGACAATGACGAAAACTTCATTGGGCAGACCGCCTTTGTCACCGGCTGGGGCCGCCTGTACGAGGACGGACCCCTGCCCAGTGTACTCCAGGAGGTGGCGGTGCCCGTGATCAACAACACCATATGCGAATCCATGTACCGGGCCGCGGGCTACATAGAGCACATACCGCATATTTTCATCTGTGCCGGCTGGAAAAAGGGTGGCTACGATTCCTGCGAAGGTGAGTAATTGCCTGCAATTTGTGGCACTAATGTAACTGATTTGTATCCTCTTCCGCAGGCGACTCCGGTGGCCCCATGGTGCTGCAAAGGGAGTCGGACAAGCGGTTCCAGCTGGGCGGAGTCATTTCGTGGGGCATTGGATGCGCGGAGGCCAACCAGCCGGGCGTGTACACGCGCATCTCCGAATTCCGGGACTGGATCAACCAGATTCTGCAGTTCTAGGTCCTGGGATGACCTGATCCCAACCCTGATCCTTAGCGAATGCCTAGAAACGCAATTCCCTTTCCCGCACACATCGGCATCGGAATCCAACGATACTCGGACTCGTGCTCCGGTTATGGAAAGAACAGACCCGCGACGGATCTCTGACGGATTTAACCATAACCCGAGCAACGATTCCAGTTGCCACCATTTACCTCCGCCTGCCCACCCCCCCAGGAACCACTGGAACACTGATAACACTTCCATTGTCATAATCGTAATCTTACAATTAGCGTTGCCTAGCCTAACCTAAAACTAGTTAGTGAATGTGATTAACCAGCACACTAAACGAAAGGAGATAGGGAAAGATCATGTAACGTATTAATCGATTGGACGCCTAATTTATTCCCATTTGCTGTACATAATTTTCTAAATTATTGCATAACATTTACACTTAGCTTTAGTCCTATTCAATATTAATTTTAAAGGGACTCTGACTCGGACTCGATCGAGTCACTCGGTAGGGCACTATCACTTAAGTCGCTTCTCCTCGAATCGAATAATGCGGCAGAAGCTATTGTAATTTTATTTTATAACGTACTGTAATTATTTATTTATAGCAGCTCATGCGCGACAAAATTAATTAAATTCAAATGTTTAAAACAAACGTATAAAGTTTTTTTCTTTTTAAATTCTTGCAAAGATTACCTTCTGGCACGTGCTGACCATTTCCTTGTTCATCCACCTATCTGTTTCTACGCAACCCATGTTGTCCCATATTAATAGACACTGTCGATTTGGGGGTTTTTAATTGGAGGTCACTTTAATGTCCAAATTTAAATTGACTTAAATGGACTACTTGAAAGATGAGAATCGAAACCAAAAATAGAGTGATCCAAAAATGATAATAATTCTGAATATGAAAAGGGAAACATTAGTCCATTAGTCCATACTAAGGTAGGTATTTCGGTTTTTTAAAGAAATAAAATCGACTTTTGGAAGTTGTTAGTTAAATGGTATTTTCAAATTTATTATTTTTAAGGCTGGCCAAATTTATTGTATACTTTCGGGGTAAGAAAAAAAACTCGCACTCAACTTCAATGTAAGATTTACATTGTAATTTAACTATCAGTCATTGACAGGCTTCACAAAAATTCTAAAATAGGTAATCAAAAATCGAAAACGTAGAGCGTTTGTATCTTTTTCTCTATACATTTATTAAAAGTCATGAACTTCATAAATTAATCAATCGATTTCAATTGACTTCCATTTCTCTCAGTTCCTATTCAATTTTTCCCAAACATCATTTAGCCTGTGGAGTTCGGTCAGTGAAGAACCTTCGCAGCAAAGTAAGCACAAAAATCGGTAAAATTGCATAATCAACAACAAAATAATGGTGTTTTAAAATAATATTTAAATGCTCAATTTCTATCCACATTCAAAAAAAACCCCAAGAGCTACAAAAAATCCTGTGAACCTGTGAACTTTTTCATTAATCAATTTAAATAAAGTAAGGAAATCAATTCCCACCTCTCTATATAAATTCTATTTAATATTTTTTAAATAAATGTTATTCAGATATCGAAGTACCGGCGCTATGACCGCTCAAAGTTCGCTATTGCTCTTCGTACCTCTACTGTGGATGGCGATGTTACTTCTTGAGCCTGTGAAAGCCTTTCCAGGGAAAGAGATTAACTATATTACTACCTCTAACGCTACGGAAGTTCGTATTACCGATGAATCGTTTAAAAAATGTTGTGAACAAATTCGCCTTAATGAAACATACAGCGATTGTCAGATGTGCTTAGATTTTAGGACGAATGTGAATCTTAATATTAGTTGGAGAACTTTTGGTTCTCCCTTACGGAAAACCCACACCGGTAAAAAGCTTTAACCAGAGGTCTGCACGGCCCTATGCACGGCATAGGAAATTTCCCTGCCCGAGCTCTGACACACACTCCCCACTAGCTTAAACAATAAGCGCTCAGTACGTTCAAATGAAAACAACTTGTTATAAATATTTCCACAACCAAAATATTTGTAAGTAAGCTTCGTCAAATATCCAGCAATAGTTTTAGAGGAGGGATTTTATTTCAAATGAAGGGAAACTTGGTAGTTTTAACAAACCTGGTGTTATGAACTTTACCTTTTTTTAAAACGCTCACTTGGTCATTCATTTTGTGTGTCATTTTGTGTCATTTGGTGTTCTTAAATTGTGTCACTTTTTGGAAAACATGTTGATTTTGTATCAAAGATTTTTATTTAAATGCGGCTCTACATGCTACAACATATTGATGGCGCCATCTATTTTTGAAACTTAGAATCATGTAAAATGTATAAATTGTATATACAATAAGTTCACAAAAAGTAAGAAAAATATAAATAAAAGAAAAAGAATGTTAAATCAAATTATACATACATAAATATGATATATAAATAATCCATTGCCAAAGTGAATAATAAAACTTCAGAATTACTACAAAGAATATATATAAAGTACTACCTATTTCTTATATTGAACATTTAGAATGTGTTTACTTCCATTAGACCTTCAGACTTTCGGTTAAAAGTAACTAAAATATATATTTGTACAATTTTTTTTTCATACAAGATTCCAATTTTTAATGCACAAAACTATACTGAGCTTTGGTAACGAGTTAAATATCATTTGGCAGGTGCCGCGGACGAAGTTTGAAAACTTTCTTTGCCGGGAGGTTGAGCACACGACTTAAGGGGTTATATACAGTTGTGACAAATGAAAAAATCGATTTTTTTTTTATTGCATATTCTTTAAGTATATTCTATTGGGAATACTCTCACAAAAATTCTTAACGATCGGAGCATTAAAACCGAAGCTGTAACTATTTATAGCGCACTATCTGCATATAAAACTTGAACAAACTTGAAACTTTAAACGCGATTATCTCAGAAACTTTTTTTTGGGAAATTACCTTTGCGGTGGACACGATTACTAAAAAACTACTAATCCGATCAACACCAAATTTTGACCACTTATTTATTATGATATTAGCTAGTCCGTGAACGAGGGATTTTCAATTTTTTGAAAACTCCTTTTTAAAGCACAAAAAACGAAAATCTTATACGTTGAAAAAGTACATTTTTTGTTAAAAACGTCGCCATTTTTTTTTTAATCAAAATTTTTAAAAATCCCTCGTTCACGGACTAGACAATACAATTTACTAACTAAACTTTTTTGAATTTTGGATTTCGGATGAACCGTTTTCGAGAAATCTTGTCCACCGCAAGACACCATCGAAAAAAGACGATCCGGGAATTCGGCTATAACATTTTTGTTATGTAATATTTTTTTATGAAAAAATTTAATTAAGTACCCAGAAACATGTACTAAACAACGTCGGTAAAACATTTTTCATAAATATTTTCTATGGTGTCAAAAAAAAATCGATAAAAATCCATATTTTTGCGCGGTACAACTGTATATAACCCCTTAAATAAATAGATATGTTCCATGTTTTTTTAATAAAAAATTATATATTCCTCTCATGTACTAGCATTCAATTTTTAGGCAACACTCTTCGTTTAAAAATATGAAAAACTTTATATTTTATTTTTGTAAAATTGCGATATTTAAATATAGTGAATCAATATGAATAATATTACCTATTGTTTTATTTATTTAAAATAAATGTAATAGACTAATAATATAATTACTAAGCAAAAAAACCTTAATAGCTAAATGGTAAGGTAATTGGCTGAAAAGACTTAATTTTTGACCAAACGCCCTCCAATTGCCGGCTTGATTACGTCCAGATTGTCGTGGAACTTTCGCTCTCAGTTGATAGCGGTGGGGAATACTTGTACCTACTGGCCATTTGCATATGGCCACGAACACTTTTTATTGTTTTTGTGGCATGTGGGGGAGCCGGAGATCAGACCTTCGTGTGCGTTGCAAGTGCATGTCGTGGGGCTCAACACGAGATCGGCGGCAATAGGCATATCATAATTTGTACGGATATCACGTACTGCGACGGGGTCATGTGTCCGGATTATCAACGACTGCGATCACGACTGGAGTGTCGGTCCTGGGCCTGAACTTTCACATGGCGTTCGTGTTCGGGTAATGGGCGCCGATTAGGGGATTACTTGTCAGGCGATGATCCTCGACAAAGATTAGATGAAAAGTGCGCCTTTCGAAAGTGAAAATTAAAGCCTGCCCCCGGTCCATCTGCTCCATTTGAATTAATTTGTGGGCAAATTGGCGATTTATGACATTCGATGGCTTTATTTATGGCCTGGTTTTTATGCAATTCACAAAAACCAGAGTGAAATTTTTAAAGGCCTTACATAACCCAGCCCAATAGAGCAAATTTTATTGTTACCATTGATGGGCCTCCTATTTGGACGAACACATAGTTTTTGGCAGTGTTCGCAGACACCGAAAGCCAAGCCACTAATCCAGAGCATTCCCATGGAAAACGAAAGCTATGAAGTAACTCAAGTGCCTTGCATTTAGTTTCTAAAGAAATGTTGCACAATTAAAACGCTTGAAGCACCAAGCACCAAGTATCAAGCATCATCAAAAGCCGCACACACGAGTGAAATGAATGAGGGGGCGAGTGTCAGGCAAAGATCAGCATGAGGCATGAGGCACCAGAGAAAAAGATGACCACCACCAACTACTGCCTAGTGCCACCAACAACTGAACCTGAACCGAATGCACAATGACGACTTTAGACTTTCCCAACGGACAATACAATGGAAATTTCTTATTTTTCTGAGCAAAAAAACGAAAAAAAAATAAAAGAAGATTTATAGGAACAGTCGTCGCCGCAGCCACTTGAGAAGCAAACAAAAAACGAAAGTCCAAGTACTGCCACAATAATAAATATAAGATCTTTCTCCCAAAAATTTATATGCCCATCTATGGAAACAATTGAAAAGTACTCATGGACAATGTTTTCCCTTTCTTCAGTTTGAAGATGCCAGTGATGAAGGAGGCTGGGAAACGCCACTGTTCTGGTGGCACGGAAAACCTTTAATCACATAGAAGAGCCCAGTCGATCTCCTCCAGGTCCAGTCGATATCGTTTAATGAAATCGCACAATGCGAGTAAACAAAACCCATACCGTGGACCCAGAAGACGATCATTATTTTGATGGGCTGCCAGCCCATTTGAAACGTAACCCGTAGGAAATTACTCCTCATCCGGTAATTATTGGTCTTGGGTCTACATACTTCAAATCTTGATAGATCGATGGCCAGACAGATCTATGGGGCCGTTTTTGGATTCGGATGCAGCCAGCAGCTTGCCACAGCCCCCGGCACAGATACTGATGGATCTTCATTTGGAAGCTTCTCCTTTTCCGCGGCCGGTTCACAGGTGTGTCGAATGTCCAAATATGGGCGTCAATAGTTATGATTCAGTTCGGCGGGGAATGGCCAACAAGAGTTGCGATTTTGGATCTCGTTAAACTGCGGGGAAACCCTCAAAGGCTCTCCCCCACCTTCAAAGCCTCTTTGTTCGGTAAATCATTTACCCAGCACCTCGGGGCACGGAGGCTTCCCTTTCCAAAACTCAACAAAAATGTAAACCTTTTTCTGCCCTTTGGCCTGCGGACATCAGAAAAGTGAAGGCAATTGTAGAAAAAAATATAATCTTCTGGCCAACATTTATCAAGAAAAAATTATGAATTTCCCCCTTTGCATCGGCATAATCCAAATGAATTTTTTAGTTTCGCTTTCTAATTAATTGCATTAGCCCCGGTAGACGCCCACACAAAATGTAAAATGTTGTTAATGTAAAAATGTTTTCCCTTTTTAATTTTCGCCAATTAAACGGCCTCACAATCAAAGTCTTGGCGGTACACCAGCCCAGCGAATAAAAATAATAAAAAGGCAAAAAAAGGAAAATACAAACAGAAAAACTGATGGAAGATGGAAAAAAAGCGGTGACGGAAGTCGAATGGATTCTGTGAAAGGTGCAAAATTTTTATGGAGAGCCCCCAAACAAACAATGTGCAGAAAAAAACGCACCTAATGAAGACGAAAGTCGTTGCGCAAATGGAATTAAATTAAAATGGCATCAAAATGAAATAATAGTGCAATTAGCTTGAAGCCCAAGCTGGCCAATACGACCACCACCCAAGTCGGTGACAAAGAAATTTGTAAACAAAATTATGGCTTAGCAAGATGGCCATAAAATACTCTATTATATTGTCAAGTCTGGGAAGATTTGTAGTTTAGTTTTTAAGATGTATTAGAGACCTGAAATACTATCTTCAGGGTTTCTTTGTAATTTTTCCGTTTTTTTTTTATATTTTATTATACTGTTGGTCCTTATTTTATTCTCCAAACTTTCAATAGTTTAATATAATAAATAATAAAAGGAATTGTTTTTGTTTCATCTATATATTTTTTATATATATTTTTAAATTTTATTATAATTGTATATTTTAACTTAACCAAACCCTTGGCAAGCCTTAACAACTTTCCCAAATGCGTCGTTTGCCAAAAAGTTTCGCCCATTTCTCTAATCGCACACCCGACGACTTGCTTACTGGTTTATTGAATAACATTTGCGTAATTAAAAGTGTGCGAAAACGAAAGAAACCGAAATTAAATCATAGGTGCACCATCCGGCTTTCCGGGCAAATAGCCACAGGCTTACCGACCCTTTTTGGGGGCCATTGACACGCGATAATTGAAAGCGCAAGTTGTCAACAAGGCGTATGCGTGATGTGTTGTCGGTTTTTAGAAAACAAGGCTTAGTTGTTTGAGGATGTCTTTGAATAGAGAGGAGTAGGATAGGGAGGGGAGGGGAGGAACTAGCCAACTTGTCATACATTAGCCTAACAATCATTTTCTGTATGTCGTTTGTACTTGCTACCATGGCTACTACCCGGCTACTCACTTTCATTTATTGTGCTGAAATTTCTTTTCTGCCTCGTCTTGTTTGGCTTTAGTGGGTAAACATGGCCGGCAACCTGCTAAAAGTGAAATTATTGCCTTTTCAATTAGTCACAGATCCCCAAATACCGACAAAAACCAATACAGAGTCGGTTGGGCTACTGAACCGCGAACCCTTCGACGCTGCATAGTGGAAAGTGAGGCACCCTTGGAAGCGCTAATGACGGGGCAGACACTGTCAGTTGGGATTGAGTTTTTGGCTCAATTTGCTGGCAATAAATCAAAATTCATGTCGACGCCTCATTTTGATTAATTGGGTCTTAATCCAACAGATCCGACGCCAAAAACGATAGCAGACAATCCGGAGACCATTGACCATCATCTCACAAACAGGCCGCCTTTATGATGGCTTTCGTTTTCAATCGCCGGCGTTGAAAAACAAATTAATGGCAGTTAATAAACTTTGAGCCAAGATCGAACACACCGCGAATTGGCAACACGAGAGGCGTTGACATGGGAACATCCCCAGATAGAAACCTTCACTTTCTGGATTCACAGCGATTCCGCGATCTCCGTGTCGCCTTTGGAAATTCAATTTCTCACACTTGTCGCTCACTCACCGGTCATTATGGTGATGTTTTCATCGATTGATCGACCCGGCCCTCCCGTCGATTTGGCTGCTTAGTCTGCAGATTATTTTGCCAGCCGTGAAATAGAAATTTTGATGGCTCATCGTCGGAAAATATGCAAAACAGAAATCAAGTGCCCATTGCAATTTAAGGGGGCTAATTTTTGCCCAGATAGAGTGGAGCTCATTTCGTTTGATTGAGGGTCTGGCGAATGATATAACCCGAAATGTATAACCGATTGCCCGATCAGATTGGTGGCGGCATCTTAAACAGATTCAGCCGAAGAATGGCTCCCAATATTTCATCATTGACCGACCGGCTGTACGGATCGCAAACTCGACCCGTTGCCATTTGTTTAAAGTTCGGGTTTCGGCTTTGTTAGTGCTTTATTTTGGCACCTTCTTGGGCGAGCTTCATTGTGCCCGAGTGGGGAGAAAGTCAAAGATTCGCAGGGTCTTTGTCTTAGATACCATACCGTTGATTATGTTAAAATCGTTTAAAATCGTTCATAATTCCCAGCTTGTCGGGTTTCGTAATACCGCATCTAATGAATCACGGGATTCGTTAGCCCGTTTGCTCTCCGCCCGAGAAAGCCACCAACACTTTAGCCAACTAGTTCTGGCCGGGCTACAGTCACCACCACCCACGTGCCCGGCATGGCCAATCAGTTGGAGTTGGAGTCCGCTGCTCTCACACTGTTTTCCATTTCGATGGGCTGACCACAAGAAAATAAACAACAAAATAAAGGCCCAAGCAATGCCCAGAAAAAGTTTACAGAAAAAACATTAAATGAACAAGTAAAAAAAAAAAACTTTTTAAAAAACGGCAAGCTGCGACAACAATAACGAAAGTGAAATTCTACAAAAAGATCGTGATGTGATGGTGGAGCGGTGTCCACGCTTGGCCAGCCACAAGTGCCAGCCAGCCTGGTCAGGCGTTTACCCACTGGACCCCCTTCACCCCAGGGCTGCCCAACCCCGGGCCGGACCTCGACCAGGCCGACATTAAAATGCCGACCACCGGGCCAAGCCCAGCCAAGAAAGCAAAACAATAACACACCGCCACATCGATGGCGCCGCCGGATTTTCCACCACCGTCTCATATGCTCGCAGTGAAATTTGGGTCAAGGAAATGCCAATCGGCAATCCGCAGGTTGCACCTCCTAGCTGCACATGCAGAGGCCCAAATGACCGTTATTAGCCGCCAAAAGTGGCCGGTGTTTTGCTCTGCCGCTAATTGACAGGCCAACCAGAGGGGAATAACCTTTCCAACTGGCTTCGTAGGACATATCAAGAGTAAAAGTATCATTTCTAATACCTGGTGTTTTTGGGAGGATTTTTTTTTACTATAGATAGTATTTTTGAATAATCTATTTTATTTATATCCTTAATGGGTAGTTCTTTTAAGTGGCACTTATTTATATTATTTCTAAGACATAAATGGACATTTGGCCTTAAATCTAATAACAAGGTATAATATATTAAATCGATTTTATTAATAGGACTATCAAGCCAATAAAAACACCCATAAAATTCTAAGCTTAGCATCTGGTAAGATACACAATGTTAAAATCAACGATTTGTCCATAATCCTTAAAAGACAAAAGTCACAGGACTTAAGATAATGCATATTTAAAGAATAAATATTTTTAAAATAAATCTAAACAGTTTTTATTAAATTATTGTAGTAACAATTGGAATAATTTTTTTAGTCTTGTGCTAAAAACTGCATTATTTAAGTCTTGTGCTAGGTTTCATGAATAATTTCATGATTTCATGTACATTTTACAGACATATCACTTGTCCCCGAAAAGGAGCAGATGATCCGTGTTAATCGGACGCCCGGTAGCCACCAGCGAAAGCCCCAACCCAGCCAACTCCACATCCGTAGCCATCTCTTCTCCAGGTGTGACATGAATAGCGGGCAACAGGCCGCACGGAGCGCTCTTAACCGCAAGGCCGCCGCGTTAACCGTTTCAGTTGGGTTTCAAACGCGCACGCGTGCAGACGCCACAAGAGAGCGATTTGCAGCAGCAGCAGAGTAGCAGCGGCGAAAGAAAGCAGCAGCAGCAGCAGCGCTAGAAAGAAACGGCAAACAGGAATCCGAATCCAAATCGGTGGCAAGAAGCAGAAGCTGAAACGGACGCCGAATTAGAAATGTTTACCATTTAAGCCAGGCTTAATAGAAATACTCTCACGTACTCTACCTGGGCTCTCCCACCAGCCAGTGCCAGTGCTCTCTCTCTCCTTTCTCTCACACCTGCTCTCGCTCAATACGACGCTCTCTCCCTCTCTCCGTGTGGCCGGGAGTTAAAGTGAAAGTTTTCCACACAAAAGTGGCGAAGGTCCGTTATCTTGGCCCCCGTTCGGGCCAACTTGCAATCAGAAACTCAGACACACGCGGAGCGTTCAATTGACCGGACGCTTGGATCGGTCGAGGATCGCGGTGAATCAGAATCGGAATCGGAAACGGAATCAGATAGCTGAGATACTATAATATAGCCACCATATACACTTACTATATGTGGTGCAGTGTGTTAGTGTTTTGGTGCCACCAGCAGCAGCAGCAGCAACTGTAAATTCGCAGCTGACCAAAGAAAGCGGCCGAGTTAAATACGCAAAGTGTTCAGCGGTGGTCGTCGTCGCAGCAATTAAATCGGTGTCTGATCAGAATCGGAATCGGAATCAGAGATCCAGATACAGTTACAACTTATTTTCCGCTCGACGCGCGTTCGTTGCCTAAGTCTTTCGTTTTGCGCGCGCTCCGTTTTCGCACTCGCCATACCGATTTGCGATTTCAAAACCTGAGCAACCTGGGCGACGAATATTGAAGCCAGCTGGTACATAAAACGCTGCCAGACGGTCTAGGCCAAGATATCCCCGCCAAGTGTCCGGCCACCAGCAAACATGTTTAAGTGGGTTACGCCGGCCTCAACGGCGACGTTGTCCCGCTGCAAAGCAACAAGCAACAGAACAGCTACAGAAACAACAACGAGAATAACAAAGCCACAACTACTTTCCATCGCTTTAACAAGTTTAATAATAATAGTCGCATCATTTGTGCCGACAACAAGTGGATTTAGATCAATTGAAACGAATGGCGGTAAGTGACAGACAATTTACCTCATTGAATTAACAGAATGAATCGATGAAAGGCTCAAGATCCAAAGACAGCGGTACGGGGGAGAAAGAAGAAAGTTTAGCACACAATAAAAAATGTAGAATTATGGCAAAGAAAATCAATTTGGCAAATTGCAAGCTCATTTCGTTGCAAATCGAATCGTGTCAGTGGCTTTTGCTGCCTCATTTTGGCTCACTTGGCCAACGCCAAGCACACATCCCCACATACCTATACTATAGTATGGTACATCCAGTAACATCCATTGGAGGCTTTCACTCAATGGCTGGCTTTCGGCCCGGCCAAGTTGACAATGCGCACGGGCAAAACACAAACTATGCCTTTGTGTCAATAAATGAATCAGAAAAACTTTGGCACAGAAAACTCTGGCAAGCTGTTAGTGCTGGTGGTGATGGTTGGTGGTGTTGCTCTTGCGAATGACTTTCCACACTCCACGCACTTGGCAATTATTTGGTTCGTTTTATGCTACATTACGGCCACAAAGCTGCCACAAAAGACCTCAAGATGCTCCAGACACCATCAGACGTTAAACGTCAGACATCGACTTTCCATGTGACAGTTTTTACGAGTGGTGGTTGCTGAACACAGCACGGGCTTACTTGCCATCCATCTCATTGCCGTTAATTGTCGAGGTCATTCGGCTGATTTAAAAAGTGAAACAAATTTCTAGAGTACCTGGTTATTAGCTCGAATCGGCACAAACCGCAGATTGGGCTCAAGTGCCAGCCCACAAAAGGCATTGAGTGCCAACTCAATAAAAGTCCAATAAAAGAGGAAAACAAACTATTAGTATTAATGGACCCTTCTCGCTCCATACAGAGCCAGACAATGGAAATCTGTTATCGTTCTTTGATATGTGAAATTTCACACAGCATTTTCACTTCTTAGGCATCATAAAGTTGGTGAAAATGTTCATAAGTAAGTTGTAACGAATTTATGGTGTCAGGTGTGTATGATCTGTTTGGCTTTTTGTCTGCAACGAGCCAAGTCTTTTATTTGTTCAGCTTACGTTGCAAAAAACCAGGCAGTATATCTCAGATCCTTTAGTAAACAACTAAGTCTATAGAAGTAGATATCCAAGATAGTAATACCCTTAAGAGAAATATCTGCTTAATAAAATGTATAATTTTCTCTAATGTTCAACGATCAAGTTCTCAAGACTATCGATGGCAAAGTGATCCTCTATTACGACTGCGGTTTCTTCACCTGGCCAAGGTTTGGGAAAATCAAAGAAAAGAAAATCAATACTTCCGCTGGCAAAAGTCTGCTGCGTCAGAGAGGTGGAAGTCAGCAAATGCCAATCATCGGGCACATACACACCTGATCATTAGTATAAAACACGTAGAACAATTTTCAATTTCTATTCGGGCTTTGTTTGAACGGGAAAGCAGTGAGGTTGAGCCACAGTGCAGTGCAGTTGGAAAAACGCGTGCGAAATGAAAATGTCTTGGCCAGAAGCCACAGACCAACAGCGAACAGCAAAAACGCTGATTCTGATGGAAGCGTGTGCCAGTTTGCGGCTTTCGTTGTTGCCTGTCGCTCTGCGACTTGACTCTGCGACGGTTGTGGTTGCATTTGCGGTTTTAGCCATGGCCAAGACACTGCTGCTGCTGGTGCTGGTGCTGCTGCACTTGTCGACGTTGACTTTGCGGTAATTTGCGGCTCGGACCGGGCAGCTGAATCTGAATCTGAAGTGGCTGATGGACAGACAGTTTTCGACGTTCGATGTCGACGTCGATGTAATCACGTTTTTACCGCTGCCCGTTGGCCGATCATCGGCTTGGTCAATTGTTGCTCCACATAGATCTGGCCAACTGAATTGCTCTCTCGGCCGGCTGACAGCCAGATGCCTGTTTAAAAATCAATTCATAACTCTATTTCATCTCGTTTGGCTAATTGTTGGTTAACCGTTACACACGCCAACATTCTCGGTTTATGCAAATTAAACAAAAATTCCATAATTCCATATACATATTCGAGATTTTGTTTTGTTTTTTCCTCTTCATGCAATTAATGTGAAAGCGACATTTGACTTTCTTCCAAACCCATCCAAGGTAGAGATAGTGGTGATGGTGGTGAGAGGGCCGAAACCATTTTCCCACAGCCATTTTACACTTCATAAACTTAACGCAATCGCATTAAAACTGTGACAGATCATGAACATCGAGTGCCGGGAGAGGAGCATTTCACCACGGCCCCAGTATGGATTGCACTTCCTACTCGGCTGAGCAGCCGAGTGAAACTACAGTAGAACATGGCTAACAGCTACTGATAGCCATTAAAGAACTTTAAAGTCTAATAAAATCATATCTTGAATCGATTTTTACGAGTTACATGGAAATAAATGTTTGTGTTCCGGTTAGAGGTGCCTGACTGTACGGGAGCTTGTGAATGGAGGCTCAAACAGAAGCCACTCGGATCGGAAAGAGTCTCGGGGTACTCGCACCCATTTTGTTGACTGTTTGGTTTATCTTTTAGGCGCATCGGCATTGTTTCAAGTGCTACTGCCTTATATCGACACCACCGGCAGCGTAGTTACAAATTATCCGACTGTCAAGCCAGTGATTCGAAGTTCGAACTGAAAGAGCTGTTTGATGGGATGGGACCATCGTTCAAACAGGAAATACATGGCAAACTTTGAATTTGTTTTGACATGTTTGGCGGTGAAAGTGAAATTCTCCCGCGGAGCTTGCTTCCGCCGCATGACACCACACATTCTTCGGGGCCTTTGTATTCGCATGGAAATCAAACTCAAACAAAAAACGCACTAATGTTTGCATCCATAAAAAAGTTTGATGCCTCTGCCATTCTGTGCCAGCTTCCTCAGACATTCGTCGTCGTCGTCGTTGTGTACTTATTGCTTTTTTTTTTGGATGGGCTATTGATCGGAATCGACAGCTGGAATCGAGGCTATTGCCAAAATGATGTCATTTATTGCGGCCAAGCACCAACTTTCACTGTTCATTCACACAGTTTTCTTTTCACAGCAGCAACTCATCGAACTTGATATGATTTTTCAGTAAATTTGTTGGCAAAACGTTTTTGAATGCGAATTCAATTGGTATTCGTGGCGGCAACTATTGTTGCCCGCAGACTGTTCAATATAGTTACCATTGTGCACCATTTTCACCAAATTGAATGTTTCCCGGGTCGCATTGTGGCTTTGTTTGGTCAAACAATCAGACCATGCCTGCGAGAGTCCATTGTGACAGTCACTTCCCCAGCAACCCAGCCACCCAGCTACCCAGCTCCCTAGATCATGACCTGGCGAAAAAGTGACCACCAAAAAAGAATAATAATGGTAATGAAAACAAAACGAAAACCTGAACATGTGTAGCAGTTACAGAAGTACACAGTAGGTAGTACAAGATACATAGTAGCAAACGGAGCCACCTTAAAGTGCTGTTTTAAATTCAAGTTGGTAGTCTGGGGGTTCCTAGGCCCTGCCATTGCCCAATGGTGCCCCCAACATAACCAGTTCCATGCGAGAACTGGACTCCGGGAGTGACACCGTACGATTACCTTTCTTATTACGGTCAGCATGGCACACCATTCAGAGATGCCCAGTTCTAGATGTGGAAAAAAATGTGCCAAGAGCATTAATTAATTGGTTAAATTAGAGTTCACCACAAGCTATTTGTTCTTTAATGGTTTGGTAGATATTAATCGCTCTACTTGTTAGCAATTAAGAGACAAAGTGTTTAAACCACAAAGTGGTTATAATAATAATTATATTATAAGTGGTTATAATATAATAATCTTTTATTTTATATATTTAAAGCTTTATTTTGCTCATCTCTGATGGCCATTGGATCGCATTTTTTTCATCTGGTTTGACCAGAAAAAATTACTGTTTCCAGTCGAATTGCATGCGTAAAATTCATACTTACACCTGTGTGTGATACCCCACAGGTGTGTGCGGAGATGGACTGGCTGGCACTTGCACATTCACTGTTAGCTTACCGGTCTTTTGGGTTGTGAGTCGCCCGTGGTCCGTATTTGGGTCACTGTTACGATTTACACCGGAGAGGAACCAGTGGCCGGTGGGATGCTGTTCCCAATTCGCCAAGGCGACATATGGAGCGAATCGTATCAATACAGAGAGAAAAATGTATCTCAAAGATAAAGAATATGATATAACCTAGTACTCAGCTGAAACCTAGAAAACCTAACCAATTTTATGTAATTGAAGCCCTCTCGTCTCGATGGCGCTTAAGATTCGCGTGCAAATCGGTTATAGCCGGGCTTACTTTGTGTAGTTATATAGCTCATGGCCACAGTCCAATTGGCATAAAGTGCAGTAGAGCATGCAGCGGGATATGTTTATGTTTATATGCCGATGCTGATACCCAACAATTCAATTACGAGGCGATTAATGGAGATGTTTGGTTGCGGATCAGCTGCTATGTGGAGTGATTCGAAATAGTATCCACAATGTACAGGTAGTACAGGTAACCAAATCTGCCAGTTTAAGCCAAGAAAGGTCAAGACTCGGCGAAACTTTCCATTTCTCTCACGCAAAGCGGAAAACTTCTCGCGTGATGACACTCTCGAGAAAGATATAGCCATGTACTATACCGACGCAGCGCCGCACGTAAATCCCATTAAGATTAATAAAAAGCCAGCATAAAACAAAAGGAAAAGATAACGAAAACAAATCAGTATTGTGGCCAAGACACTCTCGCTTCCAGCTGCCGAGTCAAGTCATAATTAGTAGCCTAAATCAAGCGATTCATGAAAAGCAAACAGTTTTTCTTCGCTTTTGTCTAGGAAAAGTGAAATTAACTTGGGATGAATGCAACAATTTCTTCTATTTTCTTTCTGTTTATGGTAATTCCATGAAAAGTGACATTTGGTTAAGGCCGTTGTTGGCCTTTCTGTGGCCACTGGCCAATAAATCGTTAGGGAATTTTTGCCTGTCAATGGCCAGAGTTTCTCTAATTAATTGTGCCGCGAGTTGGGAAATATTCAGGCTTTTTTTTCCGATTCTGGCCTAATCGAACTATTCGGGATTTCACTTGACTAACTGGCCAATAACTATCAGTAATGTAGACCAAGAATATTCAACACTTTCACAACGCAATTAGAGCAAGATTCGTTAAATGCAAAACTGGCCAAGATCAGAGATCACACGTGGTGTTGCATGTTCGCTGCTCGCTGCGGTAAGAAAGTTTTTTTGCAGTCTTGGGCTAATTGATCGATAATAATTTTCCATTTTACCGTTAAAGCGCCTCGTTTGTTTACATTCTTCGGACTCGGAGCACGCCGAACACAGATCTGGCATTAAAAAACAAGTTCTACAAAATCTCAGAGCGGCCTCATCGGACTCGGCTGCTCTGGTCTTGCTCAGATCTTGGTCTTTGGTTTTGGCTTTTGGTTTTAGACTTGGCAGTATCATATACTCATGATTTAATTAAATTTCACTGCACGATAACTGTTCCATTGGCCAAAAAGCCAAGAACCCTCTGCCCCAAGGGCTCCAAGGTGACATCGATGTGCAACAGAATTCGGCTATTGGGCCAATTTTCTTGGATGATTAATGATATTGCCACCGCGTTTGGTCAGGTTGCTGGGAAGCCAAACTTGTTATCTCATTTTGCAGCTGCCTCAGCGGTTCGTTTATATATTTTCTGGTCTTTATTTTTTCCTCTCTTATAATAAACACCGAAAAATGTTTTAAAGCGGCGCGAAATTATTCAGGCGTTTGACACACTTTCGTTCCCCCGGCCAAAAGCATTCATGTTTTCTGGCCATATCTCTCCGGCTTGGCTGCTTGTTTGGCTGGATCTGTTTGGTGTTGCCGTCCAGCGATGCTGTAACCTATTTTGCATGCGTCGCCTTCGTTTATTACGCTGCAACATGCATTGACTTGGGTTTCCTGTTGCACAAATTAGGGTCAGAGGACTGTCAGTCCGTAATCGGTTATCCCCTCGCCTCGCAAACCTCACGCACATGTTTTCTGTGTTGCATGGTGGTAGAGTTGGAGTGCTTCCCCCCATCTCCTGTCATTTTGGCCTATAGGCGTGCCCATTTACCGACAAACATTCTTAGCATATTTGATTCCAGGCAGTTAAAAGTGTTGTCTTAACAAGGGTCTAGATCTGAATATCTTATGATCGACATTGCTTTGGGTACAGTGGAGCTTGACACACAAGAAATATAAGAACTAGTGCTATTTTATAAATCTATACAAAAGCCTAGAACATCTAATCCATAATATTAATCATTATTAAGAGTAAAACAAACCTATTAAAACAAAATATTTTAATGACTTGACTCTCTAGTATTATATTTATTTTATAACCCTTTAAGCCATTTTCTTCTAAGCCAACTCCACTGTAAAATCACTTAAACTAATAACTTTGTGATAACTTTCAAAATGCATAATCATGCGGCCCTTAAGTGTAGTACACCATTCAATTTGCTCGGGCTAAATCAAATAAATTATGCTAAACTGCATAATTACCGCTGCCTATTCGTGTTGCCTGCCAAACTTCATTAAGTCAGCCCCATAGCCCCCCGGGCTACCGAGACCAGAGACCCAACCACCGAGCACCGAGCTCCGAGCCCCGAAGCCGGTAATTAATTCATTGACTCCACAACTCCAGTCAGAGATGGTCTGGGGGAGACTCTGTTAACCGCCAAGCAAGAGTCTGTTGGAGTCGGAAGCTCTGTTAATCGCAAGAAAGAGGCTTTTGTTTTGGCCTGGCTAATACCGCCGCCGGCTTTTTCTCACGTCTCTTCGACGTGGCCCAGCTCTCTTTCGACGTGTTCTTTTAACGATTTGCGGAAGAATACTTAAGAGCACTTGAGTGTCTAATCGTAAAAATGCGAAATGTCTGCAAATAATAAAGCTGCAAAAAAATCATTGTTATTTTATTGGTAGACGCCGGAGCAGAAAAAAGCCAGGCCAAAAAGAGAAATGGGCAAGTAAAACACTATCACTTTTTCCCAATTATGTATGTATGAAGATATTTTGACTGCTATTCTAATGGAATGGTTTTTTGGCACTACTTTTTTTACTTGCTGCCTAATACACTTGACTCCACTTTTTACTTTACTTTCACTGGAGCAGTACGTGTCTGGCATAGTATACCCTCAATCGACTTGAGTCATGATGGCCTCTATTTTGGGTTGGTTTCCTGCAATTTCGGTTTCGTTACCCTTAGATTTTCATTTAATTAGCAGCGAACTAATTGGAACTAAGCCTCCTACCGAACCCCCGAATCTAGTTCGCTGCCAGAGTGTTTGCATTGGCGGCAGGTCTTTTGCTCCAATTTCACGTTTAAACATTGACACAGTCCCGCACCGACCACGGATCGGGGCCACCATCCATGGAGCAAGTGGAGCGACTGCGAGAGGTGTTAATTTTTTTAGAAGTAAACCCGTCAGAAGTACTGGTTTCGCGCTTCTGGTTTAATTGCTCTCCAAATCAATTTCGCCCCAAAATGTCAAGAACTTCCAATGGCAGCGGCAGCATTAAATGGTTGAATGGCTTTTCGAGGTATATTGGTCCTTTAACTATGCCAGTCTTTCAAGTAAACATTAAAAATATTTTTACACTAAGATGTTGTTTGAAATGATGTTGAAAAACAAAGACATTTTACTACAAAAAATTAAACTTAAATCCCCTATAGAGTATTTCAATATTCAGGCTCCTTAAAAGTAACCTTTCTCCCACCATTCCCTGTGGTTGCTGTCGTCATTTGGCAAATGAGTTGGAAAACCCCTCTCAAGTGCATTGCCCACACCTGGGCCGCAGATGAACTTTGACATGGCAAGTGGCTGCTCTGTGTTGGTTTCCCAGTCACCATTTGTACTGCCGCCAACCAGGGCCACTTTCACTTGCTGGTTTTCGAGTGGCATTACCTTTTTTTAAATATTCGGCTGGCTATCCACACAGAACAGGGAAAATACCGTCGTTTTAAATAGAGTTTATGCTTTATAGTTGAGGCTACTGTGTCTGTTTTTAAGTCCGAGCCCGAGGGCTTTTTGTCACAATTAGCACTCGAAAATGGCAATTATATGGATGGAATTGTGCGGCTTTGCGAGGCATTTAAAGTTGTCACTTTCATTTGAGGAATTTCCCACATTTTCACTACGCCCGCCAGTTATAATCCAATCATGTACAGTTGAGCGGCTCTAGAGATACCTGAATGGCATCTTAATTAAGATTTTGCCACGGGCATTTGTCGTTTTTGAGTGCGGGATTATTGACAAACGAAATCTGCATAGAAATCTGGGCAGTTAACAGGTGTTGAATGGAAAAAAATTAGAAAATTACACAAGCATGCCAAATTACCTTCCAAATAATCCAACCAATCATCCTTTTCTGTTTTCCAGGTGGTCGTAAGTTGTTTGGTGGCTACCGCATCACCCCGAAGCACTGTCGCGCCACCAAGACTCTGCCCAGCTCCGACCCGCGTGCCAATGGACCCACCATCTGCATGTTCAACCACGAGTGCGCCCAGAGGGGCGGCGAGGTTGTGGGCGCCTGCATGGATGGTTTTCTGTTTGGGGCCTGCTGCCAGATTCCGCCCACCCACGAGCTGGCCAGCACGCTGATCAACGAGGCCCAGAACGCCTACTTCCAGCAGCACAAGCTCCAGCAGCAGGCAGCTGCCCAGTCCTCGTTCGAGAGCTACGGCAGCCAGCAGGAGCAGCACCACGAGCTGAGCGACGAGCAGGTGGTGGCACAGCCGTCGCAGAACATCTACGACCAGCAGAACCTGGACAAGGTGTACCAGCAACTGGGCAGCAGCAGCACCAGCAGCAGCAACATCAGTCCACCCAGCGGCGGCTATGGAAACGAACCGGCCCAGGAGCCGGAGCAGGAACCGGAGCAGCCTCTAACCTATTCCAGCAGCAGTAGCACAGGCACTTCCACAGAAGCCGCCCAATATCAGTCCTCCTCCGCCAGCTTGGAATTCGAACAGGAAGCCTCGCAGCAAGCCGACACCTCCAAGGAAGCCAGCACCACCCAGAAGGTGGTAGCCAGCCAGCCGGTCCAGCCACCCACGTTCCACGTCCACAAGCACTCTGTGACCATCAATTCGCCCTCTTCCCCGCCCCAGAACGACGACTTTGTGATGCAGGTGCTCAGCACCCTGCCGCCAGAGCATGCCGATGACCACCGTGTCGTCTTCACCACCGAAGTTCCCACCAAGATCGGCAGTGGCCTGCAAGACCAGACCAGCTCCGAGTCCAGCTCGTTCGAGGAGGTTTCTTCCACGGCAGCTACTACTCTGAAGCCCAAGCCTAAGCCATCCACTCAAAAGCCAAAGCCGAAGCCAGTTCCTCAGCTGGCCGAGAGCATGAAGAGGCCCATCCAGCAGGCTAAGCCTCAGCAGGCAGCCAAACCCAAGCCCCAGCCCAAGCCTAGCCAGACAGCGGGCAACATCCATCACCACAACCACCTTATCTTGGACGGAGGAGAATTCACTCACAGCGACATTACGCACCCCGGAGCTGATGCCGACCTGGTAGAGGATCTCCAGTTCTCCACGGGCTACGGTCCCCAACCGGTTTACGCTGAGCCACCAAAGCAGGAGCCAGAGCCACAGCTGCCCGAACAGAGCTACATCTCCTCCAGCACAGCTGCCAAACGTCCGACCAGTGGTCAGAGTCCCACCACAGTCTCCTCGATCACGACCCATGTGGACTCCATCGAGTCCATCATCCTGCAGCTGAACAACACCAGCCACGGACCCAGCTACAACGTCGTGAGTCAGCAGACGCCCGCCTACGGTTACCCCTCGTCGGGAGCTTCACCAAGTCAGCCTGCCACCCAGCCACCTACTTTCTACCAGGAGAATGAATCTGAGAAGGTCCAGGAGTCGGAGCAGCAATCGGACTACGGATACACCACGACGACCAACTACGACTCCGCCTACGATAAGGTCTCCGACGAGAAAGACACTTCAGCAGCTGGCAGCCAGTCTGCGGAGCAGCCCACTGCCCGCCCCGGCTACGGAGATGATGTGTCCGCCGTACTGGAGGATCACACGATTCCGGCCACCAGCTACAATGATGCCATGGCCCCTGCTCCTCCCCAGACCTCCGAGTTCAACAAGATGCCCGTTATGGGCATTGCCTATCCGGTGGATATGTCCTACATCGAGGAAGAGGGCAGCTTGCTGGGAGGATCAGAAAGTGGAGCTGGCTATGGCCAGGTGAGCAGTGACTCCTATGAGGCCAGCACTGAATCTGGGTACCAGAAGCAGCCCTCCGTTCAGACGGAGCAGCCGCAGCCAGTGCCCACCTACGTTCGTCCCACCACGAATGCCAACAATCAGAACCGCCCCGTGGCGTCATACATTGGAATGGTGACCATGTCGCACTACAGCCCCCAACCTGGAAACGCAGACTACCACTCGCAACTGCCCGCCGAGGTGTCCGTGTCGTCGCATACAACCAAGGTGCAGGAGCAGTACGACGAGAGCTCCAATGGCTACCAGCAGCCTTCGGAAACGACATCTGATTACATTGCCTCTCAGCCAACGGCTCCTCCAGCCGCTTCTCCTCAACGTCCCCAGTACGACGCCGTGCCGGATCCACCCTCGGAGCGACCTGTATTGGTGACGGCGAGGCCCAAGCCCTCGACCAAGCGCCCGGGATTGAAGAGACCCATTAACGGGGAGAACACCAAGAAGAAGCCACAACCACAGAAGCAGCCTCAACTGAATGGTTACAACCAGGAGAAGGTCTCCGAGTCTCCCATAACTCATATCCAGATCAAGAAGCCAGCGGCAACTCATCACAAACAAGAGCAGGTCCAATCTGGATACCCAAGACCAGCTACTGCAGGCTACGAACAGACAACGGCTGCTGCTCCGTCTCCAGCTGCTCCCTCTCTGAACTACGATAAGCCCGATGCCCCGGCGACTCAATTCGATCAGCCTTCAGCTCCGTCCTCTGGATACGACCAGCCGGCGCCGATGCCCTCGGTGCACTACAACGAGGAGCACTTGTCCAGCTCGCCAGGAAGGAAGCCATCGACTTCCAAGCCCATTGCCACAAGCTACGTGACTGGACCCAGCACACCTCGCCCTTCTGCCAACGTGGACTACCACTACGACAATGTGCCCCCGCTCTTCATGGCGGACGACAAGCTAGATGCCTTCATCCAGAGCACAGCTGAGAACATTGTAGGCTCCACGCCTGGCAACTACCAGCCTCCCTTGGTGGCCACCGCCTCCACACCCATCTACGTTCAAAGACCCACCAGCAGCGGAAGCTATGGCCACAAGAAGCCCGGATTCGTGCAGATCAATGGAACTCCCAAGCCACCACGTCCCACGGTGTTGATTACTCCCAAGCCCACTGCCATAAACCTGGTTACGTACAGCACCCTCGGCGAGGATAACAACAAGCTGGCCTCCAGCACTAGTTCCTATGTGACCGGCAGACCTGGAGCAGGCGTGAGCTCCAACGACTTTGAGGATCCTGGCTACTTTGGCAGCAGCCCCGTACACTCGGCCTTCACACAGTCTACCACTGAAGCCATTTACGCAGTGCCTTCGGACGACAAGCCGGCATTCCCAGGATACTTTGGACCAACGCCCTCGTACCCGGCTTTCTCAGTGCCCGGAGAAAAGGTTGGACAAAATGTGATGGAGGAGACGTACACATCGCCGAACGACTTTGTCAACTTCCCGCCAGTTCGAAACCCGAACCTCAACATGTCTGCCGCGTCGAGTGCTGTGACCAGCGACCTGGAGCTCTCCACTCCAGCCTTTGTGGAGGATGTGGTGCTGAAGGACAAGATGCACACGCTGGTGCACAAGCTGGTGGCCTCGCTGCAGGGCAACTTTGAGGCTCTGGCCGATATGATTGAGGAACCGGGAAGCAACAAGACAGCGTCCACCTACCAGGCGGGAGCTGGAGGAGCAAAGCCCGTGCGAGTGACCACCCGCAAGCCCGTGAGGGTTGCAACTACGACCAGACCGAAAGTAACCACCAAGAAGCCCGTAGTTACACGAGTCTCCACCAAGGCGCCCAACAAGAAGACATCCGCCAGCAGCACCACTCGGAAGCCGGCGACTCGACGCACCACCGTAGCCCCCACCACCCGTAAGCCAACCACCAAGAAACCTACTCGCCGGGTGAGCAGCACCATTAGGCCCACCACAGAGAGCGCCGCCCGTCCCGCTGATGACGAGATCGTGGACGAGGAGGACGAGGAGGATGTGAACCCGAATCCCAGCGACAACGAGATCGACCAAGGCGCCACTCTCAGCTCGTACGGCAGCAACGGTCGCAAAATCCGTAAGTGTGCCCTGAACGTGTAGCATGGACCCGAAACAACTCTCTTTCTCTCTCTCTATTTCTTGTTCTCTCACCTGCCTATTCACCTGTTCCTAACCGCTCACGCATTAACCAACTCGCTTCCCAAACCTCATCCCCGTCTCATTGCAATTTTATTCGAAAATCTAGCGCGTCGCAAGCTCAAGAGGCGCAACAAAAAAAGAACTTAGATCCTCCCTCAAAAAATTATAAACCCCCTAGTGCTAGCGTCCCCCAAATCCATACCCTCATCCATTACCCATTACCCATACCCATCCGATATCCGTGTAACTGTCCCCCCAAGATCTATGCCTACCCAAAACTCTCAGACTCGACTCTCGAACACTCCCCACTCCTAACCTCGCATTTCACTCCCCATCAACAGAGTGCGGTGTGCGGCCCCATGTCAAGTCCGGCCGCATTGTCGGCGGCAAGGGCTCCACCTTCGGCGCCTTCCCCTGGCAGGTCCTGGTCCGTGAGTCCACCTGGCTGGGCCTGTTCACCAAGAACAAGTGTGGCGGCGTCCTCATCACCAGTCGCTACGTTATCACAGCTGCTCATTGTCAACCTGGGTATGTTATCACTTAATACAACCAGAGATATAAACAATATCTTACCTGATGGATAAATTGCAGATTCCTGGCCTCCCTGGTGGCCGTGATGGGCGAGTTCGATATCTCCGGCGACCTGGAGAGCAAGCGTTCTGTGACGAAGAATGTGAAGCGAGTCATCGTCCATCGGCAATACGATCCGGCCACCTTCGAAAACGATCTGGCGCTGCTGGAACTGGATAGTCCAGTGCAATACGACACCCATATAGGTTAGTTTATCAGAAGTCTTTTAAGAATATACGACACTCTTTCTAACCTTCTTTGACTTTCCCTCACTTTCAGTTCCCATTTGCATGCCAAATGACGTAGCGGACTTCACTGGCCGCATGGCGACCGTGACAGGTTGGGGACGCCTTAAGTACGGCGGTGGTGTGCCTTCCGTTCTGCAGGAAGTGCAGGTAACAATTACCATTACTTTAATATTCATAACTTGTTCAGAAACTAAAATATTAAAACTTGTACTAGGTGCCAATTATCGAGAACAGCGTTTGCCAGGAGATGTTCCACACCGCTGGCCATAATAAGAAGATTCTCAGCTCCTTCCTCTGCGCCGGCTATGCCAATGGCCAGAAGGACTCCTGCGAGGTGAGATTAAGCTTCGCCAGATCTAAGAATAAAATGATACAATATTCATATCCAACAGGGTGACAGTGGCGGTCCGCTGGTGTTGCAGCGTCCCGATGGCCGGTACGAGTTGGCCGGAACCGTGTCCCATGGAATCAAGTGTGCGGCACCCTACCTGCCCGGCGTCTATATGCGCACCACCTTCTACAAGCCCTGGCTGCGCAGCATAACAGGAGTGAAATAAGGATTCCGAACCCTTGGAGAAGGTCCTGCGGCAACCAGGCAACCAGGCAACCGGGGAGCTGGGATGCTGGGGAGTGTAAATAGAACGTAGAGTTTTAAGAGTCTGAGGACCGAGGTGCGAGAACAGTTTGTCGAACTTCAAAGTGGCGTCGCTGTCTTGCCCTCCTCTGAGCCCCAAACCCTCCTCCAGCTTCCAACATTACATTAGTTTAATTGAAAATCAACTGCAGCAACAACGAACGATATGGAAAACCCAAGACGCGAAATACGCAATCCGAGATTCAGATATTTTGTTTGAACTGGCGCTGCAAGATTCGCCTTTTTTTTGTCCAGTTCGCGTGCCTAACTTTTGTAGAGTCTGAATGAGAATTATGCTAATTGCAAGCCGTAATGCTTAAGACATATTTATTCTAGTTCTAAGCCTATTTATACAACTATTTATTTATTTATGAGACGAAACGGCCGCAGTTTCAGTTTGATTCAACTAAAAAAATTGTTATTTTCGTAGGCAAATTGTTGTTATGTTCAAAATGAATGAGAGAGAGCAAGTGTTTTTAGTTCAATTGAATTTACTAATTTATCGATTTATACCACTAATCTTTTTCTTAATTACGTTTTATGTTAATTGTTAAGCAAACGACAAATCGAAGCGAAAAGAGATCGAAATAAAATAAACGACATAAATTGTAGAATAAATACAGAGTTGCTTTAATCCTTCAGTTGAAACTGAAATGCCGGAGTGCAATCTACAATCCATCCGCTTTTTTCTGGAAAATGTACTCAGGCCCCCCATGCTCCTCGTACCCCATCCATTTGTTTACCCTGCATTCCGGAATATTTAATGGTGGGTGGGTGGCCATTTCCCGTCCCAGCTCTGGCAGATGCCAATGCTGCCAGTAAATTGAAAACAAGGTTAACAGTCTAAGCCAACAATTTCGCTCCTTCGTGTTGGCCGCGTTAGAAAGTTGGGGTTGGGAAATGACTTTCTATAAAATTGTATTACCTTCGTCGGATTTAAATAAAATGTTGATAACTTTTTCATCAGACATCTGGGTTTTATATAAAAATAGCTCAAGGTACTTTAAAGAAGGCTTTCACAATTTGCGAATTAAATATTTGCCGAAAAATGCAAAGAAAAAGAGTTTTTTGCCTACACAATTCCCATTATCCTGATGCAGAAAATGTCCTGAGGCTCTTGGCCAGAAATTGCAGCAAGTTGGCTCTTTTCATTTATGGAATTAAATTGCCTGTTTTCGTATAAACAGATTTGCCTGCCGGGCTGTGGCTTCTCGAGTCAAGGATCCTTTGTTGGCCACATTACCAAGCTCATTATATTTGCATCTGTACAGCCACCAATCAGCGTGACGTCATGGCCAAAAAACGGTGTACTATGGCCAACATAAAATATGCTGTGCCATTGATATTGATTCCCAGTTGCGGCTGCCAGTCGGCGAGCTTTGGTTGTGCCACAAACACACTTAATTCATAAAAACTAAGCGAAAGCTCTCGGTCTCAGGCCTGTTGGGCGAAAGCTCGCCGACAACAGGCAGCCGACAGGTGTTGTGGCATTCAGTAGCCGACAGGACGAGCATCCAGCAGGTACGTGTGCCACAGGACCCTGATCCCTACAGCCCTCCACTCCCCTTAGTGCGTTCGCGTGCGGTGAAAGTAAAAGTCGTTGACTGGCGACACGTGTGGAAATGTTGTGAGAAGTGGGAATTGGGCGTTGGGTGCGGCATTGTGATGCAACTGAGTAATGCAACTGCCACCATCTACTAAATAAGGGCGTGTTGCCATTAAGTCTGCCAAATTAGAGTCTAATTTACAGGTGGAACAGTCTCGGTGTCGTGAGACTGGATGTGGAAAACGACGTGAGTTGATCAAATTTCGCACAGAACTCGGCTGCCTTAATTGCAGAAATAGGATACACTATGAAAGGAAATGCTAATGTGAAACCGTAACCGTAGCAGATATTATAATAAGCCACTCTTAGTGCTAATGGGGCTCCTTTATTTTCCATATTTTCCAAATAAATAACTACCCATCAGCTTATGGTCCAAACTCAAAGGTCAATTAGTTTCGTTGCTAAACTTCTATAAACTCATCGCCTAAGTGCATGCCACCTGCTCGGCATTCGAAAACTTTATCCAATTGTGCAAAATATAACTGGAAACTAACTAATTGCAAAACTTTGGAATAGCCCCGAAGCAATTAGCCACATTCTGTTGCAGGAGCTCGGCAGCCGCCCAAGGAAGTGGACAAAAAGCAAAGTTTTTACATCTTTTATGGTCGACTTTGACACTTTCGACGGAATAAGGACTCGAACTTGGAGATGCGTCAGCGGCACTTTACTTAATTAAGAATCGAGGAAGCACCACAATGTATCAATTTCATTTCCTAACCTGGCCATTAAAGGATAGGTCGTTTCCCTTTCGCAATTAGTCGAGTTTTGATAAGCGACCTTGGATAGTTAATTGTAATTGGTGTCCGCGAGGGATAAAGGTTGAGCCAACCGTCAATCCCACGATTTTGGCCTAAAAGTTTAACCAGGCCCGTCTGGCCCAAATAGAAGAAAGTAATTAACAAACGCAAATGGGTTTTATTTTTTCTCAGCCCTTTTCCGTCACCACCTTCTCGAGAGTATTAATAGACTCCCACGCGGAAAAGAAAATGTTTTCCTTTGGTCAAGGGCCGAGGGCCAATAACTATGTAAACTCATTAAGTTATTGATGGGAGACAGCAAGACAGCCATTTCTTGATTAAATTGAATCATTACGAACAAATAACAATAAGTGTAAAGCAGCCCATATAAGTAGGCTACAATTTTTGGCATTTGGTGGAGAAAGAACTTTAAGACAGATCCTTAATTCTGGCAGGAAAAACTCACTTCCTGCGGCAAGTAATTATAAAATCATGTAATTTATATTCATTTTCAAAAGGAAAGCCAAATGTTTGCTTTTTTTAGGCCAAAGCACACATTATGGCTCTTGGTAACACACGATTCTGAATGCTCTTTAGAAAACTTTTTAAATAGAATCAAGTTAAATATAATGCCTATTTATATTTCGGGGTTCAATCAAATCAAGCCACGAACCTTTTTTCGCCATCCATCGATTTTCGTTTAGGCCGTAAATTAGACCAAAATAGCCTTAACTTAAATTGCCATAATTTGGCATATGACCTGACAACAACCACCAATATGTGCACATTAGGATTTATGTATGCCCCCATGGGGCAGTAAATGCGAAGGTAGAGTCTGAAAATACATAAATTAAGTCGCAGCCGGTAATAACACTAAAAGAAAACTCACAATTTTAATGAGCTGCCTGACAGGGACATTCCGCCGGCACTGGCGGCGATTTATGTTCCCCAACGCTTCATCCATGCGTGTATACACGGAAATTTGCTCATCCTGGATCCCGAAGGAAGCGAATAGACTCTGCCCCAGCATACATTTTAATTAACTGAATAGGGGGCATTCAATTTTCACAGGCAACGGGCACAGGCAACAGGCAACTGGCATCTGGAGGCAACGGCATCAGCAACAGGCTATTCCACGGGCGATGACGTACTAACGTGGCTGCAATGAGTAACATACCGCTGTGGGCAGCGTTGCTGCTGCTCCTCGGCACCTCTTTGGCCACACCCTCATCCGCATCATCATTCACCACCGGAACTGGCGCCGGACCCGGAACCGCTTGGCAGCGCGCCCTGTTCGGACGCAATTCGCGCAATCTAGTGCACCGCAGAGCCCCCGGGGACTTGGGTCTGAACGACTTCTATGGCCCATATGCCGGACTGGTCCTGGATCCCAGCCGAGTAGGGGAGCAGAGGGAGCAGCACCAGCCATTACCACCTCCGCAGCAGGTGAGTGGGCGTTGCAATTGCAAGGCTTCGGTCGGGAAACTATTTTATTTTTATTTCGGGAAATTGCTTTGAAAGAAACAGGAAAAAATTGCAGTTGGTCGTAAAAAAAAGGAGGAAGCCTGGTATGGCTTGGGAGTACAAAAATAAAGGTATTCTGATTTTTCACAAGTTCCCCGAGAAGAGAACTATTTTCCTTAGCCATTATTAACTTAATGAGACTCTAGAGAAATCAGTAGTCTTTTTTCGGTGAATCTTTAGTCGCCACATTTTAGGCCTCATTTCCAAAGAAAATTATAATTGAAACCGCCAATTCTAGACTAGTTTCATTTAACAACTCCTGCGAAGGTCGCAATCAACCGAAAAGTTCAGAGTTCATCTGAATTCTCAAATTAATCAACAGTCAGCAAGTGTCAGCAATATTGATAGCCGGTTATTGCAGCTCGGTGTGTGGGGGAAATATAACGCATACGCACCGTGTAACACCATGTTGAACAAACGCCGCTCTAATTGCCACCGAACTTGAACCTTCCCCACAGCTTCGCCAACAGACCGAGGTATATGGAATTGTAGAGCCGCTGATTGAGGACACACCCTGTGCAGACCGCGCCTGCCTGCTCAACGAGGACTGCTGTCCCTCCGGGGTCTGCGTCAACACATATGGCGGTAAGTTGCCTTAATTTCATTGCCCGGTCTCAATCAGCACTTGATGCCAATGAAAGGTTTTTTATTTCACAAAAATAAATCATATCAATAAAGAAAGTAATTATGAAAGCAGAGCTTGTTTGGTAAAAAATCGTTGTAGCTATTTTTTTAACAACAAACATCATCTAGAAAGTTTAAATTCCTGTAGTTGTCTAAAAGTTTTGTGCGCAACATGTTTTCCATAACTATGTCCCAAATTACGAATACATGTTGGATAATTTTTAAAAAATTACTAAAAACTTTTCCAGAGGGTAAATGCGTTTATGTGTTTGGGCGGCAGCGGGAGTTGTGCCAACACCATGCGGATTGCCCACAGGGAAGTGCCTGCATGCTGGTGGCCCAGGAAGGGGTATGGAGGTGTGAAGCAGAGCCGGAATCGGGAGCAGCCCCCTCCCTGCTGGACGACGTGTTCCGGATGAGACCGAAACAGCCTTTGGGCAGCGATTGCAGTAGCAGCAGTGACTGCCAGGTGATCAAGTAGGTTGAGGCAATTCAAAAGTATAATAGAATATTTATGGATTCTATTTCAGTGGCATGTGCTGCCAACAACAACGGTTGCACCACCGCGCCACCATCAAGCTCACCTGCGGTTACTTTCGCGATGCTTTTGATTGCGTGGACATGGTCGGAAATGAGGTAGGAGTATAGCATTTAATATTAATGATAACAATTGTTTTTTAAACAAAATTTTTAAATTCTGATTAAATTTTTGCAGCATCGGAACTAAAAAGCAGAAACACCACAAGTTATGAATGTGCTAACTGAATGAAATACCAATGTATTTCAACATGGATTATTGCGTTTCTCAGATATAATTACAATATTGGAACATATCAAATGTTAAACGAATACATATCAATCTTCGAGTTTGCTGTAGCTTAGGGAAATCGCGTATATATTGCCCGCATATGAAAATTAATTCGCGTACCACGTTATATTACCTAAATGTTCTTAGATATCTAAATGTTTTTCGTAGAAACTCCATATATACTGACTGAGGCATTCAATGTTATTAACAAACGGTTATTCTAATACAGTTTTACCATATTCAAGAAGAAATTAAATCGTTTCACCTCTCAATTTAAATCAAATCCAATAAATGAACTTAGCAAAAGTCTGTTGTGTTTTTTAATCTAAGCATTTTGAAATGGATACTCCTGGAAAATGAAGCAAAAATATAAAAAAACAAGGTTTGGTAACTTTTTATGCAGATTTGCGGAGATTCGATCCATGATTCGTTTAAGGTACTCCGCTCAAAAATCGGATAAATATTGACAGAGATATGCCCATCGCAGTGGGTCTTATTGTCCACCCCATGCATTTTCCACATTTTGGAAGGGACCCCCTAGAAAATTTGACAAAAAATTTAAAAAATATTTTGTTTCCGGATTTTGATGCAGAATTGCGGAGAATCGATTCACGATTCGTTTAAGGTGCTCCGCTCAAGAATCGGATAAATATTGACAGAGATATGCCCATCGCAGTGGGTCTTATTGTCCACCCCATGCATTTTCCACATTTTGGAGGGGACCCTCCATAAAATTTGACAAAAAATCTAAAAATTATTTTGTTTCCGGATTTTGATGCAGAATTGCGGAGAATCGATTCATGATTCGTTTAAGGTACTCCGCTCAAGAATCGGATAAATATTGACAGAGATATGCCCATCGCAGTGGGTCTTATTGTCCACCCCATGCATTTTCCACATTTTGGAGGGGACCCTCCATAAAATTTGACAAAAAATCTAAAAATTATTTTGTTTCCGGATTTTGATGCAGAATTGCGGAGAATCGATTCACGATTCGTTTAAGGTACTCCGCTCAAGAATCGGATAAATATTGACAGAGATATGCTCATCGCAGTGGGTCATGTTGTCCACCCCATGCATTTTCCACATTTTGGAGGGGACCCTCCATAAAATTTGACAAAAAATCTAAAAAATATTTTGTTTCCGGATTTTGATGCAGAATTGCGGAGAATCGATTCATGATTCGTTTAAGGTACTCCGCTCAAGAATCGGATAAATATTGACAGAGATATTCCCATCGCAGTGGGTCTTATTGTCCACCCCATGCATTTTCCACATTTTGGAGGGGACCCTCCATAAAATTTGACAAAAAATCTAAAAAATATTTTGTTTCCGGATTTTGATGCAGAATTGCGGAGAATCGATTCACGATTCGTTTAAGGTGCTCCGCTCAAGAATCGGATAAATATTGACAGAGATATGCTCATCGCAGTGGGTCATGTTGTCCACCCCATGCATTTTCCACATTTTGGAGGGGACCCTCCATAAAATTTGACAAAAAATCTAAAAAATATTTTGTTTCCGGATTTTGATGCAGAATTGCGGAGAATCGATTCACGATTCGTTTAAGGTGCTCCGCTCAAGAATCGGATAAATATTGACAGAGATATCCCAATCTCAGTGGGTCATATTGTCCACCCCATGCATTTTCCACATTTTGGAGGGGACGCTCCATAAAATTTGACAAAAAATCTAAAAAATATTTTGTTTCCGGATTTTGATGCAGAATTGCGGAGAATCGATTCACGATTCGTTTAAGGTACTCCGCTCAAGAATCGGATAAATATTGACAGAGATATGCTCATCGCAGTGGGTCATGTTGTCCACCCCATGCATTTTCCACATTTTGGAGGGGACCCTCCATAAAATTTGACAAAAAATCTAAAAAATATTTTGTTTCCGGATTTTGATGCAGAATTGCGGAGAATCGATTCATGATTCGTTTAAGGTACTCCGCTCAAGAATCGGATAAATATTGACAGAGATATGCCCATCGCAGTGGGTCTTATTGTCCACCCCATGCATTTTCCACATTTTGGAGGGGACCCTCCATAAAATTTGACAAAAAATCTAAAAAATATTTTGTTTCCGGATTTTGATGCAGAATTGCGGAGAATCGATTCACGATTCGTTTAAGGTGCTCCGCTCAAGAATCGGATAAATATTGACAGAGATATGCTCATCGCAGTGGGTCATGTTGTCCACCCCATGCATTTTCCACATTTTGGAGGGGACCCTCCATAAAATTTGACAAAAAATCTAAAAAATATTTTGTTTCCGGATTTTGATGCAGAATTGCGGAGAATCGATTCACGATTCGTTTAAGGTGCTCCGCTCAAGAATCGGATAAATATTGACAGAGATATCCCAATCTCAGTGGGTCATATTGTCCACCCCATGCATTTTCCACATTTTGGAGGGGACGCTCCATAAAATTTGACAAAAAATCTAAAAAATATTTTGTTTCCGGATTTTGATGCAGAATTGCGGAGAATCGATTCACGATTCGTTTAAGGTGCTCCGCTCAAGAATCGGATAAATATTGACAGAGATATCCCAATCTCAGTGGGTCATATTGTCCACCCCATGCATTTTCCACATTTTGGAGGGGACCCTCCATAAAATTTGACAAAAAATCTAAAAAATATTTTGTTTCCGGATTTTGATGCAGATTTGTGGAGAATCGATGTACAAATCATTTAAGGTACTCCGTTTAAGAATCGGATGAATATTGACAGAGATATGCTCATCGCAGTGGGTCATGTTGTCCACCCCATGCATTTTCCACATTTTGGAGGGGACCCTCCATAAAATTTGACAAAAAATCTAAAAAATATTTTGTTTCCGGATTTTGATGCAGAATTACGGAGAATCGATTCATGATTCGTTTAAGGTACTCCGCTCAAGAATCGGATAAATATTGACAGAGATATGCTCATCGCAGTGGGTCATGTTGTCCACCCCATGCATTTTCGACATTTTGGAGGGGACCCTCCATAAAATTTGACAAAAAATCTAAAAAATATTTTTTTCCGGGTTTTGATGCAGATTTGTGGAGAATCGATTTACAAATCATTTAAGGTACTCCGTTTAAGAATCGGATGAATATTGACAGAGATATGCTCATCGCAGTGGGTCATGTTGTCCACCCCATGCATTTTCCACATTTTGGAAGGGACCTCCATAAAATTTGACAAAAAATCTAAAAAATATTTTGTTTCCGGATTTTGATGCAGAATTGCGGAGAATCGATTCATGATTCGTTTAAGGTACTCCGCTCAAGAATCGGATAAATATTGACAGAGATATGCCCATCGCAGTGGGTCTTATTGTCCACCCCATGCATTTTCGACATTTTGGAGGGGACCCTCCATAAAATTTGACAAAAAATCTAAAAAATATTTTGTTTCCGGATTTTGATGCAGAATTGCGGAGAATCGATTCACGATTCGTTTAAGGTGCTCCGCTCAAGAATCGGATAAATATTGACAGAGATATGCTCATCGCAGTGGGTCATGTTGTCCACCCCATGCATTTTCCAAATTTTGGAGGAGACCCTCCATAAAATTTGACAAAAAATCTAAAAAATATTTTGTTTCCGGATTTTGATGTAGATTTGAAGAGAATCGATCCATGATTCGTTTAAGGTACTCCGCTCAAGAATCGGATAAATACTGACAGAGATATCCCAATCTCAGTGGCTCATATTGTCCACCCCATGCATTTTCCACATTTTGGAGGGGACCCTCCATAAAATTTGACAAAAAATCCAAAAAATATTTTGTTTGCGGATTTTGATGTAGATTTGTGGAGAATCGATTTACAAATCATTTAAGGTACTCCGCTTAAGAATTGGATGACTATTGACAGATATATGGCCATCGCAGTGGTCATATTGTCCATTCCATGGATTGACCTGTGACCTTTTGCATATTTTTGCCAACACATCGAGGTTAACTTTTTGTTTCCGAAAACCCTCAAGGCATTTATGAGAAATGAAATTTAAGTAAAAGCTTTCCACATCTCAGCATTTAATATTCATGTCCCCAAACCAAAAAGCGCAGAAACATACTGTGGTTCTGCTGGAAGACAATCTTTCTCCACCGCACACACTCTAAATAAAAAACGAGCAAATTTCTTTTACAAATATTTTCTGTTGGTTTTATTTATTTAAAGTGCCAGTAAAAACGCAGCTTAAAGCTAAAAGTTAGACTCTGTTTACACTTTCAACGCTTTTGTTTTTAACATTACACCCAAGAAAATCGTCCTTTCATCTCTAAACCTTTCTCTTTCCATCTCTCGGTCTATATATCTCTCATGATCCAATTCAATTACGATTAATACACATAGAAATGCTTTTAGCTCATATTCTTAATGGCTGAGACACTCTTCGCTAACTTGAGCCTAACATAAGTCGCGTAAAGTACATACATCGGTTTAGTCCTTAAAATCTTAAAAGTTTTCGAACCAAAAGTGTGTTTTTCTTTGCCAGCAAAATAGGATTTATTTTTGTAAATTTAATTGATTTTTTTCATGATTTTGCGCATTGTGTAAGTCTTATCTTGTTTTCGTGTTCGGTTTAAATTGAATCTTAAACTCAGTTCAATGTAAATGGTTTTTGGTTTGGTTGGATCAAGGGCTACGGGTGTGGGGTGTAGGAAGTGCCCCACATCGGAGGTTGTTCAAGGGTTTTTGTCTTAAAAACAATTTTCGTCTTAAACTTAGCTTGCAACACAGTCAAGCATTTATCAATTAACATTGTATATTGAATTATGTCTCGTTTTTTGTGTTTGACTCGCACGCACGGACTGCACAGACTATTTACACATATTACAAATACAGGAATAGTTTTAAAAACTAAATATACGTATATATACGATCTAATAGATCTAAAATATTTTGTTTAGATTTTTTTTTCCGAAAGAAATCGTTTGAGTTCGGTCAGGACATGATTAGCTTCGGTAAAACTAAATTAAAATAGGAAGTGAAATTTCGCAGGCCGAAAATGTAACAATATGTACTATATAGTAGCTAAAATGATATCATCATAATCATGCACACACTGATCGCACAAACGCTTACTCGTAGCTTACATCAAAATGATTAAAATGTTAATTAATGTTTACGTTAATCTCTCAGCTGGCGTGTGTATATGGTTTAAGGAAACATGTTTTATGCACAAACTACTATTGCATTCTCATCGAGGGTTTGTAAACACAAAGACAATGGACTCAATTAGCTTATGGCAATCGATATGGAAATTCAATTAGTTAATGACTTTAAAACACATATAACTGGGAGTACCCACTAGTTTTAGTGGCTTAGGTTTGTTCATGAAACATCGAGTTCCTTAAAATGTACAATCGAAGCAAATATAGTTTACAATTCATATTTAAATATACTAGATTACTTTATAATTATATAGTTGTATTTTAATTTGCTTTTCGCTTTACGGCTACAGTAAAATAGGAAGAACAAGCTTTGGTTACAAAAACAAGAAACAAAAATAATAAAAGTCAAACGAAACACTAACTAATGCGAAATGAACGAATAACAAAAATAATAAGCATGCCTATGGGTGAAAGGGGCAACCAATAGGAGTTGATTGCAAGGATCGAGAATTGTAATGATGGATGAGGGAATGGGCAAGTAGTTGCAGCTTAGAATAACAAACATAAGCTCATCAACTGGATGGGCGTGCAACCATGTGTGAAGTGTTTGGTACATATTTTAAGATTAGAGGCACAGCAGCAGCAATAGCGACGCGGGCATGGCAAGCTGCACGTGAGCAGGCGGCGCACCAACTTTGATTCATTAATTCTTTACTTTGTTTTACATTACGATTTCCTGAGTTTGTCAACGTTGTGTTGCTTTATGCCTAAATATTTAATTCTCTTCTATGCTGATGATGTGGTTCCTCGCTGTCGATGTACAAATATCTTTTACAATGCAGTTTAAAAAGGTTCTGCTTATTGAATCCGTGTTTGTATATTGGGTATAGTTGCTTTCACTGCTGCTCAGTCTTGACAAAGTCTCACTGTATTTTTCGTTTTGTATTTATAGTTTTTGTGTGCTGGATTCTCTTGCTCGCGAACAGGATTAGTAATAAAAATGTATAGATTGTTTTTATAAGATATTTGTTGTTGGTATACCTATGCCCTAATCGGTAGCTCTAATGGCAGTGCGGTAGTTTCCTATGGCGCGCCGCTTTGCTCACGCTGCCCGGAAACAAGCAAATCTCAGCGGAAATGTCAACGAAGGCTATGTACAATAGTTGAGGATGGTTTGGACACAAAACTAATAACGAGCTCGTTCTCGCGGAAACAAAGCAAGCATTGAAATCATTAAGGATGAGTTAGCGCTTAATATTTACAATTTCCTTTGTATTTCTATCTTAACGGTTTGCTCGAACTGCTTTGCAGGCGCTGCCAGGACATTTAAGGTAACGCGGGGCCAGGTTACAGGTTGCTTATGAGCATCGTACGAAAGTGCCGCCACCATCGTACGTACTCAAATCTCCTCCCTCTCGAACTCGTCGAACTAGAGCCACAATCAGTTTTTGACTTTGTCCTCGACACTTATGCTCGCTAGCGTCTTCTTGATGCGCAGAGCGGTCAAACGCGCCACGGGATTGGGATACCAGCACTCCTTCATCACCTTGGCCATATTGTGGAGCACGTCGGATGCGTGCCAGCGATTTGGAATGTTGGGGCGGATTCTTTCAATGCAAACAACCTGAAGGAATGAAATCGTATTTTTAAAAACTTCAAAAAGATAAAATTTTCTGCTTCTGCCAACCTTCTTCATTTCTTCGATGCTGGGATCCGGTTGCACGGCATCATAGTACGGCAACTGGTACTCGTCGTAGATCATGCCCATGTTGCAGCGCCGCGCAATCTCCCAGAGGATCAAACCGAAGGCGTAGACATCGGCCCGCTTATAAGAGTCAAAGTGCTGGGCGTTCATCGTCTCATCCAGCACCTCGGGGGCCATGTAGCGCTTGGTGCCCACACGATGCGTGGAAGGAATGTCCACCGAGTCATCTTTCTCCACATGGCGCACGGCCAAACCCAAATCTCCGATGGCGCAGCTCAGGTTCGACTTGACCAGGATGTTCTTGGACTTGAGATCCCGATGAGCAATGGCTGGCTTGCCGCGAGTACCCACAATATCCATGTGCAGGTGGGCCAGTCCAGTGGCAATGCTCAGCGACATGTTCAGCATGGTGTTGGTGTCCACCGCATGCGTGGTCAGATAATCGAACAGCGATCCATTCTCGTGGTAGTCTGTCACTAGCCACAGCTGTGTCCAAGTTCCATTGTCTATTGGAAAACGGTAGGGAGAGAATAAGCATTTTGGATTTCTCAGAGAGGATCGTCTGACAGGCTCACCCTTGTTGTCGGCGGCTATGAAGCCCAGGATGTTCTCATGCCGAAGCATAACCGTCTGATAAATCTCGGCCTCGCGGAACCAAGAGCACTCCTCGCGGCTGGAGAAGATCTTGACGGCCACGTTCTCGCCTCGCCAGCGACCACGCCACACCTCGCCAAAGCGACCCTTTCCGATCACGTGGCACAGTTGCACCTGTCGGGCAATGGATCGTTGCACCAACAAGGGGAGACCAGCTAGTGGGAAAAAAGGATTAATATTTCATTTAGGAAATAGGTACACATGGAACTCACCCGAACCGGAGCCCGAAGTGGTCATCTCGATGATGTCGTGTATCGTTGTGTTGCCATTCAAAATGGGATCGTAGACAGAGTCCTCCTTGGCAAAGGGTCTGCCGCTGGCCAAGCGCTTTCTCCTTTGGAAGTAGTACCACGAGCCGGTGCCGGTGAGGCAAATGAAGAGGGTCACGCCCAAGATGATGGCCCCCAACTCCCAGCTGGTCAAGCTGCGCGACGGCACCATGTCTGGACACATTCAAGGATAACATTATTAGAGAAAATCAATGGCAGCATAGGGTTAATGTGTGAGAAGTAATGGAAAATAAAAAATAGTAAGAATATGCGGAATGTTAGTCCATCCACTGGGAATGGCATGCACGAAGCCGTTAATAGGTAGATGTGCGTGATACAGGTAAGAAAACAAGGTGCATTACAAAAAACGAATCCCAGAAACTCATTCCAAACACAAGCCATTAGTAGAACTTAAATTTAATAATTTATTTACACAAACAGCACTGACCTGCACATGAATATGTTTCGGTTATTTACAAACCTTTGCATACCAAACGACGTCGCCTTAAAATCTACTTCAAAACTACTTCGCAAATGAACAACTTACAAACTATACGTAACAAGAGTTGGTTTTAATAAAGTTTTCGGTACCGAATCTGAATCAAAAAATGGCAGACAAACAGACTCATACAGAGACCCACAAGCCACCCACTGAACAAACACAAAAGTGCAATGGAAATGAGCGAACTCGTCTCATTAAAACTGAAATACCCTAACAGAAGTATTAAAAATGTTGGTAAATAAAGTGAATTTAAGGTTGAAAACAATATCAATTATATATTAAAATAATAATTTATCATAACAATAAAATTGGTTTATTATTTGTCTTTGGAAATGCAACTTCTGTGAGGGTAATAATTATAAAAAAAGAGCCAGACAGCAAGAAAAATGCGGCCATTAATGAATGAAATGAGAGACGCTGGCTCTGGCTCTGGCGCTGGCTGGAACTGCAGTTGCAGCTTTGGCCCTGGCGTTGCACATGAATGAATGACCGAGCCGCATAAACAGAAACGGGGCAGACACACCGACACACACATTCAGACAGCGGCACAGACAGTCACTGGAGTGGGCACAACAAAAAAGGGGGCACCACCGCCAGGAGGCAGGCCCAGCTCCCCCCATTTGTGGTTGTGGCTGGGGTGGTTCTCGCTTCTTTTTTTGTGCTGACTGCGGTGCGGCCCTTGAGACATGTTTGTTGTTGGCTGCTTACTTCCTTCTTAAATGCGTTTTTAACAAGTCAATGCGATGATGACTCGAAAGGTCACCAGACAAGCCCACAGCACAAAACTGCAGCCCGAACTCAGGTGACTAAATGGCGGCCAGTTGGTTGGGGTGATTGGGCGCCAGCAAGGCCACCGACAAGGTAACAAAGTGGTGCGAACAACAAGGACGATCCAAGGGAACACTAAAAACAATACCATGTCCTTTCCACAAATAAAAACAATGTACTAAAATCCTTAATATTAATAATTAAAATTTATAGTCAAATAATCATGAATTCAATTATGGTATCGAGAACACTTTCGGAGGACGAACATGGACAGTGACGGGGGGCAATGGACATTGTCGGAGACAGGTGGGCACTGGAAGCGTTTATGTGCGAACTTGTGTATGGGTGTATGGGTGTGTGTGTGTGTGGGTGGCGGCCAGGAGTGCTTATGCATGTGTTGGTGCGCGAATGAGTTTTGTTACAAAAAAACTGAGAGTGTACTAAAAAAAACTACTCAAATGAGGGGTGATGCAGTGGCATGGGCGTGGCTGCCTCGCGATGTTGGGTGGTGCTGCGAGTGGGCGGGTGTGGCGGCGGTGTGTGCAATGCTGATCTCACCTGGTAGGACACCACTGTAATTTGCTCGCGTATTGCAAAGGCTCTCGGAGCAGCACTGTGAGTGGGCTATCTGCGAATTAACCTTGCACGGGGACGGATCATCGGGTGGCAAGTGGCCTGCGTCCAGGCATCTACATACACAATATTTAGTTGGGATTTGCTTCATCTACTGGGTTATTGCTTTTGCATGTGTTTGGTTTGTTTATTTTCTTTTTTTTTTAGTTTCTACTTCTAATTTAAAGTCTAGATTAGCAATTTGGGTTGGTTGTGTTCCATTTGTTGTTATTCTAGTTGCGGTGTGCAGTTGAGAAGCAGCTGTTGCAGCTATCACTTACAAGCTAATATTCAGCAGCAGCAGCAGCAGCAGCCTGCAGAGAGGGGGGCGGGGGTCATAGGCTCAGGTTGTGTTGTCAGGTGCACAGGCAAAAAGCAGAGTCGGGGAATATGGGGGGTAAACCACAGCCAGATGGGAGGAGGGATGTTAAGTGTAAGACCTCGGATAGGGGTCTATAACCCATATAACGCCCTAGCAGAAACAACCTAACAGAAGGGCTCCATCAGAAGGTCGAAAATCATCCGACATCTACAAACTACAAACTACCAACAAGGTTTGTACGAGATACTTTGGCATGCATATAGATAGTTAGGGTTTATAGTTCATAGTTGGTCATAGAGGGATAGGGTGTGTAAGCTGGATTCCGTATAAGATATATACTGTGGTGTGTTTGTGTGTGCCACAAAGAGATAGGCAAAAAGGTGGGCGGTAGGAGGAGAAAAGAGAAAAAAACAGAGATTGGAGGGTGGAGGGGAGCCCGAGAAGCGAATAAAGTGCAAATAGAAAAGGTAAATAATAAAACAAAAGAGCAACAACTAGCCGTTGTGCACACCTCAAACTAAACTAGTATAAAAATGGATATCATTACAGATTATTCGATTGTTTATTTAATAATAAGTAAATTATTATTATTGTAATTAATATTATTATTATTATTGTAGTTGTTGTTGCAGTGCATAATTAGGCAAAAGTGAGATAAAAGATAAGAGAGAGAGTAGTGCAAACTAAAGAGAGAGAAATTGTTGTATTTGTTGTATTTGTTGACTGTAGTGTCGAGTTGTTAGGTGAAATGTTGCTGTACCTGTTTCAAATATCCTTTTCATAATCTCATTCTTATTGCAGAACTCATTCCTACAACACTCAACTCTATACGTATCGTACTTGGGCTTACCGCTGAGGCATTCAAACGGTATCCGATGCATATCGTATTTCAAATCGAGGCAGCTATATATTTGCCAACAATTGGGTATAGTTTTCGAATTTCGGATTTCGGATAAGGGAGCGACGGGGGAGAGAATAGAGAAAATATTATCAAATTAAATCAAGTTAGTTTTGGATTGGCATTTTATAGTTGCGATTGCTGTATGCTGTATGGTGGTTGTTGTTTGTTGACTTTCAGCTTGTTGCTAATTGAAGTTTCATTCTGGTTAGTAGCAATAATACTTTTAAAAAAATATGTAACTCGGGTTGCAAGTCGGTATCGATATCGGTATCGCGACGCCCTGGGCGGCGTTCGTTAGTAAAAGGGCTCTGCAGTTTTGGGTTAGAGATCAACTTCAACGAGCAAAAAATTGTGGGGTAATAACAGTCAGAAGGTAAACTATCAAACGGTGAGGGGGCAAAAGTCACACAAGAACGGGCAGAAGAGCGAAACACGTGCAGAAGCGCACGCACCTTCAACGGCGACCAACGAATTCAACCGCCGGCCACCCTCCATCTTGATGACGGGCCGGAGCCATCGGTTGCAAAAGTCTCTGTCCTTGCAGCAGGCGTGTCCGCCGTGCCGGGCTGCCGGACGGGCGGTGGGTCCAGGGCCCGCGTTGCACCAGATGAACCGACCCGGCGGAAAGCTCTGCGACATATTGAGGCATCTGCATCGGTGCAGATTGTTTGACTGGCTGTTCTGAAATCCTAACGACTAGGGATTGTGCCGGGATCCCCAGGCATGAGACACTCACCTGTAGCTGAAGATGATGCCCCTGTCCTCGCTCTTCTCCACCGACGTGAAGCAGTAGCCGTCCGTCTCACAAATGTTGTTAGATTCCTTGCAGATGTCGCAGTGGCATTTGATCAACTCTGAAACACGAATTAGTTGTTAACCATTTGAAAAACCAACAAATTAATCGATTTGGTGATGGCAGAAATTAACTAATTAGAGAACGAAGAGATCCATAAATCAACCGCCAGCTGATTGGTATCTCCTTTGGCGCTGGCCACAAGTTTGGACTTGGCATAACCATGCCCACGGGGCACCTGGCCGGGCACACGCTTACCCAGACAGCCACAGACACATCCATAGACGCAGACACTGCCGAAAGCGTGATGAAACAAAAACAAAACCATTTAGCATTAACAAAGCAGACGCAGAGAAGACAAGTGCAAAGTGGAGGGCCAGACAATGCGACCAGTTATGCCCTCCCTCCGCTTGCCGGTCTGTGCTTAGGCCTGCGTTTTTTTTTTTGCATGCCGGTTGCAGTTGCAAGTACCCGACTGCAGCGAGTGCAGCGGGCAAAATGCATCCAGACGTGGGGGTGTCTGCTGCCAAGCGGCGTTGGAGTGGGCCATGAGAGCTGTCTGGCTCAGCTCATTGACACCAAGCTGACGTCACGAGATGGGAATGGAATCGGAGACGGAGACGGCCTTTTAGAGGCATTCAGAGTCTTTGAGGTGTTAGAGTCACGCGAGCTGCACTCACAGAAAAATCCTTTGATATTTCATATTAAAAATAAACTTAAAACTACTTAGGACTACTTTTAATAAACTATTTAAAGTTAATTACACATCAATGTAATTCAATTATTAACGGTAACACGTTATCTTAGCCTACCCCGAATCTAAACTGGTTTCCCCTAGTTCGATGACTAAATTTTGTTCAGTGTACGGAGATTAGCCTCCGAAAAACCTCCGACTTACTTTCTTGCTTTTTGCTAACTGGCTGCGCTACATAGGGCTTCAGCTCCTGAGATGCTACAGGCGCAGCAGATCCAGAGTCTGATCCATCGCCGTCTTGGGGCAGCAACATGGGCACTGCGCTATTGTTACTATTGCTGTTGTTGTTATGACTTCTGTTATCAGTGGCCAGCGACGTCGATTGGGCGAGATAAGGCTGCTGGCCAGCTGTTCCGTTTGCTGCCTTCGCCAGCGGCGCCCTGGTCGGCTGCCATTTGCTGGCCCGAGCCACAGTCCCGGGATCCGAACTGGAAGCGTTCAAGCTGGTGTCCATTACCAATTCGATGGGAGAAGCTGATCGTTGATGGGAGGGGAGAGCGGGGAAATATAGGTTAGTTTCACACCTGGCCAGCACGAGGGTGGCCACATCCTCCGCCCCGATGGGGCAACCAAGAGGGGACCGAACTCACCGCAAACAGAGGCTCCGAGCAGAGCGCCCAGGAAGATGAGCCGGTGAGCAGCGAACATGTTTTGCTTTCACAGCAATTATCGGTCGCGGACGGCAGGCCTGTGTTGTGTTATTGTTTGCCACGGGTAGTGGGGCTTTTCTTTTGTTTTTCGCGCACGCACACGCATACACGCACAAACACAAAAACAGTGCGGCGCAAGTTCAAAGTCTGGGTCTGCGATTCACTTGCTTCTGATGGACAGACCCGCCAGGATGCAGGGGAACGAGCAGAACCTGCAACAGGAGGTGGAGGAAGCAGAGGACCTCGCCAGACACCCACTAATTGGCCCTGAATTGCGCATTTATCGCGTACGAATCGCGCCCACGAGTTCTCACAATTTTCGGGGGCATTGCTGATTGTTGTTACTGCACTGGACGAGTTTCGCTTATTGTTGCTTATTTCAGAATCTCCGCTCCACCCAATTGGAGGTGAAAAACTCTTCCTCACATTTCACGAACTTCACAGACGAGGGCGAGTTTTCAGGCGGAATCTTATCACGTGATTTACGTTGGAAACCACAGCGGCTTTCAGTTGTTTTACAATCCACGCAGTGGCCGGCACTACGTAGGTCACTTTGCAGCAATTTGTTTTTATTAATTGCTGTTATTTTATGTTAAATATACAATTTTGTGCAGTGAAAAATCCGCGATTGTGTGTGTGAATCTGCAACGGTGTGACCAATGTGCTCGAAATTTAAAAACGCAAAAATAGGTCGGGTGCCGCCAAAAGTATGGCAGCCTTTTTTGTTACATCTGGCAGCTTTCTTTTAAAAACATCAAAATTAAAATTAATTTACTTTTATTTTTAAATACAATTTGTTTAGTCATTATGGTTTACAGATATTAAATGCAAATTTTTATAATTGTCCAGGCTTGAGTTTGTTGAATAAGCAGATCGAGGTTTGTAAGAAGTCAGATGATTCCCCAAATATGAATTTTATGCTTTTTAAAACAGCCAATTGTTCTCTGGCCTATTTCAGTAATAAAGCGCTATATTTCTAATGGGTGGTAACAGAAATTTATTTCCGATAACTGCAGGTACTTCGAAAGGGCCCAGGAATCCAATGAGAACCAAAATGCGGTGCACACGTCGTGAAACGGAAACAAATCCACGGCATGATAGGGGTATAATTTAATGTTTTGTTTTCTACTGCCACAAGAGGCTCAGAATGGAAAGCGGCGGCATGCCAGGCTCAGCTCCCTTGGCAAATCCTACATAAAGAAAATATTGATAAGTGATAAGAGCATAAAAATGCATGTGCTTCTTCTTTCACACCGCGTGTGGAGAAGAAACCCGAAGAAAATCGTATTTACCCAAATACAAAACAAGGGGAACAAACCCCCAGTGGAATGTGGTCTGCACGGCACCAACGACAACTCCCAGACGCTCCTTAACTCCCTCAGACAGCTCCATTTTGTGCAGATTGTAGATTTTGAATCACAATTTCTTCGTGAATTACGAAATTAGAATCCAATACACCGACGGAAAGTCTAGTGTTGGTAAACGTTATTTTCTCAAGAGCCAAACTTCTGGCACAAATCACTTGGAACAAATGATTTATACTGATTTATAGGTAAATTATATTGAATATATGTTTGGAAAGCTTCGCCAGAGACTGCTTTGATTGGGAAAATTTGGAAAAGTTAAAAAATTTACTTGACAGTATTTTTTAAGGGTATTATTTTCATATGGTCCGGTTACATTGGAGTACCATTTGAATATATCATGGCGGCCTTAAAAGTTTTAAAAGTTTATGATCAAAAATATTTTAGGTGAATTTTATTGTAGTCGATTTAATATTATTCCTCTTTATTTAATGTTTTTCTCCCAAATAAATCAATTAAAGTTACCTATCCTTGTTAAGGCCGTTGTTTTCTTAAAATCTGGTCACACCCGAAGTTCTACCTTTCCTGCGTTGCCCACATGTGCATATAATACGTGCTAAGCGTATTTAATTTTTTTCGTTTCATGCACATGAAATATTCAGCAACGTAGAGCAACAGCTGCAGTGCCGAGGAGAGAACTTGTGATTGCGGCCCACTCTGTTCCTATCGTCAAACAAATACGTAAGTGATAAGCAACACTTTTTGACGTCGAGCTCGACGAGCACAGAATTCAGTGAAAAATCAATTCGTGTTATGTAAGTTGACTGGCGCACGACTAACGGAGAAATTATCCGCTTTCGCAGATCCTAATTCGCTAACTTGTTGGGACGGACCATGAAAACAACCAACCTCGGCCTGTACGCTTTCCGTTTAACCTTCGGTCAGGTGAGCACTCGCATATTAAACCAGTAAAACGGGAAACCACTCTACGCGAAAATGCGTTCAGCGACATTCGGTGCCAACTAGTGTCCCGGCCCCGCGAAACCCACACATCCCACTACAAAGCAACAATGGACCACCTAAAGCCAGGAGACTCTTGCCTCGAATGTTTGGAACTCGGCTTAGATCACAAGCTGCGCCTATTCTACATCAATCTTGACGAGGAACTGCTCAAGTGCGAGTCTCGTACTTGTCTCTGGCCGCACAATGACGAGGTTTCTTCGGATGAGGATTTTGACTTTGGGGATCCTTCTGAAACTGATCTGAGTCTATCTGATGGACCGAGTGCAAACCCGCCAGCACATCCCGCTGCGAAAACGTCTGATAAGGTGGAATGTTCCTATTCTGCAGATGCTTCATTGCCTGCAACGGCGGGGAACGATGACGACGACCAGTTCATTTTGGAGTTGCTAAAGCAACTGGATCCAGCTCCGCAAATGGTACCTATGGAGCCTTCACTGCCCGATCTGTCCTCTTCAGCCCATACTGAAGCAAAGATTCAGCCAGATTTTGACATGCCGAACCTAATGGATTTCAATATAGACTTTCCTGTGTCTGTACCTGCTACAGAAACCAAATCCGTTACAGAATCTCCAATAGAATATAAGGAAACAGACCAGCCGCCTATGAAGCTAAAGCTTCCAGAAAAAAAGGGCGCACTGCTGAAAAATCTCAAAAGCCAATTGGCGGATAAACTCAACAGTTCGTCGGAAAAGGAAGAGAAAATTGAACAAAAAGTGAATCCAATTCCTGCTGATATCAAGCCCCAAATTCAAAATAACCTGCAGATAGATCCCTTTAGCAGCCCGCTGAAGAAAGCGTCCACTCAGCCGCGTAGTCCTCCACCGGCCTTAAATGTTATCATCAGTATTCCGGAGCTCAAAAAGCCCAATTCCTTTCTGGACGCTATTAAACGCCATGACAAAGAGCGATCATCAGCGGCTCGGAGACGTTACAGAGTCCCGGGACCGGCTGGTAGAGGCCGCTATACCAAAGCTGTGATGCAGTTATTCGACAATTTGGAGACCACGAAAGCAAAGCAAAGGCCGCCCCAACCTTAAGCGATGTTGTTTCTTTTTTTTTAAGTTTTAGAAATAAATTTGCATATAAAATATGCATATACCAACCGGATGAGAACTCAAGTTCGTTTATGTTTTAAAAATGTCTTTGTATTTTTTGTTTATAAATTCGCCAATTTATAAATAGGCGGCACGCGTCTAGCGCATGATAATGTGCCAAGAAATACAGAGATTCCCGAAGAGGAATCTGGTGAGAGGCCACCATATCAGCATATTTGAACTCGGAAAAGAAGGTCGTTGGAACTGCGTCACTAGATGAGAGGTTTCTCAAAGCCGAGATTAACAGTGGAGGCGACAGCAAGTGATAAAGCGGAACAATTGTTGAGGGAGAAAAGTGGCGTCGTAACAGCCCGCAGGAGGCGTCCTATCTAATCTGGCATTACATCGACCCGCTAATCAGTTCAATGAACGTGGGAACGTATGTAGGGAAATCGGTTTCGTGTGGCTGGGCACTTGAACCTGGTTGCCAACCACCGGCGCAGGAATTTGTTGCTGCGTAGTATCTTTTCGTAGATGGGTGCTGGGCAGTGGGCCAAGTTTATTGTTTGTTTGGCCGCTAAAAATATACATTTATAGTATAATGCCTAAGATAGTGTGCCTAATGGTTATCTTATCTCCCTCAGGCGCCGTCGCTGTCCACACAGGCAACGTCGCACTGCAGCCATGGATTCACCACCAGCTCTTCGGCACCAAACCGTGTGGTGACGCGCTCTGCAACCATGCTGGCGCTTTTTGGCATCGCCCTGTCCTCATTCAGCCTGAAGCAGCTTCTCGCCAAGAAGCAGAAACACCAGGGCCTCCGCAAGCTCTAAGCTAAAGCAGAATGGGTATCTAGCCTAGGTAGAGCGGGAGAAGAGCCGCTGCGATTAGGCCATGTCTTGAAGCCGCATCCGACTCACTCATCACCCACCATCATATGTATATTTGCCTATTTTAAGCCATTCATCACTCAAACACACAATCGGATCAGGCACGCAGCAGGTGCCGGGCATGTTCATTTATTTTAATTTGCTTGTTGATTTTAAGACCCAGGCAGGACAACTTCTCGGGTACATACATAGATGTATTTTCTTGATTACACATGCACACCACTCGCTCGCAGCGCCAACTAAAAGGAATAATTTGTGATAAATCTTATATGAGTGTAGCCAAAACATGGCAAGCTAAACAGAGGTCGGAAACAAAAAGTCGCTAAATTTATGAAAATCCCAAATTATTATTAAACTTTTAGTTATGTATAGTTTGTGTATTTGAGTCTATCATATATGTATATTTAGTTACAAAATTGTAAACAGAACAGAGAAACGACTAAGAAGGAATAGAAACATTAATGACACCGACGGATATAAAATCGTGGGGCACTCTTCGTGCACTTTGCGTGAAACAGTATCCAATAAATCCAAGAAACAAACTAGTTATAGTTATATATTCAAATAAAAACATTATATTCAGCTGGAAATTTATGAATTTTTCTTCATTTTGGAAATTTAACAAATTAAATTAGATGCAGTATAAAATAACCAAAGGAAAAATATTTTCCTAACCATTTTTTGAAAGATAATAAATTAATCACAAACAAAATTTATTGTTTAATTTAATATTGTCCTGCCAATAAGTGTAACAATGAATATTAAATAAAATGGAATTTATTTATTAATTAAGCCTAGTACTGAGTTGACGAAAATCCGCTGTCCAACGAGTGACAGCTGTCAAACTCCATATAAAAAAAACGGTGGAAAAAAGGAAAGAAGAAGAAATTTTTGCCTGCTAGATTTTGCGGGTACTGAGTTGACGAAAATTTTTGTTATCGATGTTTATCGTGTTGCCGGATCAAAAAAAATAAACAGCTGCTCTCGGGGAGGTAAAATAAATAGTTCAAATTATTTGTGTAGGAGCGACATGGAGGGTCAATTGACCAAACAAAAAAATAGTCGGCCCGAAACATTTTCGACGCGCCAGGACAAATTAAAATGAATTTCTGCGGTCAAGACGAAGCCCATAATATGAGATTTGACCCACATGGGGCATTTTTTTTTTTTTTTTTTTTGTATTAAGTTACTTCCATCCAGGAAATTGGGGAAGATTTATTTGGCCGTCCCGAAGGGGCATTTTAATGCCATAAAATGGCATTGAAATGATTTGTGATTGATTTGGATTTTGATTTTGACCCAGTTTTCTATTTCTTAATCAGCTCCTTAGCGGCGAAATACATAAACAAAACACCAACATCCAATCGTTTTGAATTCATTTTTGCTTATTTGTTTTTTGTTTACAAACAACAGCTGTTCAGTATAACCTTATTTCTTCATTGTTTTGGTCACACTACCTCGGCAGCCGAATAAAGTGCAATTTCGCAAGCGGAATTTCAAGAGCGGATTTTCGTCAACTCAGTACTAGGCTTTAATTTAAAAACTTGTACAAATTATTCAAAAAAGCGTTATTTATATCGATAAATATCGATAACCGGTCGCTCTCAATAATCTACATTGCTTATAAATTTATCGCACGCGTTGGCAGCCCTTTATTTACAGAGTTTTATTTTGCAATCGATAGGTGGCAACTCTAATGAAAAGGGAAAAATAAATAAGTGACGTGCCACCAATAAGTGGCCGGCCACAACAGCAGGGTTTTGTTTTGTTCGTCTTAAGCGGACTGCGGAATGGGGATCAACGTCAGCAGGACGGCCGACCTGGGGTCAAACGAGTGGCTCCTGCGGTTTGTGGGTCGACAGCACATCGCCCCAGATGATGAGGCCTTCTGGAACGGACTACTCAACTACAACATCGTACTGCCGGAGAACAGGTGAGCCTGAGACATACAACGTCAGCAAGACTAATGATGTGTTCTCTTTTTTCAGCCAGGATCAATTGAACCTAGATAGCCGGTTGGAGTCGCTATGCCAGTCGTTCATCGGCAACAATTTGAAGACTGGGAACTTTGGCTCTCTGGTCGCTGTTTTCCTGGAGAAGACCAGCGAACTCCTGTCATTGTCGGACCAGGAGAGCAACATGCATGTCTGGCAGACATTCAACGCACTCTTTATCATCCGCACCCTGGTAAAATACATAAACGAAACAGGATCAGAGTTCCAGTTGCTTCAGCACTTTGAGGCTCTGCCCAGTGCCGAGCTGCTCCAGGCAGCAGTGGAGCGGCAACAGCAGACGCCGGCGGAGAATGCCAGCATTGCCATCGAAGCGACAGAGCAAACGGCGCCAGTGCCCGTCATCGTGGACGGGTCCAAGTTTGAGACCTTCATCGACGCGCTGGTCAACCTGATCGTCGTGATTCCCGTGAAGGAGTTCACTTACCATCTGCACCTGGAGGCGGTCAACATGCTGATCACGCTGCTATCGGTGCACTTGTTCGCCCAGCAACCCACTGACAAGTCGATTGTGTTCCGTACGGTGTTTAAGTGCCAGCACGCCAATGTTTTGATGTCGGCTCTATTGCACTTTGTGGCGCGGATGGTGGAAGTTCCGCACACCATGTTCGGGTCCAGTTCTGCCGGCTCTTTTGTATTTGGCATTGCTGAGTCCCTGCTTTCCATCTTCTCGTTCCGAAAGCAGCAGGATGCTCTGAAATCGGGACAAGCCACTGGCGGAGAACTTTCACAGCGCTTCCGAACGCTCTACCCTCTGGCCAACCAGAGCCTACTGCTAATTCTTATCCTAACAAATCACTATACAGCGCAGGAAAACGCTTACAGAGCCAGTTTGTTTGGCTGCGCCGATTCCAAGGACTCGCCCAAACAGGGCACTGGCGCTGGTGCGGTCTCCTTCCAAATCGACTTCTCGGCGGTCTATGAGACGTTATGCCTAATCGTCACCATTGACCAGGCTACGTTGCTCCTTTACTTGCTTCTGCATCGCAACGAACGTTTCTACCGATTCGTCATGCAGCAACAGAACCTGGAACAGCTTGTCATACCCATCCTGCAGACCCTGTACAACGCCCCAGACAGCAACTCGCATCATATTTATATGTCGCTGATTGTGCTACTAATTCTCAGTGAGGACGAAGGCTTTAACAAGAACGTGCACACGATTGTAAGTCCCTTTAATGTCCCGCGTTCAACCATTTTTTTTAATACTTGAGTGTTGAAATTTTAATAGATGCTTAAGAACATCACGTGGTATACGGAACGCACCATTTCGGAGATATCACTGGGTGGTATCCTGATCCTGATCGTCATCCGCACCATACAGTACAATATGCTGAAGATGCGGGATAAGTATTTGCACACCAATTGCCTGGCGGCGCTTGCAAATATGTCTGGACACTTCCGAGCCTTGCATCCGTATGTGGCGCAGCGGCTGGTCTCTCTTTTTGAAACTCTGGCCCGCAAGCATTCGCGCTTGGATGCCCAATTGAAGCAGCCAGCCGACAGTGCCGTGTTTGTTAATGTAGCAACAACGCCAGAGGACATGCTGCAGGATCTGAGTGTGCTGGAGGAAGTGCTGCGTATGGTTCTTGAAATCCTAAACTCCTGCCTCACTAACCAACTGGTCTACTGCCCCAATTTGGTCTATACACTCCTGTATAAACGAAGTGTCTTTGAGGGCTTCCGTAGCCACCATGCCTTCCAGGATGTCATCCAAAACATCGATATGGTAAGAATATTTTTGGAAATCGGGGGACCAAGTCTATACTTTCGTTCATCTGCAGGTGGTTGGATTCTTTTCTTCGCGACTGCAACGCGTCCAAGAGCAACGAGGTGAACTTGGAGTCAACGAAGTGCTGGAGGTGATATCAAAAGGTGCCAGCCAATGGTCCAGCGATCGTTTGAGGGTATGTAGATATTTCTTTCTGAAATAAAGTTATACCATCCTGTCTATTTCATCTTGTAGAAGTTCCCGGACCTTAAGTTTAAGTACGTCGAGGAGGACGCGCCCGAGGAGTTCTTCATTCCATATGTGTGGACGCTGGTCTGCAAGTACGGCTGCGTGCACTTCAGCTCCGAGAGCATAAAGAGCGTAACCACGGACATTGCCTGCTAATATTTACCCCACGCTCCTTTCCGCGAAACACGCGCGCACACTCGGCTTCGCTTCCATCGTCGTTCGATGCTTCGCTGTCTGTGTTCCGTGCAGGACTCTCTGATCTGTATGTGTCTATCAATCCTCTAACTGAAGCCAAAATATGTCGAAATTAAAAATCAAAAATAATAGCAAGAAAGCCCTTATGGCGCTTACTAGAGGCATTCGCATCTCGAACGTTGACGATAAATTGAAAGAAACAAAGCAAACGAGCGGACTAACGATAATACATAGTTCTAGTTACGCTAATACTATTGATTATGTTTATATGCAATCTATTTGGAATACGTTCAAGTTAAAACATAGCCTAATCCTTAACACCAGAACATATTTTGCTACGCTAACGACAGAAAACATATTTAATTGAAAGTTTAGCTCCGAACGCCTATCAATCGTTTGTTCTATTCAACGGAAAGTTGCAAACCCAATAAAATGTGTGTATACATATGGAGAATCGGAATATATATGCATAGATATATTTACATTGTGTATTTTAGTCTATGATAATTATATACATATTATTATATATTTAGCAATTGAAAAAGTCGATAAATTATATATTAACAAAGTTATGTGTGTTCTGTTTTAAATATTTTATCTAATAAGTATCTATAGATATTTCCCCAAGGCCACCTAGAAGAAAACGGAAGCACTCTGCCACTTTTCTTCTGGGCCAACATTACGTATACGCAGTGTATACAACTGAGCCTCCTGTTTTCTTTTGTTTGGCTTAACATTTCCATTAGTCACTGGGGCTTGTTTGTGCTTCATTATGCATATTTGCACTATCAGCAACTGCAATAACAACGACGGGATGGCTTGTTTATTACTATAACTTTGTATTTTTCCCACCATCAGTTTTGCCGGCAAAAGCGGCAGGAAAAACAAAGAATCGACTTTGCATTTAGGTTCATTGACTTGGCCGGTGTGTGAAAAGGTAGTGCGATGTGGGTTGACTTAGGCCCATGATCGGGAGGTATTATTGTGGTCTGCCGACTCGTGTTGCTGCTGCTGAACTTTTGTCAGCACTGCATACGTGTCTTAAATACACAAGTTCGAACTGATGGAAAAAATACATACGCATGGCAAACAATTGCAGTAGAAATTGCATTTGTTTTATTACCGCAAAATGAAAAAAAAAAACAAAAAGGCGGAAAATTTGTTATTGTGAGCTTTTCATAGCGTGTGCGTTTACTGCATTTTTAATTATTTTTTAGCGAAAATGTTTTGAATTTCTTTGCCTCCTATTTTGCTATAATTATTTTGTATGCTGGTTGCCTTTGTAGCACTTTGTGCGCTAAGCAGGTTAAAAAGGTTTATTGACTTCTGAGCTGCACTTTGTTAATTATTTTTGTATTTGGCCAATTGTTTTTAGTCGGTTGGACTTTATTGCAAAATCGGTGAGAATTTTCCAGAAGCTTAGCCAAGTTCGAAACCCAGAGGTGGCGATTGAAAAATTGCAAAATTGCGAATCGAAAAGTGGAAAGAAAACTCCAAAAGCATTGCGCATGCGCAACTTGATTGAATCTCGTTCGCACCCCCCGCTCCCCCCGCCGATTGTAAATTGTTAGCAAATTTCATTGTAAATTAAAAAAACCAACACCATTAATTATGACATCGATTTGGATCGGGTAGGCACAATTATTAATAAGCTGGGAAGGCCATACGCTGGGTTTTATTGGAAAATTCTAAATAGTTTAAGCTTAAGATATAATATTTAATAAATATATTTCTTTAAATTTAAGATTTTTAAATATTTTAAGTTCAAAAACGTTATCCTTTTGAAAGGGTATGGACGGCATGGCTACAACTGGAGCTGCAACCTGTCCAGCTGCCGGTTAGGATGTTGCAACTCCCCTGGAGCTCGCCTCAGATCGGCTGGGCCCGCATTTTCGCATTTTGTTTTGGCAAGCAGCTTCAGGTCATTGATCCAGTGGGCTGTTGGTAAATAAAACTATTTACTTTTTACACGAACGGGTGCAGGCGGGCCCGCACAATAATCTTGGGAATTTGCCAGGTCCAGGCCAGGCCAGGCCCTGTACCGGGCAATACGAAAACCCCCCTTAACTTCTTCGGGCGTTTGCCCTCGGCGGGGTTTCGCTTGAGCGGCTCCATCTTCCAGCGGCTAATGTTATGCATATTGGCCAAATTAGATTTCGAGTTATTTCTTTCTACACGGTTTTTAGGGGTTTATTGGCAATCGGCTTAGCATAAATTCGCACCTTTCAATTGTTTATGTTTACTTGCTTTGGCTTTGGCTTAAATTTGGTTTTCGAATTGTAATCGGGTTTTGCCTCGGTGTCTCGGTGTCTCACCGGTTTGTTTGTTTTGTCCATCTGTTGTTGCCCATTAAGTGGATCTACGGATCGTATCGTATCCGTGCGTATTTTTACCGCTGACGTAGTGTCAGCGTAGTGGTTTGCCTAGACCCAACTACCACCCATTGACGTGGTCCACTCATCCGTCTCATGTCCGTCCGGGTGACCTTTGCGGCTACATACTCGATCTTGTTAGCTCATTGTGTCTGCTGGTTTTCGATCCGATCGATCGATTGATCAGCGCTCCCATGAATGGGCCAGTTTTGCATTGAGAGCTCAGCTTGGACCATTTCCAAGTGAAATCTATGAAAGTTGAACCTATGAAGCCTCTGGCAATTGCGCCAAGCGATCTCTCACTTGAAAATTCAGTTTTGAGGCCGCTGATATTGTATTGGCTTAGATAACTCATAAAATTGTCTGAAACTATTTCTATAAATATTTATAAAACTCGTTGTTTAAATTTAGATTGGCATAGAGACTGCATTTGGTTGACAACAAACATTTAAAGTTTCTAGAATTTACCAGAAACGGATAATGGTTCTAGTATTTGGCAATTATTAGATATTTCTTGCATTCTATTCCCAGAACTATATTTTGGTAAAATTTTTAACAGGTTTAAGGACTATATTTCAAATCCCACCCTCTTCAAAAAACCTCTAAAAAGCTCTAATAGTTTTCAAAAACCACTTTTTTGATTCTGGAAACAATAGATTTCATAAGTATTAATTTTAGTTAAAAGAAATATTAAATATTTTTGTAAATCTTTTATTTTGTAAATATTTTTTATCACAATAACTTAAGCTCTAAATGGGTGGCAGGCAATGGGGCAACACCCAAAAAAAAGTACAAAATAAATGGATCAATGACAGAAACTACATAAATATTAGGTAGAAAAGAACAGTTAATCGCTTGGATTGTGATGTGGGTGAAAGTTTAAAGTACATTGTTTATGCTGCCTTTGGTTCGCTACTTTGCAGAATCGAAGGAAAAGCAGGCGCCTTTGGCAACAAATCGTCTGACGCGCTGGGGAGCTCTCTTCCTCACATTCCCTCACAGGTTGCCATGCAGTCCTTGTAGCTGGGGAAATTGTTCTCGTTGCCATCGCATCCGCCAAACTTGAACTCCACGCATTTCTTCTGCTCCGGATCGTAGCGCCACCGCGGGATCAGAGCCCGGCAGACACCCTTGCGGGCCGGCATCAGGCAGAACTGCTCCGGATGCGTATTCCGACCAGTGTTGGCCACATCGTCCAGGGAGATGGCATCAAAGAAGTCGCTCACATCGTCGTACAGGTCCATGGGTTTCGCCTCACTGGTGGCCGCGAGCAGGAGAAGCACCACAGCTAGTCCTAAGCTGGCCACTCCAAATGTTTTCAATTGTCCGCGCATTTTGTGTGTAATTATTTTATAGATTCGCGTTTCTCTTTCACTTGTTCACCTGGCGGCTGGAGATACTTAAATGGTGCCGCTTCGGATCTAGCTTTTGTTTTATACAAGCCTCAGACCTCTGACGTGACCGATGGCGCGCAAATCGGTGTCGGGGGATCGGGGTGTTGGAGGTGGCGATTGTTCCGAGCGGCCAAGAGACTCTGCAAAACCGTCATGTTGAGCTTTTAATTTGGCTTAAAATAGTCGCTCTTAAGTTGACTCTTTAACTGATATAAGATAGAGATAAAAGAGATTTAAATTACTCCATAAATGCGGGTATCAAAAACTTTAACTTTGTTGTTTAATACACATAATTTCTGTGCCGAATAAGGATTATAGTTTAAACTTTAAACTAATCAATATTATCAATAATTATGGAAACTATGCATATTTAAAAAGTTTTTAATTCAAATGAAAGGAGATTCAAAAAAACTTGATTAATGGTAATGATATTCTTGTTAAATGGTTAAGCTATTGGTTTTTCAAATAAATAAACTCGATTTTCTGCTCAAAAATATTCAAATTTTTCAAAAATGAATGTTTTTCTATAAATCTGGCAACTCTTGCATCGAGTATCGAATAACTATCATTCTACAACACTGGTTCATCTTCTTCTTCAGCAACATACGATCTGGCGCCGAATCTGTTTCAATTACAATTGTAAATTGTAAATTGTAAATTATAAATTAAAACTATATTAAGATGGGGCAGGATTCCATTTTACAGTGGGTGCGAAAGCTGGGGGAGAAGGGGCCCCGAAGTGAACTGGAATTACTTATTCAAAATACTCCAACAAAAAAGGTGGGACGACTTGTGCACTTAGCGTCCTTTGTCATTGTTTTTAATTTAATTTGTTTCGATTAGTTAATAGAGACTCTTAATGAGACAATGGCGCGCAGCGAGGGAATAACCTTTTGGAACTACCTCCTCCTGGGTTTTGTTTCCAACAGCGAAGAGTCCAGGCAGAAACGATTCGCCTGCGTCCAGAGTTTCATGGACGGACTTCGTTGTGTGGAGCTGAGTTACAAGCAGACATTCGACCTGATCACGCGTCTCTCTCAGGATCTGTCCACCTTTCCCTCCGAACAGCTGGCCTGGATTGTGGAGCACTGCGTGGACGGAATGCGACAGGGAGATGCCAAGTGTGTGGGCTGGAAGGACCTGTTGCCGGATGCACTTTCCCTGCTCTTGGGGAGGCCGAGGTTTGTGGTAAATGGGATTGGATTAGATGGACTTGAGTATAGAAACAACACGGTCAAAACTATTTCGACAATGCAATGGCCATCCACGATCTTAACGCCAATTGCTGACATGCTTAAGTAAGTTTTTAGTCCTTAAAATCCCTTGATGGATTACTTTTCTAAGCTTTCTTTCTATTGTAGAACTATGAATCTCAGCAATGCAGAACTTCTGACGGTTCTGAACAAGTTTTCGGCCGCTCTGCAGGAACTGTCCCCCATGGAACTTCCAGCCCTCTGCTTCCAGCTTTTTTCAATGTGCAACAGTGCTTCGCAGCTCATTATGCCTCTATTGGCGCTGGAGAAGTACTTTCATCGCAACTTTTACAAGCGTCTCTTTTCTGATATGTGCAGTAATTCCACCAATTTTGATAGCATAGGTTAGTATGCCTCTATCCTCCAAAAAGGTTGGAGTTTTTAAAACTATATCCCTATGTATTTAGATTCTTTTTCGGACAACGAGCTCCGTGAGGCGGAGGAAACCATTCTACACCATTTGAACTACTGTACTATGTATAAGCTCAACGAGCAAAATTTGGTTATTATGCTAAGGGTAAATTTTAAATCAAGATCTACATATAAATTAGATATTTTTCACAATTGTATGACATATTGCAGAACTTTTCGCATATGCCAGATGTAGTTTTGACGCCCTTTATGCTAAGTGCCATCATTTCCATGACCAGTATTAATCGGGATCCCGAATCTGCCCGAAACTCTCATTCAATTTTGCTGCCTTTCTTGCGGAATGTCATCAACAATAACGAAGAGGAACGCACCTTGGCAGACTACTCAGTATGGTATCGGGATACACTGCAGCGGAAACAAGTCGACTTGCAACAGGTGTTCAATGTGCTCATCGACCAGAACAAAGATGGCAAAGATGTCATTACCCCGGGACTTGTCCACCTAGTATTTTCGCTGCTCAAGTCGCACTCGACAAAGTTGCACACTTTGGCCATAACTTTTCTTACAAAATTTATTCGCAAGCGTTTCATATTTGGTCAGGGGATAATAAAGCTTGTTTCCGAGTGGATGATAGTCTTTCAAGATCAGAATCAGTTTTCAGGTGGGTAATGTATTATTATTACTTACTTTGCATTAATGTGTTATTATTCCAGAGTGCCTAACGCTCTTAAGTGTTGCGGATACGTTTACAGTTTCAGAATGTTCAAAGACCATTGAGACGGTTTTGGAGCACATGCAATGGGTTAGTTTTAATAATGATTTCTGATGATTATGTGTAGTAACACTGACTACTCCTTTATTAGCTTTCCGGAGAGCAAGCCATGCGTATGATGAACTTTATATTACCGCTCCTAAAAATATCTAATCGTGTTCGAGATGCTCTGATTGATGTACTTTGCAAAGCCATGAGTTCCAGGTAAGTGAGGGTTAATCTTACAACTTTTCATTCAATAATTTTGCTTCTAGTTGCATTCAGAAACGTCGCATGGCAATCTATGGGTTCTGCATGATTCTGAAGCAGTTGAACAACAGCAACGCGGCTCGTCAGACCTCCAGCGCTACTAGCTATTGCACACAGCATAGCATCTCTGGATACTCCATGATGTCCCAGAGCACATTTGGAAGTAGGAGCAACCCGCAAAGGAATTTCGACATGCTGACGCTTGAAATCATTGGTTTGCTGAGGAATTGCCTTCAGCAACAATTTGAAATACGTTGTACGCTTTATGAAAGTGAGTATAAAATACTACAGCATCCTTACATGAATTTCAGCCACTTCTTGTGAACAATTGTATTTTTAGATCTTCAAAGAGCTGTGGAGCTGAATGCCAAGCTCGTAATCCATGTTCTCCAAGTCATCGATTGGCATTTTAGGAGTTTTTTTGATACTCCTTCTGAAGAAGATGTTTTAGATAACTTGGACACGGTCTTCCGTATTCGCTACGATAACCTGGTTAGCGCCAACGATGACCAACACATGGAAATTCAACTGAAAGATAATCTCGGAAGACTCATTCAGTTTGTAGGCAACTGTCTGGCCATTTTCGAACGGGCTCCGACAGGCTACGATGCACGAGAGATGAACCGGCTTTTGAACCTTTGTGTGCAGCGGATGGTGGACAATAGACTTCCCCTAGAAGACACTGTAAGTACTTCTGTAGCTTTGATAATAAAACATCTAAAATAATGACACATTTCCACTCTCAGTCACCTCCAGCCACGCACCTAAAGTGTGCCCTCGTGTTGCAGCAAATGAATATAATCGAGGGAATCATTTCTCACCTGTTGCTATCCTCCAAACCCAGCAATGAACAAATATCTCACATTTTACCACTTTTTAAGATGCATACCAAGCTTACTGAAAATCATAAGGCTTTGGCAGGTGCTTCCAAAAAGGCTCACAAACAATCAAAGCAGGGCACTAACACTGAAAGCAGCAATATTACATTGAATGGCGTTCAGGTTAAGAATATTTGTCCGCAGCCGGAAAACATTTGGGATCTGACTATATTGGAAAAATTGCTCCATCTTTTGCTTGAGTAAGTGACTTGAAAGATTACTATTTGGCACGAAGATTAACTTAGCAAAACCATTACCTAAACAGCGATGTAGTTGCCTTTGCTGCTCCGGAAAAGACTGTTCTGCTGCGGTCCCACCAGCCTCTGGTTCAATATGTTCTGCAGATCTGCGCCAAAAAAGTGCAATCCATTCGACAGGAACCAGATTACAAGCAGCTATCTTACAGTAAGCGGACCCTAAAGCAACTGACTGATATTACCAAAGTCATATATGAACGCTGCATCCGTCGGCTGCCAGAGTTGTGGAAAAATTTTGACATGCAGAGCTCGGCACTAGCTGCCGAGTGTTTTATGGAATGCCTGCGAACTGCCCACGAGATTTATCCGAAGAAATTCAGTGATTTTGTAAAGGGATTTGGTGAGAAAACTGCACTGCATTTATAAAAATATTTCATAATTATTCTGCGGTCCATCATTTTCAGACATGGCAACTTTGACCAAGAACAAAGAATCCGTTCTCGTCATCCAGGATGTCTTGGATGCGTTTATGGAAGAGTACGGCAGTGATGAATCGATTTGCAAGGATGAGTTCGTAGCGAAACTACCCATTTGGCTCTTTGAGGCACTGGAGATTATGTTGGATCACATTCAGTACGATGAACGGTTAGCCACGGACTCATACACTTGGCTCTTGAACTTTTGTTGCAACAACGAGATCTTGAATGCCGACATGGGCCTGGTTCATAGAATCCTTTTCGTTCAGCGACAGAAAACACACCTGGGACCATTTTTTGACAATATCGCCAAGCAATTGGGGAGTGTACTCGGCGCCTTAAACGATGACGTGCCTGTAGATTCCGTAGGTCCGAACCTGAAGTCCATAAGCATCGTGACTGTGGAGAGTTGCTTACAACATCTGTACACTGCTGTCCAAAAGCAACTGGCAGATGTCGATTACTTTGTGACGAAAGCTAATAATTTAAACTACAAATGCCAGATTGTCCCTGAATCTGACCAAATATACTGGCGTGGCAACCTGGACGTAATGGATCGTTCCATATGCACTCGAATCATTCACATCTCGAGGACTTTGCTGGCGCTCACCAACGTCTGCATTCCCCTGGGGGCTTCCATGGACGGTCTTCTGAAACTACTGATCCAGCTCTACACCTGTATGAAGAACCTGACGAAACACTTTCTGTCTTGCTGCTCCTCGGATCCGAGCAACACAAGTATTCGCAACACAAAGTAAGTAAAATCCTTAAATATTCCTAAACCTTTAATAACCTTTGCTTTGCTCCAGATTCGAACTTCTGCTGCGGGATGTGGGAAAACAGCTGCCTACTAACATATATGAGCTAATTAACTACATCGAAGCAAATGCCATAGACGAGGAAGCTCAGCAGCATCTCAAAAAGCGAAAGGTTCAGGCCGAGCGGGCGAAAGTTCTGAGGGAGACCCGAATGATTCCCAAGGTTATAATGGTTATTGAAGACTTCAATAAGCATATAATTCTGCTTTCAAAGAAAACAAAGGCTCAGAACAGGCTGACCGATTACTTACACTTTGGTACCATGCGCGACTTCGACATTAAGTCGACGGATCTAAAGGCGGCTATTGAACGCAGTATTTCAGATGGCCGTAACATTTCGGTGGACGAAAGCCATGCGGAAGAGGATGAAGACGACGATGCTCAGTCATGTACGTATCCGGAAGAGGTTGAAGATGATGAAGATGAACCAGTCCAAGTAGAGGAAAAAAGCCAGCGCCGGAGACGCGTCCTTAGCACCGATTCGGAGGAGGCTCAACCTAAACGTAAACGGGGTCGCAAGCCGGCTGAAAAGCCAAAGAGTCCAGTGCCAGCCAACGATGTTGAAGAGGAAGCACCAAGCTCCTTAAAAACGGTACGTTCCAAGAAGGACAAAAAGAAACCGACACGACCGGTACAGGAGGAAGTTAATAGTGATGGGGAAGAACCAGTCAGTACTTCAAAACCTGCACGTTCCAAGAAGGATAAAAAGAAACCGACACGGCAGAAGGACATGAATATTGATGGCGAAGAACCGCCAGCTAAGAAAACAAGAGCGTCTAGGACTCGGCCTTCCGTGGAAGAACTCATAAGTGATGAAGATGAGCAACCAGCTGAAAGACCAGAATCGTCTAGGGCTTCGGTTGAAGTCCTAGAAAGTGATGAAGAAGAACAGCCAGCTAAAAAAACAAGAGCATCCAGGACTCGGCCTTCAATAGAAGAATTGGGAAGTGATGACGAAGAACTACCAGTTAAAAACACAAGAGCATCTAGGGCTCGGACTTCAGTAGATGAAATGGAGAATAATGACCAAGAACAGCCGGCTAAAAAATCAAGAGCGCGTGGTTCTCGGGCTCCACTGGAGGAAACTAATGAAGACACTTCGTCTAAGAAAGCAAAAGAGACTCGAAAACCCATAGAACCTGTTGCAAAAGAAAAGCCTTTAATTAGAGTTCGCCTGGGTCTCTTGAGGTCTGGGAGGTCTAAACTAGATTGATACACTTTTTGACAAAATATTGATGGTTTTGTTTGCTACATATAAATATTTGGAACTTTAAAGATAGAGGCCCATTTTTAGTACTTTAGTTCTACTAAAACTTCCATGTAAAATAATCTGAATAAAATGTAAAAGTAATCAAATGTTTTGGTCATTTTTATGAATGGTGGAGAATCGATCTACAAATCGTTTAAGGTACTCCGTTTGGGAATCGGATAAGAATTGGAGAAGATATAGCCATCGCAGTGGACCCTATAGGGGAATACCCCATTTTCAAGGGAACCCATCAGGAAAAAAGGAAAAAAAATCTGAAAAATATTTTTTCTCAGGATTTTGATGCAGAATGGTGGAGAATCGATCTACAAATCGTTTAAGGTACTCCGTTTGGGAATCGGATGAGAATTGAGGAAGATATAGCCATCACTGTGGACTCTATAGGCGACTATATCCTATAATATTGAAGATAGAAAGTTGGAAGTTCCTATAGATTTTATTTTGGGCTATATGACCATACCATCCGACCTACCAAATTTAATTTGGTAGAACAGTCTTTGTTTGGTTTCACGGATCGATCAATAAAATAAAACCGGTTCAGATATATAATATAACCATCGCACATGCTTATAAATATAATTATTTATTTGTTTAAACTTTAAATCAAAATCTATATACAAGTAACATCATTTATATTCATGCTGGCTAATTGTACTGAAAATTAAAGGATATTAGTAAGTTTTATGGGTTTTTGGGAAATGTCCTACTTACATGTTGCGTATGACCATGTCCAGAAACTATGGTGCTTCCATCGGGGCCTACAGAGACGGTTCGCCCATCCGGACGCCTCCATACCGAAACATCGTCATTCCAAACGCCAGCCTGATCATCGCGAGCCACAAAGTTCTCACCTTGGACGCGGCCATCGTTGATGCTGCGACTTCTCCTTTGTATGACAAATCCTCCGGGGCCTACGTCCACAGTCCGACCAGGACGCTCCACATGAAACTGTGGACTACGACGATCCCTTGAGACAACAAAGCCATCGGAACCATAATCCACTGTGCGTCCAGGACGCTCCACATGAAACTGTGGACTACGACGATCCCTTGAGACAACAAACCCATCAGATCCGTAATCAACCGTTCGACCAGGACGCTCTACATGGAACTGAGGGCTACGTGGTCTGCGCTGGGCATAAACGACGGGACTGGGTGCGTGAGGGACTGCCACCGGGCCAGGGACTAAGGGACCAGGACCGCTGATAGTGTGGGTACCCGGTCCTCCGTTCTTTCGGTGCAAATATGTGTTTCCCTGCTCATCTGTGTAGATGTGCTCCCTTGGCGAGGATGAGAGTTGGAACTGGCCACCCACTCCTGGCACTTTGTAGGTTCCATCGTTTTGGCCTCTGATGTAGACCTGGTTGCCGGGAACACCGAAGACGTGAGGACCCGTTTGTCTCTCAGGCCTGTGCTGGCCATTGGCTGCTGGGGGATAGCAGTGTCAATACCTACTAGGGGGAAGCAACGGCTAGAAGTTACTCACCAACGCAGCAAACAGCTCCAACGAGCAGTACGAGTATTCCAAGACAATGCATTGCTACCTATGTATGTTCTCCACCGAAAGCTGGGCTCTAACTAACTGGCCTAACTCGCTCGTGGTATTTATAAGTAGCTGCGCAGTAGCCGAAATTCAGGTACTCATCGAATTAGCGAAAAAGTCGAAAAATAAAATCCCAATCGTCACCGACGATGATAAGAGATCGGGCGGGAATTTCAGAAGAAACCGAACATATTGACCCACCAAATCGCATCCACGTGCAGGCCAGCCTTCATAGCTTTGACAAATAAGAACCAGTTATTTTTTTAATGATAAGACATAAAACGTTATTTCTTTCAATGTTTTGAACGTTTGTTACAAAGATACACAAATAAAATACCAGAAGCACAAGAGAAAATGAAACACATTGAAACCAAGTTAAATAGATGAATGTCGCGGTCATCGGTCATCGGGTTGGGGTGAAGTTTGTACTGACGATTACTTTGATTATGCATTTCGTCGAATTGACATTAGGTTGGTCTCAGACCTATTCCTCCGGCACCTTCCACTGCAGTTGCTTTCCCCGCTCGTACAGGTTCTTCAGCGCGTTGGCGAACTTCTTTTCCTCCTGGAGCTTCAGGTAGTGCTTGTATAGCTGTAAGGTGGTCCGAGCATCTTCTATGGAGTCGTGCGTCTCGGATTGAATTTTTGTTCCTGTAATACAAAGTTCAACATCTTACCAGAACGATCATTATAATTCTGTTGGTACATACCAAAAAAGTGCCAGGCCAGGAATCTCAGCGATACCATTCGATGGTGTGGCAGGTGGAACAAGTGCACCGTATCTATTATTTGCTCAGAGGGCACATAGATGTTGATTACCCTGAAATCATTCTTCAGGCCATGTCCCACAAAAATAACGCCCACATCCACCAGATACTTGAGTTTCTGGTAAGAGTACTTCAAGGCAGTCAGCCGCTTGTTACTAAAGTTAGCATCCAAGTCGCCAGGCTTAATGCCAGAGAACTGCGTTAGATAGTCTACGACCTTCTCCTGGGTGGATATATAATCGTCCATGAAAGGAACACCCTCTTGAGATCCTTGTCTGTTGAGGAAATATATAATGGAGGATAGAGTAGAGACAAAATGGTCATTAAGATGGCTACCTACCCCCGAATACAAGAAATACGAGCAACACTCATGTGACATGGCTTGATGGTAGCTGTTTTGCCATCCGGACGAATCTCATTCTCTTCCGGATTCAGTGTCACGAATTCGGCATCCATGGCGACAAGGTCACCAGACTGAGGCATTTCGTTCGTCTGCAATGGTTTCAGTGTGGCATCCGTGCTCCCGTTGCTTGGTGTGGGATTTGTCACATCCTAGAAACAAATGAGATTCAGTGATGGCTTTTACAAGAGGCAACGAGGAAGTCCTCACCTCCAAAAAGGGGTTGGTTAGATTACTAGCCGTGTCGGAGCTACTCTCTGAAGGAAGAGGTTCCTCGCTTTCTGTTGCAATCGAATCTGTGGAGCTTGCAGAATCCGTCTCATCTTCCACTCTCATGTAGAACAGAACGCATGGAACCTTCCAGTCCAGAGTAAACCACACCGACTCTTGCGGCGAGACAGGAGAAATGCTATAAAATACAAAAATTACATCAATTTTATTCCTAATCACACCAGAAATTCTATAACCTTGACCCACCTGAAATCATTAAAGATGTACCATTGGTTCTGGGGTTCGTCGGGAGACTCGGCGGCCGCCATCTTCATGACATGGTATTGCCTTTGTACATTAATCAAAGACACGAGGTTCTTTTGAGTCCCGTCATCCACTTGGCAAACCACAGCGTGCAGAGCGTATGTGCGATTGTTGTCGTCTTTGAAGATGGGAGGTTTCTCGGTCTCCTCCTCCTGTTCTGTTTTGGCTGTGCTGACTTCCGATGGGGTTTGCACCAGTAGCTCTCCTTCCTCGCTGAAACCCATGGTGAAGCTCAAGGGGAACCAAGACTTTTGACGTCCGATGGGCGAGCTATTAGCATTGTTTGATTGGCTTGTGTGTGAAGGCGACTTTCTGAAAGCCGAAAAAAACATTTTTTACCATTTCCGATTACAAGTTTAAGGGAAAAACTAACCGGTCTGGGTGCATGAAGTGACAATCACTCCGAGAACAGTTCGCTCCATAGCGACAGGGCTTGCTGGTGGTCAAAGAAGAAGCTACTTCGGCAGAGGGCTTTTCATTACAGCGGTTTAGTTGTCGCTTCAGGAAGGTCAAGTCCTTCTCATTATTGAGACCGCAGTTGATGGCCAGGGTTTGAGGCAGAGCGGTGACCTGACATGACATTCAATTTCAGTAATTTTGAGGAAATACTCATAATATTACCAGAGAACTCACCTTTACGATTTGATTTGTTGGTGAGAATTTCTTGCAGCTCTCGCAAAAGGCCTGGATGCTTTTCTCTGAACATAGAGACCGCTTTAAAATAGTTCCGAAACTGAAATACTGCTCACTATCTTTGATGTGGGTGGGGTATGACATATTGCAGGCGAGCAGAATGTTTTCCTTCGACTTCTCCACATGGCATTTGATGCACCGGTTAACGCAAATCTGTTTGGTGCCGAAGATCTTACTTATTTCAGTCTCTGCATTAATCTTGCTGCGCTCCCGGTCCTCATCCTTGGAAGTCTCATCTAAAAAATCCATTAAATACAAAACCCATTCAAATAACATCCTCCATCCTTATATACGCACCACATATGGAATCAAAGAGTTCCGAGGAGCCACTTGTTTCACCTGTGGCCGTGGTGTCGGCTAAAACATAAGCATAGTTGGTTATTTTTTCAAAAAGTAGAACATTCTTGTTACCATTCAACGATGTTTGCACAGATCCGCTTGAAGCGGACGAGTTCTTGCTGGAGTCGAAGATTTCGTAATGCATTTGATGCAGAATGAATCGGTTCCAGTTCTATTGGCGTGCATATTGTATTAGCGAAATGAAAAAAGCAAAGCATATTAGCTACATGCCTGTATCAGAGTTATCAGGTTGACATTGGAGGAGCAGTCCGTCAGAATCAAGCCCAACGCCGAGGCCTCCGGAACCGTGCGAAAAGATCTCAAGAAATTGCTAGCCTGGCACGGCGATGAAGCTTAACAAAAACCGAATGTGAATGGTAGGCAGTAACAAAAGTCTAGAAATGAGGTCTTACCGGTGCTCTTATCCAGCATGTGGAACAGAAAACCGAGTTCGCAGGACAAGCAAAACTCCTTCGAACAGGAATGTTCAATAAGCTTCACGCGCAAGGGATCCGTAAAGTACAGAATCTATAAAAATAATAATAGTAAGTAGTCTAAAGACATTACAGTTTTAGATAACACCCACTTGAAGCATAGCGTTGCAATAAGAGTTGGGCAACGTGGCCTCCAGTCCAGCGAAGCACGTCTGATTATGCTGCTCAAAGTCGAAATCTTGGGTGCCAAGCTTCGTATATTTTAATTCGACCTTGCGATACCGCCGTGGAATGATTTTAACGCCGTTTTCTGCTTTAACAGCAGCCACAGTACCATTACCGTTTGTGCTACTAGCGCTTCCCTGCTCGAGCACGTAGGGAATCTGATTCCGACGGGCAGTGCGCGGGTTTGGCGAATATCCGATCGGACCCTGCATTTTCATGTTGTTCAACACCTCGGGCTCGATGGTTTTGGGTCTGTGGTAATGGTACCGCAACAGCTCCTCCGGCCAGTCCGAGAACCACTGTGTTCCTGTCGTCAGATGTGGCAGCATAACTGAAGACAGCGGAAAATTGGTGTCTGAGAGAGGTACCATCGGCAGGGGCGGCACGGCGTCGGCGAACTCCGTGTTGCGCGAGAACGGGTTGAACTGTGGCTGAGGTGTTTGTACAGCAGCAATCAAATTGATGTGACCACTCTGATCGCCGAAGGCCATGGCCTGCGAGGAGGAGCTGATGTCGAAAGTGAGGCACTGACTGCCGTTGGTATTGATCTGGTACATCGAGACACGCGGCTCGCTCAGCTCTACAGTGTCTACCAGCTGGATTTGGCCGTAACTGGACACAACGGCCAGTCGCGAAGTGAGCGACGGCAGAAACTGAAGCATTTGCGGATCGATCAGCACCTGGATGGGAGATATCTGGCGAAGCATTCGCAGGTCATAGACCATGAGGAATCGATCGACGGTTAGGTTGTTCTGTCGGCCACTGTACCCGCAGGAGATAAGCAGGTTGCCCTGGACGCTGAAATCTGACAGCCCGTTGGTGTGTGTCTTGATGGTATGCTGCACCGCCAGGCTATTAAGGTCCCGCAGAGTCACCGTCCCAAACTGGTCGCCGGCAAACAAGAAGCGAGAGTTCTTGCGCAGCACAGTGCAGCCAGCGGCGCCCACGTGCTCCAGCCTGGTCTCCTTGAGCGTGCGGAGGTCGAAATCGATCAGCTCTTCCTGTAATCCCGCCATGACAAGGCGGTTCGGTGACAACTGCAACATGCACACCATCTCCGTCATGTTGTTGGATCTATAAGAGAAAAACAACGATGGAAGAAGGAATAAGCACAAGTTTTCCCCTATCACATACTTATGGGTAAATTTGGGCAAACCCCTTCGGATTTGGTGACGCAGCGAGGTCTGGGTCAATGCCAGCACTCCGGAATCGAGCGTGGTTATCTGGCGAACGATGTCACAGGGATGCACCTGGAACGAAGTGTACTTCTGCATCGAGCTGGTGTAGTAAGAGGTGACATGGCCCTGAAATGCAAAATATAATGATTAAATACATATCTATTGCTAGAAGCAGCCACTTACTCCCTGGTTGCCCATCCAAAGCAGCTCTTCGTAGTCGTCGAATGCAACTGTGGAGACGCCGAAATGTTCCCCGCCATCGGCGAACACGGGCACCAGTTCCACATAGTCTGGCTCGGTATTGCCGATGTTGAAGCCATTGAAACTGGGGGAAAATTGTCCGGATCCTCGAGCTGATCCCGCGTCGTAAACACCTGGCGAAACGTAAACACAAAACAAAGGAGAAAGCTTAGCTACGTGCGCTTGTTTGTTTATACGTATCAGATAAGAGGGACTCTCACGTACTCAGTATGTCCTCAGGGGCCCCGATTGGATCGGTGCCGCAATAAACGTAATCCATTTACTTATCCGTGCTCGCCTGTGTGTTTAATATTTCGATTTGCAAATTTTACTTCTAAATTTCTAGCCGTTTTCGTTTCTTAGCTACCGATGACACTATCGGTAGAGATGTCAGGGCAAATACCGATACTATCGCGCCTTACGAAACACGAAAAGTGCCACTTCTGCAATGCTACGTACTTTGGGATCCGCATGCAAGACACTTTTTAAAAACCCACTGGGAAATCGAAGAATGGCCGCCCTGCAGCAAATCGTGGACAACAATGAGCGCGCTCAGGCCCTGCTCGACTCAATTAAATCCGAGGTAGGTAGTGGCACCTATTCAGTGACGTAGTTAACCTCTTGTCGGCACAGATGAGCGGAATCCAGCAACAACTTGTTCAGCGCAAGAAGCAGGAACTGATCAAGGAAAACGCCCAACTGGCCAAGGAAATAGAGTCGGCTCTGGCGCAGCTAGTACGATTGGAACTACAAAACGGAAAAACCCAGATTGCGGTGCCCGGCTCCCGTGGCTTGTGCACCAGTGCTCCAGCGGCTCCGCCTGCGACAAGCGAAAAGCCTCCAGCAGAAGCTCCAGCGCCCAAGACCGCCAAGGAGCCCAAGCCGGAAAAGAAGGCCAAGGACAAGAAGCCAGCAGCAGAGAAGCCCGCTGCCGTTCCTGAAGCTCCAGTAGACGTTGGTCGTCTCGATCTGCGCGTCGGTAAGATCGTGGAGGTGGGCCGTCATCCCGACGCCGACAGCTTGTATCTGGAGAAGATCGACTGCGGCGAGGCGGCACCGCGAACCGTTGTGTCCGGCTTGGTAAAGTTCGTGCCACTGGAAGAGATGCAGGACCGACTAGTAGTGGTCATGTGCAACCTGAAACCGGCCAAAATGCGCGGTGTTACCTCCGAAGCTATGGTGATGTGCGCCTCCACTCCGGAAAAGGTTGAGGTCCTTAGCCCGCCCGCCGGAGCTGTTCCCGGTGATCTGGTCTACTGTGAAGGATATCCTCGCCAGCCGGATGCCCAACTGAACCCCAAGAAGAAGATCTTTGAGGCGTGCGCCCCCGATCTGAAGACGAATGACGCCCTGGTGGCCTGTTACAAGGGAGCTGCGCTCCATGTTCCTGGCAAGGGTAACGTAGTAGCCCAAACCTTGAAGAACGTCAGTGTGAAATGAGCCAATAAACCAAACATCGCCACCTACATAGATAGATTGCTCAGTCCTTATCAGGTATATTTAAAGGGTGTAGGGTTAACTCAAAGGTGGAACTGTCTTCCTTATCAAGATGTGCATTGGATTGGATTGGATTTCGACTAAGGATTGTAACTCGACAGTTTTATTGCACAAGACAGCAGTACATAACATCGGATTTTTATTAACAACAACGTCTATCTTATGTGCATAGAAAAGAGTATAAACGTATAAATATTCTCCACGTACTTGGCTCGAGCCGATTTATACGGCGCTTTAGCGTTGACGTTGATGTGGAGCATGGGTGCGGAATATGGCATTGGAATCAGTTTCGACCACTATTGTCTTGGTTAGTATGTCGTACGCGGTACGGTTGTTCTTGAAGAAGATCATAACCACGCATATGGGGAAGAGCAACGTCATGACCAGGTTTTTGGCTAGGGCCCGGGCAAAGGCCCGCATCAATGTGGGTGTCTGGGCGGGATAGATCAGAGCTCGCAACGGCTCACGCTGTGGCTGGAGCACGAATTGGGGCAGAGCTGGAGCCTGGAGCGGCATCACCGCCTCCACATAGTGTATGCGAATTTTCATTAATGACTTTCCGGGCGTGGCTCCGTTGTAGAAGACCGTCCAGAGTGCTTCGTAGCAGCAGACGGTTATTTTTGTGAGGAGTTCAATCAGCAGCAGGTCGGACGACATTGTTATGAAGTCCAGCGAGATATCGAAGAAGTTAATAAACAAATCGTCCTCATCCAAGGTGCGCCGCATCATCTCCTTGTCAAACTCCAAGTCGAAAAGGTTCACAACGCCGAATGTAATGATGATCTTCAGAATGAAAAGAATAAACACGTCGATGGCCTCCGCCACGGCACGTTTCCAAAAGGGTGCCACAACGTACTCGTAGCCGCCAATGCGATGGATAATATCAAATTGTTGTGCCTCGTCGAGCACACGGAATCGGTTGAAAGCTGGAGGAGCCTGGGGTGGCCCGGTTGGTGGAGCGACGGGTGACGGAGTCCCCTGGGCGGGAATCGCCGGGCTTGCTGGCAGTTGACCCAAGCTGGCTGGGTGACTAGCGGATGTCTGACCCTGGAAGAGCTGCGGGTAGTTGGCCATCAGGTAGTATGGAAACATGGTCATGGCGTTCTGGGCAATCGAAGCTTGTTTCGCCCATTCCGCCAGACTCGCGAAGTAGGCCTCCTTGGTTGACAGTTCCTGTCCCGGAGACGGGTCCCCCAGAAGCTTCTGCAGCGTATCCTCGGCTTTGTCGCTCATTTTGCTCAATGTTTTGCCTCCGACTTTTTATTTTGGATTATTTATTTGTTTGCAAGTTGACGTGTATGTGTCCCAGCGGCTGATATGCACGCGTTTCGTGGTGAATGCCAAAATTTTTTTTTTGATAACGACCGAAGGCGGGAAATTTGAAAAGTTCAGATTGAAAGGATTTTCTTATAAATCAGAAAACTAAATTAAATAAAAGTAAAACAATCGTTAGATACATTGGTCTGATTATTTTATTATTACACAGTTCGAAGTTGTTTGATTTATTCCTTAGACATAGCAACTTAAAGATCGAATACATTAAATCCGAATCTCCAGCCAAGACATTTAAGATTCACATTGACAAACAATCGTGGATATTTTCTTAAGGATATGAAGCATTTAAAAAGTACGTTGCCAAATCTCTAGACTCTGACCTGATCCTGGCGTGGACGATTTGTTTACGCATGTGTATCAAATACCTAGCTAATGTTTCAAAATAACATGTACATTTTATTGGAAAGTGCATTAAGTTTCTTAGTTAAATTTTTATTATTAGTTAGGTCGTTACACATGTATGTATGTATAATGGTATAATTGGAATAGATTGAACGATTAGACGCGGTCCTTGGTGGTCATGAACGTTGTTTAAATACAGTGGCTTGCTGCTTGACAGTGACAAGTGAATTCATCTATAATACGTATAGTTTCTGCTTCGAATCCTCATAGGACAACTAACTACCTTGGCAAGTTGTACAAATCGAATGCCTGTAAACAAGCATTAACGTCTCACACACACACACACAGGTTGCAACACTGAGACGAACACTTGTTTCTTAAAATTAATTAAAGGAATACAACTACATAAATACACGCCGTATTTATTGCCAGACATTACCAATATTTAGGTTCCCGAATTGCTGATTCAAGTTTGACGGTACCGATGAGGCTGGAGGCCCGGCAGCAGCAGCAAATCCGCCCGAGCCCTGCTGTGGAGCCATCGACATTCCGCTGGGCTGCATCAAGTTCATGGAGAGGCCGCTCAACTGGGGATGCTGCTGTTGTTGCTGCGAGGGCACTGATCCGAACAACGGCATCCCGCTGAGGATGCTCTGGTTAGTCTGCATCAGATTTTGGGCAGTTCCCTGGCCGCTGGCAGCGTATGGACTACTTCCCGAGTTGGGAAACTGAGCGCCACCGAATCCAACGCCTCCCAGGCTCATAGCATTGGCACCACTGCTTATGGGAGCGTTGCTGAAAGCATTTGGAGCTGCCATTACCGGCGAGTTGTACATACTGACCGAGTTCGGCGGGGTCATAAACTGGTGGGGAATCTGCTGCTGCTGCTGATGCATATATCCACCGGGTGCCATGCCCGTAAATCCGCCAAAGTTCATTTGTGGATTATGAGCGGCCGGCGTGTTTCCATACAATGCCAGAATGCTATCCTTCGAGAGCTTTCCCGATGTGTCTTTCTCACTGCCCGAGATCCCCAACGAGCCTTGGCTGAAGAAGTCCTGCTCCTCCTGGGCCAGTGAGCCTGGCTTCCCGGCTATCAAGCCGCCAGCGTCGCCATTGCTGCCGTTTGTCTTCTCCGGCTGTACGGTCATGGCGTCGGCACTAAGAAAGCTGGTGAAACTTTCGTTTTGCAGGTCTTGGCTTGCACTACTGCCGGCCCCACCACTGGTCATTGGCATCGGCTTGGTGGGCGATGACAGGCCCAGAAGGTCGCTTTCGCCGGCGCTGCTGTTGCTGTTGTTTAGCTGAATACGCTGGGATGTCTTCGGGCTGCAGCCGCCGACTTGGTTGGGCTTCGGCTTGGGCAGCGGGGCAGGTAGCGGGGCGTTCTTGGATACCGAAGAAGAGGAGGAAACAGCGCGCTTGTCCACGCCACCGGTCACTCCCCCAATGCCCAAACTGGCCTGCGCAGTCTTCTTTTTGCGCTTTTGGCGTTCTAGTTCCTCGTCGATTTCCTTGGCCCAGTCGACTTTCGGAGGAGAGGGCGGCACCCACTCACGGGCCAGGTACTTCTTGTGCTCGTACTTGGCCCGTATAAAGTTCTCCAGCGCAGAGTCCGTCTGGGGTCGTCGAAATCCATCCGGGAGCTGCGCCTCATAAACGGCGCGGGCCCGTGAGTTGCCCATTTGCTGCAGCGAGATCACCTGCTCTGGCGTCCAGGTATCCAGATTGACTGATTTGACTCGTGATATGTGCACACCCAGGTTGCGGTGGATTCCGGCGCAGCGAATGCACAGAAACATGCCCAGATTCCATGAAGCCCATCGGGGACCTATGGAGATAAAATGTTGTGCCCTTTAGTTCAGTCACAAGATAGTGCGTCCGATCCCGCCAAGTGGACAAGTGTTTATCTTGAATCCGCCCTCCCAGAAGAGAGTGTGAATTTGTATTGCGGTGGGGATGCACACACATATCTACATATTCCTACTTTCGTGCGTCATCATCGGCGTATTTTATAATGCAGAAGATGCTGCTAGTTATTCAACGTACCTTTAGCATCGCAATCCACACAATATTTGTTATCCTCGTCGCGGAGCATCTGCGTGAGCAGAGTCTGACACTTCTCCTGGATTAGCTTCGTCCGCTGGTTTGAGCTCATTTTTGCACTTGTCTTGTCTCTCCGCTGGAACTGATATCTCTGGACGCTAAAGCGGGCTGTTCGACGTGGCGTGGGCGACGGGCTGTTCAGAACTTATCGCTGCTGCTCATGGATATACAAATACAAGCGAATTCTGGAATTTCGGCCCCAACGAAATGGAAAACAGTTTTTGCTACCGAAAAAAAGAGTGTACCAGTGTTGGCAGATATAATAGCGACACCCCCTTTAAAACTTCCTACAGAAACAACGGTCTCACTAATTTTACAGTGTTGTCATTCAAATCTTTTACAAATTTTAAAAAGATTAATCATTTAAACAGTTTTACGAATATTTAATGCAGTCTAACATATTATTAATTTTTTTTTAATGTGATAAAAGTTTTTGTTTCAAAGTTTCTGCTAAACCTGGGTGAATTTTTTTCTTCAACTGTGTCTAAAATCCAAAATTTGATTGACTTTATAGAAAACTTAATTCCAGATATTTATATCTTAGGCCTGGTTAATAAAGAGGTATATTGGAATAAATATTAAATATTACAATTTGTCGCAACTTTTAAACTCCTTTTGTTGTTTAAATTATTTTCAAAAATTGGTCACACTATTCCGCAGCTGTTTGCGTGGACAAAATATTTTGGAAAATGAATGTAAGCTTAATTTTCTGTTTTGCTTAAAAACGATGGAAACAGTGACACAGACTAACCCACATCTTGTCCACAGGAGTCTGAGATTCCCATTGACATTCACACGCTGAAGCTGCAGGATTGGCTGGTCAGCAGGAGGATCGTCCCGAAGAATGTGCAGCGAGAAATTAAGGAGATTCACACAAAAATTAGCAATGCCCTCCAGGATATGCCTTCCAACGAGCAACTCATCAAGCTATTGGCCAGAACAAGTAAGTTTTTGGAGCACCAACATCCCATACCCACTTCATACTTGGGTTTTCTTCTCCAGACATAAACTACTACCATGTAAAGGAAATAATAGAGATCCTGAAGCAAACGGAGAAGGATACAAAGAGTGTGTTTGGAACCTATGGAAGTCAGCGTATGAAGGATTGGCAGGAGATCTGTCGGCTCTACGAAAAGAACGCCACATACCTGGCCGAGACGGCCCAGATCTTTGTGCGAAACGTCAACTATGAGATTCCCGGGGTGCGCAAGCAAATGACCAAGTTGGAGCAGCAGACCGACGAGAGCCTAAAGCGAGCTCAAGACCTGAACAAGCCCGAGACCCAGTTCTTATCCGAGCACGCCGCTCTTTTGGACCAATTAGGCGTGAAGGGCGAAAACTTGCATACAGAGTTCTTGGAGGTGCTGTCTGGTCTGCCCGATCTGTATGCCAAGTCGCTGCAGGGAATCGGAACCATTCAGGCGGGAATCGACCTCTACGCTGAGGTTAGCGGCCACAAGCAGCCGCTGCCCATTTTGAGCCATTTGGTGGAGTTCGGAAACACCACTGTGTACCAGTACATTCACAAGGAAGCACCGCTGGTCGTGGAGGAGCCTCCAATTAGACTTAACCTCAGCGAAGGCGCCGCGCCGAAGGATTCGGATAACGCAGCAAATGAAATTGACTTTGGTGCTATCGATTTTGGCACAGACGACAATGGTGGGACATCTTCCACCGTCTCGGCGGAGATTATCGATTACGGGGACTTTGGAAACGTGGACATGCAGGAGAATGATGGCGGTGGTATCGACTGGGGCATCGAGAGTGCTCCCACCGATGCCGTGGAAATAAACTTCGACATTCCGGTTGAGGAGTACGGAATAGTGGTGGAGGGCACCGGCATGGATGGTGGCACAGCCAAAGGTAAGGTCATCCCTTGACATGTGTTTATTTTCGATAATATTAAGATTTCTTCAGGGGATCAGGCCTACACCTTGCTGGACTCTCCCAACTATCGGGATAGGTTCTTGGATGAAATCTACGAACTGGAATCATTCCTGAAGCTGCGTCTTTACGAACTCAAGCAGTTGGAGTCCTCCAGTGACATCATGTTCTCCCTAATGGATAACATAGCCACGCACGATGCGGAGAGCATCAACAAGATCCTGCGGAATGTCGAGAAGCTCATCCAGCAGACCTCCGACGAGCAGACGCGCCATCTCTTCCAGCTGAAGCACTCGCCGAAATACGCCAACCTGCTGGCCAGCAAGCTGCAGCAGATGACCAAGGCCGTGGAGAAGCTTCGCTCCAACCGAGAAGCCCTCAAGAAGCGGGCCGTCGAGCTGCGGGAACAGCGGCAGGAGTTGAATCCTGTACTGGAGGAACTGATTGCTCAGACCCGGACGCTGCAGGGCCATATTGAAAAGGACATCTCGAAGCGCTACAAAAATCGGGTGGTCAACCTAATGGGGGGTGTTAACTAACTAAAAGCTGTTACTAATTTTCAAAAATAAACGGTCAATTGGGAAGTACAGAGGCGGTTTTATAAATTTTTTTAAAAGAAGTTTATTTTATTTTGCTATTTTTATTAAATATACAAATTTTATTTATATTGTGTTCTTTCTTTTTAATTGCCATTTGCTTTTTTTTTTTTGTTGTATCCAGAATACAAACCTAATTTTAGTGAAGTTTGTTTTGTTTTTTGTTTTTTTTTTTTTGTTGTTTTTGCTTTTGTGTTTTTTTGTTCATAAAAGTATCCTTACACATTTAACGTTTTAAACTTTCACTTAAATATACAATTCTTATGTTGCTGAATTTGAATAAATGTAAAACAAGAACAACGCTTTGATTAACTTAAATATTGTGGGGTATTACTCGAATTTAAGGAAATTCATCAAAAAAATTAATAAATTTAATATATGTATACATACGTAGAATCGAATAGAATCGCGGGGAGCTGTAAAATCGGAAATGCTATTGAGTAGCTATACAAGGTTTGGGTGTAAAAAGCCACAAAATTTCGGGGGTCTCTCGGGGGTATACATTGGGATATCAACTAGACTTAGGCACTAATCTAACAAAAGTGTGGCTGGCTGTTGGTCAGCAAAAAGGCTTTATATAAGTATAATCAATTCATTAACTAAATAGAAAATAACAAGCACTATCGAAAAACACATTTAATTATACGGGAAGGGGCCTCATGATATGGTTACAACTTTGTGTGTCGCTTGGCTCGCCCAAAGGCAACAAGCGTCCTTTGCTTTCCTATTCTTTGTTCCATTTGATTAATCCGTCTGTGATGTGTGGACCAGACCCCCATCTTAAATCTGGGGTCCGGTTCTGACATATCATAATACGGTTAAGGTTAAATAAGCATAAAATTTGTTCGAAAGTTGCTTGTGGTTCTGCCATTATTGTTAGTTCTTTCTTACAGACTAATTTATATGTTTCATATAATTTATATATATATATAGAGATATATTCATTATTTATAGGTTTTAATTAGATTTTGCTTCTCCGTTACTTAGGTGCTACTATGTATATGTCTGGATTTAATTATGTATACATACGTTCCGTTTATCTCTGATGTACACATCTCGTAAACGATTACATTTTATACACGAATCATAGCGCCGGTCGGATTAGAAATTCTGAGCACTTTCTGCTCTAATCTTTATGGTATTGCTCTTAATTTCAAAAAACATATCTTTCGCCTTATCTACAATTTTGCCTTCCCCCCCCCCCCCACTAAACTTATAAAAACTAAACCGAACTTTTCCTGTTTTCCGTTCTCCGTCTAATGAAAAACATCGCCTCTCTTGGCTGGCTCTGTCCACCAGCGTTGGTGGTGATGGTGGCTCAGCTGCTGCTGCTGATGGTGGTGGTGGTGATTCTGGTGCCTCGACTGTCAATCGTTCTTCACTGGGTAGTAGATCAAGTCTGGTTGCTGGCCGTGCGGCGGCATTTGCTGCATCATGCCCATCATTGGCGGTAGCACGCCCTTGGACTCATCGCCCAGCATGGAGTAGCCCACTCCCACTCCCACGCCGACCCCAACACCAACCCCTGTCCGATCGTAGACGTTGCCGTGCGGCGTTGGCGGAGGCAGGAGGTGAGGATGCGGGTGCATAGGCTGCTGCTGCTGGGCCTGCAGACTGTGCGGATGGTAGGCCTGGAAGCTGTTCTGCTTCTGCTGCTCGCTGACCAGCTGGTCGCTTAGATGCTGTTCATAGCCGCCTCCGTAGCCAGTGCGCATCAGGCTGTTCGCATAGCCGCCTGCGCCATGATGTTGCTGCTGAACCGCCTGCTGCTGTTGTTGCTGCTGCTGGGGGGCCGGCTGCTGCTGTTGCTGCATCAGATCAAAGTTGTACTCCATTGGCGCAGGATTTGTGTCAATGAGATTCGTGAGTATGCTGCCGATATTGTTATAGTTGTGAGGATCGCTCGGGTTGGCTTGACCCGGTTGCGGTTGCTGCTGCTGCTGCTGTGCCTGAGCCGCCTGTTGCTGCTGCTGCGGCTGCTGCTGTTGCTGGGGTGACTGGCTGAAGCCAGGCGCTGGCCACATGTGCTGGAAGCTCATCAGGTCACCGCCGAGGGCTTGTTCTTGTTGCTGTTGTTGAGGTTGCTGTTGTTGCTGGGGTTTGTTCACGACTTGTTGCTGCTGCTGCTGCGCCGGCGGCACATTCATTGGAAGCCCAAGGAACTCGGACGAGTCCACAATGAAGAACTTGTTATCCTTAATCTCAACCTGCTGGTTGTTTGGTGGATTATTAAAGTTCATGTTGCCCCAGGCGTTGTAAGCCATATTTTCTGCAAAAGAAATCCCCAAAAATTATTATAATTTCAAACCGAAAACGAGCTCTGTCCTTACCATTCATATTAAAGTTGGCATTGGCATAGTTGCCATGGTTTATGTTATTATGCCTTCCATGATGGTGTTGTTGGGGTTGCGGCTGCTGTGGTTGTTGCTGTTGATGCTGCTGGGGATGTGGCTGCTGCTGCTGCTGTGGTGGCTGCTGCCTTGGTGGATGCGGGCTCTGCGGAGTGTGACTCCTCATATGTTGCTGTTGAGCCAGGTGATGTTGCTGTTGCTGTTGTTGCTGCTGCTGTTGTTGTTGTTGCTGTTGCTGAGGCGGCTGTTGCTGATACTGGCTGATCAGTTGATGTTGCTGGTAGCCACCAGCAGGGCCAGCCTCGAAGTGGAACTGCCCTTCCTGAGTAAAGCTATTCATGCGCTGCAAATGCAATTCTGCGGAGCCAACCCTCGGCTGTTGCTGCTGCTGTTGTTGTTGTTGTTGTGTCGGCGGCGGCGTCGGATGTTGCTGGTGCAGCGGATTGGGTGGCTGTTGTTGCTGCTGTGGCCCGGCCTGCAGTTTCTCCGCATTAAAGCTCTGACTGTACATGGAATTCTGCTGAGATTCACTCGTTGACACTGAGTGCTGTGACGTGGACGCCGTCGACGACTGGGAACTGTTGCTGCTAACCATGGCTGCATTGAACTGATCCTGCTGCATGCATCCTGGCGTCGTCGACACCGGTGGCGGTGGTGTTGGCGTCGCTGCTGCGCCTTTCAGTTGCTGCTGTTGCTGCTGGGAAGTGGCGGAGGCAACGGCGGCTGCTTGCGCTTTGGCCTTATTGGCCACCGACTTCTTGCTGGCCTTCACAGGCGGGGGACCGGGCATGTCTTGTAGGGAAGCCATTTCTGGAAGCGAAAACAGTTCAGTCTAGTAAGGCCAACCTCTAGAGAAAGTATGAAGTGCTTACCTTCTTCGTTAGCCTTAGGGAAGCGCTGCTTTCCTTTTTTAGGCGGCGCCGGCTCGTTTCCATGCATCGTTTGTTTGTGTCGCACCAGGTGAGTTTTCCACTTGAAGGTCTTCAAAGATAGAGGTTATTTATAGGAAGGATCTATGAATATAAAGCTCCGTTTCAACTTACTTGATCGCAGTAGTTGCAACAGTGCGGCCGCTCCTCCGAATGCGACGGTAGGTGTCTCTGGAGCGACTTGGCCGATCCGAATCGCTTTCCGCACAGCGTACACTTGCATTCGGACACGTCGACGTGGGCGTTGCTGTAGTGCTCCTTGAGCGCAGGGTAGGTGAAGTAGGATGAGCCGCACAGGTCGCAGACATAGGGTCGCTTGATCTCGGTGTGCAGCTGGACGTGCCGCTCCAGGTTGGCCTTCAGAGTGAAACGGTTATGGCAAATGTGGCACTCGAAGAAATTGTCCCGCTTATGTACACGGATGATGTGCTGATACAGGGCGTTCTTGGATTGGAACTCCTCGCCGCACACCTCACAAATGGCCCCGTCGGCCTTATGGCCCGTCTCTTCGAAGTGCTGCTGCAGCTTCTTCTGCGGGAACTTCTGCCCGCATTCGCCGCACGGAAATGCTGAAAGGAGAAAGTTGTGGGATTAGAATTTGGAATGGATTCGTTAGAGGTCCAGTTCTTCCAAGGGATTCCACCGGGAAACTTGGTGAAATTTACATTCGCAGCGACTCACTTTTGATTTCCTTCTTGTTGTGCGACTCAACGTGAGCGTGGAACTGCTGCTTGCGAGAGTAGGACTCTCCACAAGTCTCGCAAACGAACGGAAACTCCTTCACATGCATAGTCCGGTTGTGATGAATGATTTCCTGGAAACAAGATTGCATGGAAGAGTTAATGGAAGTCTACAAAGCTTAAGCCGCCTGCCTACCTCCAGAGTATTTCCGTTGGGTTGCCCGCAATCGTGACAGTAGCCAGGATGCATCTTGTAGTGGTCCAGCAGAGACTTGCGCTTTCGGTAGGACTTGGGGCACAACAGGCAATTGTAGCTGGGCTTGTCCTTCTTACTCCCGGACGTCTGGCCCACGCCGCCGAGATGCGAGGGCGGTGCCTGCAACGAGGTACTACTACTGCTGCCGCCGTCGATCAGTTGCTGCTTCGCCGCGTCCAGTTCGTCGAGGTCGTGGTCCAGTTCATCGTCGTCCTCGTCCGGCGACAGGTCATTGTCATCCAGCTCCAGGGAGGAGTTCAACTGCCCGCCGACAGGAACATTGTCTCCCAAATTCGATAAGGCGGCCAGTGCCGGCATTTGCCGGTTGCCCATCATAGAACCACCAAGCTGTGGAAACTGCCCCGGCATCATCTGCTGCTGCGGATGCTGCTGCTGATGTGGCTGGTGCTGAATGCCCACGTGTGCATTGTGCTGCTGCTGCATCATTCCGCCCATCATGGAGAGCGGATTACTGCTTGAGTTGTAGCGGTTCGGCTGCTGGTGCATTTGCATCTCGCCGGAGAGGCCGGCCATGCCGCCCGCTAGCATCTGGCCCTCCTTCCGGTCCCTACTCTCCACGGGCATGGTCATTGGCAAGTGGTGCGATGGCTTCATGGACACCGCTACTGGCTCCTGCGACTGCACCGCCAGCTGCGGACAATGGACACTGCCGTTGTTGTTGCTGTTGCTGCTATTATTGTTGTTGTTGATGCTGATGCTATTGCTTGACGTAAGGCCGTTGATCACAAGGTTTGCGCTGCTGCTGCTGGCGTTTCTGCAAGAAGATTAGGAATTATTAGGAGGATTCTATTGGAATACCATCATAGTAACTCACAGGTGATTCGAGTGATGACTATTGTTTTCCAGGACCACCCCGCCCACTCCATTCCCGTTTCCACTCCCACTCCCGCTGCTGCTACTGTTGCTGCTATGGCCGCTAGCACTGTTTACACTGCCTAGGGCACTACCAGCGCCACCCAGCATGTCATCTATCTCGGGCTCCATCTCCAGACCATCGATAAGACGTCCTGCGCCTACACCCTCGTCAATAAACTCTTCGAACTTCATAATCTCTTGGGCGGCGGACGAGAGCTGCGACTCCGTCTCCGATTCGAGCTCCGAGTCCCCAAAGGAGATGGCCGGCAGCTGGTGGTCCTGCTGAATTTCCTCCTGCTGCTTCTGCTGCTCCAGCCGCTGAATCTCTTCCTGCTGCTCCTGCTGCTGCAGCGTAATTTCCTCCAGCCTTTGCTGCTCCAGCTCGCTCTGCTTCATCAGGCTTATCAGCTGGCGTCGTTCTCTGTGCCGGCGCCATTCCTCCAGACGCTGCTCCCGTAGCTCCTTTAGCACCCTGGCCGACGGCGTGGTGCCCAGGAGCCGGCCGGTGACCACAAAGTTCTCGTAGAACTGCCTGAGGAAGGGCTTATGGTGCAGGCTGAGCGCCAGCCGGAGCTGAGCCCGGAACTGGGCCTTGAAGGCCCGCTCGCTAAACTCGCCAGTGCTGTGATGGTAGTGCATTGTGTACTGGCTGTCCTCGTGGAAGACGTACCCGTCGCCCAGCGTGGAGCGCTCCTCTTTCCGCCGCACACTGGCTATGGTCAGGTGCATGTTGTTGGTGCGCTTCCGTTTCACCAGCTTGCCGTCGCTGCTGCTGCTGGTGTTGCTCGCCTCCTCCGCGCCCATGTGATCCTCATCCTCGAAGGTGGCCGTATACTTTCGCTTAACCAGCAGCGAGGACCCGCCGGTCTGGATCAGGTCCAGGGGATCACCGGGACCCACGGCCCAGCCATCGACATTGTTGCCGGTATGGAACTGCAGGGAAGACGAGTTCTGGGTATCTACATCGTCGAGGAAGTCCTCCTCCTCCTCCTCGAGGCACAGGAACTCCTCCTTACAGAGGATCTTTTCAAAGTTCTGGTTCAGATCAGTCGAGCCCGCCTCTTCCTCGGCCTTCTCGCGCTTGATCTCCGCCTCGCCCTCCTCCTTCTTCTCCTTTTTGGCTGTCAGCAGCAGCTGGAGTTGCTTGGTCCTCGCCAGCTCCTGCTGTCCCACTCCACCTGCTCCTCCGCCATTGCTGTTGGTTATGTGGCTGAACAGATTCCTGACGACTTGGTCGCAGGCATCCGGGTACTTGCACTTAAGCGTCTGCAGCAAGAACTGAATAGCATCGCCCCGCAATGCCGTATTGAGGCTGTCCAGTAGATTTAGTGACTGATCCACCTGTAAAATTGGAGGAAATTAATTAATATTCCATCCAAGGTGTGCAAAAACATATCGATATTTTCGATAAACATTCTAAAGATCAAGATCGAGCATGTTGCATCGAACCGGGATCAGAACTCCGTCACTGATCAAACATGTTCATGCATGCACCCATAATACCATGGGTGCGGTGGGTGGAATTTGATACTAAATTTAATCTTAAATATTTAAGTTAATCTATAAAATGTTTTTATTAAAAGTATAAATTTTAAACATTAATTTTTTATAATATTTTATATCCAGCTTTTAGTCCCACTGTGCTTAAACTATTACGCTAGTAGAAATAAATTACCAACTTCCGTTTCAAGCCGCCCATTTCCACAACAAACTATGGAATGCGGTGGGTGGGAGAGATTGGCAGGGTTGCCACATTAATACGGGACATTTGTTAGTCCGCTAAAGACCCAATTAGAAACGTCATTAGTTTCGATTAAATGACCAAAATCTCTCTCACACACACACACACACACACACTGGCAGTAGTAACTGTCGTCAAACACAATTGCTGATTATGATTTTCCAAACAATTTAATGCAATTAGAACTGGCTGGGGGAGGGGGGGATCGAGGGGCAGAGGTGGTGCAGAGAGCGCGTGCCTCAGCTTCTATGAAACGCAGACAGCACGGCGACTGAGCAGCGACGTTGCTGCAGCAGCGCTGCCTGCGAAAGCGATTAGCAAAAAGCAAACACACAGAAATAGCGAACGAAGATGGCGAAAAATAGGAAAGAAAAAACAAAAAACAGCATGGCAGTCGGTGGGGGGGCATCGAGGGGGCCAGAGAAATTAAAACAGCGCACAATTTGTGCTACTTTTCCCCATTCCATCCACTATGTTGCTATTATGTATGTATGTTTGTATGTATTTGTTATGTGAGTGGTAGTGTATATTTGCAGCGATTTGTAGTTGTTACAAGCACAATGTGGGGCTCTCTTCCCGCTGCTCTCCTACAGCCCACCCACCCACTGTGCGAGAGGGAGAGGAAAAGGAGAATTGGGTAGGAGCTTTAAGTAAGCGGCAACCCTGACACGAAATAGAAACATTTGAATACCCTACCCTTTGAGATGAGTAATTTAAGACAATAATATAAAATATTTTATTTTTTTTATAAAAATTTAACTTAAAACCATCCACTCTTTTATTAAATCTTGAGTTTTCTTCAAAAGCCATCCAAGAGAAGACAAAGAAACTTTCTCCACGTCCAACTGCATTTATCAATCAACTCGGAATAAAAACAAAACTGTAAAAACTGAAATGTTATTTCTAAACGATCTTACGATATTCAAAGACATTAGAGTTGAAACAATGTGGCAACGCTCCTCCTCCTCCTGAACGGTTTATTTGTCAATAAAGTTGTTGTAAATTTAGATTTCAGATAACACAACTTACTACGTGTATATACACTACATATATACATATACATACGTACATACAAACATTTATAAACTTTACTTGTGTGCTGGGGCAGAGAAAGAGAGAAGGAGAGAGCCGAAAAGCGGGAGCAGAGGAGCAGCGGAGATGGGGAGACCAAGAACGTGCAGTGCAAGAGAAAAGCAAATGCCATATTTAATTAGATTTTTTTTTGTGTTCTAATTAAATTGTCTTGAGTGTGTGTGAGTGTGAGCTTTTATGCTCGAATCTGTGCTCTTCTAGTATATTCAGATATGAGCTAGCAGCTAGCAGAGGCAACTAAAAATAATTGCATGTATCTATCTGTGTAGTGGGATTGGAGTTGATGGGTTTATGAAGGAAAGTGATATGACCCGTTGGGTAATCCTACAGAGTATCCCTAGTTCGGTTCTGGGATGGGAATGTCTATTTCATCATGATTTATTTCGCCTTAGTAGTTCTTTAGCAATTGTTATGTACCTGTTAGAGGCACACACAAAGATTCAAAGAGCTATCTTGAAGATACATATGTACATATGTACATATCCGCAGATACATTTCAACAATTGAATACAAAAAGTATCTAAAAGATAATTTCGATATAAAACTATTAGTTGGTGTTTAGTTTCGTGATATAACTAACAATAGCACTAAAAGATAGTTAAAAGATACCACTATTATTTTGTTCACTACTGTAGATACATACATATGTACATATATAAACTGTATTTAGAAGGGTGAAGCGTTGAAACCGGTGCCCAAGAGGGGGAGGTGGGAAGAGACATGACGTTTGCTGCATTTTTAGCAAAATTTATGTTATACATTTCGTGTCAGCTGTCTCCCTCGCACCAAGACACACATTAAAGATCGTAAAGTGGAACTCACACACACATATACCTACAAATAGTTGTACTAATCAAATAAAAATAGCATTTACATCGTCCGCTCTCTTTCCCTTATTTCTGAGTTTTATTAATGAAATTGGCACATCAACACAGTGCCATGAAGGCAAGTGAGAGGGGTCTCTATTTTTGGCAATTAAAAAAATACTCTTAAATCTAATTAAATTTTAACTTTAATTTAATCTAACAGTTTCCTTCAAAACAGATTAATTAAAGTATAAGACATTAAGCTACAATCGGTTCTCTTTGAAGCCCCTCTTAACCAGTTTGTTCCCGCCAAACGGTAAATCCAATATAAACATTCGTGTGACACACAAAACAATGAAAAGTTGCTCCACTGTGCAGAGCTGTTTACTATTCTTCTTCTTCCACTTGTGCTTTGCTTCGAACATTCGTACTCGATTGACTGTCTCGCTCGCACCTGCATGGGAAATGCCTCGAATTTATATGCATGCAAGAGGAGAGAATTCCCCCCCTTTTCAGTGCCCCAACCACCTCCTCCAACACACACACACATAAAAAGAGAACGAGAGAAACAAACACAATCATATTCCTGCTCTTGGGGCCCAATTTGAAACTGTTGTTGTTGTTTTTGTTTGTTTTTTGGATTGTGTAGTATTAGTATTTATGTAAATGTGTTTTGTTGGCTGGTTTGTATCTGTATGTGTGTGTCGATGAAGTAAATGTAAATGTTGTTATAAACTAATAAAAATAAAAATAAATATTTTCTCAAAAATAACGAAGGAAAACAAAACAAAAGTGAATAATAGCAACGGAACAACAACACCACCACCAACAGCAATGATGAAATGGGTCGAAAAGTGGGGAGTAGCAGAGTGGTATATGTATGTGGTGGGGGGGGGGGGGGGAACTACAATTCATTTTAGAGGCAAAATAGAAAAAACAAAAATAACATTATGTGGCACTCGTCGAAAGGGGGAAAGAAAAAGGGGGAGAAAGTGGAAGAGGAAAATGGAAATGGAATGGGAGTGGTATGGGTTTGCTTTTGAATAGGGATAGTGGGAGTGGGTGGGCTGCTGTTGTTGGGGCCTGGGGGGAGGGGTTTTGGGATGCGGGTGGAAGATGGAGCAAAAGAGTCGACGGAAGTTCACACAGACACAGACCAAAACCAGTCAGTGTGTGTGGGTGGGAATTGTGCAAGAAGCGATTGCTGACGGGCTGGCCGGGCAGGAGGTGGGAGGGGGGTAGGAGGTTTTAAATCAACGAAGCTTTTAAAATAATAAACCAAATAGAAGAAATTTCAGAACCACCCTGGCCGTTTACACTCAGCCAAATGTTGGAGAAGTGGCCCCAAAATTTAGGAAATTCCCAATCTGAAGATGACCGCGATTCCCGCTCAAACTCATTAGCAGCGTCTCTTTGTTTACTTCAGGTGGTTCGCATTTCCAATTGGAGCGCAAAATCAAATTTCAACGCAAAACTTGTACTTTTTTTATGTTTGTTATTTTAATCGGGACGACCTTTTCACATTACAGCAACAACAACAAAAGCAACAATCGACTAAAAACAACAAAAAATACGGCCAGTGCACACTGTACTTCACTTCATTTGTTATCTGTCCTACACCTCCTCTTCTATCATGCTCTCTTGCTCTCTCCGCCGCTCTCTCTTCCTTGCCTACGCATTACACGTTGTTTTGCTCCTCTCTCAATTAGACACACACACACACACGCACACACAGAGGCATAAGGCGCTGAACTTGTATGCGTGTTGATATCGTGATTATGGGGAGTCGAAGGGAGGTAGGATGGTAATGGTAAACATTATTTAATTACCAGTAATTTAAAATCCAACTGTGTAGTTTTGTTATCCATTTTGTTGTTGGTTTCTGCATTTGGCTGAATTTTATTTATACGTTTCACTCTCATACACACACACAGTCACACAGAATCTCACTGTCAAACACGCACGGCCAGGCATTGGTGTGCGTGTTTTTTATTATTTCGATTTTCTTTAGCCCGTGCTTCGCGTTTCTTCGTTTCAACATTGAGAAATTCCACTGTTTTTTTCACATTTTTCTGCTTTCGACGCTTATGAGGGGGAATTTGCAGATTTTGTTATTGCATAAATCTGGCCCACGATTTAGCTCTTTCTGCTTGCAACTTTCTGTGGCACACACACATACACGCGCGCCCCGCTTTTGCTTTTGCTGCGTAAGAAAAAATGTTTTCCAGCCCCGTTTCGACGCTTCTTTAGTGGCGCGTTCTTTAGTTGGTCGAAAAGCCCGCCGAGAAACCGATATTAGTTAGTTTAGCAAATAATTTTAGTTTTTTAACAGCAACAGCAAATAAAAAGCGACGGCAATTAGAGGTGGAAAAACGTCGATGAAAATATCGATGCATCGATAAGATTCCACATATTCGTAGCGCCCTCTCTGGGGATAAACTAAAAACTAATGTTCTGATGACGACCTCTGTGGGATGGATGCTAAAAGATGTTCCAAAATATCGAGAACAATCAGAAAATTAAACTTTAATTGAAAAATTGCATTTTCGAGGCATTAGAGTGGTGGATGAAAAAACCTTTAAACCAGGAATGGAAATTTCTGGTATTGACAAATAATCCGTAGTTAAAAAATGTGGCAGCACAGTATCTGGCTGGGACTTCGCCATCTGGCGGCTTGCAAATGAAGCACTATATATGCTGTTTTTCAACACTGCAAATAGAATCAAAACAAAAACAATCTGGCATCCGTAACCAATTGCGCCTACGGAGAGCCCACTGTATATGTTTAAATATTTAAATCTGATCTGTCCCTAAAGCTAGACGGACTTAAAAGAATTTTGTTAGATAACTTTTGTTTTTGAAATTTTATTTCACTCTCCTCAATTACAAAAAACGGGACTGAATGCCCTTAGGCTAAAAATTATGCAAGTATCTATCCACCGGTGCCCCAAGACTCAGTCTAGGGCTTGGCCTGCTGCTTAGTCTGTTTCTCCTTTTTGGCAGCCTCAGCCTCCGCCTGCACCTTGGTGTATTTCTCGATGAGCTTCTCCACGTCCGGCTTTCCCAGCACGCTGTAGACAGTGGTGTTGTTGACACGCTGCAAAGTGGCCATCTCCACCTTCTCCGGGGTCAGTTTGGTGGTGTCCAGAGTCATCGAGAGTACCTTAATCGCCAGATCCTTGGCGTCCTCGAGCTTCAGCTGCACGTTCTCCTTGTCGGCCAGCTCCTGTTTGAGCATAGTAATAGCAGCGCCGAAATTGTTACCAATGCAAGTGGCCTTCCAGCCACCGTAGTTGCCGCTGGGATCGGACTGGTACAGCTGGTAGCCGTACTTGTTGTCCCAGCCCATGTAGAGCAGTGACACGCCGAAGGGACGCTTGCCTCCGTACTGAGTGTAGGCCTGCTTGATGTCGCACAGGTGTGAGACGAGCTGCTCGCAGGGAATCACCTCGCCGTAACTGAACTGGTAGCGCTGGGCGATGAGGCGCAGCTCTGAGGTCAACACGTTGGCGTCCGATGTGATGCCGGCGACGGAGCAGACCATGTTTCTGAAAATTCAAGGGACAGATGTATAAAAAAATGTTTTTATAAATCTTAAGTCCTTCAGTTCACTCTGACTCAGCGTTAAACTTCTGCTCAAAGGTACAAAAGGGCATCTAGGATAAAATCTTGTTTCTTTCAGTTCAAATGATGAAAACCATATTTTATTAAAAAAAAATATCTTTTGCCCATTGCAGAGAGTGAGGGAACCTTTAGTAGCATAATTTTTTGCTTGTCACTTACTCATTCAGGCGGTAGATCTTCTCCGATGGAATGGCGCTGTCCAGAAGTTTGTTAGTGCTACGGCACTCGGCGGCTAGCAGGATACCATCCTCTGCCAGGATGCCCAAGCAAGTGCCGGCGTGCGAAATGGCCTCCATGGCATATTCCACTTGGTAGAGACGGCCCTCCGGCGAAAAGATCGTAGTGCGGGAATCGTAGCGGCGTGCCTACAACAATGATTAAAGGTTGAGAATCCTTGTTGGTTGCTCTATCATTTCGCCGAATAGTAAACTCATCACCGGCTGGTCTAGAGGTTTACTTACCATCTTTACGAATTTATAATTTTACAAGTTTATTTGGCAAACGAACAGAAACTCCTTGTCATTCAGTGTAGAGATGCCAGACAGTTAGAGATGAGCGATGGGCATTTAAATTTATTCGATAGGACTCAACTATCGTTTGTCGGAGGCCCCCTCACATTTTCCAGACACGGTCACACCGGCCAAGTTTTAATTGTGTTGGTTTGGACGCGCGAATTGTTTTTAAATTCAGTTGATTTCTTTTGAATATGGGAGATCTGCTTAGCGTGCGTATAGTTAAAAGATTTAAATTTTAATGGTTTAAAAACGCTCTACTCCCACCTGCAGAACTCTGAGCTTTTCAAAAAGCTAGGCGTCGACAGCTCCAATCAGTGGATTCTATACGATGAGCAACTGGAGAAGTTCTTCAAGTTTTTGTCCCAGGATGTCACGGACGCTAACATTTTGACTGAAAGTCAGGTCCTGGAGCGGGAGGAGATGCGACGCCGGAACGAGTGGCTGGATGAATCAGATCGAGAGCTGAAGCTGCTGCAGATCGAGTCCGAAAGTCCAGGACTACTGAAGTTCAACCGACAGGACGTATCCGCCTTGACAATGGAAATAGCCTCGATCGAGGAGGCTTCTCGGGACTACGCCTTGCTCCTTGAGGATATGTTGTAAGGGATTCTTTTAAACATTATTTGAACGAGAAACCAAAATATTCCGTATTTTGTAGAAACGCCAAGCATTCAATTAGCAATCATCTTAGCGAGCTGGAGTGCGCTGCGTGTGAGCTGCAAAGCAAGGAGAGGGAACTACTCGGCGAGTGCCAGTCGAAGGCCAAACAGCTGGAGGATCTGCAGCGGGAGAACTGCCGCTTGAGTGGAGAGGCAAAAAAATCATTCACAACTCCACAGATGCCGCCGCTCTTCATGCATCAACTGCCACTGGAGCAGTATTTCCTTAAGTGCGACTCGTTCATGCAATACTTTACGTTGTATGTGAAGGAAAACTTTAAGATCCAGGAGTACGACGAGTTTCAGATAGCCGAGAACGATGTTCTGCATGAGAAGCACAAACTAGAGGATCTTCAGAATGGGTAGGCATTATGCTTTTAAAATCTATTCGTAGAAGTTAAAATACTTCCTTATTCTAGGATTCAGCACTATGCACTCTCATATATCAAACAAAAGGCCAAGGCGCAAGCCACACAGGCATTGATTGACCAACTGGATTTCGGCCAGATTCATTGCCTCAGTCTGGCAGATATGGCACGGGAAATGCACGAGTTGCAGCTCCTAAATGAGCACCAGCTGAGCAACGTTCACGACACCCTATTGAACGACCTAACTATCCACGTTCAGCAACATACTCAACGTCGCATTGAGCTCGTCCTCTATGAGAATACTAAGCTAAAGCTGGATCGAGCCATGCAGCGACATGAAAGCGACCTCAAACTGACCAAGATTATATCGGATGCACTGTCCAATGCGGAACTGCTATGGATTGCCATTCAGCTGGACTGTGACAAGAAGCGCAACTGCTTGGACACCTCGGAGGAGCTACGGAACCAGGCACAGGCAACCTGGCAACGGGTTCAGACAATGCGATCGATTAATAGCACTCATCAGGGTATCTGCGGGCAGTTTATTCAGGAGATTGCCAATCTTCTTTCAGCCCATCTTGGCCATACAGTTAAGGCCGGCGAAGCGAAGCCCTGCCTCTACGAGTATGAAAAGTTTGGGCGTCTGCTTTCGTATTCCCTACAAAGCATGCTCAACAAAAAATCCTCTGATTCCGTGCGCGATCAGCTAGATAAGATGTGAGTAGTTTCAAAGCTATTTGGATTGGATCTTAATTATCATCATTTTACTCTACCCTAGCAAACTTTTGGAGCAGACCCTGCGGCCTTATGTTTTCGATTCCCCTATCGAACAGCCTATGCTGGAGAATGTTCGGTATTTAAGTGCCATTTTCAATGTCACCCAGCAGCAAAGTCGATTGGATGAAGCTGTCCGACAGCTACGAACAGATTTCCTACAAAACGTATCCGGGCGTATGGTATGTGGATTTAGATCGAGCGTTAATTCATAAAATATATATCTTCCCATTTAATAATTTTAGGACATGGACAAGCTTTGGCGATATAGTGTGGTCCTGTGGATCTGGTTTCTCACAGAACCTCAGAGAGTCCTTTATGCGATCGATGAGGTTAAGAAGGCTTCGGCTGCTCAAATCCGGCCAGGTGGTGGACTTCAGCGAAAGTAAAGTTAGTTAATATGCAATCTGTCCCGTCAATAAATTAATTTAATATAAAACTTGTTCGACCTGAGGTCCCACCCACGCTGTAAGACTATAATTATCACTTATTATTAAATGTATACAAATGTCTTCATTAATTGTAAAATAAATAATTATTTAAAGTTTGTTTCCTGCTTATTTTGAATTAAAATCAAATCCTTTTAATGAATGACCCAAAGGTTCAAGACTGCTTTAATAAAGTCTGCACGAGTGCCACCAAAACAGACAAATTAATTGCAGCCGGCACGCGACGACTCTTCCAAACGATTAACATTCAAATTCGGCCGGAGAAGCAACAAGTAAGGCCATTAAATCCTGTTCGGCTAACCCAGAGCCACTTGGCCGGCAAGTTCCTTGGCTTCCTATTGGCTGTGTCCACTCGGGTATTTGGCCGACTTGTGCCGAGCTTGAATCCTGAAACATATATAAGGAGCATCCGTTCTTGGCCTGGCTCACTTGATTATCTCGGGTCGGTATAGTTTCGGTCTAACTCCTCGGTAGTGCGGTCTTGGTGAAGTGTTTTTCTAATTTTTTTTTTAAGAAAAGTGAAGAGACAAATTTTTGGCAAGTGAAATGAATGTTTTTAAAGTAACTCCTTAATTTTGGAAGCTTTAAGTTCAAGGATATTTCAAAGAATATTGAAACAGATGGGCTTTTTAAAGGGTGGTCCCTAGGAATAATGATTCGCGGCTCATTACCCTTATTGTGATTTGAATTAATTTCAGATTTGTATGGATTTCAAGCTCGTGAAAAGTTGGAGCTGGGAACTCTTCAGATTCGGCTGAGGGAGACAGTAATAATGTGATAATTCCAAAGAAATTATTTCAAGTACATTGAAAATGAATATTTTGAATAAAGTTCGTCAAATATAAAAGGAATTCTAGGCCTTAATCCTTAAAATATGAACTTCCTAACCATAAGCTTCCTTGTTCTCGGCTTGGTATCGGTTCGACTGTTGAGTGTTCCCCCGAATCCAAAGCGCAATGAGATCGCCTGGGACGAGTCCATTAGGGATATGGGTTTTGATATCACCACATCCGGGTTAAGCTTCAATGCCAACGATACGGGGATGGAGGTCAGGACCTTCGAGAGAAGCAGAGAACCCAAATCGCCTCAGATGGCCAGGTACACCGACATGGGAGAAATGGGTCAAATGCGTGTCTATAATGTCGGGGTGCTGATGGCTTCTCATTTGGGTAAGTGCTGGGAGGAGCTGGAGAAATAGTTCCATGAGCTGATGGACTCGCCATCTCCACAGATTCCCCGTTCGACTTGGAACGATGCGGACCTGCCGTGGATTTGGCTCTGGATCAGATTAATAAGGTGTTTCTTCGTCCTCACAACATCACTCTGGTGAAGAAAAAGGCGAGGTTAGTCCTTGAACTTGGCGATTAAATTATACTTACAATTTTGCATTTTAGTTACCCCTCCTGTTCGGGAGCCCGGGCTCCAGGACTTGCCGCCGATATGCATTTCCAGGACGACGTAATCGCCTTCATTGGACCGGCCTGTGCGTTTGCCCTTGAACCGGTTGCACGTTTGGCCGCCTACTGGAACACGCCCATCATTACCGGCATGGGGGATCAGGTGAGGTGATGGCATCCAGTCGCGTGCCGGGCCACGCAGCAAGCCGCTTTCAATTCCGCTGGATGAGGAACCGGAGGATTAAATTTAATCCTACCGACGGTTTCAAGTCCACACACCGTATTAGCTTCTCTCCCGCCCCCGCCCCCACCCTCGCACAGCCAGAGACAATCACATTTAGCCGCCTTAATTGTCTCGTGGTCTCGTACTCTTGACATTGGCAATTAAATGGCTCTCGGCTTCCTCTTTAATTTGCATTTAAGTTTCCCGTGTTATTGATAACAAATGGCCTTTTCCCCTCCTGACCCTCTGACCCGCTGCCAGCCACCTTCCTCGGAGGGTGAGCTAACGGTGACCTCTGGCATCCTGGGGAGGATACACAAGTGGAAGAACGAGAATACGGTAAGTGAGGGGACTCTGCACTCAACAAAAAACACAGGATTTACTTTTTTTTAACAATTGGTCCTAATTTTTAAACAAACTTTAAACACAAACTTACTCACAGTTGCACTTTTCATTACTTGGCTTAAACCATTCCTGGCTTGAGCAACGGGCTACTAGCCCTCTCGCTATTCTTACTCCTTGCAGGGCATGTTCAAGGACAAATCGAAGTACCCCACCCTCACCCGGATGTCCTACTGCCAGTGCAGGCTAATCCTCGTCTTTGCCAGTGTCTTTCGCCAGTTCAACTGGCGTCATGTGGCCCTGTTGGTGGACAGATCGGAGCTCTTCTCGTGGACGGTGGGCAAGAATTTGGAGTACGGGCTTAGACAGGAGGGACTGCTGAGCTTTGTGAGGGAGCTGAATGGCAACGAGGAGGAGATATATGAGAACTATCTCAAAGATGCCAGCATGTATGCAAGAGGTAAGAGCTAGACTGCATAATTATCATTCTTAAATAAATATTTTAACTATTTTTTATCCCCAACAGTTGTCATCTTGTCAGTTCGAGGGGTTTTGGTGCGAAAGTTCATGCTGGCGGCTCATAGTCTGGGCATGACCAATGGCGAATGGGTCTTCCTCGACGTGGAGATCTTCCAGAGCGACTACTGGGGCGACAAGGGCTGGGAGAATAAGGACGAGAACGATGCCAAGGCCAGGAAAGCCTACGAAGCCCTGCTCCGGGTGAGCCTGTTGCAGCCGACCAGCCCCAAGTTTCAGGATTTCGCCGACAATGTCCGGGAGAATGCTTTATACGATTACAACTACACCTTTGGGGACGGCGAGGAGGTGAACTTCTTCATTGGTGCCTTCTACGACGGCGTCTACCTCCTGGGAATGGCCCTGAACGAGACCCTCACCGAGGGTGGTGACATCCGGGACGGCGTCAATATCACGAGGCGGATGTGGAATCGCACCTTCGAGGGCATCACTGGACATGTTCGCATCGATGACAATGGCGACCGAGATGCAGACTATTCCATCCTAGATTTGGATCCCATTAACGGAAAGTTTTCCGTGGTGGCTCACTACTCCGGGCTTCATAAGTAAGGTTTCAAATGGAGATTTTATTTCACCAATTAAGAGTTCTTTTTAAAGGGAGTATGCTGCAGTCCATGGGAAAAAGATTCATTGGCCAGGAGGACGCGAAGAGCCACCGCCGGATGTGCCTCCGTGTGGCTTTCTGGGAAATTCCCCAGACTGCCATGGAAATGGTATTTAAGATTTCATTCCTCTAACCACAGTATTGGTTCGTTTACCATTCTTTTGCTCCTCAGAATCCACTATCATGTACTCCATAATAGGACTCGCCTTATTTCTGGGACTGGTCTTTCTGGTTATTTGTTTGCTTCAAAAGTAAGACTTAAAGTTTATTAAATTCGAGAGATTTTAAAAGTCGGAAACCCCTCAGACAGATGAAGCTCAGCAAGGAACTCAACAATATGTCCTGGCGCGTCCGACCCGACGACGTTCTCATCGAAATGGGCGGCATGTTCGGCTCCAAGGGAGGTCTTCAACGACTCGACGTGGAGAACATATCCCTGCAGCAGTTCGGCATCCATTCCGGCCGTGCCTCAATTGCCAGCTTTACGTCACTGCCCCCGCAGGTGTACACCACCATTGGACAGTTCAAGGGCGAGCGGGTGGCCATCAAAAAGGTGAACGTAAAGAAGGTGGAGTTGACCCCGCAGCTTCTTTGGGAGATTAAGCAGGCGCGGGACGTGAGCCACGAGAACACGGTGCGCTTCGTGGGAGCCTGCATCGACCTTCCCCGTCCCACAGTGCTCATTCTCACGGAGTACTGCTCACGGGGTAGTCTCAAGGACGTGCTGGAAAACGAGGCCATCGAGCTGGACTGGAACTTCCGCATGTCCCTGATCCACGACATCGTCAAGGGCATGAACTACCTCCATAACAGCGATGTGGCTGCCCATGGGAAGTTGCGATCGTGCAACTGCCTTATAGACGGGAGATTCGTCCTCAAAATCTCTGACTTTGGACTAAGTACCTTGACCACGCCCTCGGACTTTGTGCGGGATCAAAACTACTACCTGAGTAAGTGGAGTATGTTAGTGGGTCATGTACTCCGATTCATGGAAAGGTTTCTATTGTTTACAGAGCTGCTTTGGATTGCTCCCGAATTGCTACCACTGACCTCTATTCCGGGCTGTTGTCCGGCTACGCAACGCGGAGACGTCTACTCCTTTGGCATTATCCTGGAGGAGATTGTGAATCGCGGTGGTCCCTACCAGGAAGCTCGTCAGCAAATGGACGTGCACACGATCCTTCACAAGGTGCGACAGTGCAACGGATTCCGACCACTTATCCGGGAGCGTGAGTGTCCGCCGGACCTGCTGGAACTGATGGAGAAGTGCTGGGCGGATAACCAGGAGGAGCGACCTACCTTTTCCACGATTCGCAGCAACATCCGGACAATAATGAAGTAAGTCAATGGATAACATTGTAATCCTTGTAATGGTAATCCTTTTTGCAGGGGCTTCTGTGAGAATTTGATGGATGATCTCCTGAACCGTATGGAACAGTATGCGAATAACCTGGAGAGTCTCGTTGAGGATAAGACGCGGCAGTTAAGTCTGGAGAAGCAGCGCACCGAGGAGCTGCTCTACCAGATCCTGCCACGTCCTGTTGCCCAACAACTGATGGCCGGCGATCTTGTGGAGCCCGAGGAGTTCAGCAGCGTAACCATTTACTTCAGCGACATCGTAGGCTTCACGGAGCTGTGTGCCCGGAGCAGCCCCATGGACGTGGTTAACTTCCTAAATGATCTCTATAGCACCTTTGACCGGATAATCGGGTTTTACGATGTGTACAAGGTGGAGACCATCGGCGATGCCTACCTTGTGGTTTCGGGCTTGCCCGAGCCAAACGGAGACAAGCATGCCCGTGAGATTGCTCTAATGGCACTGGACATCCTGCAGGCAGTCAGCTCCTTCAATCTGCGCCACAAGCCGGAGTACAAAATTCAGATTCGTATCGGGATGCACTCAGGATCCGTCTGTGCCGGCGTTGTTGGCAAAAAGATGCCTCACTACTGTCTCTTTGGAGACACGGTTAACACGGCGTCTCGGATGGAGAGCACTGGATTGCCCGGCAAGATCCATGTTTCCTCCGCCACCAAAGCCATCCTAGACAAGTTCGGTACCTTCCAGATGGAGCAGCGTGGCGATGTGGAGCTCAAAGGGAAGGGCACGGTAACCACATACTGGTTGAACAGCACCACCGAAGCCGAGATCCGGCCACCTACTCCACAGATTCTAGCGACCGACGAGGTACCTTTCCCCCTGCTCTTCGCAGGGATGGGCAAGTAGCCCCACGGCTGAAAATCAGTATTTTACAATATATATTTTACATTGAAAATAAATTTGTCGCTTTAATTGTTTTAAACAAGTTTGTTTCTTTTTAGTTTGTAGGCTTTTAAAAGTAGTCCTCTAGGGATTATTAATTATCTCGCAAACGGCTCTATTTTCTTTATAGCAGGATTCGTCATTCATTTTGTAAGCATCTTGGACAGGCCTCAACTCCACACAATGTTCAATTCCATTTTTGTTATCCGGCTGAGGTATAGACCATGCTGTGTAAACCATAGGTCTGCCAGTTTTCACCGAGTAGAATGATCCTGGAGACCTTCCCTCGTCGAAGTAGGACACCCAGAAAGGAGCATATATTGTTTCATTGTCGTATTTCTTGAGATATAAATAATCTGATAGAGCGTTCATTTCGTCGTCCGATTCAATTGAGGCCAAGTCGGCATAATTTTGAATACAAAGATCACGAGCAGAATAAAAGTTAAGTTTTACGGGAGACACATAGTATCGCTTCTCGCCGACACGCAGAAATGAATCTGAACGGAAATAAACCTTTTTTAATTAATTAAAATCTATTTAAATTATAAGATTTCTTACCAGTTAAAAGTCCTGTGGTGCCCAGGATGAATAAAGACAAACTGATTATTAGAACGAACCTCATGGCTGAGTCTTCAAGAATGAATACTACGGATATCAAGTCTAGTCCTTATATAGGCGATCGGAAAAATCTTATCGTTGATGGAGCGATAAAAAGAAAATAAAAAAAGAAATTTTTTTGTGAGTTTATTGACAGGAAGTAAGATACGTCAATTAATTTATAATTCGTTTTTATGTAACATATCTTAAGATTAGCGATAAGATTCAAAAGAAATTTTTTGTGCGTTTATTGACAGGAAGATATGTCAATGAATTTATAATTCGTTTTTATGTGTCTTTATTTTGCATTCTTGTTTTAGAGATTATTTGTCTAGACTTTATGGTATTGATAAAAATACTGGGTACAGGGAACAATATTTTTGAAAAGACCAACCAAAAGCTCACCGAAAAAGCCCCTTTTCCAGGGACTCAAAGCTCTTGCGCCAAGGATATCAATGATAAAATAATGGTATCTTTCCGTCAGCTGTTTGGGCTGAAAGCGCTTTTCCGCAGGGGGAGGAAATCTGTATTTGCGCATACCGTGGAAAAAGGAATTGCCACAAAAACAAAGTTGTGAAAAGCGGAAATAACAAGTAGAACAAGCCCAGCCACAAAGACAGAAGGTGTGCCCGGAATGAGAGTCCAACAGCAGCATGATCCGGAGGTCAACACGAAGGCAACCAGCCATGTAGAGGTGGAGTCACTTTAAAGATCCGGGAGTAGCAGCAGACACAGATACAGATACACACTCCGCCAGAGGAGCATCGTTGAGCACAACCTGTAGTCCGAGATGAAAGTGTTCCGGCTGCGTCTGGTGAAACTCCTTCTGCTGGGGTTCCTGCTGGCCAACCTGGTGTTCTTCTATTACACCTGGAACACACTGCTCTGGCGACGCATCAGCCGGGCTCTGTCCGGGAGTCCGGGTTCTGAGCCGGAGGACTTGCCAAAGGTTGCCAAGCTGTCGCCCAAGGACAAAGTGCGCAACGCAAACAAGCACATCCGGAAATCCATCACCATAGTATTCTACGGTCACTACAACTTCGAGCAGGATCTGAAGGCCAGCATCGACAGCATCCTGGACGTGATACCCAACATGCCCATCCTGGTGCTCCAAGAAGGCGGTGCGGAGTACGCCTACCCACCGGTTAGCTATGAGAGAAACCTCACCGCCGGAGAGGAGCACACCGTGGTGTTCCAGAGCCTCTCCTTTGACGTGCGCCGCACACGTCAGGAGCTGAATCCTTTGGCCGCCATCCGCACCAAGTATGCCCTTCTCATGCCGGACAGTGTCCGGCTGAACAGCAAGAACCTCCTGCAGAAGATTCTCCGGGAGATCAACTCCCTCGGCCAGCCGGGTCAGCCAAAGGAGCAGCGACCGCCCGTTCCGCCAGAGGATACAGTGCGACGCATGGTTCTTGTCCCGTTCGCTGGCAACCTGAAATCCTTTAGCAGCTGCCTCAAGATGCATATGGACCTGCCCAACTGGACCCTGGAGTTGGTGGCCACCAACGACAGTCGCCACTGCGATTTGGTGACTATCTTCTACAGAATCATGAATCTTAATCCTAATTTAATGCTATCCTCCTTGTAGTTCCTCCAGAAACATGCAATCCTGCTGGATGTGGCCGCTCTGGGAGCGATGCCAGAACCCTTTACCCTGCCCTTCCCGGAGATGCTCTACATGCAAGCCAAAATAGCCAATCTTTCGGTGAATTATTACTCAGTGCTGCCCATAGGCCATTATTTCATCCTATATTCTTTCAGACCACCGTGTTCCCGCAGGCGTTCCAGGAGGGTCGACGCCTGTTTGCTTCCTTCCACACCAAACAGCGACGGATGGAGCTTCGCCGGCGACAGTTCCGGGAGATGTACAAGAAGCTGCAGATCAAGCGGATTGTGAGGAGGACTTACAAGATTCCGGGCAAGGCTCAGGCGAGAGAGGTGTGGGGCCACGGCCTGGTACTAGATGGCCAGTTCTCCTCGTCCAATACCTCGCTGCCCCTGGTCACGGACATCGATCTGTTTGGCTGCGAACGCACGTCGAAGTCCTGCATCGGGAACGTGTACGGCGGCAGGCCCTTCTATTCGTACATGGAGAAGCACACACCTCCTTGCTGCCTGGACAAGCTGAGGACGACCTTCAACCATGTGCTGGAGGAGTTCGAGAACGTGGGCATCCGCTACTGGCTGGACAATCACGCCCTGAAGAGCGCCATCGAAACAAACCAGTTGTCGCCGGATGCCTATGACATCGACATCAGCTTTAACGTCCAGGATCTGGAGCGATCCAACTCGATGAAGAAGTCGCAGAGCAAACCGTACGTGGACAACGAGGGCTTCTATTGGATCAAGGCCACCGACGGCCACTACTTCAGGGTGCAGTTCTCCAAGCCCAACCAGGTGGGCGTCAACCTGCTGCCCTACGAGATCAGTGGGACGGAGGCGCGGGCCAGTGGCTTCTTCGGCTGGAAGGCTAGCACCTTCTCGGCAGACTTCCTGCATCCGATGTCGACCGTCCTGTTTTTGGGGAAGAGCGTCATGTGTCCAAACAACGTGTTCGAGTATCTGGAGGCCAAGCACATCAAGGTGCTGTCCGCCGACGTGGACGTGGAGGAGGAGTGAGCCAGGTCAAATGAATTTGGTAAGAATCTGGCTGGGTTTGTTTGAGGTCAATAGGTGTATACTTCTGTCTAGTAACAATTTTGTAACATTATGGATTTGAATTAATTTTTATTTGAACGACTTAGAGCATTATATTGTACAATTTTGTGATCTTTGGTATTGTTTCCAAGTTCCTTTGGTTGGTAGACTTCAACCGCAAGTTGATAATTAATTTTTAGATTTATAGTAACATAACTCTAAACATAAGACGGATGCATTACGATTCTTTTAGAACCAGCAGATCTATATGTGTAAAATATAATACATGCAATCAGACTCGAGTGTTTATCTGCTTTGACCATCAAAATATAGACCATATATAGATAGGATTACGACTTGACGGTTGTGGCTGCATCCTGTATAACCGCTCCCTCTGGTAGTTCGCGGACCAGCGAGAGGAGCTTCTCCAACTTGGATATTTGCAGTGTGTTCTGGTCCAAATAGAGCTGTTTCTTGGGCGGCTTAACCATCATGCGGAGATTGGGCGAGAGCTTGAGGGAAGTGGTGACGCCCCTGCGAAAGGATAAGACATTTATCCATTAATCTAGTAATAGTAATATCTTTATACTTACTTTTCATCTCCCACCACGATAAAGGCCAGCTTCTCGTTGAAAGCCAGCCTAGTCAACTTGTTCTTCCGCTTGGGAACCACGGCCTGAACGCATATGGCCTTGTATTTGTTAACGTTAAGATCGAAGACGTGCACCTTGCCCTCGGTGGTCACGGCGGCAAACACGGTGCTGGAGTACGGGGCCCATTTCACATCTCCCACGGCGGCGCCTAGATCGAAAATGAACAGCGGATCGGCCCGCATGTCCTCCCAGACCTTGACGCGCCAGTCGCCGCTACAGGACACGAAGATGTTGCTGTTGAAGCGGTTGAAGTCAATGCGGTAGACGGACATGTTGTGGGCCATGTAGGTCATAAGGTACTTGGAGCTGAAGGATGTGCTACATTTGTAGATGAAGCCGCATTCAGTGCCCACCAGGAAGATCTTCGGATCAACGGGATGGAACTGAATGCAGGAGCCGCCGCTCTTTAGGCTGACTTTGGTTCCGTCTGGACCATCCACAATGGTATTGTCCCTGTAGAGGGTAATGATGCTGGTGACCCACAGCTTGTTCTGCATCAGAATCCAGTTGAAGACGCGTCCGTCGGAAGACACCGAAAAGAAGTTCACCTCGCCATCGGGCATGTCGGGTCCCCACCTGATCTGCCACACGCACTCGGCGTGCTTGCAGTTCACTCCCTTGGACACGTAAAGTGGCTCCTTGCAGTCCTCTCGCAGATTGTAGACGGCCACGTTGCCGTCATATAGTCCGATCACGGCCAGAAAGGGATATGTACGATGGATGTCACAGCACATTACACCGCTGTCAGTTTGGACTAGGGATTGAAATATTATAGAGTGGATGAGATCTTAAGAAGAGGACCGGAAACCTACTGATATAGTCGGGAAATGAGGGATTCTTGACGGTGAAGAGGCACAGATAGCCTTCGTTAGTCTGCTTCATAAAGTCATCTGGAAAGGAGATCTATGAGTTAAATCTTTTTGATATTTTTCGAGACTCACGAGATCCAAAGCAAACGGCAAAGAGATCATAGTAGCTAGGATTGAAAAGGATATCGGTGACATTCATCTTTTTGGTCTTGTCATACTGAAACTTCCACAGGGGCAGAAGGTTGCCCTCTCCATCCCGGAACTCGTCGGCCGGGTCTTCCCAATAGCGATAGTCGTGAGCAATGTCATCGTAGATATTCTGGTTGATCATCCGCTCGAGGATCTGCCAGCACTTGAGGTACTTCTTGTTGAGCTGCTCGGCAATGGCGGTCTTGTCGCGGAACTTCTTGGCGCGCATTCCCCGCTTCCGGTCATCCTTTTTTCCGCCATCCTTCTGCTGCTCCGCAAAGTTCTCCAGATATGAGTCATAGATGACCCATTGCAGCACATTGGCTCCATACTGGGAACGGGGTGGGGGAATGGTCTGGGTGTCCACATTCTTGGGGGCAATATGGTTTGTAGAATACGAACTAATAGAAAATATTTTTTTACGATCTTACTCTCTTGGGGTTTGTATAGGTCAAGGCCGCTCGTTCGCAGTAGTTGAACTGGTTGATGAGTTTGCGCTTCTTGGAGGAGACAGCCACTGCCCGGGCTCCGCCACCTGTTTCCTCGTCGTCCCGAGGAGCACCTTCTCCCTCTCCTTCGCCCTCGTCTCCCTCAGTGCCTTTGCCCTCCTCGTCGTCCTCCTCCTCGACCTCCTCCTCCTCACCCCCGTCGTCCTTCTGACTGAAATGCATAAATGGATTATTTTCAAAACTCTTATTTTCGTCATGTAAACAATAAACCAGCTGGTACATGGGTATCAAGGCAGTATGAGGAAATATCGACCCTTGGCAAAAGTTTTTTTTATTTCTGCATGTATTAGCATTGAGACCTGGCCAAAAAAAAGGGGTTCCAGAAGCGGAAAACATGGCTTTATTACCGGAAACTAATTTTAAGTTTATTCACAACTTCTTGTATCGCGTGCCCAGTTTAAAGAAAGCAAACACTATAAGAAATTACCATTCTTGAGAAGGACTTACCTTTTAGCCCCGCCATCGTCCTCATCCTCCTCGCCTTCGCCCTCCTCCCCGTCTCCGGCCTCCACTTCGCGCTGCTCCACCACCGTATAGTTGGGCATGGGCAGCGGGTAGCCGATCTCGTCCGACTCCTCGATTTGGCGGCGCGCCTCCTCCGAGTCAACGTGCAGTGAGTTGCCGGCAAAGGAGATCAGGGTGACCGTGTTGCCCGGCAGGGGTGCCAGAACGAACTCCCCCTCCTTGAAGCTATAAACGACCAGGTTGCGAACTATATTGGTATTGGTAGGCGTCAGGGCTTTGGTGATCTCCTCGCCCAACTCGGCTTCGGTGAGGTCCAGCTGGTCGTCCGGCTTGAGTAGCTGGCGAGACCGCATCCAGGCTTCGTAGTCGTCGGCATCGCCACCACCGCCTTCACCTCCTTTGGTCTTGGAGCTCCTCAGCTGGGGGAAAGGGAGCAACAGCATGACGAACTTTGCGGACAAGTGTGTGTGTGGCAATAGGGTAGGTGCGGTGCATGCAACAATCCACTGAGGTGCCTCAAAAGTAACGCAGCCGGGATGGAGGATCTGGGTGGGTGAGTACTTACCCCGATGGAGTCATCTGGAGGTGCAAGGTCATGATAGGTATTGGGGCAGGTAGCAGAGAATGAGAAAGGGAAACCAAGCGGAATGCGGCATGCGACTTGAAAGAAGAAACACCCGAATCTCGGGTAATACGGTTTATCCTGCCAGGAGGCGTTACCTCATCGCCATCATCGTCGCAGTCACTGTCCCTGGACACTTCCTCCTCGGCTAGATCGGAGTTTCCTGTGGCAGTTGCCATCTCTTCCGCCATTCCGCTGCCCACTGGACTAAGTGTGATTGAGATGGAGAGCGATCTTTCCTACTTAATAGCTACTACTACGACTTGTATTTACTTTACTTTCTTGGCGTAAAAGCTACAGATTGCGGTTTGTATTTACAAGATGTTGTTATGAAGAGAACTCGGTTATTCAAATTAGATAAAAATCAGTCACTCCAAGTGGATATTTACAGGTCCCTAGGTTGGCAATGCGTTTCAGAATATTAGAGGATAATGGGATATGAATTATAGTTAGCACTTTTTGGAAAAACATAGAAGAGTGTTTTTCAAAAATCCTTGTAAAGAAACCAAGGTACTCCTTGCTCTGATAATAAGAGTAAAGACTTATACTTTTCAAGTTTTAAATTATTCGCTTACCAAAAAATGTTTAAAATATTTAAAATGATTTATTATAATATTTACATAAACCCTCGAAAAAAGTTCTAAAACGCACCGCATCCACACTCACATTCACACAGATCTACGTTGCTGAATCAGCTAAGAGAACCATCTAATAGTGGCTAGTGGGGAAGCAATCTAATGGTCAAATACCGCCATGGCCTTGTTGGCTAGCTTCCACATCCTGGCTTGTGATTTGTATAGCGAATTGAAAATGAATGACCACGAAAACCCGAGAGCTCGAAGCGCGGTTGCTGAGTTCTAAGCCGAGGTCACAAAGGACCCCTGAAAATCTATCCGGCTCCGCTCCGGGAAATCTGTCCGGCAAGAGTCGCAAAGCTAGACTGAGCCAAAGGAAAACAGACTGAAAGCCAAGACAATCCTGATGACGTTCGTCACGTCAGCGGCCTCTCAACGCCGAATGGAGGCAGAAAACTTTTCGTCCTGACGTCACAACAGGATGAGGCGGAATAAACAAATTGCACACAACTTGATTAGGATGTCCTGGAAAGGGTAGTGCGACACCGAGATTGGCTCTTACAGAAATACATATTTATTTTGATGTGAATCTAAATGAATAAGGTGAGCCTAGGGTCGTATTCGTGAGTGATTTATCGACTCTTTTATTGCGTTGGGCCTGATGAGACTTCGACACTCACCAGCCCGGCTAAAGGCCAGGCCAACTAAATTGGTAGCCGTAACCCAATTGCACCGCTACGATCGGGCCTTCAGCCCTGCCTCCTGCCGCCGGGCCAGGCTTTCCTGGCTTGGCACGCACATGGTGGCCATTGTAGTGCCACGCCCCCTCAACAGGCCGGAAGGGCAGGAAATTGCAAATTATGTTTCGTGACAAAGTTCCATCAAAGAGGGCTGCCTGCCGGAGCCAAGCTTTCAGCCAAACTTATTAAAAAGTAAGCGCAAATAAGCGCAAAAAATTTTTAAACCCAAAAATAGACGGCAAGGCAGCCGCAGCAAGGACTTTCTTTTTGGCATTACGTTGCCAGCCATCGAGGCGATAGGATGTGTGCATAAAGTGTGTCAGGTGTATTTTGATTCTAGTACGTAAAATAAGAATATTCACTCTGATAGCTACCTTCCCTTTGCCTTTTCCATCACCTTTTCCTGCTTTTTGGGCCATCGTCACTGCAACTCCTCAGATTCCGTGGATATCAACGGCGCCGGTGTCGGCTCTTCACAATTTGTAATAAATTTGAACAAATGCTTTCTCCAACTCGAATTAAAAGTATTTGTGCTGTGTCGGTTCGGTCACTGACAGCAGCCCGAAATGTTGCTTTTTGTGTGCGTATTTGACAGAATCAAAGCAAACTAAAGCAATCCTTTACGTAATCCTTCGAACAGGTCCAGGAGGTCTTTTGTCTGCCGCTCTGATTACTTTGTTTATTTCAGTTTCTATAGAAATTTGGCAATCACCCTACGCACCGAGCTTCGGTTGCCATTTGCATATCGATTTGGACAAGAAAAACATGAAAGAAAAGCTAACCCCGAACCTAAAGCTTATGTACACCAGCTCCTTGCTTATAGATTTTGATGACAAAAAATCTAAAAAACATGATGTCCTCAGATTTTGATGCAGTTTTCCGGAGAATCAATCCATGATTCGTTTAAGGTACTCCGCTTAAGAATCGGAAGAATATTTGCAGAGATATGGCATTTTCAGTGGGTCCTACTGCCCACCCCATGCATTTTCCACTTTTTGAAGGAGGCCCTCCAGAAAATTTGACAAAAAATCAAAAAAATATGATGTCCTTAGATTTGGATGCAGTTTTGCGGAGAATCAATCCATGATTCGTTTAAGGTACTCCGCTTAAGAATCGGAAGAATATTTGAAGAGATATGGCCTTCTCAGTGGGTCCTACTACCCACCCCATGCATTTTCCACTTTTTGAAGGAGGCCCTCCAGAAAATTTGACAAAAAATCTAAAAAAAATGATGTCCTCAGATTTTGATGCAGTTTTCCGGAGAATCAATCCATGATTCGTTTAAGGTACTCCGCTTAAGAATCGGAAGAATATTTGCAGAGATATGGCCTTCTCAGTGGGTCATACAGCCCACCCCATGCATTTTCCACTTTTTGAAGGGGACCCTCCAGAAAATTTGACAAAAAATCTAAAAAAAATGATGTCCTCAGATTTTGATGCAGTTTTCCGGAGAATCAATCCATGATTCGTTTAAGGTACTCCGCTTAAGAATCGGAAGAATATTTGCAGAGATATGGCCTTCTCAGTGGGTCCTACTGCCCACCCCATGCATTTTCCACTTTTTGAAGGGGACCCTCCAGAAAATTTGACAAAAAATCTAAAAAAAATGATGTCCTCAGATTTTGATGCAGTTTTCCGGAGAATCAATCCATGATTCGTTTAAGGTACTCCGCTTAAGAATCGGAAGAATATTTGCAGAGATATGGCCTTCTCAGTGGGTCATACAGCCCACCCCATGCATTTTCCACTTTTTGAAGGGGACCCTCCAGAAAATTTGACAAAAAATCTAAAAAAAATGATGTCCTCAGATTTTGATGCAGTTTTCCGGAGAATCAATCCATGATTCGTTTAAGGTACTCCGCTTAAGAATCGGAAGAATATTTGCAGAGATATGGCCTTCTCAGTGGGTCATACAGCCCACCCCATGCATTTTCCACTTTTTGAAGGGGACCCTCCAGAAAATTTGACAAAAAATCTAAAAAAAATGATGTCCTCAGATTTTGATGCAGTTTTCCGGAGAATCAATCCATGATTAGTTTAAGGTACTCCGCTTAAGAATCGGAAGAATATTGACAGAGATATGGCCTTCTCAGTGGCTCATACTGCCCACCCCATGAATTTTCCACTTTTTGAAGGGGACCCTCCAGAAAATTTGACAAAAAATCTAAAAAATATGATGTTCTCAGATTTTGATGCAGTTTTGCGGAGAATCAATCCATGATTCGTTTAAGGTACTCCGCTTAAGAATCGGAAGAATATTGACAGAAATATGGACTTCTCAGTGGGTCATACTGCCCACCCCATGAATTTTCCACTTTTTGAAGGGGACCCTCCAGAAAATTTGACAAAAAATCTAAAAAATATGATGTCCTCAGATTTTGATGCAGTTTTCCGGAGAATCGATCCATGATTCGTTTAAGGTACTCCGCTTAAGAATCGGATGAATATTGGAAAAGCTTTGGCTTCCGCTGTGGGCTATATTGTCCACCCCATGTATTTTCCAATATTTGGAAGTTTTACCAACTCATTTACAAGTTTTTCAACTTATTGATTTAAGTATCGCATATATAAGAGGTAACAGAAACCACCCGATGCACTAATTTCAATAAAAGCGAAGGTTCAGCTCGATGCACTACGGATCGCCGAGGGTTTCCGAGACAAAACAATCTCATTAAGATCGATAATCTGTGGCGGCAGCCCGGGAGCAATAAAGTGGCAGTGTCTGCAGAGTCAGCGGAGCCCAAAGCACGAATGAACAACGACACTGCCGCTGTGGTGACGAGCGCTTTGATTGGAACGCCTCTTGATGCGACATGCATATCAATTAATTACCCCCACAACTCTGGCGATCGTTGTTACATTTGGCTGGGCCCGGTGGACAGTGGACACTGGGTCAGGCGGGGATTGGGTAATATTATTTTGGGGATATTACAACAGAATACGAGAGCTGGAGACCGATTGCAAATCGCTGGCCACTGCCACTCTTTTGGTCTCGAATCGATAGAGCCCGTGCAGTTGGCCGAATTTATTCAAATCAGTTGAATTCCGCGTGAGGAAGCGTCGAGGTGTCGTCTCTCTCCTGATCCCCGTTGTAGCTACTGCAATGTGCAAATACGTCTTAATTGCTGCACTGGCCGTGATGGTAAGTGGCCAATTAAACAGTGGCCATCCGCCGCCAGCACCCACTAATCACCGCATTAACATTGCCCTTGGCTGCACAGACCACCGTCCCACGAGTCCGGGCCACGCTGCACGACCTGCCCGGGGTCTTTGACTTCTCCAACCTGGACCTTGTCAATTTCCAGTACTTTAAGAACCTGCCATCCCAGGATCCGAGAACTGCTGCCACCGCCAATCCCTTTATAGAGCACTTCCAGAAGAAGAAGGCTGTTCTGGATTATTTTGACCGCCTGTTCTTTGGAAATTCACCATTTCAGCAGCCCAGCGAGATTCCTTTTGACCCGCATTTTGGCCGGGCGTGGCGTCCAACCTACGAACGAAAGTTTGGCTATCGCGGTGAGCGTCTTATCGCCGCGCTGGGATCAGGGTACTCCGTCCAGCAGCTCCGTCATTTTGGAGCTATTCCTCGGGAGTACGGCACGCCGCATTATCCCAGCTGAGTGTGTTTATAATCCATAATCGAAATAGTGCGAGTATTTATGAAATAAAGTTAAGTGGATCTATTTAACCTGCAATGTTTTTACATGTTTGAGTGAATCTGAATGACGATGGGCCTTTGAAGAGTTTCAGACATGGAATTTTACTGTCCTCTTTTTAGTTTACACGCTATAGTGAGTTTTTTAAACACATTCCCTTATTCCAATAGTCAAGTTAGTAAAGTTGTTTCTAAAAAGTTGTATTTAGGAAAGTAACTTAGGTGCTATTGATGTGTTAGACTCTCCGTTTTTGCGTGGAAATGTAGAGGACATTGTTGCCGCGGATGAAGGCATCTCCGTATTTGTTCTTCAACTGCCCGTTGACGTACTCCTCCGTCTGTTCCAGGCAGATATTCATGTATCCGTCCAAGCAAGCCAAAACACCTTAAAGGAAAGCACAAACGTGATATATGCCGGTTGGCTTTGTGGGTTTCCCAGGATTTAGTCGTTACCTCGGTAGTCCACGCCATTATTCAGTTTCACGGCAACGGGACGTCCGTGTATCTGATTGATGAATTGAGAAAGAGCCTCCTTGCGGGACATATTTATAGGGTAATAAATGCAAAATTCAGTGAGTAAAAAATAAATGCGAAACTACAAACACGAATAGAGTTGCCAGACCAGTCTTATAATGTGTCTTAAAGTGTTGCCAGAAAATAAAAAATAGCTAGAAATAGCTAAACTGCAAAGTTAGGTACTAATAATGGTATTGCATTTCGTGAATTTGTTACAGTTTGGTTATTTATTTAGATTCTGTCACCAAGAATGTATCATAATTTACTATAATTCACATAAAATATAGTCGTCACTCGGCATGGCAACCAAAAGCAGTGTTGCAAAATGATAGTTGGCGCCATCTATTGGTCATGTAATGAAAATTTCAGCACTATTGTTTTTAAAAGATTTAATTTAAATAAAGCGGAGAATATAAATTATTATCTAGAAGACAACTTAGAAATAAATAGGTTCAGTGTATGCCTTCCAGAGGCGTGTAGGTCTTGTACTGATACAATTCTGGTCCGCCATATCCATATAGAAGCTTTCCTCGGCCATGTTCATCATAATAGGGGTAACGGTATTTGGGTCTGTAATAAAAATAATTTATAAATAATTTTATAGAAAATCTAATGTATTCTTAGTAATATTTTTAACATACCTTTCAAAGTACTGGAAATTCGGCGCCTTTGGCTGAACTGTAGCCAGGGAAGTCTGAACCATTAAGGTTACAAAAAATAGAACAAGCTGGAAATATGAATAAAATGTTAGTTTTTAACAATTATTGCATATAATATAAATATTAAACAGGTGTAATAGTCTCTTAAATTTATTTTATTAATTAGAGATTTAATTTTTATTTTAAAATGCCTTTAAATCAAAAAGGCGTAATGTTTTAAAACAGGTTAGAAACATGGTCTTGTCTTTCTCCTTTTACTTTAATTTGTAATTTCTCAAACAATAAAATAAAGCAAGTAATTGCATTCAAACGAGTTTGAACAACGGAAGCATGTATTTCGGGAAGTTAGTCTCCACATTAGTTCACTATGTCAGTCACAGAAAAGTGGTAACTGGCAGTTGGCCGACGCCTTCCAAGAAATCGCTTTCAGTCGGTCGGTTTAACCCGAGCAACGGTGGATGACGCTGGTTATGTAATTACAATAGCAATAACCGCGATGCGCAACTTGGCCACAACTTGTTGCCTAGAGATTATGACACATTTCGCCTGGCTTTCAACTTGGCCGAAAGAGAGCCAAAGAGCGTGATGGCGATCGCCTGCAGGTTTCAAGGTCTCTCTTCAAGTCCCCAATTTGGCCCACTTGTTTCGGAAATGTGTCAATCAAATAGTTGGCAATAACAAACAACCCAAAGAAGAACGAGGCACCTGCTCATTGGAAATTCAAGTCACAATTTCCTACGATCGGCGACGGTTTTCTTTTGGGTGCGACTTTCGCGCAGGCGCATAGTCGAAATTGTGTCAGTGGGCCCAGACACTTGTTAATTGGAGGAGTCAACGCCTCAAATCTATTTGGGGTAAAAATCTAACCATCTAGACTTACGGGCAGCAGCCGAGCGTTCAACTTTGCCATGGCTATTGGAAGATTCAAATCCCGATCGTACGTCTTGGCGGTAAACGTGTAATAACCAGGTACGAAGACGTTCGCCGGGCGCGTTTTGTTTGGCAACTGAATTGCATTGCCCGCCGCCAGACGGCCAAGAGTCAACAGCCAAGATCCGAGCACCACGAAGAGAGCGGGTAAAGCTTGACAAAGCTTACAAGTCGGAGCCAAAACTTGGTTTACACTTCAACATAAAAGCAGTACTGGGCATATTTTAAAGTTTTCTTTTAAAAGAAGCAAACCTTCTTGGCGCTAACATGGCGTATGGGTAATTTTTGAGAATTTATTAAGGCTCTTAGTATTATTAGATATTTTTCTTCCAAAAAGTCCCTAAAGTCTCATTGAAATCTTTTTAAATATTTTTGAAATATATTTTAAAAATAAAAACTTTTGTCACTCCTTCTTTTTCCAGTGTACATTTAAGTGTTTATTTATTTAATCTAATGATCCTCAAGATTTTGCAATTCACAAGGAAAGTGAAAGTCCTGAATACTAAAACTAAAAGCTTTTTCCGCCAGTATTTAAGTTGCCGGAACCTAACGAATAAACAAACAATTTTCTTGGCCAAGACTCACCTGAGCCCACTCACGTAGGCTCTTTCAAAAGAGAAACCCTAAGCCCCATTAAGAGAAGTCTCAAAGATCAAAAAGAGCCCGGAATAGCGGTCTATAGAGACAGCTGTTCGAGTGGGCAAAAATGGAATTGAGGCCAAATTACCAAAGTGGTTGTGGACCAAACTGGATGGCTTTAACTCTTATCGAGATGACGACGATGGACGCTACAATTATGTAACTTCTGCAACCATGAAGAGACGGAATCCAGCAAAAAAAAAAAAAACATTTCTACCAACCCGATGGCCCAACCAGTTTTTGCTTTCTTCGATCGCTAGGCTGTGCCATTTCTTTTCAGCTCTGGCGCACTTTCTTTGCCTTGCATTTGCATTCGCAGTGTCATTTTTCCTTGGGTTTCTATTTCTGTTCACCTTAAGTCTTTTTTTTATCTGTTTTTTGTGCTCACTTTGCGGCAAATGGCAGTAACCTTTGGCAAATATGCGTACTTAGTTCCGTCTGCCATGAAAACCAATTTGGGTTGTCATAAAAAAAATTAAACGAAAAAAATAAAACAGTTCATGAAGCCAAACAAGATTATATTTTCAAGTACCTGGTCGAAGGTTGAAAGCAAAGTCACAGATCGGAGATCACATTTCATTCATATATTTTCAAATATTCAAAAAAAAAAGATCTTTAAAGGAAACATTTAAAGTTTATATTTTTTGAAATTATTTTCCATAAAAATTAATTTAAAAAAAACATTTACTTACAAGACAAATTATATGGTTTTCCCACTTATTTTGTACAATTATTTTAAATATTTTCTCAGAACTAGTTTGACTTGATTTTAAATAATATTTTGTAGCTAAAACATTTTCCCAATTACCAACTTCCTAACCGTTTAATATTTGTAAGCCATATTGTATCTTTTAGATTTCCCACTCTCTCAAATTTTAGGCTCTTCGCTCTTTGTAACTTCTCAAAGTGGGTTCGACCTGCCATTATATTGTTTTTTTGTTGTTCGAGTCGTTGATTTTTATTTTCAATATTTTTTGAGTTGGCGCTTGGCTGGGTTTTATGCAACTACACGATTTCTGCGATTCGTAGTCTTCAGTGATCAATGGTCCAGTGACTCGCACGGGTGGCGCTTCAGCCTAAAAAATAACAGCTCCAATCCGACACAATGTTGCACCTGAGATTTGTCTTTATGGGCGCTGTAAGTGCACCGAAATGTGTTTAAAGTAAAGTAAATAAGCCATGAATAACATTATTAAGGAAAAGTGTGCATAAAAATAAGAGAAAAGACAAATTGTGCAATTGTGTGTTTCACGGGGCGTATTAGTAATAAATACTTTCCCATGGAGGCATTATTGGAATTTGTCTGAAAAAGAGATAAAACAGCATACCCGGCTAATAAAGGAAAAGAGATTAGGTCATTTAAAATAAAAAATCAAAAATAAAAAAAATAAATAGTTCTTTCCGTGCTTTTATTGAAATATTAATAACACGATTAATAACGACCCTTCCTTCAATACCCCTCGTAAATAAAGCTGCTGGTCATCCTGCTCCAAGCTAGCCAACCCACCGATGGCTTCATCCTGCGCTTTATCACCGAAACCCTGCAGAACAATGTGGCGGGAGAGCCCATCCTACACGAGACGACCCAGTGGAACTTTGATCCTGAGGCGGCCAAAAAGGCTCGAGCCTTGTACTACGAGGTAAGTGGCGCCATCACCAAGAGATCCCCAATATCTGAACCATTTCCGGCACTTGCAGAAAAACGGTTTCCGGTCGGCCAAGTTCATAGAGCGACTGGGCGTGGGCCTGGATGGACGCCACGAGGAGCGACGGGAGGAACAGATCGAGCGGGACACAGGGCGGCTGAACGGAGCGCACAATGTGAATTATCCGCCTCCACCGGTTTAGTCATAAATAATAATAATTTAAATTTAACTTCTTGTTTCGTTTGCCATGAAGAGGGGGATATCCAGCATATTGTCATCATTTTAATTTGCTGCGATTAATTGTCATTGTGCGCATTAATGTGCTTCACAAGGATTTGCATAATTTGCACAACGTCGAGCCATGGGATTCCCCCCTCTATCCATAATTTTCTCTGTTTTCCGCTTATTGTTAATGACGGCAGGATCTGAAGGAGGGAGGGGCGCTTTGGGAGAGCTTCGGAGAAGGACTTACCGAGTCCCCAGCAATGTTGTTGTGGTTTTAATAAACGTTATTAGCCAGCTGGGATGGGGGAGCTGGATAACCAGCCACCCTGCAACTGCAAATTGCCGCAATTACATTTGGCTAAAGCGAAAAGCAACGGCAGCTACTTACTTTCGCAATTTTGCAATTTCATAATTATGTCGCATAATTGAAGCCAATTTCGCTTCGAGCTGAATTGGGACAATGTGGAAAATGAGTGAAAAGTGTCGGCGAAGGATATGGGAAAGTGGATGCAGGTATGCCTCTATAAAGCTGTGTTTTTTCTCTTTTTCGCTTTTGGCAATTTTTAAGTCATACTTTTAGGGATTTAAAAATAACAGAGAGCATGGATAGCAAAAAAATTAGCTCTATTTGACATATATTTTCTTTTAAAGATCGGGTATAGTTCATAGAACAAGATATAGATTTGTATAGGGCTTTTTATATAAGCCCAATCAAGAAATATCCTTTTTTAACAATATGAAATATAAATCAATGGAAGCTCTCTCTTAAATTAAATTTCCTGTTAATAAAGATTTGTGAATAAGCCCGATTTCGAAAATCGAAAGCCGGCAATCGGACGGATTAACGCGAACAATGGCAACCGCAAACTGCCGTGCCACTGCAAATGCAACTGCCACTGTCAGAAGTGGAAAGTGCCACTGATGTTGCGAGTGTGTGTCCCACCACGGAAATGAACTGTCCACGCAATGATGCAATAATGCAGGGAATAAGGCAACAAGGCAAACTGCTGCGTTAAATAAATAAAATTACCCACAATTTGCGGCTCTTTGGGGATTCGAGAGTCGACGGAAATTCAGAAAGGAAATTACATTACAAGTGGAGAGTGTCCTCACTGTAGGCCAATGGTTGGTAGTATGGGGCGTATACGTAATCCGGCACCAACCAGCGATAACACCATAAAATTGTTTAATAAATTGTTAATACCACATTGTAAATATTTCATTGATAACGAGTTCTCACTCCATGGTCCCTGAACACTGGCCTCCGTGTGAACCGAAGCAGTTGTTCCTGTTTACGACACTAATTTAATACGAAATCAAACAGTCATCGGCATATCGATAAGGCGAGCCAGCGGGTTGACTTTTATTAAAGCAAAATGTAAATAAAATCATAATGATATTTCGCTGGCCCAGGCCAAGCCATGCCAGGCAAGCCAGTTCCAGGATGAGACCGAATGCATATTCATTAGCCTTATCAGCTCACTCAACATCAAATAAAATGTTTAATAATATATACAAGTAAAGGGCGGCAGGAGGCGGCAGGTTGGGTGGCAAACTCGATAATAATGACGGGATATCACATCAGGTTGAATCAATTGTCGCGTTGTTGGGTATTAACATTCATTTTGTGACGATTTTCCCCTGACATCAATTGCTGTGAAAGCGGATTACTTGTCATAAAAATACGCACGCAAAAAGAGGGAAAATTTATGTAAACGCTCCAAAAAAAGGGGCTGGCAGGCTGTCTTTCCGGTGGAAAATACGAGTACGAGTTTGGATACTTTCAATGGCAGCTAAATGTTTTTTGATACTATTATTATTAGACAGGTAGTACGACCATGAACGGTTGACAAGGTTATAGAGATTGATGGGAATACTCTTTCTTTTGGTATGATATAGTATAACCCAAACCAAATACAAAGCTGAAACCTATTTATGAATTAAAATAAAACCAGAATCTATTGGCTAGACATTGCATTAGTCTGGGCGGCAAATTGGCATTGGGAAATGGATTCCTTTTCACCTCTCCAACAAAATGGGAAAGGCACTTCCTCATTCCTGAACCCTCAACTATGCTTCCCAGTTTGCTGATTATTGGTTCAATGTACCTGAAGGACATTGGCTGTTGGAAACAATAATGCAATGGGGCATTATGCAATGTGGGTGGGAGTGAGCTGGGTTGAGCTGAGCAGGGTTTTGGAATGAATTTCTTAATGCATTTCCGTTGCGCAATTGAAGTCAAAGCTAAAGGCAGGGCAAGGACTCTGACGGCGGCTAATGCACAGGCCACAGCAACAATAAATGTCAACTTGTCCTGCATGCAAGTGAAGTGTAGCCAGAGAAAGGCAAATCAACTTTGCTTGCGCATAAAATGTAATTTATAAAATGTAATATAATATCAACAGCACACAGAAATCGGGGGAGGACCAGGGGTGGAGATGGGGTCATCCTATAACAATGCCATAATGTCAACCGGCTTTTGTCCTTGTGGCTGATTCTGCTGGCTACCCGCTGCTGCTTGAGTTTCTCATTCTCTTTGCTTTTTACACAGAGAGAAAGAAAGTAAGACGATCTATGTTTTTAATAGATTTTTCTGAAACTTAATAAATAAAGCATAGTCTTACTTATCCTATAACTAATACTTTATTTTCATTTTTATTTTAAAATGTTATATACCTTCCTTTTTTAATATTTCTCTTTCTCGGCTAAGCAGCCTTTATTTTATTTCATTAAAAGCAGGAATCGACTTCCTTGCGCCGCTCTCCTCTAGCAAGCTCTCCTCTGCGCTGCAGGAGGTCCTTTAGCATATCCTTGTGCCTTTTTATTTGAGGGTAATTGCGATGCTAGCAGGGCAATTTTAAATTTTATCATTGCACCCGCATCTGTCGCTGACAGATTAGTTAGTTCTGATTCTCATCCTGAGATTCTTTGGCCTCAGCCGATTCATTGCAAAAGTTTTCATAACTTTATCAAGTAATTATACGTTTTCAGAAATCTTTGAAAAATAAATTAAGTTTTAAGACTAAAGGGTTGGATGGTAGATCAGTGTTTTTATATGTATTTAGTTTATATATACAATATATATTGTTAGCACTGTTCACACGAATATGAAGATTTGCTTGCATTTTTTTATTCCTTCAATATACTTGTAAAGGATTTATTTTCTGTATTCAAAAAGCAAATCCATTATGGCACAACGTCCTCGACTAATGCAGTCAGCAAACTTTGGAAAAAGGAAAGGCTTTTCCTCAGTTAATGCTTTGTTATCGATATTGGTAATGTATTCAGCTTTTTTTAAAAAAAAGGAGGCTTGTATCCTTTTTCTTACTATACTATACTTTTCTGTACTGTATAATATTATTTACTATAATATCTAATCTACTATACTTGAGCCCATTACTGCCTTCAGTTGGCAAGCCAAATGCAACATTTCCTGATCAGAGGAATTCATTTAATTCGGTTTTTGGTTTCGTTTTGTAGGTTGCCACTTGAATTCACTTGATTACAAAGTAATTTATTGGCAAAACGAAAAGTCCAAGGACCGGCAGTGGCACCGGCAGCAGCACCAGCAGCAGCAGCAACAACAACAAGCTATGTCAACAAGGATTTGTCTCAATGACAGCCTCCTAGCCACCCATCTGTACCACCACCACCCACCAAGCCCCCTCCGTCTATCCGCTGTGCATACGAAATGGGCCAAATCCCAAAAATCAACAAACAAATGAAAAGAAAATTCAATAAAATACGTTAGGAATCGTAGAGGAAACTTTTTCGCTTCTTTCTTTCTGGTTTCTGGTTTGGAGGGGAAAAACTAATTACACAGAAAAGCTGAAAAAGCGTCTGCCAGTGGGCGTGTTAGCCGAACCGAGGCACGCCCACCATTTTAACGGGCCCTTCTATTTAACTTTCATTTCTTTTCCCCTTACGTTTTTGGCTTTTCCTTTTTTTTTTTTTGCTTTCTTACGTCTTGGCACATTGCGTAAGGCGCATTTAATTACGTATGCCAGGCAGGAGCTGCAATTCCCATTCACCTTTTTTAGATTCTTTTCTCAGCCATTAAGGACAGTGCGTTTTCGTACTATAAGGTGTTAATAGTCCTATACAGAAACTGTCCAAAAAATGCTAAACAAATAGCAGAAAAATCTAGTAGCTATACCCGGTACTTCTATCATATTCTTTATAATAAATCACAAAACCTTATCTTACCGAAACGCACTGTCGCTAATTCGGACCCAGAAAAAATGCGAATAAAATTAATTATTTTGTCAGTTGATACAGCAATGCTAACTGCTCCCGGATCCTTCTTCAAATCCAATCCAATCCCTTGCTCTTTTCGGCTGTCGACCCGTATCCTTTGCTGGTCCTTGGCGCTCTTGTGACACCCACAAAGCCGCAGGACACGACGCGTCGGCCGCCCGCCACCTGCCACACACAAAATTGGCATGTTGTGTCAATATAGACGGCAGACACTGTAGCCGGGTCCTGGCCGTGAGGTTTGGCTAAGTAAGGATCTGTCATCCGAAAGCCATACAAAAAATGAGGAATTCCCCCCTTTTGGATGCCCTTTTTTTGGTTGCGTGGCCCGCGGTCATGTTATTTTTTGCAATTTAAGCGATATTTGTGAATCCAAGGAGTGAGGCCTTGCTCCTGGAATATCCTGCTAAAGATATCGTCGTTGATGCATAAAATGTTTACAGAAAGCAATGATTTTTTTTATAAATCTTTTGATGATTTAAGCGATATTGAATTCATCAAGATGGACGAATAAAAATCGCTGAATAAATATTGTTAGAGCCAATCAAATATTCAGAGAATAGTTTTTTGCAATTTTCATTGACATGTCCTTTGAACTGCGAATAGATTCCAGTTGGCCTCTTTTTGTTAAAGAACCTTAATGAACCTGTCCATGGCCGCCAAACGGCCAATAACAAAGTTAAAACAAACAGCGGGACGACCATAAAACTACCATCCCCCGCATTAAGGACCCATCCACCATCACACTCTGGGGGCCAATGGTCCAACCAACCACACGTTTCCAGACAATTACTGGCAAATTGCGTTGAAATGAAATTTTCAACGTTTCGATTTTTGGTTCTCGTTCTGATGCCTTTTCCCTTTTATTTGTCGATCCTTGTTATTTTTTTTTTGTTTTGTATTTGGGCTTTGGAGTCTGGAAAGTCAAAAAAACGAGATCCAAAAATTTTCATTACAATTCAGTTGGAGCAAAAGGCCACAAAAAGTAAAAGACAACGCACAAATGTGTGTGCAACGCAAAATTGCGGCTCAGCTAAATGCAGAACAAAGAAAAAACAGCAACAGCTGCAGTCAGATAAAGATTAAATGAACGCTAAACTGGCAACAGCGAAAAAACAATGCCCCATGGGTGGGGCCCACCATTTGGGGGTGGTGTTTTGGGCCAGAATGCTACATTCGGAAAGGGTTTCTGGCCACTCATACTAGACGTCCCAGTGATGCCAAATTTTAGAAGGTGATAGATACCTTTAGAGAAAGATTATTTATATTAAAAATAGTTATAATT